ACCAAAAGCTACAAGACGAAAACCTTCAAAGCATGCTTGTGTGCTTATTGCATACCTCTCTGTCGACAAGCTTGACTGCACAAGACTTTCAGAACAAGACCATCGCTCAAAGGTCCAGCGCATCTTCCACGAATCCATGCGAATCGTTCTTGAACCTCTTATCAATGCTGGTCAGACAGGCGTCCTCATGGATAGCTCAAATGGGGACACTCGAAGGGTCTTCCCCATTCTTTCCTGTTACGTGGCGGATTACCCTGAGCAGTGCCTTGTCACCTGCTCAAAATACGGCACCTGCTGCAAGTGCAAGGCAAAAGCGACGGAGCTCCAGGACCCAGAACCAGCAGAAGCACGTACCCCAGCATGGACAAAGTCTGTTATGGAAGAAGCCAAGTCCCAAGCTGGAGGGAATCCATGAGCCTTTCACACACATTGCATGGCCTCGGACATTGCTGGAGGGGTTTTCCGACCCTTCTGGGATGGTTTCCCCCTTTGCAATATCAATCGCGCCATTACTCCTGATGTTCTACACCAGCTCTACCAGGGTGTCTTCAAGCATCTCGTCTCTTGGTGCCAACTTATCCTTCCTAAGGGCGAGCTCGACAGACGCATTCGCTGCCTTCCTCCCTCATTTGGGGTCCGCCATTTCAAAAACGGAATATCTGCTTTATCTCAGATCTCTGGCTCAGAACGCAAGAATATGGCGAAGATTCTACTAGCTTGTCTTGTTGGTAGTATCCCTTCAGCTGCGACCAAGGCCATCACAGCTCTTCTTGACTTCATATACATTGCTCAGTACCCGACACACAACAACTCCACTTTAGAATACCTGCAAAACGCCATCGAAGAATTTCATGAACATCGTGACTATTTCATTCAACTAGGCCTTCGAAAAGATTTCAACATTCCTAAGTTCCACTCTCTTCTTCACTACATAGACACTATCAAGGATTTCGGAACAACAGACAACTACAACACTGAAATGTTTGAAAGGCTCCACATCGATTTTGCAAAGCATGGCTGGCAGGTGACCAATCTTTGCGATGAATTTCTCCAGATGATTCGCTGGCTCGCCCGTCAGGAGAAAGTTGCNNNNCATGGAACTCCTATTGCACCTGTCAAACCACGCAACCAACGCCCAAAAACAATCGCAAAATATCCAAACTTTCCTGGTTGTTCTTTGTCAGATGTTCAACAGAAACATCATGCACCCTCCTTTGACCACCACCTCAGGATTTATCTGAACGCAAAATCCCCTGACAGACTTTCTGCTAGAAACCTAACAGACACTGCACTTCCATTTAGTAAGGTTAACGTCTACAATATGTTTCATTTTGCTCCTTCTAGTCTTCATGATGATGATGACGAGAAAGATGTGATCAAGGCTATTGGCTCCTCTTCTAACATGCCAAATGGACGGTTTGACACTGTGGTTGTTATTGTCAGCGAGATGGCACATGCCACTGGTATCAAAGGTAAGCGCAGCCTTGTTAGATGTTGTATTAGGGACAGGCTTCTAATATCTATATTCCAGGCACAAGAGTTGGACGACTGCGGGTCATATTTACTCTTCCCCAGAAGTTTGACACAAGACTAGGCCCAAGAGAGCTGCCTTCCTACTGGCCTACAGAACCTCTTGCCTATGTGGAATGGCACAGCCCACAGGCTGCCAATGCCTCTGCTGCCAACGGCATGATGTATCGCATTAAGAAGCTTGAACCTGACACTGCGGGCCACATTCCAGGTGCTGTTGTTCCTCTTAGTCATATCTGTCAGAGCTGTATGCTCTCTCCACTATTTCCTAACACGACGCCTTCTGAATGGACCTCAGATAATGTACTGGATAAATCCTTGGTATTTTTAGTTAATAATTGGTCAAGTAAGTATGCGTATCAAACTATATGGTAGTAGAAATATGTTCCTAGCCATCTAATAGCTTAATCACAGTTCTTAATTCATGATTTTGGAGATACTGTTGGTGGGAGGATATCAGACCTCCCCAGAGCTTCCTCAGAGAGCTCGGAGGACTTTGTAAGTACCGCTGATCTCTGAAGTGATGCCAAGGCAGCGTTGCTGCTTCAGGATTGTGGCAGTGCGCTCAGGTAATGTGAGATCAAAAGTCATTTTCCTGATGCGGTAAGTAACCCAATACCAGGTCCTTTCGAATTGCACACTTACAAGCCCCATTTACATGCCCTCCCAATAAAAATCGACGGTACCAACTGCATCGTCATACGTCGCAATCTCGCTTCGCCTGCGCATCGCACCACCTGCATCGCATCGTATGTTTCATTTCACCCGCATCCCGCATCCCGCATCATTCTGCATCATACCGCGTCATCGCATCACATCACACTGCATGAGCATCACCGTCCTCTCCTACCTGCTACGACATCAATACCTACAACCCCATACTTCAATTCTGAACACTTACGCATCTATGACACTCCTCACACCACCCATGTGCCCTCATGTCACGTCACACATACCTGTCCAAATATTACACATAATGACCTATGCTCGTGTATCTTACCCATAAATACGTTACTCAAAAAAATTACCTACAATTATGGCATCCTAACTACTAATGTCCTCTGCATCATCATCTCGCTCCGCATCTTGCACATCCATTAGGCTCGAGGAACAGCTCGCCAGAGCATCAATGAACACCCCCAGAGCAAAGCATTACCGTTCACCCTCGCCGTCACCAGAAAGGGCCCGCCGGAGCGACAAAAGGGTCCGCGCAAAACCGGCACAGACCCTGGTCCAGTCGCCGCCACGAGAAACCAAGAAACGTCGCATCACAGAAGCAGCAGTGCCGTTTTTTCAGCCGGGTGCAGCCACAACCTCAACCTTGTCGGCCTGCACCATCTGCCTCGGTCGAAATCCCCACAACGTCTACAGTTGCGCTTCAGAAACACTGTGGGACAGAGTCACCCCAGCCCATTGCACCAAAAGCGACAGGGGGCGTCTCCTCAACCCAGCAAACACAATCCTTTGCTCCGACTGGCAACGCAAGGCCGGATGCAGCAGCACATCTCACGACTCCAAACACGAGTGCTCCGGTTGCGGAAAGCCGACTCACGGAGCTCAGACGTGCCCTCGAGGGCAAAAAGCTTAATTCGGGGTCACCCTACAAGCCGGAAGCATGGAGGCAGCATCTGGAGCAGGCTGGGCTTACCGGAAAGTACCCAAATATCCCAAGCGACCTTCAGCGGGGATTTGATGCAGGGATTCCTGTCATCCGCACCACATTCACCCCACCAAACAAACAATCCGTTGTGGACTTCAGTGACAAATTCGATGAAAACTCGAAGGCTGAGTTCGAGCGTGGCCGATACATCGGACCAGTCACAAAAGCAGAGACAGAAGCCCTCCTGGGTCCATTCCAGACGTCTCCTCTCTCTCTCATTCCTAAACCCACGCAGCTGGGAAAGTATTGTATCATACAAAACCTCTCGCATCCGCATAAGCCCACCAGCAATATCACATCTATTAACAGTGCCATCGACTCAGACCGCTTCCCATGCACATGGGGAACCTTCTCTGTCATCTGCCTGCTCATTGCGCGCCTACCACCCGGTTCGCAAGCAGCAGTGCGAGACGTCAAGGAGGCCTATAGAACCATACCACTCAAGCCATCGCAATGGCCAGGCATTGTCGTCCACCTTCGAGGAGAAGATAATTTCGCCATCGACACCCGAAACTGCTTTGGACTCGCATCAGGAGCAGGCTGCTATGGGGCAATTGGAGACACTGGGGCCCAACTCATGCGGGCCAATGGAATCGGCCCACTCTCAAAATGGGTTGACGATCACCTGTTCTTTCGAATACGTCGAGAGCACCTCTCAGCGTACAATGACCAGCGTAGCCAATGGGCAGCCGACATCTGGGAGAACGGAGGGGAACTGCATGATAGAGGAAGACTCTGGTTCCGTGGGCAGCTCATGCCCAACGGAAAGCCAGAAGAGTTCGACGAGGACGTCTCCTTTCCAATCAGAGATCTCTCGCAGGCATCTCCAAGGTAAGCAACGTCAAACGCATCAGCCAAACAACCCTCACTCAGCTCACGCAGATCGGAGGAGGAGCGGAGATTCACTTACTGCATGTCAGACATTGACGCAATATGCAATGAGCTCGGGATTCCTTGGGAAACCGAAAAAGACGTACCATTCCAGTCAGTTGTCCCATTCATCGGTTTCCTCTGGGACCTGGATCAGCGAGAGGTCGCTCTTGCAAGCGCAAAGCAGGAGAAGTACCTCAAGGCTATTCAGGAATGGGAGACGAGGAAGGAGCACAACCTTGAGGAGACGCAAAAGCTTTATGGAAAGCTACTCCATGCATGCCTCGTGGTTCCAGCAGGACGTGCATATCTCACCATCTTACTCAAACCTTCCATGATCGTCCTTTCATGCCACGTACCCCACCAAGACATACTACAAGCGATCTACAATGGTGGAAAGAGAAACTCCAACAACCCCAGATCATCCGGCCCATCCCAGGCCCAGTCCCAATCATCGACCTTGCAGTGTATTCAGACGCTAACTCAAAGATCAGCATTGGGATTACCATCGGAAACAGGTGGCGCGCCTGGCATCTGCTTCCAAATTGGAAAGGCGAGGGCAGAGACATTGGATGGGCAGAGGCCGTTGGCTTCCTCTTCCTCGTCATTGCGCTCGGCAACACTTACTGCCACCCTGGCATCCATTGCCTGGTCTACAGCGACAACCAAGGAGTCGTCGAGGGATGGTGGAAAGGACGCAGCAGAAACTGGCCAAGCAACCTTATCTTCTGCGATATTCACTCAATCGCGGAAGAGAACAAGTTCATCATCCACACCCAGTATGTACCTAGCAAAGAGAATCCGGCTGATGGACCCTCTCACGGCAAATACGGCCCACCCACCCACCTTCTTGCCGCCTTCGAAATCCCAGTCAACCTCAGGCCATACGTCACAGACTACGACACACCTCTTTGCTCAACTGAGCTCCGTCTTATACGGGAAGGAAGAGCACCAATGGCAGCCCCAAGACTTGATGCAGCGTCAAGGCGCCAGCAGTGTAGAACTGCAGACGAAGGCCAGGCACAACGTGAGGAAGAATTCACTGCCCAAGCGGAAGCAGAGCGATAAGTGCAACTGCTTTGTGCCAGCAAATCGCAGCATCCAAGAGGTGGACACAGTGCACCCCACCCGCCCACCAGCACCATACCAAGAAGCACTTACTCCACATTTCTCACCGCAACATCCCCATGTGCTCGCACGAGAACGGTTGATGTGTTGGAAGCCAACCACCCCACGAAATGTCCTTGACGGTAATGGCCATCCCACCAACCTAACCGAAGCTGACCTCCGCAGAATCCTGGAGGTAATGGAGGGTGCATGGGTGGAAGGCACGCGAGAGGGCTATGGGTCAGGCCTGCTAGTATACCACGTATTCTGCAATCAGAAAGGGATCAGCGAAGAGCAACGGGCGCCTGCGTCTCCCATCCTCATTGCCTCGTTCATTGCTACTATCACAGGCGCATACGCGGGAGGCACCATTTCCAACTATGTCTTTGGAGTGAGAGCCTGGCACCTTCTTCATGGGGTCTCATGGCAGATGAATCCTAGTGAGCTCGAGACACTCTTGAAGGCAGCTGCGAAGGCAGCCCCAGCCTCAACAAAACGGAAGAAGAGGCTACCGTACACAAAAGAGTTCATGCTGGCTATTCGCGACAAGCTGGACCTTGAAACGCCGCTGGATGCCACTGTCTATGCATGCCTCACAATGACCTTCTGGTCAGCCGCAAGACTTGGAGAGTTCACAGTTAAAAACCTCACAGACTTCAAAGCTACGCACCACGTCAAACCATCAGACGTAATAACCACCACGGATGCCAACAGTTTGACGACGACAGCCTTTCACATCCCAGTTACAAAAACGGAGCCAATCGAAGGCGAGGATGTGTCCTGGTCCAAACAGAATGGGGATACTGACCCAGCAGCTGCCCTCGACAAACATCTCTCAGTCAACAACCCACCAAAGGAGGGCCCGTTGTTTGCTTACCGCACCGCCAAGGGCTACAACGCACTTACAAAACCCAAATTCCTGCAGACGCTAGCCAAGGCCGCTCGAGCTGCAGGTCTGGACCCGCTGCAAGGTCATGGCATTCGCATCGGCTCAACCCTCGAGTACCTCCTACGAGGTATACCTTTTGAGGTAATGAAAGTCAAGGGCCGCTGGGCCAGTGACGCTTTCCTCACCTATCTGAGGAAGCACACACAAATCCTTGCCCCATACATGCAAGCCAATCCTCTCCACCATGACGAATTCATCAGGCTGACCATGCCACCCATCCGCTGCGGCTAATCAAGTGAGTCCACGTCATCATGCTCCTAATAGGGTGGTATCCGAGACTTGCTCGACGTGTCGCAGGACTCCTAGTGCTTGGGAATCGCAGCTCATCTCGTTTCCTTTCATAGATCAGGAACTCCTGCCAGGTCAAAAAGCCCTTCGGCTTTTGCCCACATATTACTTCTCATCGGACATTGTAATACTTCAGTCATTCCCTAGTGTACACCAACATTATCCTAATGTAGCTTCCCCGCTCTCTCAGACGTGCTCTAGCGCCAATACATAGACCATGTCTTGACTCCCTCTTTCTTCTCTCGATCCTTTTAATCTGATTGAGGTCAGGCTCCTAAAACCAGCCGCTCGTATCACTTTCAGGCGGCTTTCTAGAGGATAGAGTGAATTATCTTATCGGATCGACATCTTATCAAAATATAAATAATGGGTAAACTCATCTAAGGGAAACTCTTAAGGTAGGGGGCATGAGTTATGGTCTACATCACCTGATGTGACATAGATGTGACCCCTGCCAAATCGATCAGTCACCTCCATCATTTTCGTGTTTGGGCCCAAAAGTAAATCCTATGGGGCACTTTTTTGGCTCAATTTTATGCAAAAGTGCTTCCAGGAAAGTGTTCAAAATCAAAATCAAAACACTTTGTCTCTCGGTCACCAACGGGACATATCCCAATGATGATCTCTGCAGAGATCAAAGTGTACAATACTACAATGTGTTAGTTATAATAAAATGAAAACCATGTGGTCGATGCGGAGCATCCGAGCAAAGAGCGAGCGAAGCGTTTACGGGCAACTGAGCGCAGCGAAGGGCCACGCTCAGATCTGCCCAAGCCACGGATCCGGAATCATGCAAGAAATCCGAAGCGGGCTGCGATGGGCGGGTGGGATCACGCATCGCAGCTCGCAAAATCGCCTGATTTTTATGTTATAATGCGACAGACGAAGTGAGCAGGATTTGACACTGCACAAGACGGCGAAGTCCAACAAGACTTGGACGAAAAATGTGTATAGACAACTGCGATGGAGAAAAGGGAGAGGTGGGTGGGTGAAAAGAAAAGGGAAAGGTGGGTGGGTGAAAAGAAAAGGGAAAGGTGGGTAGGCAAAAGAAACAGAAAGGTGCCTGTGGGTGGGGGAAAAGAAAAGGGAAAAGTGGGCAGTGAGTGAAAAGAGAAAGGGAAAGGTGGGTGGGCAAAAAGAAAAGGGGGAATTAGGTGAAAATGAAGGGAGAGGTGGGTGGGTGAAAATAAAATGCGGCTGGTGTACAGCACACGTTGAGCAAGCCTCGAGTCCGCTGGCGGCGGCGAGGGCGTGGTCGAGAGAGAGAGGCAATGTGTGACATGACATAACAGTCATGTTGCCTCTCCTAACACAAAGTCCTAACTCTACTATCAAATGATCGTACCTCACGATTCTGTAGATTGCAAACTTCCTTGCAAATAGTTTTCCGATATTTGCTCCCCTCGCGATGCCCCAGAAGAAATACCGAAATTGTCACGATGTTCACGTGATGTGGACATTAGCTCATGGCCTCTACCTTAGTTGTAGCGTACTGGCGCTCTCGACTCCGTTGTTGGAATACCGGAATTCATACGACTGCATTCCCACCTTCCCATTCTCGTAGTTACATTTTTATGAGCTCCATTTTGTGTCACCTTCAAGTTACAATTCCTTGCTTTCCCCATTGTAATTTAGGCTGTGCCACTGTAGGTACATAATTACCGTAGCTAGAACGATGTACCTCGCGCGTTTACCTCCTGAATACTCTATAATACGCCCCGCGTCGTTGCTTACCACCGTCCCTTCAACATCCGTCATACGCCATTCCTTCTTCTAATTCTTTTATTCGATACCTCACAAGCGAGAACCAGTCGTCCTTATACTTGGAAATAACTAAATCTCGTTCAATACTTATTCAATTTTTGTCATCCCTTGGGAGCACCGCTACATCCGTGGGAATGCTGCCATCAGCACAGAAAATTTGCAACCTATTGAACTTCAAAGCTTCAAGCCCAGTGAAAACTGGCTCTGAGAGGATCTGACGTCGTCTGAGGTAAGCTGAGGAAATATGCGCCTTCAGCTCGGCTCAGCTCCCCTCATTTTTTTTCCGTTTTTCAGATTTAAATATGCCAGCTTCTGCGACCAGCTGCCCTACTCTAGGCCTCTCACCCCCTTGCTTCATTATCCGTGATGATTAAAAATCAAATTTAATTCATGATTAACCCATAATTAAACTACGACAGACCGATAGCTAAGTCTCCCACTCTGATCCCTCCTCCGCTCGTCCTCCACCCCTATCCGCCCTTGTACGAGTCCCCGCTGGCTGGGAGAAGGGCCTACCGGCGTGTAGAAGGAGAGGAGGGCTCTATGCAACGCGTAATACCCAGCACGCTAGTGCAGAAACATCCTGTGTTAGAGATCGCGTTAATGGTATGGTGGGTAGGAAGAATTCAAATGGGCGTACCTCACGTTTCGCGATGGAACGCGCCGGTGCAGGTGCCACAAAGGCGCTATGAGAATTCGGTTACACGACAAGGGGAAATGCGAATGAAATACCGATCACCTGCGGGATAGATTGTGTTGAGCAGTGTTGACTCTTCGAGGCTCTCGGGCGCGCATATATTCGGATGCCCTCGTCAGACGGTGATTACAATATGATCGAGGTGCTAGAACACGCACCATTTGCCCCTCTGTGTCGCCTCCATTCCTACCACGTCAACTATCGTGCTTCGTCGCGCTCAGGACGACCAGCCATTCCCGTTGGAGGTTCTGAGTCGCGGAGATGTTGTGGAGCGCCGAGCGGCCTGCTGGGTGTCACCTTGGTAAGGCAGAACACATCGCAAGAACGAAAAGGGAGTGGACAGGTTCAGCGAGGGGACGAGGGGACAGAGAGGGGGATGGTGGTGGAAGGCAAGAGAGGAGGCGGGCAACTCCGAGTAGGGCGAAGGGCGAAAGCAACTCCGGGAAAGCCCGAGAACAAAAGATGAGCGAGTTTGAGAGAATGGCGTCCGGGCAGCGCGATCGACAAGTTGCAGAATTGAATGGATGAGAAGGCAAATATAGGCAAGGTGAGGCTCACCGGCACCATTGGCTATTCGACAATCGAGATGCGTTTTAGCAACTTTTAGGTCCAGATTTGCTCAGAGAAAATCTGCTAAAATCTGAGAAACATGTTTTACTCAGATATTTTCCGAAGTTGGTCAGATACTTAGTCCCCGTTTCTGGCAGATCAGCTCAGAAAATAGCAGGCTCGTCAGATTCTCGCATGTCCGTTTTTTGCTGGGCTTCAAGCTTCAAGCTTCAACCCACGTCTTCAAAAGGTTCAACCAAATCATGGTCAAGAATCCCTTTTTCTGCCAAATCCACCCCTGGGCTCTGAGGAGCTAGCAGTGCGTAGAGGCGCAGCCCAACAAAGGTTCTGGTGATTCTAGGTGAGAGCTACTATTCTCCTCCCGCCATCCGGATCGTTGATTTTCTATAATACATTTTCTATAATACAAGTGCTATAAGTTGTCCTCAAGTCCGAGTCTGGGATAAAGTTCAAACGCTACATGTTACACGTCTGGTTCATCCATCCAGTGGATGTCAGTGCCAGTGGCACAACCATCCTCCCTTCACTTTCCATCCTGGGCGTGTGGGGGCACAGTCGATGCGGAGCCGTGGTCGAAGATAACTGAATCAAGGACGACTTTCATCCTGGTCAAGACGTCGGTCTGGTTCTCCAAAATACCCCCCTCTGATTTCTTCATCGTCGACCTACGCAAGCCAATCCCCACTGCACAAAGAATGCCCTTCCCCGGTCTAGATCCTCCAGGCCCAGGTTCTGCGTAGATGTCCTCCATGATTTCTTCGTCGAAGCCGCATCCCGTTTGTCCGATGAACACCTCCATGTCAGCGGTCGTGATACCCTCTTTCGTTGCATTCTTCAGGTTAATGCATTGCTTCTCGATCCCTTGTATCATCTGTTGCATAGACAGGATCGTCTTTTGGTTGTGTGCTGCCCTTGTCTGCCAGCCGCAATAGTGGAGAAGACTGAGGACGCATTCGAGGACGTGGTCTGCGTGACTGTGCTGTCCCTGGGTTGGAATCTGACTGTTTGTGATCGCTCTCCAGCGACCAGCTACGGCTTGAAGTTCTATGAAGTCGGTGGGTCAGAGACGTTCTTCGGCTGAATACACACCGCTCACCGTTCTCTCGTATCTTGGCGTATAACCTATAGAGCTCGTCACCGAAGGCACCGGGGCAAAACGCCCGTGCCTTGCTCGAGCACCAAAAGGACAAAATTGTCTGGAACGCTAGCTGAAGTGGTAGCGGATCCGTTTGGACTTCTAGAGGCTTCTTGGTAAGATGGGCAAAGAGCGCCTCCCCAATGTATTGGCGTGAATGCTGCAGAACGTCGCTATATTTTCCCAGATTTTGTCTTTGCGTCGCGATCGCGTCGAGTGAGGCGTTCTCCATTAGCTCTGCTATGAACGCTGCCGTCTGGAAAATCTCTGCGTTCAAAGATTCGACCATCGCAATAATGTCCGAACCAGAATACTGGTCTGCTGTTGTCAGGAACGTCTGGGCACCTTTGAGGTCAGCCGACCGAACCTCCAAGAGGTTGCTCGTCTGAAGTTGACGTTCCTCGGCGACTTTCAAGAGATCCTTCAGGCGGCCCGTCTCTTCTTCTTGCTTCCGAAGCTTGTCCTCTAGCTGAGCAGCCCTCGCCTGAGCGTCTCGTTCCTTCGCCAACGCGGCGTTTGTTGATGTAAGTATCCGGCTCTTCTCGTCTTGCAATGCGTGGATACTTTTCTGGAGTTCGATGTTCCTACCCTTGGACTTCACGAGCTCGTCTTGAGCAGCTGCGAGCTGCTTCGTCAAGGAGTCGTTATGCGTCTTCAAGTCCGTTATTTGGCCCTCCCGTGTGACGGATGGATCCCTCTTCCTCTTGAAACGTTCGCTGTTAGTATCGCCCGAAGCTTGTTGTACGCTCTCCACTGGTGTCCCAACTCGACGCACGACAGATCCAGCCCTACCTCTCCCGACAGAATTGCCTCGGGCGACGATCCCGCAGTGCGCTGGCTCTGGGGCTCGGACACTGATAGTCGCCGACCGGCCGCGGATTATGATGGCATCCTTAGATACAGGCGGTTTCTCGTCAGTAGACTTGATCTTCCGGAGTGGAGGCTCGTCGCCTTTTGCTGTCGGTGTTGGTGCTGCGCCGTTCCGTACTTGTTGACTTTCTGGCGGTTTCGGGTCCTTCATGACTGGACTGGATCTTCCGTGCCCATTGCGAGGCTCAAGCTGGGTAATTTCAGCAAGTTTGATTTCCTGGCGAGCGTCCAGAGTAACCTGTAGGCGAGGCTCGCTGCGGTTCGTGCTCCGGAAGTCGGTATGCCGCAGTTCGCGGCGGCGAACAGAATCTGCTTTGTTCGAAAGGGAGGCGGATGCAGGATTAGCGGAGACGGGGTGAAGTTGCTCGACAGAGTTGAATCCTTTCACGCTGTCGTGTTCGCGTCGTCCTAGCTAACGGTGGTTGGTCATCAGGCCCAGGACTTGCGGGTTCTGCACAATTGGTGGGCAAGACTCACCAGCGAGTCGGCCCTCTTCCTCTTCTCGCGGTCGGATTTCCGACTACGAATGCTTCCATAAGGGTCCTCTTTCACGCTGTAGGAATCTCTTGCGGACGTCGGAGGGTTGTAGAACAACCCGCTTGCTTTCTTTGCCTCCTCTATTTCGCGTTCCGTGGGCTGGCGCATTGGCGTGGGTGCTCGATCTTGAATAGGTGACATTCTGGGACCTTCGTCGTTTGTGCCACTGGAAGATTTAAGGCCCAGGAAGGTAGCCAGAGTCGTGAGCATAGTCTGCAGTGGATGTACAGAGAAACGTTCTTTGCTGGATTGTCGCTATATCAAGTAGGAGAACAGGTGGCTGCCACTCTGGTTTCGCACCGTAGAAGCGTGGTCGACACATGGCAGGTGTTCGTCGAAGCCTCATTTAAGTGCACCAGCGCGCAGTAACTTATAACCCTTCTTCCCTATTTCACCTGTCATCCTCACATGAACTGTCGCTGCAGCCAGCGTGTTGTTAGTATTTAATATTCAGGAATCCTCCAAGACAGCTTTGACTCATTGAGAAGACGAAGATAGTATAGCTTGTCGGGCACCGCCGCGACCAGACACTGACAGGGAAGGGCATCAAAGCCAACGCTAAATAATTATTCGAGATGGCCTCCTTGACCCGAAAGTGGGCGGTAGCTTACGCAATATGCATTTGTTTGGGTTCGTCGTGATCAATCACAAAGGGGAGCTAATAAGCGCTTGTGCATTGTTCGGCTCACGGACTCTTCCTTGTATCCGCCATGACTATTCGATCAGCCTACAGTGGCACACAGCGAAAGCTCGTTCTCGCCTTCGATGTCGGGACGACCTTCAGCGGTATTTCCTATAGGCAAGCCCTTATCATGATTTGGGCGCCAATCACCTCTAAGCGGCGACATCTGCACACAGTATCCTAGATCCTGGGGTAATCCCTCAAATTTGGGGTGTAACAAGGTATTTTTTCTTTTGAATAGGACTTATATGGTGGCGCTGAGATCCGCCCTCTCGTGTCATCGAGATATCCCGCGCAAGAGCAAGTAGGGGCTGATTCGAAGATCCCCAGTGTCATCTACTACGATCGTCAAGGCAAAGTGAAAGCTGTTGGAGCTGAGGCTATCCGGGAGGGAGTTGAAGAACTCGCCGAAGACGAAGGCTGGATAAAGGCTGAGTGGTGGGTCTATCCCTATGTCCTTCTTTCTGCGCTACCTGAAGCTTGAAGGCTCATAGGTTCAAACTCCACTTGCGCCCGAAAACCAAGTCAGCGACGCATATATCAGAGAAGATTCCGTTGCTGCCACCAGGGAAGTCTGCGATTGGCGTCTTCGCCGACTTCCTGCGTTATCTTCACAAATGTGCGCGGACGTACATCGAAGAAACGCATCCTAACGGCGTTGATCTTTGGGAGAGCCTTGCGCGTCAGACAGAGTTTGTCCTTTCTCATCCCAATGGATGGGAGGGAGGTCAGCAGTATCTAATGCGCAGGGCTGCCATCATGGCCGGCCTCGTGCCTGACACTCATGGAGGTCGTGCTCGTCTTTCATTTGTTACTGAGGGCGAGGCTAGCCTGCATTTCTGCATTCGAAGTGGTCTCACAACGGAGGCCATGAAGGCATGTGGGTTATTTTGTAACACTGGAGACGATACTCATAGCCACCCCCTAGAGTGGGAAAGGTCTCTTGATTGTTGACGCCGGGGGAGGAACAATCGACATCAGCGCATACAAGAAAAAGCCGGGAACCAATCATACCTACGAAGAAATTGCCGCCCCACAGTGTATGTCTTCACATCGTTGTCTCATATTTTATTTCTTTTGAGGCGTTGGGCGTCGTATAGGTCATTTCCAGGGATCTATCTTTGTGACCAAAAACGCAGAAGCATACCTCGTGGGTATGTATGTTACATTTCATCTTATTCCTCTAATGTTTCTTTTACCTCGTTTTACCAGATCTGCTTCAAGGCTCAAAATTCGTCGATGATCTGCATGTTATGGTGGAACGTTTCGACAAAACAACAAAACTGCGCTTCGTGAACCCCGAGGAGCCTCAGTTCATTAAATTTGGTGGTGTGCGAGATCAAGACCTCAGACTGAACATTCGGCATGGCCAGCTAAAACTACCTGGGTAAGTGAACTTCCTAGCAGCAAGACCCTTTGAATTATCTATGGATCTCACGCAAGCCTTGAATAACAGGACCGAAGTTGCTAAGTTTTTTAAGCCGTCAATTAATTGTGTCATCAAATCGATTGAAGACCAGTGTAATTCTTCTGCGACGGATATTTGTGTAAGACCGTGGTCATTCCATACTTGTGAAGTAAATACTAATTAATCTTTTCAGTCCGTATTCCTCGTTGGAGGTTTTGCAACGAGCAATTGGCTCTTCAACAACCTCAAAGCGACATTCGCACCCCAGGGTTTGGACATCAGCCGGCCTGACAGAAATACGTTTGTGGCCTTCACATCTTTTCTGCTATCCTCAATATCTGAGTTCTGAAATATTGTTTCATAGCAATAAGGCTGTCGCAGATGGAGCAGTGTCGTTCTACATCGACCACTTCGTGACGGCCCGAGTAGCTAAATTTTCGTATGGGATCAACGCGAATGATGTCTACGACCCTTCAAATCCAGAGCACACTGTTCGTAAAAACAAACTGTATATCAGTTTAGATGGGACAACAAGGGTTGACGGTGGCTTTGAAGTGATCTTGCGGAAGGTGAATACATACAAGTCGACTGCCCTGAATATGCCTGACCTTTTCAATTCTCGACTTGTGCAGGACACGGCAGTACACGAAACGGAGGAGTTCAGACAATCATTCAAGGAACTTGTTCAACATCAGACCAGCTTACGTGTTCTATCCGCGGAAATAAGAAGCTTCAGGGGTGTCCGCAAGGATCCTCGATGGATCGATGAAGGAGAAGGTGTGTTAGTACCATCTCTTGGACGATATATTGTGGAAAAATTCTTCAAAAGATTCCTACCATTCACTTTGTCGCATTGAAGCGGACGTTTCGAATCACCAAGCCCCTTTAAAATATTCCCCTGAATCCGACACATTTTACTATGAAGTGCATTTCGACATCATCCTGTCTCTTGGCCTGACAGAATTCAAGGCTTCTATTGCTTGGAAGGAAAACGTACGTTTCTTCTTGCATCGGCGCATATATGTATGGTGTATTTATTTATTTGACGATAGGGAGTTGAGAAAAGGTTTTTGAAACTATCCCAACTACAATTGCGCTTCTGTTCTAACAAACCGTGATAGGAGTCCTGCGCGAATGGTTTATGACCCAGAAATGGAGATCCCAGATAACTCTGTCTAAGATTCTACCTTGCTTCATGGAGCCGCCTTTGACCGTCAATTGTGTAAGTGGATATGTTGATTTGCACAATTTCCAATTTCTAACTTCTCATCGCCGCCGGCCCGCCGATTCTCCCATCCTGACTTTTCCTCTGTCGTGCATGCTCCAGCATCCTATTTCTTTCACTCCTCTCGTAATATGAGTGCAAATTGATTTTGGCCGGAGGTCGCATTTGGGTCGCATGCGCCACAGCATTCTCCAAACTGAGCGATTTCGGTAGTTGCCAGATGTTTCTTTAGCCAATCAGAGGGCTGGATGTTTTACGAATGTATCACCCTTCGTCACGTTTTCGTGTGACTCATTGGAAAGGGGTCCCTAAAAGCTTATATCCAACCACAGGGATGCCTCGCTTTCATTGAACGCCTTTCCTTATTTCATTTTTAAGAAGGGAGCACCTTTCTCGTTCCCCACCGCAGAAATGTGGGTGACGTGTGGCCGCTCTTTGACAAAGGCTTACTTAAGTTCACCACAGCACAACGGCTTTTTCTTCTTCACTCCTTTTCCTCTTACCTTCAACATGACGACTCGAGCACCTTACAGTGGCATGCAGCGCAAGCTCGTCATCGCCTTTGATGTCGGGACGACCTTTAGCGGCATTTCATACAGGTGCGTCATGGCTGTTGGAGCGCCGGCGTCCAGGGATCTTTAACACGCGTGTTACTACGCGCAGCATCCTCGATCCTGGCGCGGTTCCTGAAATTCGCGGCGTAACGAGGTAACGTGGCTTTCACCTGGACTTGCTTTTGTCGTATTCATCCCTCATAACATTTAGATATCCCGCTCAAGAACAAGTGGGAGGTGATTCAAAGATACCCACCATCGTCTACTATGATCGAGAAGGCAGGGTGCAAGCGGTTGGTGCAGAGGCCATACGCGACGACATCGAGGACCTTGTCGAAGACGAAGGGTGGACCAAAGCTGAGTGGCGCGTATCTTATTATCTCGCGTAACTTCCCTCCGTTGGTGCTCACCCCTCTCGATAGGTTCAAACTCCACCTGCGTCCCAAGACCAAGTCAGCCGCGCATGTCACCGAGAAGATCCCAGCTCTCCCTCTGAACAAGACAGCTGTCGACGTCCTCGCTGACTTCCTGCGTTATCTCCACAGCTGCGCGAAGAGCTACATTGAAGATACGCACGCTAACGGCCCTGAGATTTGGCGTAGGCTAGAAGAGTGCACTCAATTTGTGCTGACTCACCCGAATGGATGGGAAGGAGGTCAACAAGCCCTTATGCGCAAGGCCGCAATCATGGCCGGCCTCGTACCCAATACTCGAGAGGGCCGTGCCCGCCTTTCGTTCGTCACGGAAGGCGAGGCAAGTCTTCATTTCTGCCTGCAGAGCGGTTTAGCGACTGATGCCGCCGAGGTGAGTGTAACAGTTTCTTCATTATTTCGCGAGTATTGAGCCGTATCCTTGTCGCTTCGTAGAACGGCGATGGTATCCTGATCGTTGACGCCGGCGGCGGAACAATCGATGTCAGTGCATACAAGAAAGTATCTCCAAGCGGCCATGCCTATGAAGAAATTGCTGCCCCTCAGTGTACGCTTTTCCATGCCTTATGTTTACTTTTCTCTGATGCGATGGATTTCTAGGTCACTTCCAGGGATCAATCTTCGTGACTAAGAACGCCGAGGCGTACCTTACAGGTATTCAGCATGCTACTTTCCTCGATGCATGATTTTGGAGTTGACACTTCTCGTAGAATTTCTGCAGGGTTCAAGCTTTGCTCTCGATGTCCCTATCATGACACAGCGGTTCGACAAAGCGACGAAGCTTCGTTTCGTCAATCCCGAGGAACCTCAATTCATCCAGTTCGGAGGTTTGCGAGATAAAGACCCCGAATTAGGCATTCGTCACGGTCAACTAAGACTCCCTGGGTGAGTCGTACTTCCGTTGTTATAAACTGATCGCTGATTGGGTTAAATAACCAGAACGGAGGTCGCGAAATTCTTCGAACCGTCTATCCAGTGCATCACGAAGTCGATTGAGGACCAGTTGGAGTCATCGGAAGGACGGATCTCCGTAAGCCTGCGGTGACAATCCCGGCATAAACCTGATTTAATGTCTGCAGTCCGTATTCCTCGTGGGAGGTTTTGCGGCGAGTAACTGGCTTCTCACCAATCTCAAGAACACGTTCACTCCGCACGGTGTAAACATCAGCCGCCCCGACAGCCATACGTCCGCCCCCTTTTTTGCCTATTCTTTCCACTCTCGTAACTTGTTTGACCCATCTTCTCTAGAAATAAAGTCGTTGCAGATGGTGCTGTGTCCTTCTGTATCGACCATTTTGTACAAGCCCGAGTCGCGAAATACTCTTACGGCGTTTCCATGAATATCTTCTACGATTCTAGGGATACGGAGCACATTGCTCGCGGCAAGGGAGTGTACGTCGGCCTTGACGGTTACCCCAAAATCAGGGGAGCATTCGACGTCATCCTACGAAAGGTTCGTTCTATTTTGTTCCTGGCAGACAGACGACATCACACTCATTGTATTCTCTGTCAGACTACAAAAGTCTCCGAAACTCAAGAGTTCAGGCATTCGTATAGGCGCCAGGATACAGACCAAGCTAACTTGCGGACGATGTCTTCTTCCATCAAATGCTTTCGAGGCGCACGACGGGACCCTCGATGGATGGATGAAGAGGCAGGTCCGTTGGCTATTTTACTCACTTTACATAAAAGGTCGCCTTATAACTCTTGCCAGCTCTGTACTCCACCCTCTGCTACGTTGAAGCAGATTTATCGAACCTACCGTTGAGGGTCAGACATTCAGCAGTCACGAATGAAACCTACTACGAATCGCATTACGATATAGTTCTCTCCCTTGGCTTGACAGAATTCAAAGCATTTGTGGTATGGAAGGAGAACGTAAGTCCAGATATTTATAACAGTTTGCCTTCAATTCACCTTCGGATCTTTCCCACTGACAATAGGGGGTCGAGAAAAGGTTTGTCGAGTCTTCGGTTTCCTAGCACTGGTTCTCACTTTGCCTAAATTAAAGGAGTCCTGCGGAGATGGTTTATGACCCGGAGTCGCTGATTACCGATGACGAGGCCCTCATTTGATTGGTATTAAAGTTTTGCCCGGGGGACGGGGGATCGAGACAGAGAACAGATGTGCGCACATAAGTAGCAACGCTTATTGAAGTTAAGGCCCCTCAAGGCCTCATAATTCAATTGCTGTTTATTAGTTTTTCTGCGCGGCTCGCCTTCGCTCTTCCATCGCGATGCCACCCGACTGCAGCATCTAGCTGTAGTGGGTTTTCTTGAAACTTAATAGGAATATAATTGTTGTCTTCGCAATCAAATACGGATCCCAGAGGGCATTTTTTCCAACCTGCATGCTGGAGTCGCCAAAAGTAACAGGTATTACTTCGAGTTCTGCGAGTGTCTCCTTCATGCTTCGTTTCATGAGTTTTTTTTTTCCATTCTGGGCGTGTCGCGTCGCGTGCGCCACACTTGGCACGGGAGCAACCGGAGTCTCTTCTCACGGTCGAAGCCCGATCCGCGCCGAAGGCCCGCACGCTCAACGTTTGACGTAACTCCGACCAGTCATTTAGACAAGTGACGAGTCGATTGCACCAACATGCGACCGCAAATTTGGTGTCGACTCATGATCAGGTGAGGTTAGTTATGAGCACCTCGTCTTGCTTGTAGACTGAAGCTTCTGTTACAATAGCCGCAAACTCCGCGAAACGATACCTCCAACACGACTGTGAACTCGCTGAAACCACTTTTCGCATTTATTACCTGAAGGGCTAACCTGTAGGGGATCTGCTTGCTTGGCCGCGCATGGCTCTTCTTTGAGCTAACGGTGTGTGCACTGTGTCTAGCACTACGGTTGAGGACCGTGACACTGCAATACTGACCGTCGCTGGTGTGGGCCCTACGCTGCCATTATTAGCGTTGTCTCATTGCTTGTCCTCTCATTTTACCTTCGAGGATGATCTATATCGTCCCTCACGAGAGGTGAGTCTCCATTGCCGCAGTCAGGAATTGGCCCTCGATAAGTTAATTAGAGGTCGCTATTTCGAGAAAACCAGGAGGAAACTGCTCTGCTTTCGTGCAGACCCAGCGTGGCCACCGCAAGGCGACGGCTCGACAAAGACATAAGTGGCTCATTGCTCTAAACTCTTCTTCAGTTCTTTCGCTATCGCGTCCAAACATGTCCACTCGAGCTCCCTACAGCGGACCGTACCGCAAACTAGTCCTCGCCTTTGACGTTGGGACGACCTTCAGTGGAATCTCTTACAGGTGTGTCGTACACGCCGTTCGTGGCCGTCGACGACTCTAATGTGGGGTAACCGCTGGTAGTATTCTGGACCCTGGCGAAGTCCCTGAAATACGGGGTGTAACGCGGTATGATCCTTTCGTGGTGCCCTGGTCATGGCGCGCTGACTGACTACAACGCCTAGATACCCTGCGCAAGAGCAAGTTGGAGGGGATTCCAAGATCCCAACCATAATATATTACGATCGAGAGGGGAAAGTGCAAGCAGTCGGCGCCGAAGCCGTCCGTGAGGGGATTGAAGAGCTTGTCCAGGACGAAGGCTGGGTCAAAGCAGAATGGTACGGCGCACCTGATCCATCTTCTTTCACGGCTCTGACGGCTTTCATCAGGTTCAAACTTCATATGCGCCCTAAAACAAAGTCAGCGGCATATGTGACTGAGAAGATCCCTCCACTGCCACCTGGCAAGGCTGCCATTGACATTTTCGCTGACTTCCTGCGGTATCTCCACAAATGCGCCCGAACCTACATCGAGGAGACGCACGCCAACGGTGCCGACCTGTGGCGCAGCTTCGGCGAGGATCGTACAGAATTCGTTCTGACGCACCCTAACGGATGGGAAGGGGGGCAGCAGGGCCTAATGCGCAAGGCTGCTGTTGTGGCTGGCCTCGTGCCCGACACGGAGGAAGGCCGTGCTCGTCTTTCGTTCGTCACAGAAGGAGAGGCCAGCCTTCACTTCTGCGTTCAGAGTGGTCTGACGACGGATGCCATTAAGGTTAGCAGCAGCACCTCCCCCACGAGTTCGACTGGGTGCTCATTTCTTCTGTTACAGAATGGCAAAGGCATCCTGATTGTCGATGCCGGAGGAGGAACGATCGACATTAGTGCCTACAAGAAGACGTCAGCCAGTGGCCATGCATACGAGGAGATTGCTGCGCCGCAATGTACGCCTCTCCGAAGCACTACGTCGTCCATTACTGATAATAGATTATCGATTTGATGGATTTATAGGCTATTTTTATGGCTCAATCTTTGTCACCAGGAATGCCCGAGATTTCCTTGAAAGTGGGCTATCTCTCCTCCGTGCACAAACAAGTGCTAATTACGATGCTACCTTCACTGTTAGACCTCCTTCAAGGCTCGAGGTTTGTCGGTGACATCCCATACATCACTGACCGTTTCGACAAGACCACAAAGCTACGCTTCGTGGATTCCGATGAGTCCCAGTTCATCAAATTCGGCACACTTCGCGATAGAGAACCCAACCTCAACATTCGCTCTGGCCAACTGAAACTCCTTGGGTAACTTGCTTCGTATTTTTTTATTTATTTCTCGCTTACACATCGTTTTCCTTACACTAGGACTGACGTGGCCAAGTTCTTCGAACCCTCGATCAAATGCATCACTAAGTCGATCGAGGACCAGTGCAAGTCGTCCAAGACGCCGATAACTGTGAGCCTGTCTCCTTCGATGTGGAATTTAGGGCCTCACATTTCTCTAGTCTGTCTTCCTTGTTGGCGGTTTCGCTGCCAGCAATTGGCTATTCAACAACCTCAAGAACACATTTACACCTCGTGGCTTGGACGTCAGCCGTCCTGATAGTCATACGTACGTTCCATAATTTACGACCTCCACGTGCCAGCCGTTGATCCAAGTGGGACAGGAACAAAGCAGTCGCGGATGGTGCCATCTCCTTCTACATCGACCATTTCGTCAGCGCACGCGTTGGCAAATTATCTTACGGAATCACAGCGAGCATCCCGTACAACCCGACCGATCTCGAGCACGCCCTGCGCGACAGGTTCACCTGCGTCGACTTCGCCGGCACTAGGAGAGTCAATGGTGCATTCGACGTTATTCTTCCCAAGGTATTCTTTTAGCAGCGAGATCACCCACTTCGATATCTAACATTTCTATTTCAGAATACGAAAGTGTCGGAGACAGAAGAGTTCAGACACAGTTTCTTCAGAGAGGACACTAGCTCTACGTCGGAGAACCTCCGCCATATCAGCGTTCCCATCAAGTGCTTCCGTGGTTGGAGAGAGGACCCACGATGGATGGACGAGCAAGCAGGTAAGCCAGACGTGTCCCCTTTCTGGAGCCTTGTCAAACGGACGATCGCCAGAGCTCTACTCGACCCTCTGCTACGTTGAGGCGGATACCTCTCATGTTACTCTATCGCCGAAGGTCTCTCAACGCACACGGGGCCTCTACTTTACTCTCGAGTTCGATGTCATCCTATCCCTTGGACTGACGGAATTCAAGGCGTTTATTGCTTGGAGAGAAAACGTGAGTTGTTCTTGTCTTTCAGCCTGTTAATGAAAGGCCCAACCGTTTCTGTTCTGTCTAGGGCGTTGAGAAACGGTTGGTTTTGCCAAATTCCATGACCGCAATATTGCAATATACTCATCCTTCACAGAAGCCCGGCTGCATTGGTATATGACCCAGATTCGGTCATCCAAGACGCCATCCCGTTGATTTAGACGACTATGCGAACAACGAACGGTCGGTCATCTTCATCATCACCCTGTGTACGAGTACGAGGAATGTTCCCGCTGTATCATTACCCTGTCATCGCTCATATCGATTGCCCCCATACTTTCGGGTGTCGGATGAGCCTGATGATGCGTCCATTTATGCTGATCATGGGTGTTATACTCCTGTCACCTTCTCCAAGTATTCTAAACAGGACCATATCAGAGTTCGTCAGTTTTCGTGAAGACGTAAGACACAAACCTCTTGTCAGCTCAAAAGCTGCGAAGGTGCTGGCTGCTGCAGGAATGCTAGACACCACAGAGGTCAGTTTGTGTCAAGGAAATGACAAAGCACTTGTATACCTTCGAAGCACTGCAAAAGATCGAACGTCAGTAGAAGAACTCTAATACCCGTGGAGGAAACCGACGCACATGAGGGAGATAGGCCACGGAACAATCCAACACTAGCATGAGAAGAACATTAGAATGTGAGGTCATGAGAAAGGCGTCCAAATCGTACAAGCCAGATTCCTGAACGATCATCTTCAGCTCATGCGCGATGTACTGCACGGGTGTGCCTGATGGTGGTGTTGGCCGCAGTTGGATGCGCGATTTGACGACATCTGAAGTTACCCGAAGTCGATAAGCTATCTCCGGCCTGGACATCGAAGCTGGCCAAAGAGAGGGGCACGAACCTAGGGGATAACAAGACAACCAATACGCGATTCCTCCTGTTGATCCACTGGCCAGGAGGGCCCATACAGGCAGGTCGGAGCCGTATGTTTTGCTAAAGGACCGTTTTGAAAACTCAAAGGCGGTGTAGAAGCCTGCGTAGGCGGGTATTTCTCTTGCTACTGTTACCTATTTGGAATAGATAAAATAAGGCGGAAGATGTAAAAACAAGAAGGGAGGAGGAAAAGAGGGGGGAAACACACCCAATACCCCCGCATAACACCCTTCCGGAACCCCCAATCCCGCCACATCTCACTGAAGACTGCTCGTAGCCGCTTATCTGTCGCTGCTCCATATTGGCCTTGCATCCGCACTTTGAACATCTCGACTGTCAAAATAGTGAAATCAGCCAACGGCTCCTCTTCTCGTCTCTGTATTCCGCAAGAGAATGAAACCGACCTGGACTGGCCAGGATAGCATTCGCAGCTCCTGCCATGGCACCTGCACTAGCAATCTCCTTGAGGGATAATTGAGGGTAGGGTGAGATAATACGTTTCGAGATGCCGTAGGATGCAAACAAGAGCGAGTTAACGCCTGCGATTCCGAGGAGAGGGCTAGCCATGCCTAAACAAGGTGAAAACACGGACATCAGTCGCGAAATCTAAGTAAGGATCAAATCGACAAAAAACCCACCCTTGTATAACGCGAAGAATCCTTCATTTCGTAGCGTCTGCTTCAGTATATCCATAGGCCCTTTCTATGCGGAATAACCCTTCGTATGAAGGCGAAAACATGGCAAAGAAATGGAGCTTACGAACATGCCCTCTATCAACCCTTATGAGAAACTGTCTTATGGAAGGGAGAGAAAAACTGACTAGGAGCAATCTGTGCCCTCGTCTTGATAGTGTCAAGGGGCTGTCCAACCAATACCTGCGCGGCGCCACCAACGCTGCCAGCAATGAGCTCGTTTATCGTCGCCTGGGCGTTTGATTTCATCGTCACGTCTGGATTCTGCGAGCTTTCGTGGGTGAGGATATGACCAGGACACTGGGGGTGACACGAGATGGTAATAAAGGTCCTCAATGAGCACGACGAAGGTGAAGAACAACGACGAGAACATCGCCTGAGCGTTGGTGTGGATTACAACAGGTTGACGTGATTTCGCTTGTTTAGCCTGTCGAATTAGCATTATCTTATCTTATCTGGACTTGTGGGGACGTACTCTATTTCGTTCAACCAACCTAAGCAACTAACAGAATGAGATCCGGGATAAAAATTATAGACAACGTCCAGTACAAAGCCCAAGAATGTCAAATTTCCAGCAAGGTAGAAGTTTGAAGTGTTACCGCTTTATACCCACCGTGATAGACCCTTTCGAACCACCCTTCGCCGTCGCCCCACCTGGCAGCTGCTTCCACCACCCCGATTTTGCCTTCTCTTTGACACTGACAGCACCGCCTGAAACTGTGCCTACGTCCTTGCCGCTGTTCGCCTTGGCGGTGGTGCCACTGCCTCCGATTCGACGAACGACGGTCGACAGACCTGAACTGACACCTTTCCGCCCTCCACCAGGAAACTTCTGAGCCTTTTGCCGAGATTTGGTGCTTGAGACGAATGTAACGCGCTTATGATGTGGGGTTTTCTTCAGTGATGTCTTTATCGACGACACCTCTTCCTCCTCAGCGGCCTCGTCTTCAGCATCGTCTTCAGCACCGTCATCGGAACCGTCCTCAGACTCGGACACCTCTCGTTCTTTTCGTTTGCCGGAAGAAGCGACAGGATTGGATACGGAGGGTGTTGTAGAAGATGAAGAGGTCGCCTTCGACGAAGTAACAAGTGGCAGCTGTCTTGACCCTTTCTCCCACTCCTTTTTGTGCATACGGTATATGGCCATCGTAGCTCGAGCATCCGTTACCTAGATGGACAAGTATTCAGGATAGTCCGTGATTTGAGCGATACAGAGTCCTTACACTAGAATGCTCGCCAGATTGGATCGTGATTTTGAGCTCCTGCTGTACAAGATTCCGCAGTGCGACACGCTTCTGCTTCGTCACACCATGCTTGTATGTATAAAGCTGCGTATCCCTCGTTAACGACCACGGATGTGATAGTAGAAGCGCCTGTGGGTAATCATCAACCACTTTTTCCAGCAAGTACACGAGTAGAAATGCACCTTCAGATCGTGATGCACCGCATGGCCAATCAATATCCTCCCATCCAATAGCCCCGCCACCCTCTTCTGCACCTCCTCGAATGGCTTCGCGCCAATCAAATCGCGTTCTCTGATCCCACTCCACTGCGTCCGGTAGTCCACCACGCGCTCTTTCTGCCTTACGAACTCGTCCAAGACCACGTAGCCGTAGAAGTTCACCAAGCTCACCCGCGCGAGAGAGGACTCGGAGCCGTTGATCCCGAGGCCCACCATCTCGCAGTCGATGGCGAGGTACTTGCCTGGCCTGGTGTTAAGGAGTGTGCTGGGGATCAGACAGACGACATAAAGAGACAGTGGGCGTAGACGCACAATTTCTGATGCTCGGTGTACTCCAAGTGCCCTAGCACCATCTGCTGCAGTGATCCTCGCGAATCGTCTCCGGGATTGTTCGCGTCCGTGTGGAGGACTCTTTCCTCTGCAGGAGCTGTACGCGCCGGTCGTGAGGAAGATTTGAAGGAGCGTAGAACTGAAGATTCATTTCTGCCATCATGGCCCAGCTTCCGCCGTTTTCTGTCGTCGTCCTGACGGTGTGTAGACGCAGATTTGGAAGAGGAAGAGCCTTTCTTCCCCGACTGGAGCTTCTAGAAACATAACTGTCAATAACTTCAATCTCTATTCAGCAAATGAAGAAGAAAGAGGAACGAACCTTTTGCAGAGCGAGCCAATTTGAAGATGGCAGGGACTTTTCTTTTTCCTTCCCTTTTCCTTTGGCGGGAGACATTTCGAGTAAAATACTAAGGACGGAATTTGTCTGGCTTTGCTGATTCACTGTCGCAACGATTGGTGAACTGAAGAGGTCATGGAAGAGAAGGTTGAAGCCCATGAGCTTGGATCGAATTTTCGTTATATTACATAATATATCACGGATTTCCGGGCCACTCCCGGCCCGGCATCAGAGTACGTGAAAGATAATGAGGCGAGATCGAAGAAAACAGCTACAAGAACAATCGTGTTCTGAATGACAATCAACAGTTCTGCCTGTGCAGCGACTATAGAATGGGTAATACTTATTAGTAAAGAAATTGACGCAGATTGACGCCCGACAAAAAATGGAGAGGCACCATCCGAAGTTCGCGACTCGCGAGTTGTCAGCTGGCAGGAAAATACAACAAGCGCCGTACGCTGTCTGTTGTCCTGCTAAAAATCTAGAAATGAGGAATATAAACGACCCAAGAAGGGGGCTCGAAGGATGATAATGTGCGCAGAGAAATAACAGCTAGAATGAGAATAGCGACTCGCGCAAGCAAGAGTGCGCAAAATGACACCAATACCGCTCCTGGAAACACCTTCTCCCAAGAAAAGCTTGATGTGAGTACTGCCAACCCCACGCATGTTAGTGCGGAGAGAAAAACAAACGCCGGACAGGCAACGGCGACCAGTGATGCCACACGCCACAGCATTCTCTCCGCCTCGGACGGCAAAGGGGTGTTCCACAAAACGAGACGGATGCAGTGGAGAATGAGGCTGAGTATTACGATGAAGAAGAAGTACAGTGCTGTTCTGGGTCCAATACCGCTTTCCTCGACCTCGGGGGCGTAATACTCGGGGACGACCAGCACCCCATGTGCGACAGTAGTTGAAGTGATCATGTTTAGCGCGGACAGGAGGATCTTCGTCGGCAGCTCCACGCACCACCGAACTCCGGCGACAAGAATTCGTTTCCATCTCTGTTGCCCTCCATACAGGTCATTTACCGCTTGGATTGGTCTTGAAACGGTTTCGACAATGTGGTGAAGACGCTCTTGTATGGAGCTTTCGCGATCGTGGTCATAGCGGCCTCGTTCCTCTGCGTCTGTGGGGGGCGGGCTGAGCTGCTCTTCTGTAATCTGTATCCAAGGTACGGGATAAAGGTGAACTTGCGTATAGACATTGAGTGGCTTGTGCCACAGAAGTGCGAGAGTGAGGAAACAGGGCGGGAGGAGAACGAGTATTTCGAAATTGAATGCGGTTACGGGGATGCCTTTGGCTACTTGGAAGCCGCTTTGGCAAATGAACCATACAACTTGGAGAGTGGTGATGACGAGGAATAATGGGTTTAATTTGCTGCGGTCATGAATTTCTTGCTTCGAAATTGCTGCTAAGTCGATGGCCCCTTCTTGGCGAAGGATTCGAAGGCGCCTGAAGCACGCGACCTGAGTGGGGGCGCCGTCGTAAAGGAGGAAGCCGCCCATGATGACAAAGTAGCCGTGGGTCGTCGTCCAACCTTGTCCTACGAGACAATGATGAAGTAAACAAATGCATCACTAGAGATACGACTGTAGGCTTACCTTCAAACATGGCGCCGATAATCCGTGCAGAATGCCACTGCCTGAATGTGCAAAACACTGCCAGCTCAGGTGCAAGAATCATCCAGAGAGAAAATTTCATTTTCCTTGCCAGTAGCTGGGTCCATGGCGCCTTAGCTGAGGGGATATGGGGGCGGGAGCAGAGGAAGAGGCAAAAGGCGAGGGAGAAAAGGGAGCTAATGACAGTTGTTATGAACGGGGATGTGGCAGGCGCGGAGGGAGGGCGGTTTATTCCATTTTCGATGAAAGGTTGTGTAAAATCCGGTCCTTTGGGAGGTACGGACCCCGATGTCATGTCGGACGGTTCTATTTATGCAAGTGATGTGCGCGAGTAATCACCGACGAAGGAAGGTCACGACAGCGTGGTATGGGTACGAGCCCCTGCAATGCGGGGAAGGGTGATGGAGGTGAAAATACGGATAGGCAGGTATGTTGTGTTGCTGGACAAGAGAAAGGACGAGAGACAACATGCGTTTGGTTGGTTGCGAAGCTTAAATACTCATTCCGTAATTTGTGAGTCACTTATCGATGGAATAATAAAACGAGGTCACCGCTGCTTCCTATAACCTTTGGAAATGACGACGCTGAATGTGTACATGAAAAACCTTTAGCCCAGAGGAACCCCGAGGCATATACCCGAATGGATGACGAAAATGGGGCCAAGCGAAAGGTTCCCGTTCATTAGATATTCCATTGTCAAACAAAGAGAACGGTCTCTTTCGGCACCCGTAGAGCGGAATTTCCAGGGGCCTCAAGAGGCCTAAAGAAGTGAAACCATAAACACAATATCTGGAAGGCGGTGTCAGAGCCGAATTGGTAGGGCGAGGTTAGGAACGGTCCATGGTATCTTGCAGCCCAGCCATCTCGTCATCCCCAGGAGGCCTGCCACCTGGCAAACAGATGGCCAAGTAGGCAAGCTATCCAAGAAAGTAGGTGTGCAGCCTCGAGAAACGCTAATGAAAGAGCTTTCTGATGGTCCTCAAGGGTTAACATGCGGATGATGGTTGGAAGGACATCCAAAAAAGGCATCAAAAGAAGTGGATGTCGGTGAGTAGTTTCCTTTCGGCTCAAATGACGCTTTAACTCTGCTATTTGGGAGAAAAATTTCTATTTATTGCCGAAAAAGATCCTGTTAGGAGGATCTCTCACGTCATCTCCACGTTACCTTCCGAGTTGAGAGTTAAAGCACAGCAAAAGTTTTCAGCTAAAAATATATTATATCAGCTTTATGTAGATATTACGATAAATGTGCAGTAAGTCTATGTCACGCTCAAGGTGGCTGTCCAAGCTATAATCGGTGCCGTCCGGAGACATACTTATGTACTCTATATGCCCAATACAATGACCTATACTTGCGTGACCTTCCAGCAGCTTTAAGGCAGGATGTGCGCCACTGTCTTCCGCAGATACCATATATAGAGCGCGTCGGTAAGCCTGACGCGGATCTAGACCCACGTGACCCACTCTCGATTTAGGCCTGGCCTTAACCAGGCTCTCAATGAACAAAATATCGGGTAGAAGATCTATTCGTAAGAAGTCCATCATGACATTGTCCAAGATAGTCGTTGTTCACCCATTATCCGACATACGTATATAGCGCGAGGCCAGGAAGTGAATAGCCTTCAAGAGGCTCGGATACCACGGTCCACAGCCTCCGGGATACTGATGAGTCTATAACCTAATTTGTACCAGTAAAACGGAGAGTACGACGGCCATTATGCTGATCCCGCGTGTCTTGCTCGACGCAGATCCACTTAGTGTGGGCGTTGGCGCAGGCGCGATGTAGGTTGGGTTCGCGGAGCCCCTCTCTGCGAAGATGTCGTTCTGTGGCCCGTCAGCGAAGCCCATCCGCATATTGTACGTCGGTGCCTTCGGCTCCCCGGCCAAATCGACACCGGACACCTGGACGTTATTGCCTTCAAGTTGGTTCCAAAAAACCATCTGCAAACACGAAGGTGGACATTAAGCAAGTAGATTGGGCGAATGATCCCGAAACGAGAAAAAATATACCTGTTTCGCACCCTTTACGCATCGACTGGGGTCATCCTCGCACCATACAGGAGGCTTTCCAGGTGCAACTGCCGCGTCTCCAGTGTCGCCCACAACACGACAGCGGTAGCCAAGCATGTACATGTTCGGCTCGCCGCAGCCTCTTGGGACCCAACCCCACGCACAGATGCATCCTTCCTCTGGGCAGGCGGGCAGATTAGGTACTTTGTAGGTTGCAAGTCGGCGCCAAGGTGTACTGTAAAGCGGACACGTTCGTTTCAACGAGATATAATGAGGGGAAATGAGTGGCGTACTGGTACAAAGCTGTGAAGACGACGAGGTTCTCTTTCGTCACTTGTGTCAGGTCAGAAACGTAGGAGATAGCGAAAATGGTCCCAGCCGCCATCGTCTCATTCTGCGTGTGAACTGGAAGGGGGACATTTAGCGTTTGGGATAGCAGGAATAATACAACAGATTGGCGCACTGTTGGGGTCCGAGATGCACGCGTCACCATCCGCCTTCCCGTCTAGCGTTACCCCTAGACCTGGGTGATCCTTCCCATCACCAAATGTCGCCGTGTTCGCCCCATTGTAGGAAAGCGTCGTGAAAGCTCGATTGACCGCGAGTTCAACCGTGAACTCGCCGTTCGCAGGTCTATGCACATAAACGAGATAAATTCCTGGCTAGTCAAAGGAGGAAGCGAGCGGCCATACAGTTCGAGAAAATCTCCTTTTGTGGGAGGGAACATGTCGCACTCATTAACGTGATGAAACCACCAATCCGACTCTTGAAGCTGGACGAAGACGAAATAAGGAAGGAAGACTCATGGAACTATCATCATACCTGGAACAAAGGCTGAACAGCGGCGTTGGTGTTACTGTCGTCCACACCAGGGGTGGTTCCATTAAGGCAGTACATGCCTGAATGCGGTCATGGTCAGCAAGACCGAAGGAGAGTGAGGATTAGAGACGCACCTTTGTGCCATGCAGCTACATGCCCGCTCACTCCAAGTGTGTTCCCTAAGAGAGCCACCGACACCCACATCATCGTCGGCCGCCTGAGTATCATGATGGTTATCCTGAAAGACGGTGCAGAGACGAATGGATCAAGGGGATTGATAATGCCGTGCGGGCAAAGTGTGGCTTGTCGGGTTGCTGTTTGCACGAAAGGCGCCTTGATAACGCAGGCGAGATGCTCTTCACCCTAGGTCGAGGTCCCCGTATTTAAGTCGTTCTGTGAGGAGTACATTCGCTTTTTCACCCGCTTTGGGTTCGGAGTGAAGGTGGAGTTGGCTCTTCAGACTGAAGAGATATACTGGAGGACGCCAGTGCCTGCACCAGTGCAGTCCGTCGTGACGTGGTGAAAGAAAGGGCTGCGGCCAACATTTCGTCACTTGATTTAGATCGTAATCGTCGGCTTTGTCAGTGCCGAGCATTTTCTTTGATACGGTGCCGCCGGCGCTTATATCCGGCGCTTGCCGATCAAACAATTCTGTCACTCACTGATTTCCATTAGATTGGCACAGACAAATTGTTCGATTATTCAGCACGTATGGTACACCCGACTGCTTCAATCCTCCTCCACTAGTCACTAATCAACTTTAACTGGGTCACTGACCATATGAAACAGTCTGCTATATAAATCTGATAAGTAGCTCGCCTGAAGTCCTGCTATAGACCCCTCTACCTCCCCATCCGACCGGTTTCGAAAAGACGCAGTCGAATTGATCGCTAACCTACGTACAGCTGGTACTGCTTGTTAATCATCGGGTCGCTTGACCATTAAAGTGTTGCAACTTCCATAGCTCAACATCCCTTCCTCAAAGTACTTCATCTGGGACTCTGTCTGAGCGGACGTACATCTTCGTCAAGTTCCGAAGGAGCCACATGCACACAATGGGGCAGGTGCATCGATATTAGAAGATGTTTCCCATGTATTAAAGGCTCGTTCGCTATTTCTCTGAACCCAGGCAGTGACCCACAAACTATTTCCGACCGCTTGCTACATAATCTGCTACAAATGCCACATGGGTACACCATCCTCCGACCATATCGTCTGCAATCTACCTGCCTCATCATCACTTGCATCGACCCAGCCCTCGAGATCAGCGCCTTCCAACAAACGAATATCAACTCGATCGCCAGCCCACTCCCCTTCCGTCAACTCCATGTCGCATGCCATTGCTGTTGAGGGATCTTCCGACCAACCAATCCTCGCCAGAAGAACGTTAATCAACCTTGGGGTGCTCCTCAACCCTGGCTGGATGTACCCCTCCTCCCCCGGTAAGACGAGGCTATGCTCTCCGCCGCCGTAGACGCGTGCGGGTAAACGATCGGAGCGCACATAAATCTTCTGTGACAGGTTCCGGAGTACCCAGACACGCTCCTGTGGGTATGCTTCTTCTTTGCTACCACCATAACTGAAAATGACTTTGTCGATACAGTGGGCCTCGTTGTAGAGCGTCGCGGGTGATTCTGCCTCCTCCACGCTTTCTGGCCACTCCTCGACCCAAGCGCCGAGGAGAATGATGCGGTCTCCCGCCCACGAGCCGGCAGGCGGCTTTCGCCTAGTCGTATTAAAATGCGCCGGCGTTTCGGTGGGGAGAGGGACGGCCGGCATGGCAAGCAGGTAAAGCAAGTCGTCAGTAAATGACCTTTCGAAGAAGAATTCGCCCATCTTCCCGAGACAGCGCTCCAGTTGTCTGGTGCTTGTCGAGGTTGATGAACTCCCAGAATTGCCCCATCGTGGACTTTGCTGGTAGGAAGGAACGGCGGTGCTGTTGGTGAGACACTGTCTGCCTCATTCATTTTATACTCTAGGCTTCTGACTCCCACAGAGAGGTGAGAACGGGAAATTTGCTGTGGGAACGTGAGAGCTTGTGAGAACGATTACGTTGGGAAGCTCATCCAACGAGTCACCCCACAGCGATTGGCTGAATGTCAGGACGTAAGTGATGTGAACTTAAAGGCCTAAATTAAAGAGGAGTTCGCAGCTGGTATATTTGAGTCATATCGCGATAAGAAAAAATACACGACGAAAAAAGTTTACAAGTACCCTTTCGCATCCTGGCGCCAGACATCATCCGCAGCGCGTTGTCCCGCCTTATTCCCCTCATCGCTTGCGAACTGGAAATGAACGCCAACGAACACGCGCGAGTCCCCGTTCTCCTTCACCGCCGTGCTCACATTCCTGTACGTGCGCGTTAACACCCCAATATTGTCCAACGTCACCGTGGAGCTCAGTGTAACGGGCGGGTCGATCGTGTCGGTCCCCAGGAAGTGCGCTATGATGCCGCCTGCGCTCGAGCCGTACACCGCGTGTCCCGAGAGGTAGTCCTGGTGCACCGGCGTAGTGACGAGCGGCTCCCAAGTGGGGTCGCTGAGGTCGGCGCCCCCAAAGAGGAACGGCTCGGTCCAGCGCAGAGCGGTGATGGGGCGCCAGGAGTTGTAGCGATGCTTCGCGTCGAATCCGATGGTGCCAGCGTTGGCGATCGCCCAGTTGAGCTGTGCGAAGAACTTTGCGGACTTGCTGATGTCGGCGCTGAGGGAGTTGCCGACAATCGCGCGCGCGAAGCGGTTCCAGTAAGTTATCGAGGATTCAAGCCAGTAATAACCGATCTGCAGGGTGTAGCCATGAGTTGATAGAACGAAGAACGATCATGGAGGGGAAACTTACCTCAGTTTCTTCAGCGGTGCGAGTACTGTTGACGCGAGCTCCTTTCTCTTTAATTCGCTGGAGGTGTGCGATATAACTCTCGCTGCGAACATCCGGAGGCGCAATCCAGACAGGCAACTGCTTGACGCCTCCAAATGGCTTGATGAATGGGCCATTCGGATCAGCTGGAATGCCGTTAGTCGGAGGCGTGCCCTGATAGACACCCGGCGCGGGAGCTTTGAAGTCGTAGCGAATGTACTTGAGCGAAGATCTATAAGTATTCAGATGCTTCTTGAGTTTGGAATAACTTACCTTTGCGACACCATCTCCAGCACGAGCGTCGACAGTCCTTGCGACAGCGCGTTCGCCTATTTCTCTGCCCCTCCTCGCTTCCTGTACCGAAGCTCGAATTTGGTCCTCCGCCTCCCGTAAATACGCGTCAATGTTGCGGTATTGCGCGGGGAATATTGTTGTCAGGATATCATGGGCGGCATGACTGAGAGCAAGTTGACGCGTGTTCCTCGACAAGCCTTGAGAGTCGTCGGAAGCCTTCAGGACGGTGGTTTGGACGAGCGCGCCGTAGTAACCTTCCCGTAGAGACGACAAACGAGGCGAGGACGCGTTCAGCGCGAAAGTCGCACGTTCATTCCTGTAGACGGGAAATGAGATTGAACAAACTTTCTGATAAATTACTACTCACCAAAATGCAACGATGTCTCCAGGGAAATCCGCAAGGACAAAGGGAAGCAACGACCCGAGAACAATAAGTGGGAATTTCATGCCTAGAAGTGGGCTCGAGAAATCAGGAGTCAGGACCACCTGAAGAATCAATGTTCCCTGAGTCAGAGATTTTTATATCAGTGTACTTCAGGATACTGCAATTTCGCGAAAGAATGAGGCCATTGTGTGGCATCCTCGAAGAACCAGGAATTGTTGATAGTCGTGCTATTAGCTGCTAGCGGCTTCGGGCGGCGGCGCTGTGGTTTGTTCTGCCGGACGATGTTGCAATTGGTGTTTTATATAGCGAACGCTTCGAGTTCGGCGACTTTTGGAAGAGGAGGATTTGTAACGCTATGCCCTTTCTTCTACCGCCAAATCGCAGACGTGATGTCGCTCAGGGACAAGCGTGTCCTCGTGTAAGTAGCATTACTCGTAGTCCACGACCCGTGAAGCCGTCCAGGTTTTGACCAGAGCCACCATGGAAGGAGCGATGAGACAAGTCGTTCAGTACGTTCAGTGCTGAGATAGTTTTTCTGCCAAGACCAGAACGTTCGTTGTGAATCGTATGGGCAAAATTCTTTCCAAATGACGCCTTCAGATCAGAAATGTCGTTCGCCCTTCGTGTGCCTGTGAATCAAATGGCAGCAGAGAAGGTTCACACTAACTGGACTTTAGCTGCAAGCTGGGAGGAACGGAAATGAAGTTACGAGGTCGGAAGAAACCCAGTATGCTTCAGTTTGTTCGTTCGGGTAACCGGCACACCGGGAGTATCCGCGGGACGATATTTGCTTTTTCTTGAACCACTATACATGCAGCATACCGACGCATTTCCTTGGGACATCCTCTGTTAAAAAACAAAGAACGTCGCATAACGCAACTCTTCACGCCAAGGTGCAAGGGCGGCCGTTATAAGGGTTCATGACGCTCTCCAAGATACCACAAGATGTAGCACGATATCCGGACCGCCTCAGGTGGGTCTTGGCATCTTCAAAGGTTTTTATGAGCACACCCCACTCAAAACTATATCACTCTGCACCGGAAGTCCAGGTTTGATGGAGGGACCTGTGACTACGTTTGCCACACCCTTTCTCCCTTCTGCCCAGGAGTATCGCTGCTCCCTCTCCTCCTCGTCCGTCTTACCTGTGCTATCGCATGGGCAATAAGAGGGCTTTTTCTTGTGTTATCTAGCTCTTCCTGCACTGAACGCATGGATATTTTTGTCCCAAGAACTCCTTTCCATGCGGTCGGCTGCCCCTCATCGCTGACCTCGTGTTCCTCCGACATATGGGCGTCCTGCTTGCCAGCTTGGGTGCACTCTACTGTGGATAGCCTTTCCATGGTCGTCTATGTCGCGATTATTAGTGATTATGGTCAACATCTCATGTCTCTCTCCAGCCCAGAGAGCTTCCGTTCGTGGACGCGTATATAACCAGTGCCTCTCGTCACGGCGCCCAGCGTGTTGGCTTGACCAAGGCTCATCGCACCTCGTCTTATCTGGTTCGCTGTCGACGACATGAAGCTCACCCGTGCCTTCGCGCTGCTTGCGGCTGTCCTGCCAGCGCTCGCCCTCCCGGTTCACGACAACAGCTTCCCTTACATCGGCGTCAAGGTCCTGCGCATTCCGACTGGCAATACCACGGCTGCCATCGATGATATCGTCGCTCAGTTCGACCTCAGCTCGTGGACGGCTGTCTCTCGGCCCAATTCTCACATCGACGTTGAGGTTCCCAAGGACAAGTTCGCAGCTTTCACGAAGGCAGCCAAGACCATCCTGAACCAAGAAGGCATAACCTACCCGATCGAGACGATGCACGAAGATCTCGCAGCCAGTATCAGGAAGGAGAGCGAGTACCTACTTGCCTCAAGCAAGAAGGTCGCAAGCTTAGATGTCGAGGGTGAAGCAGCTCTAGGTACTTCTAACCTTCATCTTCGTGAGGCTGTACCCTAATCCAACTTCAGTCGGACTCGCCAACCAAGCATGGTTCAATTCTTACCACTCCTACGCCGACCATCTAACCTTCCTCGATGACCTGGTTGCCACTTTCCCTAATAACGCGAGAATTGTGAGCTCTGGAACTTCCGTTGGCGGTCGCGACATCAAGGGCATCAACATCTTCGGCTCGAGCGGCTCTGGAGCAAAACCTGCTGTCATCTGGCATGGTACTGTTCACGCTCGTGAATGGATCTCTTCAATGGTGTGTACCTTTTTCACTTTGCAGCGTGCTTACAGGGCTTATCTTTTTTCCAGACGAATGAATATCTTGCGTACAGCCTTCTGAATAACTACGCAAACTCGACCGAGGTCAAGTCGTATGTCGACAACTACGATTTCTATATCTTCCCTGTCGTCAATCCCGATGGTATGTGATACTACGCTCTCTAGTGAGACTTTGGGGAGTCATCTTCTGGATAGGCTTCGTCTACAGCCAAACAACCACACGTCTCTGGCGAAAGAATAGGCAAAGTCCACCCTCTGGCAGCACTTGCTTCGGAAGAGATATAAACCGGTATGTATTCCCTTTATCCCCCTTCGTCGAGTCAAATTCTGAATGCCTGCTTACAGAAACTGGAACATTGGATGGGCCCAGACGAACGGCGCCTCGACTAACCCTTGTTCTGAGACGTTCAAGGTACTATACTTCGCTCTACTAACGCTCCATTTACACTTGCTGATAATTTTGGGATCAGGGACTCGCCGCTCATGATGCCCGCGAAACCCAGGGTCTCTCTGCATTCCTGAACGCGAGGGCACGCTCACCCGCCGGCGCGAAGCTCTACATCGACTGGCACTCATACAGCCAGTTGTTCATGCACCGTGAGTTTCTGTTCTTTTTGACCCCGACGCGGAGGTTTGATCATGTCGTACCCAGCGTACGGCTATTCGTGCACCAAAGTCGCCCCAGACAACACCGAGCTCGGCCAACTGGGTGCAGGTTTCAGCAACGCCCTTCGCGCCGTCTACGGTACGCGCTTCACCACCGGCCCCAGTTGCACTACAATCTATCCCGCCACCGGCGTCTCTGTCGATTACGCCTATGATGTCTCGTACGTATCTCTTGGAAATTCCTTCCTTTTCGCTCTTTAATCACCGATGGCTTGTAGGGGAATTAAATATGCCTACACCGCGGAGTTACGCGACACAGGCGCGAATGGGTTCGTCTTACCTGCGTCCCAGATCCGACCCTCAGGCGAAGAGGTCTGGGCGGGCGTGAAGTACTTGCTGGCGAACTTGAGGTAATGAGAAAACGACGATTGTTTTTAGGTAAATTCCCTGTAACGAACTTCGACGAGTTGGTAGAAGTAAATCTCAAGGCTCCAGTGATCGTGCCCCGTTCGAACTTCGAAGGTCTGCACCTTCGTTCATTCAACGAATCCTCGGCCGTTCTTTTTTTTATCGAAGAAGCTTCCGCGCCGTGCCAAGGATAGCTTGGAGTCAAATGTCGAGGTCAAACGGTCATGGCAGGTGCCCAGCACCCCACACGACACAACTCCCTTGCTCGACTCAAAATCAGTCTTGGGAGGCTTATTTTTACTCTCTCAAGTAGAGGTGGGCAGCATATCGGCGCGGCACTTAACGGCTTATCGTCCTTGTGATGAAGAGTTCTGGGTCGAGAAAATGAAGGCGATTTTTCGGCTTTTCCTGGCGTCCGAACCTTGCATTTGACGCCTCCGAGGGGCTGCGATTCAGACTTCACTTATCCATGTTCAAACGTTCGAGATGCTGGCATTGCACTCCCGAAACTCCTTATCTTCCAACTTATTTGGGATATAGTCCGCTCGACTTGATCGACCGCAATATCCGGATATTGGGCGGCAATTTGCGTCGATAAGAGGAGCCCAGATTGGCAGTAGATTGGCGACGCTTCTTTCGCTTCCCCGCTCTCAGCCTTATGCATATGGCCAACATGCACTGGCACAATTCTCGAGAGCCACTCACGCATCATGGCTAACAAGAGGGCGTTTCGTGCGTTATCTGACTACTCCAGCACTGAGCATACCAGCGCATGGAAATCTTATCCAAGAAGTCCTTTCCATGCGGTCGGGAGACCCTCATCGCTGGCCTCGTGTTCTTCGCCGTATGGACTTCTTCCTCGCCAGTTGTTATACAATCTCTACTACGGGGCCGGGGTCACTTCTATCTGTTGATCTTGTGCGAATAATATTGGGTTTGCATGCGCTTCTCGTCATCCTCGCCGTCCGGATCTCTCGCCAGCAAAACCTATATATTCCATGTTTCTCGTTCTTGAACGGTGCTTTTGCGTCGATTTGACCAAGGTACATCCGGCACAGGACTTCTTCTGCTAGGCCCCTGTTGAAGACATGAGGTTCTCTGGCGCCTTCGCACTGCTCGCGGCCGTCCTGCCCGTGCTCGCCCTCCCCGTTCACGACAACAGTTTCCCCTACATCGGCGTGAAGGTCTTGCGCATCCCTACTGGCAACACCACGACGGCCCTCGATGACCTAGTCTCTCAGTTCGACCTCAGCTCATGGACGTCTGTCTCACGCCCCAACTCGCACATCGACGTTGAGGTACCCAAGGCGAAGCTCAATGCTTTCACGACTGCCGCTCAGGCGATCCTCGACCAGGACGGCATCGCCAATTCGATCGAGACGATGCACGAAGACCTTGCAGCCAGCATCAGAAAGGAGAGCGAGAGCATGATCGCCGCTGCGAGCAAGAAGGTCGCCAGTGACGACGCTGAGGCTCTCGGTACGTTGAGCTACAATTTTTGATGCGTAACCGTGCTGACACTGGGTGTAGTTGGATTGGCGAACCAAGCGTGGTTCAACGCGTACCACTCGTATGCTGACCATCTGACCTTCCTTGATGATTTGGTTGCGACCTTCCCCAATAATGCCAAGATCGTGAGCTCTGGCACCTCCATCGGAGGCCGCGACATCAAAGGAATCAACATCTTCGGCTCGAGTGGCTCTGGCACAAGGCCTGCTATCATTTGGCATGGCACCGTTCACGCTCGGGAATGGATCACGTCTATGGTTCGTCGATACAACCCACTGAAGTGGTAACATCCATTCCGAATGATCATGCTTTAGACAACGGAATACCTGGCGTACAGTCTCCTCAACAACTACGCCAATTCCACGGAGGTCAAGTCATACGTCGACAAATACGATTTCTATATTTTCCCCGTTGTCAACCCCGATGGTGCGTGATGACCTTCTTCCTGGAAAATGCCCGGCTGAAACTCGCTTGAAGGCTTTGTCTACACTCAGACCACCACGCGTCTCTGGCGTAAGAACAGGCAAGCTCCTCCCTCTGGTAGCACCTGCTATGGTAGGGACATCAACCGGTACGGAATTCTCTGAAAATCTTGCGTGGGCGAAATACTGAAGTGGAAATGTCAGTAACTGGAACGTCGCCTGGTCTCAAACGAATGGTGCCTCGACGAACCCCTGCTCAGAGACATTCAAAGTTTGTCCTCTCATATTTATATCAATCTATTACGCACTGATGTTATGATCTCAGGGCCTTGCCCCTCTAGATGCCCGCGAGACCCAAAGCCTTGCCGACTTCATAAACGCCAAAGCAAACTCCGCCGTTGGCGCGAAGATGTTCCTCGACTGGCACTCTTACAGTCAGCTCTTCATGTATCGTGAGTTTCCTCCCTTCTCTTCATTCTTCGTCATAAAATTTTTCATTCTCGCTCGCCCCAGCGTACGGCTATTCTTGCACAAGGCTCTCTGCGGACAACACGGAGTTCGGGCAGCTCGCCTCCGGTTTCACCACAGCCCTCCGCGCTGTGCACGGGACGCGTTTCACCTCGGGCCCGATCTGTACTACTATCTACGCCACCACCGGGTCCTCCGTCGATTATGCCTATGATGTTTCGTACGTTCTTCTCATTGTTCGCATTGGATTTGCTGGCTGACTGGCGCTTGATGACCTGTACAGTAAAATTAAATATTCCCTCACGGTCGAGCTTCGCGACACAGGAGCGAACGGATTCGTCCTTCCCGCCAACCAGATCCGTCCCTCAGGCGAGGAGGTTTGGGCTGGCGTCAAGTCCTTGTTGGCAAACATGATATAAATTTGATTATGAAGAGCGACGACTGAGAAGTACATCGATAGTGATGTAAGTAGTGTATGCTGTGAATGTGCTTCTAGATACATATATGATATGAAGGGAATCATGATGGCGATATCCTAACTAACTTACGAGGTGATGGACTTAGCACTACCGCTGTCTATAGGAGAAGGCAAGGGGATAGAACCTGCTCCAAAATCCGTAGCGATAGGTCCTGTCCGCAACCACCCTCATATAATGTCTATTGGAGGCACTTGTGGCGCAATATTGACTGAAATAAGCAGAACTATTTGGGAGTCGATCGAACCTGCGTGTAGCCTATAATATGTAGGCAACAGCATGCGCACTAAAGACGAAGACGAAGACGAATAGCAATAGAAATAGCAAGAAAATAGCAAGCGAGGAACGAGCGGTCGAGTTGAATGATATGGTACACCAAGGAAGAGAGCGATATGGCTATGGACATGGAAATGCGAAGTACGTAGGTGAGATGCTGCGATAGAAGTAGTTAGTCGGTAGTCAAGAAAAGCCCAAAACAAGATAGGCTGAGGTGGAGTGAATATACAAAGGTTAGGATATGTACACTGGTAGTATGAATGAGTGAATGGAAGGGCAATGAGAAATGACAGTACTTGATATCGATAGCCAAGGGAGAAACCGACGAGGATAGAATGCGCATGAATGAAATAAATAGATGGTGGGCAGATTGAGATAGTGGGTTGTTGGATGAAGTAATGAGCGATGCTGGACGTTGACTGTAGAAGAAATAGACGAGAGTGGGACAAGAACTGGAACTGGTATACACTGAATGGCTACAATGACAGAAAGAGGAAAAGAGAGCGAAAGATGGCGTCGACCATGACAATGACCAAAATAAGCAAAAAAGTGAGGAAATCGGAGACGGATGAAATGACAGAAGGAACGGAAACCAAGATGATTATAAGGTCACCGCATACCGACACACGGCATGCGATGCTTGTTGTTAGCCGCCACCATGCATCCTTCTGAGCTCCTCCTGGAAGTCTAGCACCCTCGGTACGGGGTTTGGGCCAACATCGAGGCCCATTTCGGCCCCAGCGCGGTACTCCAACCTATCCCAGTCGGTCGACGTCGTAGGCAACCCAGGGTGATGGAGCTGAGGACGCTGCATAGTGCCTTGAGCAGGATCTGCACCCCATATTCCTCCAGTGTCGTGGTGGGCTGTGTACCAAGGAGAAGGAGACGTCGGCGACGCGACCATGGAGGTATGGGCGCTTGACGTTTCAGGCCACGACCTCATGCTCGACGACGGTGGCAGGTGCAGGTGATGTTGACCATGGAATTTATAGTCGTCGTCTCCTGCCCACCCCGTCAGCGTCGAGAAACTTGACGAAGGTAGTGGTAAGGTGGGAGGCGACATTGACGGAGGTGGCGCTGGCTGCATCGTTGAGTAGTAATAACTCCCATTTGAAGGCGACAAGGGCGAAAGGTGGAGCGTTGGCGGCGATACTCCTCCCACCGTCTCAGTCGCGTGCGCCACACTGGCATTAGCGCCGGCGTTAGTCGCACAATTCGTCCCACAGCCGTCCTCCTTATATGGGTCCTCAATAACCGTGACGAGCCCCTGCTTGCCCGCTGCCGTCGACGACGCTGAGAGGTCTGTCCACTCGACGGGCTGGCCAAAGTCCTGAGGAGAGTCGACGGCGCCGTATTGCTACAGGTGGGATTGATGGGTTAGTCAGCGTTACATAATTGGACTGCAAAAAAGCTAACCTGGATGTATGCGCGGTCGAACTGGGTCTCTCCTGCCTCATACCCTTCGCCCCAGGTGGTCTGTGCGTCGAGCGATGACGTCCGCAATGACGGCCACCACGAGTCCGTCGTTGGCGTCGGTGGCGGTGGCTGTTGATGTGCGTGGGCTGGTCCGTCCACTTGCATCTCGTCGAGCCCGAGGCGGCGTTGTTGCTCTGCCTCCGCCCAGGTGAGTTGATGCCGTTGCTGGTGCTGAGGCTGAGTTTGCTGATGATGTGACGTCGAGGGAGGAGGGGTTTGTATATGCGGCGAGCCATGCATATGTGGAGTCCCAAACGGACTGGCGCCATGTGTTGGGGAGCTGGACGCCATCGTTGGCTGCGAGTGCGTATGAGGGTGCGGAGGGAACGCGGCGATCGAATCACGACGTATATGCGCCTGGCCTGGCCTACCATGCCCGTGCTGAGCATGAAGCGGTACGTGCGTCTGGCTGTGTGTCCTCGCATGCCCGCTATGCGGTCGATGACTCTGTGCAGGCAATGTTGGTGGGTCGAAGGTACCCCATGTTCCCGGACTAGGTTCAGCCGCTGCTGAAACGGGGGAGAAGTCCTCACTGCTTGAGGGCGTCGAGGTAGGTGGCGTCGACGACTCGTCCGAAGGCTGCGACGGGTACGTATGGGAGAGGCGCGGGCGCTTGTTCGGTGCCGGCGCCGATAACGAGCGCTTAAACATATGGGTAAGTGGCACACCGGATGACAGGCCCGGTGTTGGGTGCGTATTCTGTTGAAGATTCGCGTCTTGGTTTACGATTTGGGTTGAACTTGATCTTGGACTGGGTTGTGGTGTTGTGATTATATGTGTGTTTGCGGGTGGGGCTGGAAGAGGATTAGGTTGCGAATGCGAGTGCGAAGGAGAATTCGACATTGGAGAGGAAAGGAGTGATATTGGGCTTTTGACGAGAGGACTGCCGGAGGTGATATTATTATTAGAATTACTTTCTGAAGCGCCAGGCTTGCTGATGGACGTCTCTAGGGCTACAGGTGTGAGCGGCGTGGGGCGTGGGTGAGTGGGTTGTGGATACGGGTTGGTATGTGTGGGCGTTGTGCCGCTAGAACCTGACGACGCTGCGGCAGGTGTTGACGGGGGTCTACTTGGAGACAAGGGCGTCGTCGAAGGTGCAGGCGCGGCGACGGGAGAAACGACGGCCACCACACCTGATCTTGATCGGGCGTGGCTGACCCGACTTCTCGCCTTTGCGGTCTTGCTGTCCTTCGCGCTCAGCTTCAGAGGCATCTTTCGATCCCCTTCCCACTGTTGGACAGCCACCTCCAGCTCCTTGCCCTTGAGGCCCTCCGCGACAAACCCCGCGATTTTCGCGCAGCGCGTCTCCTCCAACGACTGCAGTCGGCTCGTCTTCGCCTTCGCCTTGCTTTTTCCCTTATCCTTTGCCTTGCCTTTCCCTTTCCCACTTGGCGGCGCATAATCGTCGCCATCACCTTCGCCTTCTCCATCAGCGTCGACTTCCTCATCACCGTCCCCGCTCGCGCCTTCTGCGTGACCCTGGCCCTTCTCTTTCGTCCGCGTCTGTCGCACGCTGTTCCTCCTGCGGGAAGAACCACTTCCACTGCCGTGAGTACTACCGCTTGCACCATCGACACTCGAGGTGTTCGTGTTGTTGCTCTTGTTGAGCTTAGCGAGGGCATTGGCGCCAGGTCGGAAGCGCCAGTCAGGGTACTGAGCTCGGTGCTCCGCTTGTGCGACGATGGCACGCGCTTCCCACTTCTCGCGCTCTTCTGGAGGGAGCTGCTTCCAACATAGACCTGTATAGCCAATACCACAAAGAAAATGGGGAATGGGGGAGAAGGTAAAGTTAGTGTGGCGTCCAAATAAAATCAAACCAAAAACCACAAGGTAAAGGGGGGAAAGAGACCCACCAATGATCTTGGAGAGCTTGCTGTGGTTTCCTTCCACCTTTCCAGGGACGTTCTGCTCGCGAATGAACGCAGAACGGAAAAGAATGAACGCGTTTGGGGGACGGGGGATATACGACGGGTCGCGCCGCTTGCTGTGGGTTCTCCCACCAGTTGACGTCGATGCACCTGGCGGGGGAACTGATGGGAAGGTCGTCGGGATTGATGTCGATGTTGATGGCAGGGTTTGGGCAGATGTGGAGGGTCCTGCGACGGGCATGGCAAATTCTGCGTGGGTTTGCGACGTGTTGGCCTCGGCATGTGAATATGGGGGTGAGACCAGCTCCTCGAGGGGTGTACTAGGCGAGTCTGACGCCGGGGGACTCGACACGGACACATGGAGCAGCGAAGACGGCACAGTACTGGGATTGGGGTTCACGTTCACGTGGGGCTGCGACGAGGGCGATGGTAACGTCATGGACGGCGATGAGGACGATGCAGACGATGGGTCTGCAAAGTCGAGCGGCGTCATCTCGGAGAAGAACGTGTAGGTGAGTGGGGTGGGTGCCGTGTCCATTGTGCTGCTCCCCGCGTTCTTGCTCGCGTGGGATGCCGGGGCGTGTGGGGGGTTCAGGCTCGTCCTGCGTGTGCGTGTGCGTGCCGGGGATGGGGCTGGGGGGGACGCAGCAGCAGCAGCAGCGCCAGAGGGGGGTGGGTTGTTCGTTGTGGTGGTGGCCGGCGGAGGCATGTCTGTGCAACGTGTTAGGCGCGTGAACGCTTGTTGCTGGGGGCGATAGCGGGTCCAGCAGCTAGGTCGGCTTAGTACGCACCGTCCTCCTCCTGCAGGCCATCCTGCCGCATCTGCAGCTGCGAGGTTGATGGTGGCGGTCCGCCTCTAAGGGGTCTTGCTTGGGCGTGTGCTGCCCCTGCGACCGATGATGAATGTGATGATGGGTGTACAAACAACACAATCTCACCCTCAATCGCGCTTGCACTCGAATCTTTTCGTGGCTTTGTACTCCGCCCCGCCTTCGCTCTCGGAGTCGGATTATTCGATCTGGTGCTCGGGGGAGGGCGTTGGGGGAAAAAGACGTCGACGGGGCTAGTGCGCATCGCATGCCCAATTGTTCCTTCTAAAGCTCTTTTCCTTTATGCCGCCCTTGGTCCCCACCGATTGCTAAAGTCAGGCCGAAGTGATGGCTGGCACACAGGTGGGTAGGTAACTGGAGATTCGGTGGGCCTGCTGGTTTTTCTTTGATAATCTTTCGAGATTCTGGGAATTCTCAGCAGGCCGTGGACGGACCTGGAAGGGGGCCACCGGCGGACGGGGATGCATCTAGCTCGTGCGCCGCTGAAACCTGATTCAGATCCACCTGATAGGCAGGCGAGACACCCTTCTCAGGCCGCTGGAGCCTGGTGCCTCGCGACTTGGTTGGCTTATTCTGAATCGAGCAAAGTTCTCAACCATGATGCACTTTTTGCGTGTGCGGCACGCACGGGTACCTGCTGGCCAGCTGCCCTGCAGCGCGATTTACCCTCAAACTCCTTCCTCACTTTCGGGTTCGCGCGTGGTATCTTGAACAGATGTCGGATAAACGACAACTTCTGGCAACATGTCCGACGTCGAACGATTACGGACTTTTCATCATCGATGGCACTGTGTCGTGAGGCGCGGGGCGAGAAGTGAAAAGACAATAAGGATGCCTGGGAAAGGAATTTCGTCTCCAGTGGCGAGTATCCTGGAAGCCATCCAGAGAGTCATCAGACGTCTTCTCTGCATCCGACCGGATGTGAAACCCTTTCCACTGGAATTCTTGAGGTCATCCCACTGGCAGTTACCGCCAACTATGGAACCAGCGTACCTCCGAACCAACTCATTGGGCAGCACCTCCCCGTGTCATATCGATTTCATCTGGGCACAGCGGATTATCCCTGCTTTTTCTTTTCTTATCCGGCGTTGTCCGTGACCAATCCCCATATCTATCCGCATCCGCCCCGCCCATGGACGCTGGGCAGCCGCAAGAGGAGAAGCTGCTTATCTGGGGCCGTTCCTCCTATCCTCGGATAGGAATTGCCCATGATCATTGATCACATCGACATCCATCCATCGCATCGCACAAATGCACGACCTCGACGTACGTATACGTACGTGCAGTTCTGGATCGAAACCAGCTTGTTGGCGCCTGCTGGGCTATTACGACGGGCCTACGTACGGTGGACGCGTCTGACTTGTCTACTCTATATGCGCTGATCCGAGCAAGAAGAAAGGGCAGGGAAAGGGCATACGTTGGCCTGCTTACGAGGAATTTAGGACTTTCCTCCTCCTGAAGTGGGTCTGTGGGTGACCCGGCGACTGTTGCGCCACTGGGCGCTGACTTGGAGCTTGAGACGGCGCACACAACAGTCGGGACACCGACAACACGTGCAACGCCATAGAACCCACCTGTATTTCGTTGGAAACGCCAGGCTCTCAGCAGCGGTGGTCCCTGTCTTGCCGTGCGACGATACTCAGGGACTTGCCTTTCTGCGCTCATCTCCCATGAAATGTCAAAGCAGTTCAATTGTTTGTTTTCCCTTCACCGATTCGACTGCGGGGGCATGTAACTCTGTGTACGTCATCGCTTCGAATTCGAATTTATCCGCACTTGTTCTCCTCCCATACGGATAGGGGCTATTGGTATTACTGGGTGGAAACATTTCTGCGACTAACTATATGGCTTTCCCAGAGGTCTGAGGTAAGAATATCATATTTAATTCCCACTCCAGCGTAACAGGTTCGCTGATGCGGACTTTCACTTGTGTCAGGAAGGAGGATACGGAGACCCACAGTGACGGCAGAGAAGGAATTATTTTTTGCCTGGGCGGGCGTCGGTCTAGTCGAATTCGAAGGGGTAAGTGTGCGAATCTTTATCTCTGCGACAACCTCCCAAGTCCCGTTGTCTACCTATATATTATCGACACAGGGGATAAGTATGATCGAGCGCGGTGATTTCATACGACATCACCGAGCGAGAGGGAACCTACGGCTAGTCGCAGCGCCCGTTTGATCTATACCCTTGCTCATAAGGGACAGACCGACCCAGCTCGTGCAGAAAAGCATTCCGCCCGACAATCGCTGGAGTCTTCTAGGATGTTTTACTCCCGCTGCCCCTTTGACAAGATTACTCGGCGGCAGCTCTAGACCCGGGGTTGACACTCGATAACTCCTTGTCGAAAAGTCTCCTCAAACTTACCCCAACGTCAAAGACCCAGTCTCCATGGGGGTGGCTAATTAGACGTTCTAGTCAACGTCAATGGTGGCGGTGGTCAAGGCAAAGTGAAGGCACAAAGCGAACGTACAGAAAAAGACTGCTTTTTTCACATCGTTGGCTTCCCAAGCGTTCCCACCGCGCCTGGACGGGCGGCGCCACAATGGCGAAACGGTGATGGATGATCCATGGTCCATGACCCATGATATCTGCATGGATCCTTTTCATCACCTTCTCATTTCACCATCCCAGCTGACGAGCATCGAAGCTGACACTACACTCGAAATTCATCATATTTTCAACTGAGACGTCCATCCGATTCGCCATTAATTAATAACCACTTTCCAGAACGAAGGCATTAAATTCGTATTAGGGTCACTTCTAGGGTCAGTGACCAAGTGGCAAGATTGATAATATGGAGGGTCTTATTTTTCTTCCATGAAGTCATTCACACACGTCGACGAACCCTGATGGTTAGCTTGACGTTTCGATAGTGGTGGCACTAAGAAGAAGACTGACACGACAACCTCCCCACGCTGATTTCGGACGCCGAATGGGTTCCACGGGCGGTTAGACTTGGACCACGGCAATGGACAACAGGCCGCGGTAAGTGGTGTATAGATAGGGCAGATCTTCAAGAACTCTCCGTGTCGTCGAGGTAACTTCCCAGGAGGATTCCGCAGGCACACATGGGTATCACGGCCGCATGAGACCTTCTTGAACCATTTACCGTTGGTTCTGCTTTTTCTGAGGTCGTTGACGACCAGTTCCACCATGCCTCCACCTCTTCGAAAGGCCATCAGCATGTGTTTCAGGCGAGTGACAGAAATAGCGAAAGAGCATCATCCACATTCGCGCCCTACTTGCATCATCGTCAAAAGTTGAAGCAGTTTATGTTATGAAAAGACCAACTGGTCAGAGAACCTGAATGCAAAGTCTTTTAACAAACGCCTTGACCATCAATATCAGCTTCGGTTCCTCCGAGAAATCAAGGTCGACAGAATATAGCAGAGATAAACTCCGGGGAGTAGAATCGCCACCAATTCATTGGTTAGAATTAGGTTTTCACTTGACGACGGCCGGCGGAGCGAATGCAGCGAAAGTGTGGCGCTTGTTCTGGATTTCTCCTAAAAAGGAACCCGATACTCAACTGTGATATTTGCCTGAGTATTGCTGAAACAGCTCTTCTTCTTCGCAGAGACCACTTGTATAGATCTCTTCCGTATCTGATACTGAGCTGCAGCCATAGCAATTCTTTTCCGGTAAATAGTCAATGCCGTACTCATGAACTCGGCCCGTAGTGATGATCAGCGTGAAATGTCCTTCCTTTCTATCGATAATGGGACGTGGAGGAAATTTCTTACAACTACATATTCTGCGAAGAGGTTCTGACCAACGACTTGAGAGCTGTGCAAGTGCTAGTGCTCAAGATTCTCGCATTGGGTATCTGTAACTCAGCCTATCGGATATCCGATATCAGGGGAAGAGAAGACGACAACGAGGCGCCAACACAAAGGTTAAAGCGCAGAGTGCAGGGGATCACCCGAGAGATCGCAGAGCCCGACTTAGAACACCTTGAGGCCCGAAGTGAGTTAGAAGCCCTCCTGAATTCTGCGGTACTTCAGAAGAGGAAGCAACTCGCGCATTATCTTATTCCCCGCAAACGTTAACACGTTCAGCTGCCTGGATCCAGTCCGCCGCCGCCGGGTCGTCGCGACATTTGAAAATAGAAGCCTGACGGAATTTCGAACAATTTATAAGGGATAAAAAGTCCGTGTGGCGGCAGGGCTCGTTGATGCATGACCACGAATGGTAACGGTGTACACATGGGACAGGTCTTGTCGCACACTTCAGACGCTCAGCAGTTCAGGATGGATAGAGCGGTCCAATAAGCGATAAACCCCCGGCCCGGAGAGACGACGATGACCTAGAAAGTCAGGAAAATCACCGATCTATTCAGTTTCATAGTTCCAGTGCCCCACATGAACACCTGTTAGACATCCTTCGAGATGTTTTTGTTATATGTGCCACATTCAGATAACGACGGATGGAATCAATCATCTGAGAAGTCACCTCGTTCAAAATACTTCATGAAAGGGAAGGCCGAACGAGGAATACATGACAGAGCCTTGGTGGTCCCATCATCTCCTCATGGGGTGATTGACATCGCCGCTTTAACGATGAGACCACTCTGGACACGGGAGAAGTCAGCACGAGATCGTTTTTAATGTCCTTTCATAGATGCGGGCTTTCAAACATGAGCCACTCTTGCCATATCGCCGCCCTTAAACCGTACAGCGCATGCCCTGCAGTGACGGTGGGCGATAGAGTAATGATCATCGTGACCTTCTCGGCACCGTTGTCTGTACATACCCATTTGGCTCAGGGCCCAGTATCAGGGCAATGTATGTAGGCTGGGCTAAACGTGGAATTGGAAAGGCGAGTCGACGGCGCGGCGGCGTCGAGTTTTCAATATTTCGGAGAATGATCTTGATTTGACATAAAAAAGGGGACACAGTCGTTGCTACCCATATCAAATGTGCAGGTAATTCTCGTGCACCACCTGGAGTGACATTGGGAATGGACCCAAATTGAACCTCGGAAACCCCCTCCTACTTGTTGTCGTTAGTCATTGTCGTCCGGAGCAAACTTGACTTTCGCCGCAGCACTCCTGTAGTAAAGCATGTTAGAAGTACATTTTACGAAGTGTTCGATGAAACAGACCGTTTTTCCTGGCCCTAGAAACAACAGGCATTAATACTACTGAACTTCGTTGCCCGAATATGAAGGCTACGTACTTGATCATCTTTCCATACTACTAAGGCTTTGAACTCGGTTAATCCGAATAAGAGAGCGATGTCGAAGTCGATCCGGTAGTACTCATTTTCTGCCCCGTCATCCATGATTGAACGCTGGGGCTTTAGGGTGGCGCAGAGCTCCTTCAAATCTGCTTCGATTGTACACATAGAAGTAAACATTTCTTTGGTGATTGGATGTCAGGGAAGAGCTGCCAAACAACTAACCAGCTACGCACCCGGTTCCCTCTCGATCCACTTTGGGCATTTCTCCGTACCCCGGTAGCACATAACTGACGCTTCCATTGTATGGAGGTCAGAGAGCTGCTTTCTGACGCGACCAAAGCTTCGGCGGAATTCTCTTGTCTCTGCAACCTGGGTGTCCTGTATCCCGATCTTAGTTTAGGGTTCATCTCTGACTATCAGAGCAACTAACCCGCGGTAGTATGACATCGAATGCGCCAGGAATGTACCATTTACCGGATGCGTTTTGGTATTTCGATGATTCGCGTTTCTTGTGATCTACATTGCTTGGATCGAATGGGACGTTGCAAGGTATACCGTAGGTATATTTGGAGACTCGTGTCGTCACTCGGTGATCCAGATAGTAGGAAACGGCGCCATGAGCCACCGCCTTATTGCTGAATTTAAAAGCCAGAAAATGAATTGGGCTGCCCTTTCCAAAGAAGAGCCACGACTTACATATGACTATCAGGACGAGAAAGGTCGAACCCGTATAGTTCGAATCTTTCTTTCAGATTGTTGAACAGGTAGTCACTCGCTGCGAAACCGCCAACAAGGAATAAGGACTAGATGCGATCAGAACTGGCAATGATAGAATATTGAAATACAAGGCGCACCGAGATTTCGGTCTGGCATGCGAGAGTCTGTTCATCAACCGACTGCACGATATCATCGACGGACGGGTCAAAGAAAGAAGCAACATCAGATCTAAAATGGCTCATTAGTGTCCTTCGAGGAACGAGACGAATATGAGCCTCCACATACCCTTTGATACGAAGTTGTCCTGACCGAACGTTGAGGGTTGGTTCCTTTTCACGAGCGCCGGTGAATTGGATAAAGTAGTCATCTTCACTCGTGCGAAAGGCGGGTTTGGTCTTCTTGTCGAAGCGCTCTGATATCACGTCTATGTCTTCCTCGAAACGAGTTCCTTTCAGAAGACCTTCAAGCGAAACTTTGAGTTCCTGATTCCTGACAACTAATGCATGCACTTACCCTCGAAAAAGAGTCGCGCTCGACTTGTCACGAATACAGAGCCGCTGTAGATGCCTGAGATATTGGCATCAGACTTGATCGGCTGAGGCGTCCGAAGGGGCACTTACATGCTGCAGCTGCGACCTCCTGGAACGCGTCGCCGACTTGAGCGTATGAGCTGAAGTCGATGGTCCCGCCACCAGCATCCACGATCATGACACCTTTTCCTTCCTAGAAATGGAGAATAAATCACATTCCGAAGTCATTTCCAACTTGATAGCGAAGGAGTTGGACGAACCTTCATCGCCTCCGTCGTCAGCCCACTCTGAATGCAGTAGTGAAGACTAGCTTCTCCTTCTGTGACAAGGGAAACGCGAGCCTGGGCAGCCGCCTCATCGGGTACAAGCCCTGCTAGCACCGCGGCCTCGCGCATCATAGCTTGCTGCGGTCCTTCGTAGCTGTTCGGATGCGTCAAGACGAAATGGATCTCGTCCTCGAAGCTCTCCCAGATGGCCTTTCCGCTCGCATGGGTCTCTTGGATGTACGTCTCCGTGCAGGAGAAAATGTAGCGTAGAAAGTCGGCGAAGACCTCGACTACAGATTTAGCGAGCGGCAGAGGCGGGATTTTGTGTAGCTCATTAGGCGCTTGGGTAGCGCTTGGTCTCATGTAGACTTTGAACCTGAGGATAAAAGGCATGAGACTTTGATTTTTTCGGAAGGGCGATAGACGCCTACCATTCAGATTTGATCCACTGTTCCTCCTCGGCCTGCAACTCAATGCCGTCTCGAGTGGCTTCGGCGCCAGCAGCTTGTACCACGCCGGCTTGATCATACCAGAGAACGGTCGGTATCTTCAAGTCCCCACCGACATGTTCTTGTGCAGGGTATCTGATTCAGGGATCTAGTTCGACGATGAATCAGACGAATTTGACGAACAAACCTGTTTACACCTCTGATCTCGGGTATTTGACCAGGATCGAGGATGCTGAATGAGTGATTAGCTCTTGTTATGATCAGCCAACCCGAGCAACACAACATACCTGTAAGAAACTCCACTGTATGTCGTGCCGATGTCGATTGCAACGACGAGCTTGCGGTGAAGCCCTTCGAATGGTGTTATGGACATTCTACCAATTGTCAGGGGTGTTGGAAATGCAGAAGAACGTAGAGTTATTCGCCCCAACCCTATATAGACCAAGTGACGGAACGAGTTTGGACGCCTTGAATGCTATTCAAGATCCTCCATCGATAGTGCACGCCCCATCCACGTTGAAGACGCGTGTTCAAGACAACAAAGTTCTGAAATCTGACGCCCATGGAATGCTCAGAACGATTGATATTTGGCAACGTCAATCAAGCCAAGATGGGCGCCAAAGTCAAGAGGACTCTCCTGCGGAACGCCCGGTCGGCGCGTGCTCCTCGAGGACATTCAAATTCTGAGCACGAAGTGTTGAGGTGCTGAAGTGCTGCGCGTTGTCATCGATGACAGCGAGGTGCGCTCGCCTCGTGAAGGGCACAGCCGTTCCAGAGGTAGCAATTCAGAAAGCATCGTGTCACTGATAGCGATTTCTTACTCGAGTTTTGCTCCCGAAAACGTTGTGAACACGTTGTAAAGCTGTAGAATGGCGTTGTGATTAATCATCGCACACGATGAATTTTCAGTGAATCCCATACCCAGCGCAAATGACATGTCTTTCCTCTTTTCCCAGTTTCGGAGCTCGACAGCCGTCCCCCACATCGCCCACGTCCGCGCGCTGAATTCAAGAGAAGACAAGCAGGAAGACGAAGAAACGGGCATTTATCGAGCTACACCACTGAGGGTCTCGCCAAGTATGGGCTCCAATAGAGATATTTCAAGGACGCCAAGTCGCTCACACATCGACACGGAGAAGATGAACCGGAGTAGAGAGACAGAGTCTGCACTATCGTTACAGGAGGAGAACAGAAGGCTCAGAGCTGAGGTCGAGAGGCTGGGAGCCGTTGTGCGGGACCGAACGGGTTCCAAGGCAGAGGCGAGGGTACAAGAACTCGAGGAAGCGGATATGCAGAAGGAAATACGGATCCGGGCTTTGGAAAAAAAATGTTCGGCAGCTACAGCAGCTCCTCAACCAGCGAACCGCAGAGCTCAACGAAGCCCAGTCATACCTGAACAAGCTGGACGATCACCCGGGATCCACAATCTTGGAGATGGTAGAGGGACTAAACTCGGAGATTTTCAATGCGGCTACCAGCATCAACGATCTCTACGAACAATCTGGAAAGATGGACTTGATGGAAATGGGCGAGAAGCTGGAAGTGTTCAACCATGCAAGGATCGTGGCGAAGGCGGCTATTGGAGAGCAGCTCTACTCCGCTAACTGCCAGATCGACGAAGCGCTTGGATACGCCGACCCATCCAATCCCGAGGAGCCGCTTCCGTTGCAACTCACCATGCAGCGTATTCTGATTCAATGGTGCTCTCATCTTCTTCGTGGATTCGGCTCTTCCGCAGTAGGACAAGCTCTCGACGTGACTTATCGAGTTGTTCGATCGATAGGTGAGCAGATGGGCCGGGGTTATTTGGAAGTCGTATAACTGACCAGTCGAGCAGAAGAACCCTCCGTGTCGGCGAAATGGAGGGTTATAGCAGCCGCTGCTCTCCGCCAGCAAGAGGAAAGTTGCATACCCGGAGTGGCGGATGCTATCATGGCGGTTCTCTGTATCTGTGGGATCTCTACCGTCACCGAAGAGTTTCCTAAGGTTAGGCAAAAAGTGGGGACTCGCCTAGGATACCTTGAGAAGATGGCGCTCAAGTTGAGAACGGCCATGAGGGAAGGGATAACTTCAAGCGACATGGAGGTAATCAGCTTGGATTCTGATACGCCATTCAATCCACAGGAGATGAAGGACTTTTTTTCAAATAGAAGACCAGACAAAAAGGAGCTCGGAAAGGGGATCCTTTGCACAGTGGGGTTAGGATTGCAGAAGGCCACGAGGAAACGAGGCGATCACGGACAGATCCAGGAGGAAATATTCGTCATGAAACTGCCAGAGGTGGCCCTCTTATCTGCTTTGCAAAGCCCATGACAACTTCAGAACTTGGGGTTGGCCGGCTTCTTGTGGTTCAGCATCCTCAGAAATAAAGAGTCGCTCGAAGATCGGAGAAGAAATTTACCATTCACATCATGGATGTGCGTAGTGGCATTGCAAATGTCAAAACGCAAGCTGGAAAAGAAACTGGGTCGACATAGCGTTATGGTGGTACTTGAGCTTGAGCTTGAGCTTGAAGGGTGACAAGACACCGTGAGAATGCACGAGTCAGACAACTAATGTCACGTGTAGTGTATGTCGGCCCGGCAGCTTCCGGCGCGACTCATCCGGGTTTGCAGTTCTCATGCGGGTTCGCTGTGACCCGGTGACGGCGTCCCGCGCGTGGTGACCTCGGCTGTCCCCGGTGGCGGTGCTGCTGGTCTCCCCGGCACCGTCGTTACCGCGGGCGAGTCACAGCAATCGCACCTTCTCCTCCTGCCCTCCGCTGCCCAGGTCACAGAGCCCCTCGCGGGCGCATGAGGCGCGCGGTCACAGGCGTTTGGCGGGCGCCGACTTGCCGCATGCGCTTCCCTCTCCGTTCCTAAACTCCGCCCCCACGTGGTCCAAGTAAACGCGTCGCGCCTTGCCTGTTCCACACCTCTAATCGAACAACTACGGAATTCCTGTATCACCTGTTCTGGCATCTCTGCCTCAGATCAGCTGCGCGCATTCAAATCGAGCACCGTTCAAATTGAATGTACTCTATGGACTTGGTGGTGTGACGAAGGGGATGAGCTACGAGGGGGGACGAGCGAGTGCATGTAGGAGCGCAAGGTGTGTGGCCTGTTCTCATTGTTTTCCTGTCATACTCTAACTCAAGTCTTTCTCCTTGTAGCTTGAACCCGACCATTCTCAAAAAAACGTACCCGTCCACCCTCGTAAAATCACACTGTACATGTATTGTAGGCCTAATACAATACATCCTTGTCTACACACCATCCTCAGCGTCGCTGCTGATAGAAATCGGGCAACTGCACTTGCCTCACACCTCGTCGGACTCCTCAGTAACATTGATGAATCCCAAATTCACAATGCTGGCACTCCGAGCACGTCTTGGGCGCTCTGACTGCACTCAATGAATCTTAATGCAGGTCATAGATGGACCAGCAGAAGCGGTGAGATTTTGAGTGGAGTACGGCTAATGAGAAAAGGGTCGTTAGATGGGTTTCTTAGTCCTAGGAATCCACTTACCTTTGACCTCGCATGTGAGCCCGATTTGTGACGCTTCCCTTCTCTGCTCGAAAAGTTGAATGTGTCCAGAAGACCCTGTGGGAGGTAGCATCCAGGAACCCAAAGCTGAAGTGTTTTTGCGACCTTCCGAGTCGCTTCTTCGCCTTCAGCTGCGTCACTTCCCACCTCCAATTGAGCTGACTCAAGGCCAGGGAACGCGAGTTTGCGGAAACCAGTGGTGGAAATGGAAACCGTGTACCATGGGGCGATTTTCCACTTACGAAGTGTTTGACGTTTCTTTTCGTAAGCCGTAAGAATGAGCGCATGAAGGTCTCCTGCGCTGAGCAAGCCGGTGTCAAGATTGTAGACACAATTGGCCTATAACTCAGTTAATGCTGGGAGTTCAATGAAAGGAATCAAACAGTACTCACCGAGAACAGCATCTGAAAGAAGACACCCTCCCACATATTACTGGAAAGTGTTTGGAGCAAAAGGTGTGGTTCAGCCAACCCGAGTTGGATAGAACAGAAGGACGAGATAGCCTCAAGATCAGGGAGTTGCAATCCCCATGCAGACCTGGAATAGTCCGTGAAGATGATCATGAAGTCAATGGCATGATGTACAGGGCAATGACGGTATGACTCGCAAATGAGGCAGAAAGGACAGATGCGAGTTGAGGTCGACGAGAGCGTAAGTGCCCATGTGAGTTTGTCCGGAGTTCATGACGAAGAGAATCGATCCAGCGCCCCTCGACAAAAAGGCAGAACTGATCCTCAGGCATAGAGAGAAATGCGTTGAGAAGCGTATCCCCAAATCCGGAGTGAGTGAGTGCATGAGCGACTACGCGCCCACATTTGTCAACCCCATTGGAGTAATCGCCTCCCATAAGGAGAGCGATTAACAACAACGCGCCTCGCGTTAGACCAAGCTCAGGATCGTGTTCGATCGTGTTGGCATCATACGCAACAAAATCCTCCTTATGGGTGGTTGGACTTTGGCTCTGAGGAGTGCTACATTGTCACAACACAAATAAGCGCCAAATTATGTGATAATCAGCAACATAAATACCTCCGGAGAATATATCGGGCGCCTAAAACCAAGGCGTCACTATCTGTTGTAATGATTGCATCCAAAATTCCAATTGAATTCATCTTGGAGAGCTCAGCTTCTCCTTCACCTGGAGCCTGCAACAAATGAGAAATTGTGCTCTGTACTCAAAGTAGATGCAAACGGACCTCATGGACATGGAAACCAAAAAGCTTCACCAGCTGCTTCACAGGCTCAACCCACGACGGCTGATGAGAAAGCGGTGCCTTTCCATTTTTCACGGGACGTGAAGGACCATCGAAAACAAAGATCCACACTATGGGATACCGAAGAAATAGGCATAGTTTGAAGAATAAAATTTCAATTCCGCTCAAGCCGTGCACAGACGCTTGAGCAGCGCTGTTGCACTGGCCCATTATTGCACTAGCCAAGTTCAGTAGCACTATTCATGAAGTCAATAAGGCACATACTAAATATCCACACCAATGTAAAGAGTGCGATTCCCCCGAGGATTTCTTTGGTATCCCTCAATAGTTGCGAGCTCCCGCAGATTCACAACCTCCTGTGCAGGTTTAAGTATCTTATCAACATGTTAGTTACATTTTTCAGAGGTGAAACATGGTAAACGCACATCCCACAGCTCGTTGATGCCCATGCTAGAGAGTTACTCGCGTTTCTCCGGTGGTGGTGGTCGACGTTGAAGAAGTGGTCAGGGCAAATGTCTCACATATCTAAAGATTTATCTGTCAGGCTAAACTTTACTGCATTCAAAATCACAAGTTACAAAACAAAGTATAATAAATGACAGGGGGGCCGAGGGGTATCTATGTGGAGAAGCTATTGCTTCGTCTTCTTGGGTTTCGGGCGTCCAGCAATTGTTGGAGCCCGGCGCTTAGCACCAGTCATTGTGGGCGCCTGTTCTGGCTGCAGCACCAGAACACCACCGGGTTCGGGTGCCTGGAGCACCTGCGCTTCCTATAATAAATTCAGGTGAGTTTACAGCTACGCGAACACGGAATTGCACACTCACCTCCTTACGACGATTCGCAAGGAATAATGTCAAGGCATTAGTTCCGAGAAGGTTGACCTTCCCAGGCACTTTCCTGAATGCTTCGAGTTCAGCAAGGGCGTCTTCGGCTGTGATTGCACAAGTCTTGATTTCTTTTTCAATCCATTTGCGATTTACTTACATTTTTTACATGACTTTTTACACATAGATGAGAAATATTCTATTGACTATGGGGTGAACAAATCATGGCGTGCGGTGAGTGTCTCTAATTAAATCTGAAACATTTTTCTCACAGCAAGAATGCCAGATTCGCCTCATACACGGCGAAACGGCGACGGTGTCATACCACCCAATGGCCTTGCTCAATCTCTTTGGTCAAGCATTCAAAAAAGCCAATGTCCAGAGCTGGATTAAAGTACACCTTGCCCAACACATGCTTGGTTATAATCAGGCAAAGATGGGGTAGGTAATTATAATACGTCAACCTGGCTCTTTAGAATAATCTCAATTAGGGTGAATTCCGATGAAACGGCGAAGATGGGGTGGTCGCGTGGGACATATCAGGATGTATATGCCCCAGCAATCCCGAAAACTGTAAGTGTGTCTCTAATAATTTCCATGGAGAAATTGATCCAGAACCTTGACCTTTGTCCAGATTGGCTCGTACGTCTCATGCGGACGGAAGCCGTGCGCTGCGAGTACAGCCTAGTAAATCATTCTCATTAGTTTGAGAATGGAAATAATTGGAAACACACTTACAGTTTTCAGGATTGCTGGGGCATATACATCCTGATATGTCCCACGCGACCACCCCATCTTCGCCGTTTCATCGGAATTCACCCTAATTGAGATTATTCTAAAGAGCCAGGTTGACGTATTATAATTACCTACCCCATCTTTGCCTGATTATAACCAAGCATGTGTTGGGCAAGGTGTACTTTAATCCAGCTCTGGACATTGGCTTTTTTGAATGCTTGACCAAAGAGATTGAGCAAGGCCATTGGGTGGTATGACACCGTCGCCGTTTCGCCGTGTATGAGGCGAATCTGGCATTCTTGCTGTGAGAAAAATGTTTCAGATTTAATTAGAGACACTCACCGCACGCCATGATTTGTTCACCCCATAGTCAATAGAATATTTCTCATCTATGTGTAAAAAGTCATGTAAAAAATGTAAGTAAATCGCAAATGCGCCTAACGGGCACAGTTCCGGGTCTCTATGGGCTATAAATGTTGCATATTGTGGATTAATTTTCTGGAAATAAGTTGAAGCTGGAACGACACTGAGTAAATCTTATCAATGTTACTCACAGTCTGCATCGCCTTTGACCTTGTCTTTGTCTCTTGGTCAGATTGAAGCCCAAGAATAGCAAAGACACTTGTTTCTCCATTAGGATGCACGAAATCCAAATACGGCTGCATCTCGCATAGGCGAAGCGCCCGGACATCGTCTCCACGATTTCCGCTTGCATTCATCATCGTCCAGGCCAAATGCCCCGTTATCGTCGATTTCACTGAGTGCACATGTAAAAATAACGAAAAGAAATGAGATACCGTGTCCGTACATTCACGGTGCTGTAAAAAGCCATGCCTAATCTTGATCATTGTTTCATCTGAGAGCGACTCGAGCCACGTATTGGCCACAATGTCAGGCGCATCATCTGCGGGAATTAGACCTCTGGTGTGGTCAGAGCTTATATTTAAATGCTGAAGTTTGAAATAATAGCTCACTCTCGAGCATCTTGCAACGCCTTGTCCATGCAGGTCTTGAGATAGTCGTACACGTGGACTGTCGTTGCTGGTCGGCAAGTAGCGAGGGTGGGATCACGCGCATCTTGCATCTTTCGAATACGAAGCGCTCCAAAGAACTCCTTCTTTATTTGAGACTAGAAGGGAGGTGAGCTACTTGCAAAGGCATGGAGTGCTAGCGTTGACGTACCGCGCCGACACGTGTGTTTGGAATATACTCGCCGCGTTTATTGCGCCGGCAACGGTTGGACGAGAACTCCAGATAAACCAAAAGGGAATGTTCATCGACGATGTCGTCGCGAACCTTCCCTTCAGCGAGGGCATGCTCCAAAAAAATCTGGACAGTCAGGTTAAAATACAAACTACTGGAGTGAATGGCATACCTGCCACGATTTCACGACCGACTTCTGAGTGTTTCGGCCTCCAGCACGTCGATTGGATTCCCAGCTTTGTGCTGCGGACACCCTGACTTGGGTCTTGTATGAATCGAAATCATCGGCTCCTAAGTAGATAGCTAAGAGATGTTCCAGAGATAATGAGAGATGAACTTACCGGCTTCTGCAAGAGAGTCGTCCTCAGGCTCCTCATCCTCGTCAAGGCCCTCAAGGTCGCCCACATCAATTGCTCCCAGTGTGTCGAGACCCATTCCATCCGGGGTATCATACTCGTTGACCAATGTTTCATTGTCGATGTCGATGTCGGCTTCCAGTGAGCGTGACGGTGTGGATAGACCAATAACGCGATTTTCCGGCACCACAGCATGTGGCCTGCGTACCGAGGGTGGGGACGAAGATGCTGGCAGGGCAGCAGGCGTGTTCGTGGGAGCCGCCGATGGATACCAGTGACGCACAAGGGCCGCTCGAAGACCCACCAGATTGGCGCGGTTGGCCACGCGTAATTGGAGGTATTTACACGCGTCTTGTAGAGGCTTCTTAATCTTGATCTTTGCCCTGGGCGAGTTCCATCTAAGTGTTGTGAGATGATGAGAATGAGGAGACGGCTACTTACAATTTGGCTTCGTATCCTGCTTGCGACGCTAAGCTTCCCTCGGCTGTTCGGTCAGGAAAGGAACGCTCGTGGATAAGCGCTGGGTCGATGGGGGGTCCGGATGGGGAAACGCTAATGGCGTTGGCGTTGACAGATGATGGTGGGGATGGCAAGGAGATAGCGGCCGACGATGGCGGGGCTTCTTCCGTGCTTGGGGCCGACAATTGGCGGCCATTCGAGGTAGAGTCCATAGATTATGCAGTATACAGCATGTAAGGTAGATTAAAGAGAGGAAAGAACGTAGATTAAGGAAGGAGAGTGGGTACAGGAGGCAGTAGGCCAGCCATCCTAGGAGGCCTCGACGGGGTCACCAGATTTTCGTGACCGCCCATCCAAACTGGGCGCGGTCACAAAAATTATCGTGACACGACCTCTTAGAACCCCGCTGGGGTCTGCTTGTTCCAAACGTGGTCTTCAACTTTTCAACTCAAGTATTCGATTTCTTGATGTAGATGTGATTTTACAAGAGCGGTTTGAAGCAAGAGCCCGTCCGTTTGCCCATGCTCTGCAGGGGTTGTGAAGTGCGGTGAGTTTCATAAATCGGATGCTTCATAAAATATATTATCCCCTGAGCGAGGGCTTCGATTGTCCTGATGTAGCTAATATAGATCTAACGGTAATTGGGAAGTAATGGACGATGCTTTACAGCTTGAACTAGTGACTTCTGTAACTAATCATGATAAAAATCTAGAAGCTGCTTGATTTTAAATTTCTATCCACCAACCGTCGTCCAAATTGCATACAAAAAATGCCATTCATCGTTCAAATTCTGAGGCTTGAATGCCCTCCGAAGCAGAGAACAGTCGTGAATGGGCATTGCGATTGACATGAGACACGAAAAGCCGCAATCCATCTTCCACGAACCGTTTCCAGTGCTCATCAGTCCAGGATTTTAGGGGTCTATCAAATTCCACATTTAATCGCTCGAGTTTGGCGACAGCTGGTACCGAGCCGTCCCGCTTTCGGGTGATAAAATTGACCATTGCTTCGTCTGAAAATCCAGCACAGGCTCTGCATACGAGATCTTGGAGTTCCGGGAAGAGATAGGAACCGTCACTGTTAGGGCAAATGAATAAGCCAAGCACGTTGTCGTCAAATATGTGTATTCGAGGCCGCTGTTGCATCCCCCAGTACATGTCGGTGGGGCTCCGGAACATGACAAGTGAGGTCAGTTGTGGGCAATGACGGAGTAATTCAGTAAGACCCTCCTGCGTGAATTGTTTGGGATTTAAGTGTAGTTGTCTAACGTCGTGCATGACCAGACGGGAGAGTAAAGGGAGAGTAAGAACGAATAGTGGGGACAAATCTTCAGCTTCATCCGCTTCATCAGGCCACAGAGACATAACATACCCAGAAAATCGAAGACGCAGATTTACGAGGTTGACACATGGTTGGAGCATGCGGGCGACGTGCGGGATGGGATATTTCACTCCGTAAGTTTCATAATTAAGGGCCTTGAAAGTGAAAGAGGTAAGTTGCGCCCACTTCAAGGGAAGTGAAAGTGGGATTGTCGATAGCCGCTCAAGAAATACTTCGCACAAGTTTGGCGCCTTCAGGAGATTGCTTGTTTCCCACATTTTATTCGCCTCTGAATTATTTCCTGGCCGCGCCTTTGTCCGTCCAATAATCGTGAGGGATTCCAAAATTGGGACCTCGCTGACGTTCGCTTGAGAGGCGCTCTGGTGGGACGTCAAGTACCAGATTCTTCCAGCGACCAGAAACTCCGAGGATTACAAGGTTGATGGATGAGGGACGTAGGGAGTCGTCGGTATCCTCTTCCAAAAGGGAAAGGCTGAATGGACAACCACTACTCCTTGCGAACCATTCTTGCATCCCCGTGACGCGACGCGCCACAGCTTCCGCCATCTGTCCTTCATCACCGGGAATGGCGTATCGTCACCGGTAGCCATGACTTGCCGATGAAGGTACCAGGGTGTGTAGGGACGCCCAAAGGCCAGGAGTGGCTAATGCGATGTTTCTCCAACTCCGGCAAACACGGGTGAGAAGGAGAGGGCAATTCTTCGCGTTCACGATCGCGTTGTGCTTCTTAGGGAGGCAATTGTGGAATATCTCTTGCAGGATATCGGTAGGTATGCGCCGCATCGGTGAGGTGAGTGCGCGGACGGAGTTGATAAGGTGTCGTATTGCTGGGAAAGATCCTCCAAGATATTTTTGATCTTGGCCATTTCGTCTTCGATGTACTTCAGCCTATTCAAAAGCGGTACGAGCAGGGTGTTTATCTCGAAAATTTGGTCATCTGTTGTGCCATAGTTTGTCCCAATCAACGAGGCAAAGCGCGACAGTACTGGCAGCGTAATTTTCCCTGATACATAGTCTATAGAAGTAAGGGCCAGGACATGGGCATGCTGAACTTTTAACCCACGCTTGGAGGGCCCTTCGTGGTTCTTGTCCGCCACCTTAAGGGAATGCGTCCGCTGTCCTTGCTCCAAGATGGCTGACGGGGTCGTTGTGGCTAGATCAAGAATAATGTAAAATAAATTAGATTAGATTAGATTAGATCGTTGGACGGCTTTCCCATCCGCAGTCGCCGAACCACGATTCTTGCTTTGCTTTCACCTTTTCAGCTTGCCTGGACCGTCAGTGCTTCAAACATATCCAGACACAAATTCTCAGCACATATTTTGTCGCAAAGGACCACCATACTCAAGATCATGGAAAGTACCAAGCAAGGCGCTCTTCAAAATAAGTACAATGGTTCGCGAGGAGCGGTCGAACATCTACGGAATTTTGATCCGATGGTTTGTACCCTTGAAAACCTATCACGGACGCGAAGTTGATGCTCTTTTCCACTGTTCGGTATGGTCATCCATGGATTATTCTTAGAGGATCACGGAATCCAGAAGGATATCTCCATCCTCCCATCGCAAACGAACACCGCTCTTCCTCTCTGCTGTTGAGCACGCATGGGCTATGATTTCTACTGGCAGATCATCGATCGCGCCGTCCCCCTGCTAAATCTTTGCGTGCGCTCTGTGGGTCCAACTGACAGAGCTTGCCGAGGGTCCCAGTTCCGAGACTAAGCCATTTCTGGGTCACTGTGGCCGTGCTCTCTGCCTCGAGCTTGACGGAACGGCACCCCATATTGGAAGTGACACCTGTATGACTGTGCGGTGGCTGAGGCCTGAGGGTGCATCAAGACCCTGATAGATCCTGTGGCTCTTCAGCGATAACATTCTCAATCTTCTGTCAATCATACTATTCACAACACAATTTCGAATGGCATCAAGCTCCGTATTCAGCGTCTCTCGGCGTAGCGAGACGAATCTCTTGGACTTCTTGCTTCATTGGTAAAAATATCCCTCGCCGTAGGCCCTGCACGATGACGTGATGGGCGCTCTAACCATGTGTGCCGGCGAGCGCCTACACACCGACGGGTCAGACTGATGGTGGGCAAATGAAACGACTTTTCACGCCGACGAACTGTGCTAGGACAATGAAGAATTCTAGCCCCTCACACACCACGGCCACCTCGGGCTAAGATGGTCATCACGTTCGTGATCCGGTGGATGGTCGGTGCTCGCGATGGACTCGAGGACCCACCAACAGTGGGGGTGGCCGGCCATTCCTGACCATCGCAGACCGGTCATTGAATTGTTATCCGGGACGAAGTGATGTACTCGATCCACGGTGTTGAAAGCCTTTTTATAAACCTATACCAGACGATCTTACCTGCGTCGTGTGGTGGAGTGGAATCTAATGGAATCCCGATTTCTCAACACAAGTTTGCAGTGGTTCGATCATCGAGCGCATGGTGGCACGGGGACCTCGTTCTATCCAATATCATCAAAGTTAGCAATTCCCTGGACGGTTTGTAGGGAATTTGGGTGGGGTACCCACGATCGCTAACCTCGCCATCGAAGGGCTTCTTCATTGCAATTGCTGCCTCCTTCGCCTGTTTTATGTCAAGGGAAAATGCAAGCACATGCGCCCCAGACGAGCAATCTGACTTTCTACCGACTCGGGACCACCGTGATAAGCGGGTTGATTTGATGCATTCACCTGGCGTGCAGGAGGTGAGCTAAGGACGCACCGAAGACGCAGCTTTTAATGGCGATATTCAAGTCAATCTTTCTCTAGGCAGTGAGCAAACCGGCAACATGTACAATAACTGGATTCCCCGCCATCCTATTCAATGAATACCTTGCCTCGGTCAGCATATCGATATCATTCTTGAGCCCTTGAAGCAATGCCTGCCAAAGCGAAAGAGGTGTATTGAAACCTCGGCTTGTAGAGGCGCTGTTGAACTGGGCCACTTATCTTTTGTTCGTTCAGACTCAATGCATTATCCAACAATACCCTTCCTGAATGTAGGCAGGCACCATCGTAAATCGATATCGCGGGGCGGTGAAATTCCAGGAGGTGTTTGATAATTATCGCTAAATCACGATGATGGTTAAATCTGGGGCGTTCCGGCATCATCCCTGCACATCATTTCCTGTTTTGTACCCTTGCCGAGAGGATGTGTTCTGAGTTGGCAGATCACCGCACCGCCTTCCGGGTTTCAGACATGAGGTGTCCCTTGCTTTCCACTCCACTACGCTCTGTACACTGGATAAAACAGAGACGAGCCTTCTGTCATGGAAAGACAACGGCGCCTTCGTCACCGAACCGACGACGGTAGCGACCTCGTACTGTCTATTCCCCAGGAAACTTAACCCTTTCGGAGACGCCCACACACCGAACGTGAAGGGTTGTGTGCACGCATCGAAAGTCCCATCAAGTTTCGGCCCCTGACCTACTATATCGGCCTTGTCCTCCCACTAAAACGGCGCGCTCATATATATACGTCGGGCTGACTCCCCGGCCAAGCTTTCTGCCCTCGTCCTCATCGTTTTCGGTGGTTTGCTGTCCCAAAGCTAATGATATGGGGACGTCTATCCTCCCCTTTCATTCACTATTGGTTACGTTGCTCTCCCTTCAAGGCGCCCTAGCCAATGCCACTCCTTATTTGAAACCGGTACGTGCCTGTTGACACTGTTGCTTGAACCCCACACTCATTCATAGCTGATTATCAGGGTTTCCACTTCGATTACGACAAACCAGGCCAAGATTTCACCATCCCAGTGACGAGTAGGTCTCCTAGACGTGGATTTCGTTGGTCATTGAGTGACGCGCTGGACAGGTCAATGCGAGGGGATACAGCTGGAGTGGACGAGGGACCCGAAGAATGACACAGGGTGCGCTTCTTTTCTTGCGATTGCATCCTTCATCTAATCTTCCTTCTTCTTTCATTAAGACCTTCTCCGGTAGCACCATACTTCCTGCAAGTCTATACGTCGACGTTCAACTCGCCCTTCTCTGTCGCCGCAGGCTTTGGGCCCAAGTTTGTAGGTCCTCTTGGCGCTTCACGTGAGGTACGACCTCATTTCGAGACTTGTAGACATGGCAGGTGCCATTTGCTCCCAACACACTGTATCAGATATGCATGGTAAGTTCTCGCTTGTCGCCCCGTTTCAGCCTGACTTAAACTGCGTCCAGTTTGACATCAATGGGGTCTCTGGAGGATGCCAGCCAACCTACACCGTCATTCCCAGCACTGCGTCCCAACCAAGCTGTGATAACGTCACTTTCCCGTCCGTATTATCGGTCACCGGCACCACACCATTAGGCCTTCTACCGCAAAATGGCTATATTGACCAAGTAAGATCATACCTCCTGCGGCGTCACCCAATCCGAACTAACTGTGCTTCTGACATAGTGCGAAACTCTCTCCGTGACTCCGCAGAACGGTAGCCCTCCTTACATTCTAACGGTATGTCTATTTTCCGCACATATAGGACCATACCCTAACTAATAGCTACAGGTCGCTCCAAGCGGCCGTCCGCCGTTTAATATCACATCAGACACGAGAGATCCCATTGACTGGACTGTTTCTTTGGTTCGTATATCTTTTTGATGAGGGCAAAAACATGCTGATTGTCTGATAGCCTGTCGGATCTCAATTCTTCCTCTCTGTCGAAAGTGTGGAAAGGCAAAAGTGGTCGAATGGCCCAATGCGGGTGGGCGGCTTGGGTTCGACAGCTTGCTTAGCCCACGGAACGATGTGGGTCCTTTTGTCTGCATGCATTCATCATTCCTCCTGCTTACATCTAGCGTATTTTTAGTCTGAAAAGCAGAGCTGACAAGATCATCATTGGATCCAGTGTTGGTGGCACGATATTAGGGTTGGTTATTGGATTCCTGGCCTACTTCGTGTTTTTGCGACTTCGCCATCGAAAGCCACCATCACAGACGTACTTTCAGCGTGATTACTTTTCGCGTGAAGATCCCACGAGACCGCTCAAGAGCACCACCCCTGCTCCATCGACCATCGCTCCTTCTGGCTTCATTGGCCGAACTGGTTCGCCCTCCTTATCATCTATTCCCCTAGCCATGACCCCATCTACCCGCCTAACCGATCTCCCGCCCCTCACTCCCCCTCTTGAGCCTGTACGGCGCGGAAGGGAACCCTATATTCAGAGACACCGCTCCGTCGAACCATATTCGGTGCTTCCAAACGAGACGGGTTCAGCCCAGCAAACCCTCAGCGACATCAAGCGGCCGGTTCCCCCGAGCAACATTTCCCTGTTCTCAAACGAAGACGTCGCAGAGTCTGTCTCGATGACATCCTCGTCTGCGAACAGCACTCCACAGCGGACGCCGTCAACGCACTCACGTGCGCCCACGTACGTTCCTCGCGTAACGCGGTCTCCAGCTTCTCGCACCCGCGCGAGAGTCCCGACGAGAGCGAACACAGCAACAACTGGTGTTGAATATGACAATGGTCCGATTCAAGAGCTGGAAATCCCAGACCTTCCTCCTCAATACGGCAGTCACACGGCAGACCCTTCCTTGAACTACGCACCCTCAATTCTATCATCCGGGAACCGATTCTAGACCTGCCTTGATGTCCTTGTAATGAGCCACCTCTCTCCCTACCTCCCTTGACCCTTCGCGCATTTTGTACTTTACCACCCATCAAACCAACACCTTCACGAACCCTCGCATTCTTCAGCGTATATGCACACGCCTTGTTTTATTCTGTTATTGTACCTCTCGCATAAAATTCGATCTTCGTCAGTACTTAATTATGGGATGCTGTAGTTGGCGGTCTTACCTTTCTTTTGACCTTGTTGATTAGTCATTCGTTGTACAGCTAGTGTTCGTCGCTCTTTAGGCTTTGGAAAAGCTTTCAATGCAAATAATTTAAACATAACTTCTCGCAGAAAATGTGAGCGCGAAAAATTGGCTTTTCGACCAGCACGAGCTCTTTCTGAGGGCAGTCGATGTGAACCTCACACTAGTTGAAGCGACTTAGCACCCCTACGAAGAATTGATTTAAGCGCCACGAGACATCTCCCTCATTTCGCTGTATGTGATCTGTGCGAGAATGTAATACATTTTACCCTTGATGAAAACCCTGGCGTGCGTTCTCTGTTGTCTCTGGATTTGGGTAAGGCGGGCTCCGATTGCAAGTTCATTTATCCAGACTTTCAGTAAAGCTTCGAAGGCTGGCATGTAATTTGTGAAACCCGTTCTACTAAGTACCAATGCAAACCGCCCAACGGCTTCCAGGATACCTACGTACAAGTCGCTTGCCAGGCAAACGACATCCGTCACCGTCAAGCACATTCTTTCCAGTGTATCCTAGCCATACCATAGGTCAATCTTGTGATCATCTCTCGCGCCTAGTTTCTGCATTATTCACGATGTGATCCAGAGCATAGATCCCATGATACGTACCTCTGATGTGTCTCGTCCTCATCATCCACATCCACATCCACATCCAATCCCCAACCTGAGACTTCTGATGCATATTTCTCCAGGCCCTCCTCGATTAGATCAATTCCATGCTGATTTACGATACGCAAATTGAAGCCCCGACGGCATATTAAGACGATACGACGAAGTGCTGATCGGGTAATAAACGTGTCGATGAATGGAACAAAGAGACAGAGCTTGACGGTACGCAACGGTCGAGTGATGTTTACTTGGCTCGGGTGCCCAGAAACTACTCTGGAAGAACTAGGAGATCGCGACGGATTGGCGGGAAATATGTCAGGAAGGAGATTCCAAGAGAAGTTCCACTGAGATTGGAGGCATAACTCTTGGAGGGCAGGGAGGAAGGCTGTCTGAGGAGCGTCATCTGACCCTGCGAGATAGTAGAAGAATGTTGTTATTGAGGGACATTTGTAGTCGAGGGGAAATTGAAGGGAGAGATGCGTAATAGTTGGCTGGTCGAGGAGTAATTGTAAGAGTGTGGCAATTCCACTGAGTTTCGCATTGGTGAGGGTGAAATGTGTCAATTTGCATTGTGAACGGGTGAAGAAGAGGCGACATGCGGCCAAGTCGGGGTCTGAATCGGGATAGAAGGTACCGTCGTAAGTGAACTTTTGCAAAAATGGAAGGGTCGCCTGTTTAAAGAAGGAATAGAGGACTGCAGAACAATCAGGATGGAAGTGAAGATCGGTGAGAGAGAGGTGAACTGGCGAACACAACGGTGTGTCGTCCCATCCGTCGGAGTCACAGATTCTCCTGGCGATGCAGGTCGTCAAAAGAGGTGAACATTCAAGGATCTTTAGAAAAGAGTGTATGGGGATCTGGTATAGTGTTAGATGGGTGAGATTCTGGAATTGAATTCGGATGTCTTTGAAGCGGATCTGAGATATATCGAGGAAAGTCAGGGACGGCGTATGTGGCATGTCGAAAACATGGTCGATCCTGGGTTCACTTTTGCAGGGATGCAGCCGAAGAGACTGGAGTTGAGGAGGTGCGGCGCCTACATGATTGGAAAAGTACTGATACCATCTCGAGGGCACTGAAAGGGCCAAGTGTTTCCAACGGGCGGCGCATCGGATGAGAATATCCAGCAAATCCGAGTGTCCTTGCACGTATTCGTTGGAGAAGATATTGATGGAAAGCGGGAGCTGGTGCGAGTAATCGACGAGCTGCTGGGCTAGAGTGACACGGAGCGGAACGTTGCGGGATTTAAGGTGGATGTTAATTGTCGTCCATATTTCAGGAGTTTGAATTGCGCGGAGTCTCCACAGTTGGCAAACCGAGGAAAGGAGGAAAGGAGGAGCCCACCCTCTCTTGGACGAGATATCGAATTGGGATTCGAACTCGAAGTTGGCCTGCTCGACGTATTCCGCAAACACCTGCGAGACGATCTCAGGAGGGAGATTTCGGAAGAGAGGGTCGTGTTGGTGATTGATCTTGTTCTTTAACTCTCGACGTCGAGCCTTCAAGTCAGATATCCGATCTGGTAATCGCAGAATTTGTTCGTCTATTTCCGATAATCCCATACATTGACATGCCTGGCATGCCTGGCCCTTTGACGTAGAACATCGTATGAAAACGTCGCTTCGACTGAATGGTATGACCTCCTGAGGTTCCGAGGACATATGGAGGCACTGAAGTAGAGAATGTAAGCAAATGACAATGATTTATGTAAATGAAATAACACAATTCACGTTGCAAGGTTTTCGATAGATAGACGGGAGGACAGACTTCAAGTCGCAGCTGAGTTGCAGAAGAAGAGGATGCTTACGTACGCGGTTGTCGGCTGTTTGCTAGGTTCTCAACCAACTCTCAACTTCAACTTGACCTTGAAATTCATCGTCAAATTCATGCTGTTTTGACTGTTTTGAGCCATCTATGTGCCTCCATTCTCTCAACATCAACCGACATTTGGTTTCAGCTTAAGCTTACCCCGCAATACCTGATGGCGATAGGCTCACAGAATGCTGACATACCATTCCGGTGATCTTTTTTTTTCAACCGATTTTTGGGTTAACCCACTGTTGACGTTGCCCAGTTGCTCCATAACCCCGTAATTTGCATGGTTCCGGAAAATCACCCCGCACATGACGCTCCGGCCGTGTACATATCCAAATTCTGGATGCTCGCCAAATGTTCTACCTTTTTCTGGGATGTCGGTTCCAAAACTCGGCTACAGTCATGTGGGCGAAAGGCCTTTCGTCGGTACCCGAGTCTGTCCATCCTCGACTCACCAAGCTGACGCTGATAGGCCCGTCGCTAGACTCTGCCCAGCATCCTTGAGGTATCCGCCAAACCCGACGCGTCCTCGCGAACAGATAGATGCCCGCTTGCCGAGGTGTCGATGTCGTTGATTCGACTTGATGCCTTGTACCCGAAAGTCACTGCACATGGATTATTTCCGCGCGATTGGACGAGAGCCACCTCGTCTGGGACCTGGGGGTCGATCATTGCACGGAGGTCTCCACTACGGGCGAATGGACCACTCGGATCGCTGTTCGGTGCTAAAGATCCCTCCATCGAGCTCCACTCTATTTTGGTGCTCTACATTCCCGGAAAACGCGATCCTCTCCCCCTTTTTTCTATAAAAAGTGCCGGGTTTCTGTCATGAGAACCCAACCAAATTCACAATGGTTTCTTTCAAGTCGTTCGCGATTGCTCTTGTCACTGTCATCGCCACCAGCATCGGTGTGCAAGCTGAGAGGCACACCGTCCATTTCGACAACAGGTGTGGCCGAGGAACTGTACGTGCTTCCCTTCCTACTCTGCGGTTTTTCTGCCTCACATTCCTCTCCTTCAGCCTCGACTTATCCAGGGAGGCAATGTCCTTTCGACTGGTGGCGACTACACCATCAACGGTCCTCTCCGCGGTGCTATCGCGTATGTACCTTCGTTGAATTAGTTCATCATGCTCATCAAGTTGACGTTCGTCTAGGTACTTGCAAACAGGTAGCTGTGGCTTCAACGGCGAAGGCTGCACCCTCATCGAGACCACCCTCATCAACCCCACTCCTGGAAGGCCCGGCAGCGGCTCCAGCACGGATATCTCTTTGATTCCTCCGTACGTTATCATCGGAATTGCTAGCAAAGAATGCTGACATATATCGCCTTCGTCCAGCCTTAAATTCTCCGTTACCTCTGGGTTCGGGTGGGCATTCATAAGGAAACCCATGAGTCTGATCAAACGCTGAATATGCCTCTTTAGATACTACAATGGGTGCAACGGAGCTGGTGCCAATTGTACGTTTTCCCCCGCGATTTATGACCGTCTTTCTAATATCTTCCTAGGCAACAACGCGAACTGCCCGACTGCATTCAGGGTTCCCAGCGACACTCACGTCCAAGTCGCCTGTCAGCAGAACGACGTCAATCTGGCCATCACATTCTGCATGTAGGATGACCGCCAATGTTGCTGGAGCCTAGCTCACCGACCCACTGGACTGCAATCTAAACCGTAATAGTACTCTAGAACTTCGTTCACCAGTGCCCTCTATAAGTGTAACAATAATGAATACGTACATCTTGTCGAGCACCATGGATGAACAGCGCCAATAGCAAACGATATACGGCGCGATTAATGAGCAAGGGGGTTGGGTGTTTGTGACACGGTCAGCGACCGTATAGCTAAGTAAATGCCTAAAATAAACCATCTCCGTCTGCAACTCGCCTCCAACTATGCCTTCGCCGCTGGTGGCGGGGTCGGTGCAGATGTACCCGAGCTCTGACCCGCTGGAGCCGGAGCACCAGGAGCACCCGGCTGGGGCGGTGCGCCACCTCTCAGCTGATCCATCGCCGCCCAAAGGTTCGCTGGCACCTGCGCCGCCGCCATCGCCTGGTCCTGCTCCAAGAGCTTCTCGAGCTCCTCCCGATGGTCGGCAATATACTTCTGCTCGTCCAAGTACTGCTGCTGCGCTTCTTTGCGCTTCGTCTCGAGGTACGTTGGCGGAGGAACACCCTTGGGCTGGGCAGATGCGGTCGTTTGGACACCGAAGAGGGATCCGAAGGTCGGTGGAGCGGCCTTGTGCTTCGCTTTCCACTCCTCGACTTGTTTAGCCTTCATCTCCGCCTCGATCTTGCCGTACTCAATGGGTATGTTCTTGCCTTCGTACGCCTTGAGGATGGGTCGCACATCAGGAGGTTTGTAGATGGCAATGGCTAGAACCGAGTTAGGTAAATGGCAGCTGTGAGGCTTGTTTGCTTACATTCCAGGAAGGGGATCATAGCGACGAGGCTCTTGTCTTTGGGGTCACCTTTCCACTTGGGCAGGATGATCGCGTTCTCTGGGTGAGTAACAACATGTTCAGGGTCGGTATCGAGCATTACTACTTTTGAGAGATCTCGGTTGAGGTAGGACAAGTCCTGCTCACGGTTAGAACGGGCAAATTCGGGCAAAGCGCAAATCTACCTTGACAATTTTGCCATCTAGTGTACGTGTGCCTTCACGGTATAGGCGGTAATTGACGAAGAAACCATATCGGTCGAGTTTGTCGACGATGAGTGCGGCAGTCTGGAAAACAGGTGAGTTGCGCGGTGAGAAATCGGGACAACACAGCGACATACATATGAGGGTTGGGTGGTGAAGATAACGACTTCGTAGAACTGGGAAATATAACCAAGGAAATAATCGACACCGGGTCTCTTCGCTGTCCGCCAGCCGTGTTGGCGCTGTGGAGAGTATTACAAACAAGGTTGTGTCGGTGCTCAGTCATCACTCACATCCCATGTTGAAGTGATGAGCATGTCGTCAAGGGAAATAAGGAGCGTGTAGGGTTTTTGGTGTGGTGGAGGGTATGGCGGAGGAAGGAGTTCGGGCCACGCCGGTTTATTGAAAATCTAGGACACCTGAGCACGATCTTGGGAGAAGACATATGGAAGTACTCACATCAAATATGTCATTATACCGTTCCAATGTCCGTCCCAAACGCGTCGTGGGCGCGTCTTCGCGTTTCTGATAGGAGAAGGGGCATGTCAGAACAGAAGTGAGGTTTCAGAGATACACACACCATCTTCTTTTCCTTCAATTCGTCATCCTCCCACTCCCGTCCCATCCACACCGTATGTCCAGTGAACGCCAATGCGAGCAGCGCTAGCATTACACGACTCATAGACCGCCGCTTGCGCTCGGAAGACGAGAGGGCACCCTTCGATGACCTGGCACCGGTCCGCTGGAACTCTTGCTGAGGTTCGGGTGAGAAGTCAAGAGTTGGGACACCAGACAGCGGTGTTCGCAGAGGTTCCGACGGTCCTTCCAAAGGTGACTCCGCCTGCGAAGGCTTAGACGTCGACCCCTGCGGTGAATCTGACGCAGCTGTCGTAGACTTCGGCGGTGGTGTCGGTTTCGGTGTCCCCTTGGCCGTCTTGCGAGAAGTTGGGGGTTTTTGGGACATCCATCGCACCGACTGCACCGCAGCGCGTCGTGGAATTGTCCTGGAGAGCACTGCGAACATATCTCTCGACGTTCGCGAGGTGCAGCGTGGCGCTGGCGAAACGTTTACGGAGCCTTGGCGGTGGTAGAATTTTTGGGCCCGGATTGACATTGTTTGGCTCACAGGCCTTCGTGCCTGAGATTACACAAGGCCTAGCCTAATCTCGCCCGGCGCTTATTTCTTGTTCCTCTCGTCAGCATCCTCTCACTCGCTTTTGTCAAATCCTCTCGAATCTACCGGTGCAATATGGATGGTAAATTGCTCCTCGTGAGGCTTACTTTGTTTCCGTGTTAATTCACCGCCTACAGATGGTACGAGGGACTACATCCGGGACTTGGAAGCAAAACTCGAGGCCCAAGGAGCTGCGGCGAGGGATCGAGAAGCCGACACAGCGGAAACCATCCAGAGTCTGCTGGAAGACAACGAAATTCTTCAACAAAGAAATCAACAACTCGAATGGGAGCTCGACAGCCTCCGTGATCGACTCCAGGACGCCACGGCCTTATCAGATGCGCGCGGCAAAGAACTCATAAGCGCGCAGACATTCCTATCAACTGCAGATAATATCTCGGTGTCCGAAGTTATCAGCAAGATTGCCGCTTTAAACGAGGAAGTGTTCCAAATCTCAGCTTTCCTCGGGGACTGCCTGATCTGCCGGCATGAACCGCCCACACCCGAACAAGACCTTCAAGAAATCTTCGAGACACTGCAAAGGCGTCTCGGCACCGAGATCGCATTCGCACTTTCTCAGCAACCGCATACCGAGGAGAAAGAGCCAAATCGATTACTCGCACAAATGGTCCTTCAGATCAATCTCGTGAAGTTTTGTTTTCGGAAGATTCGCGCATGGCATTCTGATGGAGAGCTTCACCATCTCCTGGGAGACATCTTCCACGGGATTCGATCTTCTCGTGAGCGACCCCGTTCTCTTTGTATCATAATAGTCGCATCTTATTGCATCGATTAGAACAACAGGCTGTTTCTGGCCGTTGGAGAGCCTTGACACGTTCAGAGATCGAATTTTCGTCCGAAACATGGGAGAACGAAGTAATGGCATCAATTTCCAAAATATTTGCCGTAGCCAGATGGGACTTCCCAGGCCCTGATCAGCGCACATCCTTCCAGCGTCAACTCTCCACTCTGTTCAATGCAATTAAAGAAATACGATTGGTCCTTGGCCAGCAATTCACCTCTGCGGACCTTGAAGTTCGCATTCCCCGCACGGACATGGTTTATGACCCAACACTCCTGGACGAAGCGTACTCCGACGGAAGAGCATCAGAAAGAGAGGCTAGGGCTGAAGAAGTTGCTGGAACGATAGAGATGGGACTGGTCAAGGTGCAGCCGCTTCAAGGATCCGAACGCCTTCAAGAAGAAATTCTGCTCAAACCCAAGGTCCTATTAGGTCCTACCCTGAGAGAAGCGCTGCATCCTCCATCAGGAACAAGTTATTGTAGGGAAGAGAGACGTGAAAGAATGCATCGGCCCTTGGAGGGAAAGAACTGACCTGTTTTCAACGAGCTTGATTCAAGTTTTGTACTATGCACAGGCGTCCATTGGACGGAATAGAGCAAAGACCGTGATGCTTCAAAGGACCAGAGTTGATCGACATACTATTCAACCTACATCATCGGACGTAGGACAGAGACCCCCGTCATCCGACTCACGAAGCGGCATCCGTTATGCCTTCTCTTTTTCAGAGTTGAGACCGATTCGGAGCGGAATAAAGATCATCATTCAGAGTACATGTGCTAAGAATCCTCGGCTTCGTAAATTCTGACAACGATCTCAGCCTCGAGTCAGGATGTGTAGCGCTCTAGGAAAAGAACACAAAAGAAGTATAGCGAGATATAAATAGAGGTGCCAGACAAAATCGACGTCAATATGGATCCGTCGCCCCTTCAAAACACCATGAAGCCCGTAAGACAAAGACACCAGTCCGTTTTACATGCTCTTTATTCCAAATCTATGCCGTAGGGACGCTTTATCGAGGGCCCTGGTGAGGACGGGTGGCTCCGTGACCGTGACGCGACTTATGTGGGACGTTACCTGGAGTACTGGGCGATCGGTTGTGGCGCACGGTCTGCCTTAAATGGAATATGCCCAAATTGGAGGCGCGCCGCGACCGAGTTGATCCCGGACGCATCTCGCCTTCATGATGCCTAGACATTACCACAAATACAGAGCTCTATTTTTGACCGCTCGATCTCCACCCTGTCCGTGTCTTCTTTAGCCGATAGGTTTATCACTTGCGAACAGCGCGAGAGAGAATTTGGATGTTACTCGTGAGGCGCGTTCCTGTGGACCCTACATTCTCCATATTTATCTCAAATATGGAGCGTATACTCTTATAGTGCAATGAAAATAGATATTCTGACCGCAGAACGCGCTTCATGGGCCAGAGTGTGCTCACATGACAGGCATGCGCGTCTCTACTATCCGGAAAGCCTCATTATCCATAATCCACTGCGATGCCGGCTGCCGTACTAGATTTATGGATGTCTATAAAAGCACGCAAAATGGTGAGAGAACACCCAGCTTATGTTCTTGAGCTAGCAAACTCTACTCGCTTCGATGACCTTATTCCTCTCCTTCGCCGTCTTTCTCGCCGCTGCCGCCGTGGGTGTGCACGCTGAGACCCACACTATCCACTTTGACAATCGGTGAGCGTCGTCAGATTATATATGCAGGTAGAGATTCTAAATTTTGTTCTTAACAGATGTGGCTTCGGAACTGTGAGTTCGCAGTGCTGTATCTTCATGAAACTCATGAATCGTGAACTCTCAGCCAACCCTCATTCAAGGAGGAAATGTTCTCTCCACTGGGGGTGATTATACGGTCGACAGACCTATCTTTGGAGCCATCGCGTAAGCACACTTCCTTGCTTTCCGTTCTCGAGCTCATCATTACCACAACAGATATTTGCAAACTGGTACAAGACACTCTAATTTCCTCTTGAGTGCTATGACGGCTAACGGCATCCAGGGAATTGTGGGTTTAACGGAGAACGATGCACCCTCATCGAGACAACGCTCGTAAACCCTACCAGTCCCGGCGGCGGGTCTAGCACAGACATCTCGCTCATACCTCCGTGAGTCTTTCCTTTCCAGTTTAATTCTCGCACTCATGGTCGGGCAAGTCATTCGTTCTCTGTCACCTCTGGCTTCGGGTGGGTCTTTCATGCGATTCCTTTTTTCATTAATTTAACGCGTGTTCGTAGGTACTATAACGGCTGCGACGGTGCCGGTGCCGACTGTAACTAATTCTCTCTAGTTTTCCTCAATCCTCTCACTCACTCACTCGCCATTCAGGCACCTTCCAAGGCTGCCCGACTGCCTTTTATAACCCTGATGAGACTTGGAAGCAGGTCGCCTGCCAAGCAAATAATGTAAGCTTCGCAAAATCCCCTACTTTTGCAAAAATTCTGACAGGTTCTTTAGGTCAATTTGGCCATTACTTTTTGTCTTTAATTAGTCGGAGTTCCTTGCTCATGATATCTTCGGTGGATGCCATGAGCTGGAAGCTCGGAAAGCTGCAGAAAAACCATGTAAACTGTAACTGCGTTGAACTGGAATTGAATTTATCACAGGCGCAACTCCTCGAGACCCCAGACGTACCATTAGACATTCTCCAAAGAAAGGTTCACGGAGGTGAGGACCGGCGATGATGTCAAGCCGAGATGGCGCTTAGTCATCGCCACGACAGCGCATCAAGAGCTTGACTGTCTTTCTGCATCTTACCATCTTCCTTTGAATCCGATCTCGTTCTCTGCCATATTTCTTGATGACACTACAAAGCATGGCCAGTTACTTGCGCTCCTTAGATACCTTCCTGGCGATTGTCGATCAAGACCGGATATTTTTCGGTCCATGGCGGGTTATTGTTGGAAAAGAAGCTTCATTCGAAGTTCGCATTCGCGCTACAATGTGAGATGCTCCGAGTCTTTCATCGACGTCCAAGCTTCGGTCTTTGTGCGTTAGAAAGGGGCATACTAAAGGCGAGCTCACTCTTCTGTACGAACAAGAATAGGACGACGAATGTATTCTGTCTGTGCATAATCTTTCGGCCACTCGTTCCTCATTTCAAATTCCTGTTCGGATGAATCCCGGCGTTGCTCGATGGCATACTAGATGTGCGACGCTGGGAACGGGTCCCAGCGCGCCGTGCGTCTGTCCACATGACGATGACACGGAACTTTGCATTGCAAGCGCATGTATTCTGCCGCTTCAGCCTTTTCGACCTGTTATAAAGGTGGAGAAGATCGCTACCTGAGCCACGTCGACCCTCCTCGTCATGTTCTCCCTCTCCGCGATCCCAGTCTCTGCACTCCTCGCTTTGCTGCCGTATGTTTCGGCTCAAGCGCCGGTATGGGGACAATGTAGGTCGGATGAGTCAACGATTCGTTCTTGGTCTGACAATTTGGCGTAGGCGGTGGTCAAGGATGGACTGGGCCGACGACTTGCGCTTCAGGGTATTAATCGCTGATGTCTTCATAATATTCCTGTTTCTGACGTCCCTCTCAGATCCGTGTGCACTTTCTCTAATCAATGTCAGTTCTTGTGTGATTTGCGCGAATAATCGCAACTAAACCTTCGCACAGGGTATAGCCAGTGCCTTCCGGGATCAGCACCGACAACGGCTGTGGTAACCCAGCCAGCAACAACAACCACGTCTGGTTCGGCCCCCACGACGACAGCTGCTAGCAAGGCCAATTATTGGTTCAGCTTGTGCGCCGCCTTTTCTATCCTCATTTGAACCGCTTCACATGCCGTTCCTCCAGCGGTGATTCCTACACGCAAACTGGTTTCACCCCCAGTGGCGCGCTTCCTAACTCCGTGAACCCATTTGGCAATCCCGACTTTCCTGGATGGACCGCCACGGGAGGCACCAATTGGGTAGGATACGTCACGACAACGTACAACAACTCTTTACTTTACACCTACAACTACGCCTATGGCGGAGCCACCATCGACGCGAACCTCGTCAAGCCATACACGCCGACAGTCCTTTCGCTCACGGACCAGGTTAGCCAATTCTTGACCACTGTCGCCAACAAGCCTGCGTCTACGCCTTGGACCAGCAGCAACGCGTTGTTCTCGATCTGGATCGGAATAAACGACATTGGGAACAGCTGGTACCTCAGTGGCGACCGTGGAGCGTATGTTCTACTATTGCTTCTGTGGCCGTTCTAGGGAATGACTTGGTGGAAAGATTCTCGGATACTCTCCTCAATGCCGAGTTCGCTCTGGTCCAGAAATTGGTATGACGCCTCTTCTTATCTGCCTGGCTCTTTCTTATTTTCCTGGCAGTACGACGTCGGTGCTCGAAACTTCCTCTTCGTTAACGTTCCGCCCATCGAGAGGTCGCCCTTGGTCGGTCTATCCGCTCTGGTATTGAATTTATGAATGCTGATGCAATTCATATAGATGCTTAGAGAATCCACCGAATCTCAGGCAGGAGAGAGAGCAGTCATTACGGGCTTTAACAGCCGTCTGGTCGCAAAAGCAAATGCGTTCGCTGCAGCCAACTCCGGGGTAAGCGACCTCCATTGATTTATGGAGTTCGTCGCTGCATTTTTTGCTTTTTAGGTCAAGACATTCTTCTGGGACAGTCACGCTCAGTTTACGACTATCTTGAACTCACCACAGACCTACGGGTTCAAGGACGCAACCTCGTACGGATCCGGCTCAGATATCTTCTGGGGGTAAGCTGGAATATCCTCCTGTCCCGACATTTGATTAAATGACTTCCGTCCTTTCTTTTTAGAAACGACTACCACCCGAGCAGTAAGTTCCAAACTATTTATTGAGTCTCGTTTCTTTTTGTCTTACGATTTTCACTAGGCTTTGCCCACAAGTTTTTCGGGCAAGAGGTCGGCGAAAACGCTCTCAAAGGTACCATCTGGTGAAGAGAGGCTTTGGTGTAGTCTCGTTTAAAACGGCACTGTCTTTCATGTGTATCGTCCCGCCTCCTCTACTCGTCCCGATAAAAAAATATACCTGGAAGACGCCTTCCTGCGCATCTCGTTGAAAAGGCATGCTAGAAGACACGAAGATGGACACCCCATCCCTATGTCGCAAGGGACTAGCCGCCTCTGACGGCGACCCTGAGACGTCCTCCAGTCTTAGAGCCTCCTTTCGATGAGGCGATGGACGCAGACGAGCAGGCTGGCCTGAGGCCCCAGTCATTCGTCATCGTCAGTCCAGTCCAGTCCCCCTTTCCATGAGTTCAAGCATATAAAGGCCCTTCGCCTCGTCTTCGAATGGGCATCAAATCCACCGCATCTGCCTGGCGCACTTGCCCTCCACATCCTTCATACCTTCCTTCGTATTATTATCTTCTCTGTCAATCACCCTCTTCTCTACCACCATGAAGTTCACGCTGAACACCGCCCTCGTCGCTCTAGGAGTGGCGTTCGCCACCTCTCTTCCCGCGCAGGTCGCCGCCGACGGGCCTGGCCAGCCCAACTACCAGCCCGATCACAAGCCGAGCACGACGTCGTATTCGACCATGTCTACTTCGTATTACAAGACGACTTCTTCGTACTATACGACCACCACGCCATACTACCCTTCGAAAAGTCCTTATCCCTCGAAGGGCTCCGGCGGTGGCGGTTACGACAACGGCTACAATGGCAAGGATGGCAAGGACGATTACAACGGCAAGGACGGCTACAGCGGCAAGGACGGCTACAACGGCAAGGATGGTGGCTATGGGGTCCAGGACAAGGGCGGCTACGATGGGAAGGATAAATCGGACGGCTACTCGAGCTCAAGTTATGGGAACGACAACTCTAAGGGATACCAGGTCTTATGGGGCCAATGTGAGTATTTCCCTGTCTCGACCGTTGAATCTGGACGTTAATTGCGGTGGGGTTGTTTGGCGTTATAGGTGGTGGATACTACTACTACGGGACGAAGAAGTGTCCTCCCGGCGCTTATTGTCGGTATTTCTCGGATTGTAAGTTTCTCCTGCTCTCTTCCACTGAGAGGTGCTGATTGTCCATGCGCGCGCGCGATACAGGGTACTCGCAGTGCAACCCGAACAACAACTGATACCCCACCGCTGTTCCGTTCAACATCGAAACGCGGTTCCCGTTTGTTAGTCGCGGTGCAGGGAGGAGTTAGCGGTGTACGATTAGCGCTGGAGGGGAGTGGTTTTGATCACGAAATTTAGAAAAGCCTTTCCTTGAGTTGAATTAAATACACTCCTTTGCTCGGATTGCCGTCGCTCTCGAAACTGTCTCTTGTCTTACGGAACTCCATCGGATAACGAACCTCAAGGTCCTGGAGAAAACGGTATGTTTAGGGTCAACAAAACACAATATATTCAAGGCAGACGTTACAATCACGATATGGACAAGACACGTTCCTGGGCCATTTTGGCCACAGCTAGCAGACATTCAGACGAAGGGCAAAGAAAAGAAACTTCTATGACGCTACTTTGAGCGATTGTGAGAGACATCAACGCCATTTACCAGATCCTGGTCTCGAGGAGCAAGTCGCTGTTGCCCTCCAAGCCGATGCAGGCCTTGAGGAAGCTCTCGAGCGCGTTGCGCTGCCTGTTGAGGCTGTTGACGACTTCGGTGCCTAGAATGAATGTGTTAGAAACTATGCAAGAAAAACAAAAGAGAACAGCAAACGCACCAGGCTTGACGAGAGGAGCCTTGAGCATGTAGGAAAGGAGCGACAGGACCGAGTACAACGGAGCGAAGTCCTGGCCAGCCCCAACCTTGCGATACTTGACGCGAGTAAGCAGCTCGGTGAGAATAGTCAAGTCCAGGATGAGGGGCGTCGCAAGGAGCGAGTCTTCGCACTCATTAAAGATGTTGATGGTCGAGCGGCCACCGCAGAAGATCTCCGAGTAGTACTCGTCGATCGCGCGCTTCGAGTCGCCAACGGCGGGCACGTACTTAATGACGACGATGTGGTCGGGGTGCTCGCCCTTGCCGACGAGGACGCCCTTGGGGCCGACCTTCGGAGCCTTGTAGAGGAGACGGTTCGCGTCGACCATGTCATCGACGACACTGCTCTTGCTGATCTCCTTGCTCTTGAACTGGCGCTCGGCGGAGAGGTTGTGGCCATCGTTGTTGCCGAGGTGGTTGTAGGAGGCGATGGAGAGGGGCTTGATACCAGCGTTGACGAGGAACTCTGCTAGTACGGACTTGAGCTTGGTCTGACCCGACTTGAGGTCGTCGCCACCGATGAACGACTGGTGCTTCTCGGCGAGCTCGATGGCACCTGGAACGAAGGTGTTCTGCGGCGCACCGTTGACGAAGGGCTCGCCCTCGAGGATGGCGGCGACAGCGAAGAGGGTCGAAGGAGACACCTCAGAGTGGGAGGCCTTGATCGCAGCGAGGAGGTTGCCCGCAGTATCGTTGACGCCGGGGATGATGTCGCTGTAGCGCTCGGTGTTGGCGGTCCAGAAGACGACGACACGGTCCAAGTCGTTCTCCTGCTTAAACTTGCGAATGTCGGCGCGGATGTGCTCGAGGTGAGCTTGCTTGTCTTCACCCGGAATGAGGTTATCCGCGCGGGCCTCCTGGTTGGCGGCGATGAAGTCGGGGTAGTAGATGGACGGAAGGGGCTTGCCAAGGAGCGCCATGTGCGGCGCGACCTGGCGCTGAAGGTCGTAGTCCAAGACCTTGGAGCGCTTCATGGCCTTCTCGAGGGGGACGCCGGAAATGTCCCAACCTCCAAGCACGAGGTCGTTGGGGTGGACCATAGGAAGAATGTCAGAGACAGGGACATGAACTTCCTTGCCGGTGCCGGGTTCGGTTCCAATACGGACGGTGGAGGCACGGAGGACAGAGCCAATGTAGTTGGGCTGCTGGATGCCCTCCTTGGTGTGCCAGACGATGTTATGGCGGTTGGCGAGGATGGTCGCGCACAAGGTCGTGCCGTTGTTCCCGCCAATACCGATCATCATCAAACTAGGAAATGGAATGAGCAAAGACATGTGAAACGAGGACGGAGGAACACATACCCGGTCTTGGAAACTGCGCGCTTGGTCTGGAATTCGTACTCCTGAACGGTGGGTTTGACAGAGAAGTGGCCGTCGGTCACGGTGACCTCAGAGCCACGGTTGAAGAACTTGGCGGTGATGTGCTCGTCGCTGTAGAGCGTGTTCTCGGACTGAACAGTGATTGCATTGGGGCGACGAACGGCGGTGGGATGGATGGGAAGCACAGACTCTAGTTCGGAGTCGGGAGTGTTGTACCCAGAGGTGTTGGTAGAGATAGGTGCCATCGTTCAGGAGTAGAATTAGAACTGTATGATAAATCCGGCGGCGGAGTGCTTGGAGCCTCTATGTTGGTTGTGGGTCGAGCAGAGTTGGTTCGAGTACATGCAAAGAGTTGCAAGTGAACCTGGGAAGGGTTGTAGCGCAAGCAGAGAGCTGTAGACGCGACGACGACCGTTGAAGCTGAGGGATCGAAACGCAAACGCTGGGCCTTTTATATAAGTTTCTGGGGGTTGGCGTTGGTTGTGAAAAATGCAACGAGGTTGAGGCGGTAAGAGTAAAAAGGGCGGCCGACTTCGCCCACGATGCAACACCTTTTATGTCACATCTTTTTTGATATTAGATCGTACGATATGATGCGACGATCCGATCAGTTTCCGTAAAAATGGAGGGGGTGCTGGAAAGACCTGCGTATTCGAATCTCGGTGAAGGTGCGCGCCGAACGTGGACAGGTGTAGTCTGGAGCTGTCCAAAGTCTTCAACGCAGGGTTCTCGCGCGGTGGAAGGGAAGATTTACCAGAATAACCTTCAGCTACATATGCCGGACTTTGGAGTAACCGAAGCCGTCGCCGCACAATTGGCCCCGTTCTGTCCGATGACTTCTGTCAAAAAAAAATGATGAATGTCCAGATACAGCCTAGGAGCCCCCGGGATCGCGGCAAAAGTTGAGTTCCTCGTAGGCACAGCGCAGGGGGTCACTGGTAGATAGGCTTAGATAGGAGGCTCAATCAAGCCTTGGCTTGTGCAAGAGATAGGGCGTCAATGTCAATGTTTTCCTAAAGGATTAAAAGGTACATGAGGCGCGCATTGAGGATTATTGATGGGGATATCCGGCTGATAAGATAACAGCACCAAGTCGAGACGAACGTCTATTCATAATCACAGGAAGGAGGAGGTTGAAAAAAGGTAATTGATGAAGACGTTCTAACACCCTAGGCTCCCTATAGAACCGGAGAGTCGTTTAGAAGCAGGCGAGAAGCAAGCGCAGAGCCAGTGCAATCAACACCTCGGAAATAATAAGGCAGAAGGGGTTGGAAAAGGTGCGCAAGTTTCCTTGTCCTCGAGGCACTGTGAAATTTGGCGGTTACGCATTAGCTTGCCATGCAGCAGCAGGGTTGGGCTTCAAGCTTCAACAATAATCCGATAGTCTTGGGTATCTTCTTGGTGTCGCAACAAGTACATGGTTTTGAGGCGTCACCCTGGGTACCTTCGAAGTGGGCATAGTGTCTCTTTCGGCGGTGGTAACGGAGCAAAGGCTAACTTATGTCCTTCTGGCGGCATAATAACCAGCGATCACCTAGGTCCCTCATTGATCGTCAAGCTTCAAGACTAGATATTTCCCCGCCTTGGGGATGCGACCGATGCTTTTGAAATTAATTCGAAGTCCTGTACAGGCAAAAAAGCTTTCGGAAATTCCATACTTTATCATTGCTGTCTGGAAGGAATTGGAAGAGTACGTTCATTGCTTGTGAATGCTATTCTCACAATAATCTGATACGAAATTGACGCCGACACGCATCAAAATCCCCAAAGCGTCCCGCGCATCGTGTATTCTGGGGTCTATCCTGCGACGAGCACTGCGCACCGCATGGTTGGCGCAGGACGAGGGGACATCGCGGTCGGGGGAAATCTCACACGTCTCGAAAACTTGGAATATTCTAACGAGGCTTGCAGGTTAGCGCACCAGTAGCGCCTGCTCGGTAACCCAAACGAGGGGGGATAATGCATGAGAAAGAGTGGGGGAAAGGAGGACATCACGGTCCTATTCAAGAGGCATTTATGTAACGGCCATGAGGTGGTCCCAGTCGATCTCTGTCAATGTGCCGGGCTAGGGTCGGCCAATTAATTGCAATGTCAGTCAATGATTCCATTGACGGTGGCACTTGGGAATGTTATGCGATCTGCGAGTATGACGCAACAGGAACAGCACCACGAGGCGAACTGCCGTCTTTCAGATAATTAGCCTGAACGCGGGCTCCCGCCCTCGACGACTGTCGGCGCCTAACGTAGATATAAGGATACTCTAGTAGAAAATTAAGGGTGAAAGGATCTTGAAGCTGAGATGCCACCGTGGACGAAGATGTTAAAGGGATTCCGACTTCGGAGGTGTTTATCTCGTCAGCTATAACATCCGACCAACACAAGCATCCGGCAAAGAACAACGCAAGGGAAGAAGAGGAGTGTTCTAGACCCAAATAACAGGAGGGAAGGCGGAGATACCTTGAGTCAAACTTATTCTTTATAGCAAACTCACGCTTTAGAGCCCTGTGTGCAGACACTCACTCGATGTTCACCGAGTCAGGAGTCAGACCGGGGCATTCTCTGTTGTCTAGAAGAAGTAAGGGGCGACGGCATAGAGAGAGTTTCCTCTCTTCCTGAAGCTTTTCTTGCTCACAGTATGTCTTCGTTGCTCCAATGAAGGTGATCTGTGAGAATGAGCCTATCGTGAAAACCTCGTTACTCGTCCCGTATCCTCCGAGAGTTGCTTCTGGTATTTATTTATGGTATGATGTCAATAGCTAGCGAAGAATATAAATTCATCTAGTCGGCTCTTGGTCCGATGTCTCTCCTGACGCGAGGGGATCAACGAAGATCGCGGCGACAGTCCCTCCTGCGGCTTCTCAATTTCCCCATTATCTAGTTGTCGAATTATGAATAGGAGTTTCAAACAAATTGAAATATTTGTGACATAGGGGATTGTCAAGCAGCATGCCGTAGCCCCTTATCTGCGACACTACGCGGTAGAGGCTGTCAATCATGGATTGAGCATGCGAAGGTCGGCCGAAGTCTACGCCTCCGCCGACTCAGGAGAAACAATTTTATGTACCACCACGACGAAATGTGAGGCAGGGAACTAACTGAGAGAAAGGAACACGCCGCACTCCAACTGATGCGACTCGCCCATGCGATCATGTCCATTTATGGAGAAGACGTGCGCCACACTGATAGCTGCTTCCAGACCTCGTCCAGACTCCTATGCAGGGAAACTCCCAATTGCGTCAGACCAAGGCTCTTGTGTCTTGGCGTCACTTCTACGATCTTGTGAGCGAGACAAAAATCGAAATTAATCTCGGTTCATTCCTTGCACGAAAGACCGGTTTGTGCACCACACAAAACCCCGACTCTAATCGCAGTGGCGTGTCACACGATGTGCACGGACAATTCAGAGACTGTAGCATAAAGCGAGTATCTCTTACGGCCAGCGCTTTGAGCTCCAGGTCGATAAAGAAGCAAAGCAGGCAAGGAAAGAAGCTATCGAACGTGGAGACGCCCTGTACAGGGCGGCATTGATGCGTAGGGAATCGGCGAGTGAGCAGAGCGGGATGTGATATTAATGAATTTCATAAACGAATTTTCGTCAACATCCCTGATGAATGGCGTCGCACGCAACGCAGTACCTGAGGGTGAAAGAAGAGGCAAAGAGGATGGATGTCGGGGAAAGGACTTACATATGTCGCCGATTCTCGGTTTCTTTTGGGTAGATGTTCGATAAGGGATCACTCTACATAGAGTGTACGAGGTTGGCCATCCAAATCCGTATTTGAGGTAGCTAGCTTGATTCGTTGATTCGGGAGTGGTGACAACTTTCGGCACTACTCTACGTTCAGCACAACGAATCGCAGAGAAGATATTTTGAGATGGGCACCGCAACAACACAAACGGCAAGCAGTCATCCTGTGACCAAGCGTCCAGCCTGGATATGAAGCTCGAAACCGAGGTCCCTGGGAAATAGACGCGTAGCGGTTTCGTCCCATCAAACCGGGATGCGTGAATACGAACGAGCTCTTGGGGGCTTCATTAGATGCGCCAAAGACAATGAGGATCGAACGAACGATCTCGATGCCAGAATACATGTTTATATTCCGAGGACGGTCTTAGCGGCCTGCCATACGGATAGCGAGATACTGTGCATGGGTACTTGCTTAATTAAACCAATCCCCAGTCCAACATAATATCCCCGCCACCCATTCAGCCGCCAGATGGTGCTCATAGTGTGGCAGACTCCTAGGGGTTGATTCGAGTTTGAGAGCCCATGGCCTCCGGCCTGCTGGATGCGCCGTATAACCTCGAGCGGGTATGTGATAATTTGAGCCGAAGTACCCGCGATCGCGCCAATAAGCAAATGAAGTTTGTGGCGATGTCGCTCACGGAATCGAGCAGACAAATGGCGATTGCTGTATTGATTGAGTGTTTCCCAAGCTAGGAAGATGCCGCCGCGGTAAGGTATCGTGCCGGCGAGAGTGACAGCGAAACCTCGGTAGAAGTTGGCCATGCCACCAGGTGTCAGCAACGGTTTTTCGTTGTAGATGTGGCGAAAGACTTGTGAAATACTAGGTCGCCCGGCAAGGCGCTGCGTCGTAATCGCCATCCGCACCCGAGCAAGTTCGAAGGGATACGTTATTGGCAAGACAGAAACACCTAGGTGTACGTGTATCAGAAATTAATAGACCGATGAAGAGAACTTTCCGTTCCACCTGCAATGGAGCCTGCGACCATTCGACGAAAAGGCGTTTGGTCTGGAGGTGTAGGCATCATAATCTTGAAGGACATAAGTCGAACACCTCACATTTAGGAAATGGGGACCAACCTGCGACACCGTGTCATATACTGTGTATCCCAGTGCGGCGTGAGGTACGGCCCGAGCCAGCGTCAACGAATTGCCCCGATACAATGCCAGAAAACCTTGGCTATGAATGATGTGACGAAGGCCGTGATAGACACCGCGCCAATCCCCTGTGTGGTAGAAATTGAGTCTTTATGTAAATGGCCCTACTATCAACTGAGAAACCGACCAGAAAACTGCTTGTACTCATGGTGATGTGTTTGAAACAAAATCTTTATACGATCCAGGGGTGCAACGGCAGTTTTCGCCTAAGCTTCTTGTGCTTTCAGTCAACAAGCGCATAAGTAAGATTTCGGACTGACAACGCCCCCGGCAATTCCTCCAGCTAGCATCGAGTGCATATAAAAGCTTGCCTGTCGTTTCTTCGATGGGGACTCTGCCATGATCGTGGTGGAGGAAGGTTTGGAGGTGGCCCGAGTTCAAAGACACTTGTCAGTCAAGGACTTCAAGAGGAATATCAACAGCTGGCACTAGAGCATTTCATGATGAACGTAAGAGCCAAGTGTGACGGAATTGGAAAAACGCAGCTGTCATAAGTCACGTGCATTACAGAACCGTGACCTCAACGTCACACCGGTGTAGGCGGCCCGGAGAACTCCGCCTCGGTTCTACCACTTGCACGACAGATCTGGACGCTACTTTTGAGCATCCCACCTCGATTTAGACCTTTTCAAGGCAAATTATGTCTCCTGGAATACAATCTCGAGTCTGTGGATGAATTCATTAATGAGGATGGCTCCCTGATGAGCATCCAGAACTAGGGAAGGGTGCCATTGACCGGGTAGGTGTAAGTCCTCGCTGAGATATGAGGGCTATACAGTGGTAGCGGTTACCCTTAAATATGTCATTCACCCGAGATCGTTATGGAGGAATAACCGACTTTCGGAGCTACATGCCCATTCTCCAGCGGGCGCCTATTTTCCTTCTGACGGTCCTCAATGTACTCAGCCAGGGCCAAAGCGGTTCGCGCCGAGCAGCCTGATGTTCAGAACTTGCCAATTTCAAACCCCTCTTAAGCCACGCTCGTAGAGCCCCATAAAGCTTATAGTCGTCTTATCGATCTGTCGAACTAACTTTCTATCACATATCTATGTGTTGATAGCAACCTTTCTGGGTCAGACGAGCTGTGAAACGTGCCTTAGCGCTCGTTTCATGAGACTATCAGGGGGTATCAGCGTGAGAAATAGATATGATCGACGTATACATGGAACAGGGAGACAAAGTGGGTGTCTAGTTCACGTTGGTGGTATTCTCTCGGATACCATGCACGATTTGCTAAGGTTTTCGGTAGTCCGACAGTTGTTCATATATCATGGGCGCTATCTTGTACAAGGTGTTTATACTTTCAGCTATCACCAAACTGCGCTTGATGACAGGGGTTACCAGTTTCGAATTCTTGGATTGGCACTTTGGAATGTGGGCGCTTCCCCCGCTGCGTGACCGAACGTCGCATCCCTACGCCCGTCATGCCTGGTGTTAGGCTGAGCCGGCGTTTGATGGTTCTGTGAAGCCAGGAGACCTGACATCAACAGAACTTTGGTTTTGAGGATCAACTGGTGAGTAAGGCCTTCCGTTCCGTGAGGCAAGGTGACCTTGACCAGGCCCATCGCCGTTGTTCCAACTACCGTTGTCTGCACACCTGGACGAGCTGGAATTTTAGGATCAATGAAGGCTTCATCCATGAGGAACGGATCGAATATCAGAGTCTTCGGGCGGATTATCTTGAGTTCAAGATACTCGTTTGAGTTCTTCCTGGCGGTGCTAAGTATGCGTCGAAGTTCGCGCCCAAGTTCGAAGATGGGAGAGTCGAATATTTGGCGCCGGAGGTGTTCTTTGTCGGAAATTGCCCACTCAGCGACGAAACACGTATTTGCAAATGCGTCGACCACTTCGTTCTTCCACTCTTCAAGAGGTAATGTGGCGGTCTGGGGCCGATTTTCTTCTGGCAAAAAAATATTAGCGATCACGTCAGTCGCAAGGCATAAGGGAGACTGACGAGGAGCTCGCGCACGTCCATACCCTGTGTCCAAAGGGCCTGTGTTGCCCTGAGGTTCCTCTGCCATGATTTTCCGAAATAGCAACTTGACGATGAGTACTTGGATCACAATCCGTGAAAGGAGGGGGTTGACGGTTGCTTCTCCTTCACTCGGCTGGTTAGTAAGAATTAAGATGATGTCCTTGCTGAGGTGGTCTTCTGCGACGTCGCGCCTCTCCTCCCAGTCAGAGTGTTTGAATGAATACAGGCGCCGGTGTGAGACAAGCAGACGACCGAGAGATGCTGCGAGGTCGGAAATCTCTTTGTTGAGCGCTGTAACGTGTTCGATCTGGCACTTACGGGAACGTGTTGAAGAAACTATTGGAGACTGATGCAACAAGCTGGGAGCTGCTATTGGTGAAGCCACAGGCACCAACATCTGGCACGAAGTTGAACACTGCCATAGATGTGGTCAATAGTGATTTGTCCCTTCTGGAAAAAATGGGCGTACGCGTTCCAACATGTTTCTGAGCTATGGATGACACGGAGATAGACAGAATGAGAACAAAGTGTGCGAGGTACATCATGGCGGTGAAGGTGCAATCGATACGGAATGGGAGACGGCAGACGAAGACGCCGAGAGCGATTTCAGTGGCTTTATACCCGGACGAGGTGGGCCAGATGATCCGCCATCGTTCCTTGCAATGGATGAGGAGCAAATGAACACCCATGAAGCGGTACTGCATTGACCAGAACTTGCGTAAGAGAAGGCATTTGGGTTGCAGATTTAAGCTTAAATAGGCCTCGCTTGCCTGTTCACGACGCCGCATGACGACTTCGCCGCGGAAAGGCTACAGTGCATCCTTCCAAGGTAATATGGAGCAGCATTTCGTAGTAGGGGTCTGAATAATTTGCGTGCTGGGGTCTTCATGAAGGTAAAGTCGTCTGTAGGAATTTAGAAGGACGTAGATTCTGACGAACAGCGTCGATACACAACCCGGCCTCGAGATGAATATGAGGTTCATGACTGGAGAACATCGTGAAAATTCCTGATAATGAACACCTACAGAATCCACAATAGTACAGGAGCGATACAGTACTTGAACTCCGTCCAGGCGCACAGTCCGCGCTCAACAGACGCGCATATATGCACAATTTGTTCGCCAAGGAAGGTTTTTGAGCTCTAGAAGTGGTCGTGCTTTGCCGAATGAAATCGAGGGGCCATCTTCTTTGCATTCTGGGAAGGAGTTACGAGACATCGCTGTCCTGGCTAACATTGACGGAGATGTTGAGCGACAGTAGTATACAGTGGTACAAGACGTGATGAGCGTTGAGTATAAGGAGTTGTTCGCCGTTGTCCGGAATGACAAACAAGCGGTGCTCACGGTCACAAACAACGGCCAGACGCCGGTAGCCTCGATCTTCTTCGTCTGCCACCACCACCTTGACATCGCAGGTCCTCGCATCGGGCCTCGACTGCGCCTTCGACGATTCTCCGTGGCTTGAGACGCTTATTGATGTTGGACGCGGGCCCTTCGTCGCCCTCATCGCAAACAGCCGACTCAGAGGTGGCCATGGGACTCAGCACACTGCCATACGACTTGTTACTGAACATTGCCACGTACCTGGACCTGCGCGATGTCCATGCCCTGCACTCTGTGAGTATTCTTCAATGATCGGACGATGGTGCATGTCGCATTTTCGAGATGGGGACGCACGGATGGCTAATCTTGCGCACTCTTCAGACATCCAGAGCCCTCTACGAGGCATCTACCACACGCACAGTGTACCGGAAGCTTGCGAACGATCTCCTACGACGATGTCGTGCTCTACCCCTGAAAGGCTTCCAACGCCTTTCGGACCTTACCACCGAGCAGCTCATCCGCGCTGTGAACAAGGCAACCCACTACGAGGCAGCATGGCGTGTTCGAGCGCCACGACCTATCGCCCCAGAGCCTCACACGAACGGAATTAATTCGCATTCAAACTACATGGACGTATCGCCGAAGAGCCGCCTCTCGGAGAAGGTCCAGCGGGAAGAGCACAAGTGGTACAAGATCGTGTCGGCGCCACCGGGGGAAGAGGTCGATTGGCTCTCACCAATCACGTCGAGTTACACGCTCTGTGCGACGAAGAGCGGAAAGGTTGTGTGTTGGGACGTGCAATCGGACACATGCCTCGCTGAGTGGAACCCCGGCGCAAGATGGGAGCTTTGGAAGTGTCGGGTCGAATTTGAGGAGAGGACGGTGTTTTTTACGATGGCAAAAGTGCTTTCTGGATCGTGAGTGGGCCTAGTTATTATATGCGCAACCACTGCTCGATATTCATCTTTTTCACAGCTACGATGACGATCGTATCATGGAGTTCGTCCTGATGCGACTGACATTCTCCGATGGCCCGTCTGGCGAGAGTTCTCTAAATCCGCCTATCTTTTCTCATGTTACAGAGTTTCGTACGACAGGCGTTGTAATGAACGTCTTCCTCCTCGACCCATCTGAGCGCCTATTATCAGCCTTCATCTGGGTGTCCACTTCCAACACGATCGGGCTTTACGCACTTCCTGACTGGAACAAGAACGAGTATGTCTTCATTGACACTGGTATTGAATGCGTGAGTCCTCCAAAATATCCGTTTCGTTGTCTAATATTGCCTTAGGTGATGTCGTCGAACTGGTCATGTATTTTGTATCAACAACACATCGTTATCCACTGCGAAGAAAGCGATGCTGCATATCAACATTTTTATCCGCTATCACTGTTACGCACATACACGAACACCCTGCCGACGAAAGATTCCACACCATCTATATCCCGACGACTACCGCCTGCTCGCACCCTCAAGAAGAAGTTCATATTTCCATTATTCGTGGAGACCGACTCGGACGCGGATGAACCAGATCTTGAAGGCGACATGCATACAACCTATCAACGAATCCTATCTCGAAGATACCTTCATCACTACAAGTATACCTATACTCAATGGCGATATGCTGAACTCAGCAGGGCCATCTACCCAACCCACGACCGCTGCCCCATCGTCTTCTCCATCACAAGCGTCAACAGCTTCCTCTTCCTCATCTTCACTTGTGATCACAGCACCTCCGCACGACAATCCCAACCCTTATCCATTCCCACCATGGTACCCGGAAAGTGCACACTTTGTTCGGCAGTGGTGGCCCAGCCTCGCCAACATACCTCGGGTCAGCTGCACCGTCGTCCTCCTGGCCGCCCATGATCCGGAAACACATCGAACGCGGTTCGTCCTCGCGCAGCACTATTTCCGGGTGCCGCTTGATCATGCAGAGTGGGAACATAGCATCACCGCTGTTCAGGGAGAAGTGCCTGTCACGAACGGGAAGCTACTAAATGGACACGTGAACGGGAAACGGCCGGCAACGCTTGAAGACTTGCAGGACGACGCGCTGATGCATCTTTGGTACGTGAGCACACCGTTCGAGGTCGTGCGCGTCTTCGATGGGCAGGAGGAAGAGGATGATGGGCAGTTGACTGAGCGTCCTCGTCCACTCGTAGCAGTCGACTTCGGCCACGCGGTGTGGATCGAGTACGACGATGAAGATCGGCCAAGGGTAGATACGGATGGAGAGATTGAAGGTGGCGAGTCGAAATCGCTGAGATTCGTCACGTTCCCGCCATTCAGTGAGGAATACGGTGTTGAGATCGATCTGAGCTCTGGGGGTTCGACTAGCGAGGTCAGGAAGCTGGAAATACCGCCAGAGCTAGATTTGTCGACCGTCGAGACCATCAATATCGACCAGTCACAGGGTGCGATCATCCTCTCTGATAAGACAGGGAGAATTTTTATTCTCTGTTACGAGTGATTTGGGCACTGGACGGGAGGTCATCATGATGTGGCATGCGAGTGCTTTCCTGCTTTCCTTCATTCGATGGCACTTTTACTGATATCTGGGATGGACTCGGTGGATGGACCTGCTCCGACAATAGTCGTTATAGATCTGTATTATCATGTAAGTCGCTCAGGAGTAATCTGTATTTAATGCAAGGATTTACCGCAGTGCTTTCACGATCCTCTGGCTGAAGATAAGGTGGTGTCAAGCGAACGGATCAACAGGAACCCTCTCTAAGTATAATTGAACCCGCGGAACAAAATCATGAGAACAAAAATTAGCCGTCGTCAGCAGGCTTGAATTTGACTCTTTCTCTTCTTCCTCTTCATGGGACAAATTGGGGAACCTCTTAGACTCGTGCAGTTTTCGAAGATCCCGAAATTTGCCCAAATACAACACGCCATGAAACTTTTTCCGGCTGGATCGGCACGTTCACAACTTCAATAATTAGTCTCGACAGTTGGCCTGCAGCACACAACCCCGCAGGAATCAAGCAGCGAGTCATGGGAGACGGTCTGGTCGGTTCTGGTCTGTTTTCTGATAGGATTGCGAGCCCAGTGGCAGCGCTAAAAACCTGTAGGAGCAACCATCCTGATTATCATGGGCGGGCAGCCTGACATGCTGGCAGCCCCGAAGGTCAAAAGCGGGAAAGTCACCCTGAATCCGAACAGATACCCAGATGCGTACCAAAGAAGAGGCCATCGCCCGTCGGGTTTGTCATGATCAGAACCAATCATTACGTCGACCAGATGATGCTATGGATTCCTTTTAAACGACCTACACGGAACAGGCACTCCATCTCTCCCTCCAAGTCAACCACAACTCGTAAGTAGTTTGCAATTCTTTTCGAGTCTTCAAGCTGAAAGGCGCCCGTAGGACCTCTAACTCAACTCTATGCAGACAACATCAAAGGAAGCACCCACGAAAGCGGTTAGTCTCGCGGCTGTACACTGTCGATCCCATTTGAATCCTCGAAAACACCCAGGGCGACAAGTTTCTCCCTCTTGACATCGCGGTTGTGGGAGCGGGGCTCGGTGGATTGGCTGCTGCCTACCTCCTAGGACGTGCTGGACACAGGGTCACTGTCTTCGAAGCAGCCTCCACTATCAGCGACGTGGGCGCTGGGATTCAGCTGTCGCCGAATGTCACCAGGTTGCTGGCGCGGTGGGGCTTGGGTGAGCAGGTGAAGGAGCTTGCGTTTGTGCCTGAGACCTTATCTTTGCGCCGCTGTTAGTAGACCCCCGCAGTGATCATTGTGCGTGCAAGTTCTGAAGTTATTTTTAGATAAGAACGGCGAGGTTGTTGGATGGAGGAAATGGGGCGAGATAATGGAGAGAGACTATGGCGCGCCTTATTGCCACATCCACGTCAGTCTTCCTCCTGCCTCGCAAACTCTATATACGATTTCTGACGTCGTTTTAGAGAGCGGATATCCATAACATCCTTTTTGAGCACGCAAAGCCGCACATCAACTTCCGGCCGAACTCGACCGTGGTCTCAATTGATCCTTCAGCACCTTCACTCACTCTTGCATCTGGGGAAATCATCAGGACGCAGGTTGTGATAGGCGCAGACGGGGTTCACAGTCGCATCAGGAGTATCCTCGTCGGGGAACCAGACTCTGCGACGCCCACGGGCGATGCGGCGTACCGCACGTTGATTCCAACGTCTCTTATGCTCAAGGATCCGGAGCTGAAGGACCTGGTGAACGAGGGCGCGAACTGCTGGATGGGGCCGAAAAGGCATGTCGTCGGATATTGTGTGGTGAGTGACGTTTCAGTGATTCAGATTCATCACTGTCAGTCAGGAAAGAGCGCTCATGATACGCTGACAGAGACGCAAGGAGTTATATAATCTTGTCTTGATCCACCCATGTAAGGTAACGAACGAGAACACCCGAGAGGTCGATTGCGATGTCATGCGGAAGGACTTTGAAGGTTTCGAGCCACGGTACGCGTTTCCCTCGACAATGACACCTTTCTTAGCGTTGAAGCGCTATACGACGGCAGCGTACAGAAACTATTATCATTGGTTGATTCAGCTTTGGTGTGGTCATTGATGGATCGCAAACCGCTGGACTCGTGGGTACACAAGGACGGTAAAGTGTGCCTCCTCGGCGATGCCTGCCATCCTATGCTGGTGAGTTGCATTATCGCCCTCGCAAAACCTCCGTGTGCTAAATCGGGCCAATTAGCCATACCGAGCCCAAGGCGCAGCGATGGCCGTAAGTCAAAAGCTACGCGGTCGATGTCGTATTCCGCTGACATATTCTGTCCGCTTCTAGATCGAAGATGCTGCTGTTCTTGGTAATTTGCTGTCTAGGGTGACGCAGCGGAATCAGGTCCCGGTTCTCCTGCAGGCATATCAAGAGCTCCGCTTGCCGCGTGCAACCCTCGCGCAAGACGAGTCGCGTATGAATCAGTCGACATTTCATCTGGAGGACGGCCCTGATCAGGAAAGGCGCGATAACTCGATGCGGGCGGCCATGGAGGTTGCGCTGAAGGAGCTCCGGGGAGAAAATACGGATGCTGCCTGCGTTGGAAGCCAGAATATGTGGGGTGACAAGGAGAAGAACGACCGAAGTTTTGGATATGATGCAGATGTGCACGTAGAGAAGTGGTGGGTTGAGAACTCCAGTCGGGTTCTCGCTAAGGCGAAGTTGTAAATTAGTGAGTTCAGGCTCGATTTTGTCCGGTATCTTCCTTGGCTAATTGGGATGTGAGATGTTCATCCAGGTATTTCCCTGTAAATTGTCTATGTAGGTCATTAGTCTCTACTTTCTTCATGATTGTTCCAGATGTGACCTTGTGAAGGGTGCCCTCCTTGTTTACACCCGGACCTCGATGAAAGGCAGGCCTTACATAAGAAAGTCGTGACTTGCATACCTGGGCGCCTAATTCGCATCGTTCTTTCATCTTGACCATGTCAGCTCGTAAGGCTTTTAGTGGTGATTCTCGCAAACTTGTTCTTGCCTTCGACGTGGGGACCACATTTAGCGGTATCTCTTACAGGTATGCTATTACGATGCTCCTTGTCCTCAAAATGTGGACTCACCTCGTGGCGGACAGCATCCTCGATCCCGGCAGATCTCCAGAAATCAGAGGCGTAACAAGGTGAACGGCGATTCAACGAGACACTGTAGCTGTTGTTGAGCTTAGATACAGATTTCCCGGCCAACACGAGAGTTACAACGGTTCCTCCAAGATCCCAACGATCATATACTATGACAAGAATGGCAAAGTTCGGGCAGTAGGGGCTGAGGCAGTAACTGAATCGATGCTGGTAGCGGCGGAGGAAGAGTGTTGGTTCAAAGCTGAATGGTCTTCAGGCGTTGCTTTCACAATTTCTGCTGTCGCTGACAATTTGCTGACGACCATAGGTTCAAATTATTGCTATGCAAGAAGAAGACAGGAAATCCTCTCGTACAAGAAATATCTTTGCCACCCCGCAAGACTATCACTCAGGTTTTCGCTGACTTCCTTAAGTACCTCTTCGAGTGCGCATCAGAATACATCAAAGATACTCACGCCAATGGCCCGGACTTGTGGGCATCGGTGAAGGATAAGGTCGACTTCGTGCTCTCCCATCCTAATGGGTGGGAGGGTAGAGAGCAAGCTATTATGCGAAACGCTGCCATTCTCGCAGGATTGGTCCCAGACACTCCAGTTGGACGTGGGAGGGTATCGTTCCTGACAGAGGGCGAGGCAAGCCTGCATTTTGCGATCGAGAATGGCCTTTTGGAAGGTGTAGCAGAGGTTAGTCCCTCTGCGTCTTTGATTGTTAAGTGTGCCTAAAGATGTTATCATAGAAGGGGCAGGGCTTTCTGATCGTCGATGCAGGCGGAGGTACTATCGACACGAGCGTCTATCGTCGCAAGCCCGGAGATTCCAAATCCTTTGAGGAAATTGCAGCTTCTCAATGTCAGCTCCTGATTGTTACTGCGGTTCAATTTCTTTCTTACTTGCTGAATGTACGCAGGCCACCTGAATGGCTCAGTATTCGTCAGTCGGCGGGCACGTCAGTATCTTAAAGGCTGGCTCACCGACTCGCCCTTCGAGGATGATGTCGATACGATCGTCGATGAATTCGATCGGGCGACCAAACAAAGATTCTCGGACCCCAAAAATCCTCAATTTATCAAGGTCGGAAATACTCGCCAGAATTTCAAGGAATGGAATATCAGTCATGGCCAGCTGAAGCTCGATGGGTGCGTACAAATAGTCTGAAGAGTGTCATCACCTTCTGATTGCTGATTCCTGCGTGGCAAAGAAAAAATGTTCTTTCTTTCTTCGCGCCGTCTTTGCGGTCCATTGTAAACTCTATAGGGGAGCAGAGAAGGTTGTCTGTGTCTCCCATCAAGGCGAGCGCTTACATCAAAGAAAACATACCGAAAGGCCTAATTCAGATGACGCACAGCACGTCATCCTTGTGGGCGGCTTCTCTGCCAATGAGTGGCTCTTCAAAAGCCTGAACGACAACCTAGCACCCCATCGAATGAACGTCTTTCGTCCTCCAAACCGAGTGTAAGTCATATCATTTCTGCCACCAGCTCCTTTTATGTAAATAAACTAAGGGTTTAACGATCATGTCGCAGAAATAAGGCAGTCGCGGATGGAGCTCTCTCCTTCTACCTGGATCATTATGTGACCTCCAGGGTCTCCAAGTATACGTTCGGGACAGATGTTTCCGTTGACTACAATTCATTCAACGAAGAACATGTAAAGCGTCGGGGCAAAGTATTTCGTCATTCAATTTCGGGGGAGTTGAGGGTCCCTGGAGGATTTGCTGTCATTCTTCCCAAGGTCAGTAACCCAGAAATGTTGTAGCACAAGAGCACCTAATGTTCCATTGACAGAATACTCAAGTTACGGAATCCAAAGAATTCCGACAGTCCTTTATCTTGCAACCAGTCTTCTCTCCGGGGCAAAGCCAAGGAGTGGAACAAATCGACGCTGATATTTTCTGTTACCACGGAATAGATAAGAATCCTGGATGGATGGATACTGATCGTGGTATGAACCCCCCAAATCCATGTGGTGCGTGTGCGTGCGGCTCACTCATCATTGACACACCAGGGAACTTCGCCCGCCTTTGCAACATCGTAGCAGATCGACCGCAGATGAGTCGAAAGACTAAGACGAACGGTGACCAGAATAAAATCTACTCGGAGGTGTCTTACGAAATTGTTATCCTGTTTGGCAAGACGGAACTCCAGGCCCAGATAGCCTGGCTTGAAAACGTGAGTCGTAGATGATACTGTTTCTCCATTCTACTTGAAAGTCCTGACTGGCCCTGAATATTAGGGAGTGGAAAAAAGGTTTGTCAAGACGATGTCTTTTCTTCCCTTGTCTGATCCATACCGCGCTGCTTTAAGGAGCCCAGCGAAGATCGTATACAATGACGAGGATTTCTGATACTCCTTTTTAGCCGAGTTTGTGGAGGTGTGCTGCGTCGCTTTCCTAAGCTACACTGTACACTTGAATATAAACTCAATCATCAAATACCTCTCCGCTCACTCCGTCTGGTGCCAAGTATCGACTAACCGAATACGCGCAGGTAACCACGAAATACCCGACAGGAAATGTGAAAGCGCGTCCTGTCGGAAGCGCAGACTCGGCACCTTGGTTCAGACTCGGTTCGCGCAGCGTGGATCTGCCCTTATTTCCTGAAATGCTCAATGAATGATACGGTTGCGTGTTCTTCAAGAGGTTCAGTAGAAATGGATGACATGGTGACTGTCAGAAAGGAACAAGGGCTCAGAGTCAGAATCAAATTAGGCGCCGGTATAACACAAATGAGTCCACGGTCACGTTGGCAGACCTCCTTGATGTCAAGTTTCCTCCACAAAACGTATACTACGTAGCCAAATCATACCAAGGCCTACGCGACCGGAAATTACACTTACACTATCAATTCACGTCTCTGCCGTCATATCCAGACAGTCCTGCCGCAGAGGGAGCAGCATTTGTTGCCTCCTTCAGGATCAAGGTCGTCGAATGTTCCAACTTCATGAGCGACTCTAGCGTGGGGGCCACAACAACCTGCGCGGGGATAATATTTCGCAAGACTGGAGGTTCTTCGTTCTCGCCGCCAATGACCTTCTTCAACCCAACACCAAGAGTTCCAGCAACAATAGGGACAGTCAGAGTAGACGATTCACGGTCGATTCAGCGGTCGATTCAAGGTGCGATTCAGGAGGACTGAATCGCCATCATGAATCGTGGGAAACGTGAATCGCGATTCTGCTTCACTGGTTTCATATCTTTTTGGTGGGTTGTCCCTTGCATTTCCTCTTTTTATACATAAGCTCGATGGATTTCACATATATTATTTAGTAGAAATATCGGACCAGGATTGCAGAACACGCCTGCTCAAGTATGTCTTTGAATCTTGAGTGCCAGAGCTCGAAATCGGGGGAAAATAGCGATTTTAATGCAAAAAAAATTGGCTAGGAATCTCTTGTGCTGGTTAGCAACCAAAATACGGAAAAACCATTGCAACCATACACTTGTGACCGAGAATTTACAGAGAAATGACCCGATTCAAGATGGTTTCAGCCAAAAACGAAGGAAGGTGGTCGAATTCATGTCTATCTCTGAATCGGGACGGTCAAAGTTCGGGATCATTTAGGTTGGATTCATCGACGATTCTGATCCATGAATCGCATCGTGAATCGTGTTTTGAATCGTCCGTGAATCGCTTACTCTGACTGTCCCTATTGATAACAGATAGCTCGATTTTGTCCAGTAGGAAGGTCTCCCCAATTGCGATCCGTAATGCTTCTTTGGACTGGAATAGAGGGGTGAGCCGGGTTTCAAATGTTGCTCAAGTCTTTGCCCCAGGAATGAACCAGGCCGCGATCTTGAAAACATTGGATAGTTTCGACAAGAATAAAGGCTTGAAGTTTCCTATCGTAGATGGAGGGAGTGAGGGTTGTAGTTGGTGATAGTTTCGACTTGATGAGGACGTATCATCTGTTCACACTCGCCATGTGAGATAATTGCCAATAGAGAGACAAAACGAATGTGTACCTGGTCCGAGTTGACTATTCGTGAACAGACTCCGAGGTGCAATTTCAGAGCAACCGCGAAGGTTTGAATGACGCTTCGGACGAGGGCCTCATTTGGACCAGCAGTGACCAGCTCGGCATTTCGAGACAAGGAAACGAGTAAGTCGCAAAACGGCCCTCCGATCATCTCCTTGCAGCCCTCATAGGCTCTATTCAACTCCTCCTGGAACGTCTCTGTGCACCGGTAGACGATGTTCTTCGTAAGGAAAGCGGCTACCTTGGAGATGTCGTCGTTGAATCGCTCGACCTTGTCCAATAGGCCTGCGTAGGGGAGAGCGAGGGCCTCCTTCAGGAGGATGTGGGTGGCAGCGACAAGCGTTCGTTGGCAATGATGAGTCGATTTTGGTTCTCTTCCAAGGTGTGCAGCTGATCCTTGCAGGTATCGAGTTCATCGCGACAGGAAGTCCGCTTCTGCAACGTAGCCTTGCACAGAGTCAACTCCGCGAGACAGGTATCGTACTTGTGCTGGATATCTTGTCGGTCCAAAGTTGCCTGTTTCGCCTCCTCTTTCCATCTGTCAATTTCTGAGGGCGGGTTGTCATCTCGCGACTGCCGCCTAGCTCTTGAGTCGCGCCTTTCTTTCGAAATGCTAAAATGTTGGAATGCAGTCCGAACGTCTGTCAAAGCTATGGTATACCTGCGCGCCCTAGACCAGGTGAGCTCGCAAACATGTGCTGGATGATGCTGCTGTGATTCATGATACGCTTCGACGGTGAAGTTTCTGTGTCAGCGGCGTAGGTGTGAACGTGGTCAAAGGGGTGTGCCTTGGCGACTCCCCCGTTTAATCATCAGCCGCATTGGTCGGAACAGTGCCTGGGCGGTCGGTCCTCGGCGGCGTTATCAGAAATACCAGCTGCGCTGGCAGAAGGGGCTAAGCAGAGTCTGAACTTTATTCTTCCAAAGGAATCGCAGACGCACAAAATTCATACAACTCGTGTGGACGCTATACTAAAACATGCATAGAAAAAGATGATAATTATCGCGAATAATCGTCCAACGAATAGGAGTATCTTATGAAGACAGGGTCCTACGCCCCAGGACCATGAGTCAGTCGCAGTAAGGCATTGAGTGAGTACGCGACGTACGCACATAATGATTAGGGGTGCATAGCTGGCAGTCATGAGGGTATTAAGGAGGGGTATATTGGCTTCCGTTGTTGAGCGATGGTTGATTGTCATGGGGGTCGTGGATAGAATCGTGGGCTGCATGTTCTTCCTCTTCTTCGTCTTCTTCAGGAATGGGTGAATCGAGTTCGTCCTCAGAGTGAAGCTCAGCCTCGGGATCAGCTTCGTCAAAGATGACGTGGAACTGGAAGGGCAATGTAAGTATGTTGGCGATTATGGCAAGGGATCGAAGGACGCACGTGTGTAATCAAAGCTTTCACAAGTTTGTGGGAAAGCCCCATATTGTTAAGAATCATTACAAAGTCGTTTTGGGGTGCCCTCAAGAGATTAGGGCTGAAGACAATCGCCAACGCCTCAGCGGTCATCTGGTTATGCTCTTCGTAGTCCGTGACCCTGGAGGAGATACCGTCAGAACGTTCGTCGCTCAAATGCAAGAGTCACTAACTTATCAAGGTGCTCCGAGACTCTCCGGAGGATATCGAAGTTGGATTGGGGCAAAGCCTGGACGACGTTGCGAATGCTGACCAGGCGGTCATCCAAATTCTCTTGTCCTATAGATCATGCCTAAGAAAACTGCAATAAAAGTAGCATCAGAATACGCACTCATCGCTTGCATCACGTCCCGATACGAATCTGGCGGAAATACAGGCTGTGGAAGAACCCGGAACCATGACTTGACCAAGTCGCAGATGGCATGAATATCTGTTGTCGGTCGAATTGGGAACTCGCCTCGGTTGTATGCATCTTTGAGGGCGTTGATCTCTGTTGTAGCACCAGCAATTCGATCTGGAGCACTCGTTAGCTAGATATAGCGCAAGACTATTAACAGGCATACAAATGCCCACTTCACTCAACCCGCGGGATTCAATCTCGGCCAGACATTGTTCAATGATGAGGGGGACCGTGCCGGGTGGTATCTCGTCCCCTCCAGCCTCTCGACGAAGAAGGAACTCCAGTTCGACGCCGAACACTGTCAGACAGCTCAGTGGAGGCACAAAAATCATGGGAGAAAAATGAACCTACCAGCTTTAGGGTCGCAAGAAGCAACAATGGGGTGTGAGTGGATATGGTCGGCGATCTGAGGTTTGGGATTGCCAAGGTAGGTCAACCGCCGCTTCGCTGCCGACTTCGTAACACGAGAAATGGTCTCGAGCCATTTGTTCATCTCTCGTTTGCTGACGGCCTGCAAGAGGTAATGGCCACCGTCCTCGGTATCAAGTTTGAACATGAAAGACCGCTCATTGTTGATGAACTGAGAGACCTGGGCATCCAGAATGCTGAGCACCAACGAGGGCTTTCCCATGGCAGAAAAGTCCAACTCCAACGCGGACCTCTTGTGTGTGACGTGGTAAGAAATTTCCGCTCCGAAGGCACTGGAGAGAGGTCGCATGAAGTTGAGGAAAGCCGACATGCTTTTCTTGTTCCGGTGTTGTTTCTGAGCATTGGACAACGGTTTGCGAGGACGCATAGCTTTGTTGAGGAGGTCATCTCGACGATCGTTCTTACTTTGCTCTTGCATTTTCTCCCGTTGGGCCCGAGTTCGCATGTTCTTGTCTCTCCGATGCTTCTCGACCTGGATAGCGACAACCTTGGAAAACGGACGAACAGGCTTCTTGCTGGGCGGTGCTCCATTCATGCTGGATGACGTAGCTTCTCTTATCGCCTCTTCCTTGACCCCTCGAAGATCGAATTGCAACGCTATAACTTCCTTCTCGATGTTGTTGAGCCGTTCAAATCCACGTCGATGGGCCTCTTCTGAGGGCAATTTGCGGGCCGATGGGAGGCAAGAGGCTTTGCTGATTAGGTTGCAGAGGTGTCTAGGAATACCATTAGTAAAACACGAGTAATGAACACAACCTCTTGACTTGCCTGCGCTTGTCGAAATTAACGAGGCTCTGAGGTTCTTGAGAGGGGCTGTCGATAACATCCGGAGCGGCTATAATCTCTATCATGCGCTCCAAGAGCCAGCCAATATCGATCGTCAGCGACTCTTGGGCAGATGTCGTTTGGACGAATGGACGAAGTAGTAGCGACGAGAGAGAATCACAATTGCAACCTCGGCTGATAGCGATGCTTTGCCAGGCGCGGTGATGAAGTCGACTTTCTACACTCAGTAGCGCGGATGTAGCGACTGCCTCCACAAACGATCGAACACAGGGCTGTTCGATAAGTTGGGCCGTAGACGGGGTCTCCGTGTTTCGTAGTCTTGCGACTTCAATCACCTGAATTAAAAGTTCCATGCGAGCTTGCCGTGCACGGAGACCGATCCTGGGAGCGACTAGCTTCGATATAAGCCACTTTCGAATGATGGTGTACGCCCTAATACAGCTGCGGATGCCTGGGGGCAAAAGGCGATAGAGAGCATCTTGAGAACGCTCTGATATCAAAGAAGATGGCTCGACGTCTTGAATATGAGAGTAGATTGTCTGGATCTCAACCAACTCTTCAGAAGTCGGCACATCGCGAGCTGAGAACCATCCTGTTCGATCCAGGGTTTGCACTTCGAGAAGGTCTGCAGTGATATAAAGGTCCTAAGAGATTGTCACATTAAATTGGGCTTGACGTTCAGGAAAACTATGAAGTACCTCCTGAGTTATGTTGCTAAAAGCAGCGCTAGCCATTCCGTCCAGATTATCAACAAAGTCTTCAGGATCCATGTGATCGAGGTCAGGCGGGTCGCGAGTGCTGATGTTTCGCTTTCTGGCACTTCTTGGTCCACTTGAAGGACGAGGGTGAACGCCTCGAGATATTGTCGGTCGTTGCATTTGAGAGATAAATACTGTTGACAGAGATTGCCTCGTCTCCGACAATGACTCCGTGGCTTGCTTCACTAGGTCCGCCTCTGACACAGGTGACGTGAAGAGTTGATGGTCTGCAGGACATTCCAGGAAAGATTGCACAGCAATGAAGAGTTGATTGTCGTCTAAGATGTCCTGAGCACCACCTCCGAGTGTCAGCCATTCCTTGATCGTAGCTAGTACCTCGGCACGATTGTTGATAGCATCGAGATAATCGGCTGATGTAGGTGATGACCCAGGTGGTTGAGCAGTGATGTAAATTTTACGCAGGAGCTGGTGGAGGCATAAGTAATATTTCTTAATCATTAAGGAGCATATCCGTACCTCGAAGAAGACGAAAGGAGTGACAAAACTCCTGAACACATTCCACCAAACGCGAGCAAACTCCATACGATCTAGCATAAGCTCGCGCATCATGCCCTCGCGCAACGACATCTCCCCGTTATCGTCAGCCACGGACACCGATATCTTCTCCAATCCATGCACAAGGATGTTGACCAAGTTATTGAGTGTGCCAGCCTGAACGATGACGCGAAGTGGTGGGTCCAAGGAGGATTCAGCAATAACAAAGTTAGAGCGAGAGAGATGGGAGACCGAAGGCAATGAACTACGCCGCGCAACACTTGTCTTCCTATCCAATCCTTTCGACGTCCCAGGCTTCACACGGATGGAGGGATTCCGGCTGACGGTCCGCTGTTCTCCCAGTTCTGTCACAGAGCTAGGCGGGCGTGAGGGCATCTGGGAAGATGGTCGCGAGTCTGAAGTTGATTCGAAGCCTCCGCTCTGAACAACCAGAAGCAGATCTCCGTTGTGCACCGGGATGACGGTACCTCCATTGCCCAAGATGAGACGTTTGGTAAAATCTTGGTTCTGATCGAAGCCATGTAGTTGACGAGCAGCATCTGCCCTAAGCTGAGCATCTAGGCTGCGAAGGTACTGAAGATCTGAAGCATCGCTGTCAATGCGACTTCGAATGAGCTTTGATCGATCGACAAGGGTCAAAGAAGGGAGGGGATCGGGGAATAGGAGAGGGACTAGAGAAGTGAACGGTGAATGGAACGACGCCGATCTTGACCAGAAGTAAGGTTCGAATAGACCCTTCCGACGAGGTTCGGCGGCAAGAGACAACGACATAAATTGATCCACACTAGACCTCAGTTAGTCTAGGACTTTCTTCAAGTGTTCAACCGACGCACCGTTTGAATTTGACAGCAATACCACTCGTCCCACCTCCTTCAGCGGCTAGGTTCCTCCAAAAGCCTACCATCCTCTTTATGTCCTCACTGATCTCGTTCTCCGGCACACAGACTTTCCTCGGGCAGAGAGCAAACGACGTCCTGAATTGTTCAAACAACACTTTCGCCTTCAAGGTGGGCTCCATCTGCACCATGGAGTCATTCTCACCCTTGGCCTTCCCTAACTCCTCTCCCAGTCTAGCTTTCACATCCCCACCCCAAGGGGTGACCCGAGGTTCCGACACCGTTGCCCGCTCGCCCAGACCCGACTCCGGAACATGGACCCACGACTCGATGGCTGCCAAAGCATTTGGGTCAACCCTCTTCCACACCTTATCGAGTCTGGCAACAGGTCTTGAGCATAAAGCAGCAGCAATGGCCTGCCACGAGCACTCATCCCCACTGGCCCTGCACAGCTCGCCCACCTTCGCCCAAACTGAGATGACCTCCGACCTAGAGTGTGTCCGCGAGGTCTGAGGAGGACCACCGCCACCACCGCGTTCTTCCGACTTGCGACCGGGCGAGGCCAGTGCTAGCTGGTTCGCGCTTGACGTGTTATAGTGGTGGCTAGCTGAATTGTCGGTGCCCAGAATTTGCAGCAGCACAAGTTTCGTCAGCCAATGTGGGTGGTCATCCGAGCCGAACAAGTGGATGGATGCGGACTCTGACGAAGGCTGGCCTTGGTCGTCGTAGGTTTGCTGAGCATCGGAGGCAGCAATGAACCCGGCGGTGACGTTCTCTGGGCACTGTTCGAGAACCGATCGATGGAATAACGTCAAACTTTTGGCGAGTAGATAGGGGTCAATGCAGAAGAGGATGTCGCGAGTCAAACCTTCTTCGTACATGGCAGCCCACGGGAATCGGTTGCCTGGCGGTGTGAGACCGGGGCCAGGTCTTACGGGCTGCTGTCTGTCGTATCCTCGGGTTTCAAGAGGTAGAGGTGGTGTCGGAAAGAGGGCATCCAGGAGAGGCATCATCTTGCTGCTACTGTCATCTGGGCGAGGCGAGAAGGTGTTGATGTTCGGAGAGCCACTGCCAATTGACGGAGAAGACTGAAGAATCGCCTGCATAGAGCTCGATGATGGCAGACCTGAGGAAGCAAACACGGGTACTTCAGCACTAAGGTCGGCATCCGGTATCGTTTCTTTCTTCCACTCGTCCCAAGCAGACGTATCTGCTGGCCGGCCGTGATAACGCAAGTACTCGTTCGCGAGCCAAGCGACACGCAACCTCTCCTCTTCCCTGACGCCATCTTCCGCCCCGCTGACCAAGTACGAGCAACATCGAAGGAACTCCACTTCAAACGCTTGCTGGCCAACGATCGAAGGCAGAGAAAAAATGACAGACGATGCAAATTCGTGCCAGCGAAGTTTCTGTGTATCCTTGTCTTCTAGTTCGCCTTCCTTCGGTGGACATAAGAATGTAGTTGCGAAGGCGGCTTCATGGACGAGGGCTTCCAATGTTCCTTTCTCCACTACACCGGTCGAAGCATCCCGAATGAGGTCAGGATGTGTTCTCCTTCCCCAGTATGCCCTCTTCTTCCGACCAACAGCTCCAGCTTGGCTCTCTTCCCGTCCTTTACCCTTCTTCGATCGCCCCATTCCATCCACATCATCAGCCACCGGCGTCTCGGCATTAAAATCATCATCGTCTTGCTCCGAAGGAGGAACAAGCGATGTTGGGAAAAGCTCTTTAATTTCAGTAGCTCTATCGTTTGGCGGTTTGTAAAAATAAAGCTTTGAGCCTTTAAGCTCGAGCTTATAGGGCTTCCAACCCTTGGATAAAGGAAGGTTGGCATGGTTGAAATTGGTCGGCACGTCAGCGAGACGGTTGATGAAGCCACTGTTGAACACAATCTGTGACGATCTTTTCATGTCGGCACGCTCGCGATCTTCTGGCCCACCCTTAGGCTCGAGAATCATCGGAGGCGGCAGCAGTGTCGTAGAACGATGGGTGGTTGGCGAAGGTGCTGGGCTGGTGTCCAACATCATCTTATTTGGCGGAAGGCCTGAAAACCCAAATCCGAACGCTGCTCTCGTTGGGGTGCCAAGAATGGGCCGGTCGAGGTCTCGTACATCGAGTTCGCGATCATGGGAGCGTTCTCGCTGGGGACTTTGGGGAATTCGTGGTGTTGCTAGCTTGGACGGTAACTTCGGAGTGAAAGAGTGTGATCGCGTGTGGGCAGGTGTTGGCGAGGTGGTCCTGGGAACCGGCCGTTCATCGAGGGCGAGTGAAGAGATGGAAATGGAGACCGTAGGCAGCGTCGCGCTTCGTGGCGGCGAGGACGATGGGGAAGAGGGTCCGGCTGACGGAAACGGATGCCGTCCGTTGATCGGGTGTGGAGGAGAGATCGGGCTTTGGCTCGCAAGGGAAACTACGCTGGGGTTGCTGTCGCTCCGATTGCGATATTCCGCGATACGTTCCTGGAAAGACGACTTGACTGGAGAGAATTCCGCTGGAGACATCCTGCTGAGGTCATCCGCAGACCGGGACCACCCCTTTCGCGAGATGGCGCGCAGGTCTCCTAAACCGCTCGGCGAGTGCCCTACGGTGGGGCTCGACGGAACGCTAGGAGGCGGGAACCTTGAGACCTCGATTGATCCTTGCTGGCGAACAGAGAGATCGAGAACAGATCTATAGTAGTGATGAGTTCCTTTGCACAACACGAGGCTTTACGAGGCTAAAACCTCCAAGAGAATGGTTTTCTGACGCGTATGACATCAATGGAGGAGAAAGCGACGTAAGTCTTCCCTACAAGGCCATACAGTAAACTGCAGATTCGGCAGGGGCAAATGCTGAATTTTCACCTGGCCTAGCGTGAATTCGCACCAAAAACACAGGAACGTCGACTATCGCGTAGTCAACTTGAGAGTGCAATTCAACGAGAGTTTGTGTGCCCACAAACACAACATTCTTGTTTCCCATCTATTTTCCTCTCATTTCCAGCGCGAGTTTCGCGAGATCTGGGTAGGGACATCCGGCATGCCCTCCAACATCCAGACCGTCAAAGTGGCATGACAAAGGGACAACTTCGAGTATGGAACAAACGAAGAAATCACTCACCGACTGGCACCTCCTGCCTGATATGCGTCCAAAATAGGGCGCGGGTCTGTTGGACGAGAGATTTTATGTTTCCTCCCTCCACTGCCAATGCTCGGTCTTTCCTCTGAGGGACCTGGCGACACCTTCGATGCAGACACGCTGCGACTGAACCATTTCGACGGCCGTGTTAAAAATTGTGTGAAGCCCGAGGATGGTGACGTCGAACGTGGCTGGACAGGCGACGATTGTCCGTTCACATTTAGTGACTCTTGGCGTGCATTAGGTGGTTGACCGCGTTTTGGTGCCATAACTATGCTGTCGTGCGTTCGTGTGTCGTAAAAAAGGTGTGATTTGGAGGAATAGCGGGGGTAGGAGGTGATTGTGGTGTCACCGGTGACCACGTACACCGTTCTGCCTCCTGAAAAAAGACCAGTCGTCAGCAAAAGCTAGAGAAAACGGCGAGATCGCGCACTCTGAGAATTTCGTGGATTTTACAGCGGGGAAATGGTGAAGAACATTACCCTGTCATCGAGGACGGGGTCAAGGAAGGTGAGTGACAAAAGTCAACAAATCGGCGTTATTTGCCCTTTTCTGGTCAATCGAGCCTTTCTTCCCTACGACCACCATCACCGAAACAAGGTTCCGAAAAAAACGACATACCCGTCATTTCCTTATCAAAGTTTGCCTTTTCCAGTTCAGAGCTTCAGAAGAAACGCAGAAAAACCGGTTGAAAACATATGCTCTATGCAGTTTATGTAAAGGAAGCCATTTTATATCGTTCGCACCGTCACTAACCTTCACTAATGCGCATCTATGCGTTCTGCATTTCAAGGCCTTATAGAAAAGATGGTTAAAAATCGACGGTCTGAGTGCTGACTTTGTGAGAAGCTTGTTTCATTGCTTGCACCTCATATTCCCCAGCATACACATAACTACCATTCTTGCCGACATTAAAGAAGATTCACTTGGCGCCAGCTGTGAGGGTGAGCACATCTGGCAACCATTAAACATATACTGACCTGTAGGGAAGTTTGTTCAGGCCACCCAAGCACGTTGTGACCTCATGTCGAGTCCAGCACTCCAAACTCGTACAGCCTGACAATTTGGTGGCTATCGCGTGACCTTTGGGGTGCAAACCCACCTTCACGAATGGCTGCAAGTGCACGCAGATTCCCGGGGGAACCGCGAGGCGACAGCTGCCATCAGAATTTCTGCCCCCAGCGGTGAGCGGGGCCAGTCGACCTCATCACCTTTTTCTAGCATCTCCATCGGGACCGAGCGCTTCTCTTCGAGACCCACGCTTCCGCTTCAGACAGGACGCGCTTTCACATTTCCTATCGGGTATTTCGTGGTTGCCTGACTCTTTGGCGCCCAGAACCTCCGTCCCTGACCAATGTATAACTCCATCGGGCAATGTATTGTGCGACGACGCCCTCAATTAATGCTTTACGAAAGGCTCCTCTCGGTCAGGGTTTCTCTTTTTTTTTTTCTCGACCACCATAATCCCTTCAACGCTTTGAAATGCCTCTTGCTCTCGCTTACTGCATATACCGACAGACTTGGCTGAACTTCACTTGGATGTCCTCGTGATTTCTCCACTCGGGTCTCGCCAGACGCATCGTCATCCGACCATGTCTTCCCGCGATTCTGCCAACAATAGGACGACTGCGCACTTTGCAGATCAAAAATACGCGAAGGAACTCTTCTGACGTGCTCCACTTGCAGTACAAATATTCCTACCCTTGATGCGCCCTGATATGCCTGTTCATCAACACCTGTTCTGCCATGATGCGGCGCCAGGACCCAGGCTGTATAACATATTGTTCGACAGATGCCAGACGAGCGCGAAGACGAACAGAGGCGAATACATACTGAAGGGCGTCGACGGTGGATATCACATTTTACCTCGCGCATCACGCATATTCGGTTAGACGATGCTTGGCGTCAAACACAGTGAGCAGAGAAATATTCGATAATTGGGGTGACATTCGAGTGTACAGGAAAGCGACACACGGTACCTCCAGAAACTCGACTATGTCCAGCTTGAGTACGAGACCTACCTTGTGGAGTTGGCTCAGTGCACGGCTGCTTTGCAGAAGCGGGCTTCCTGTCTCGATGAACTCTATGCCTGCAAGACTCAGCACCCTCGATGAGAATCAACGTGTTAAGCCTTCGCTCGCTGTCCAACTCAGAAGAGCAGTAAGAAGAGAACAGGCTTTGAATAACTAAGATTAGCTACAGACAAAGTATGTAGCTAAGTGTTTATATAGCAATGTCCTCGAGGAAACGTAGAGGCATAAAAGAGGCATGGGAGAAGCATGGTACTATGGCGCAGCAAGCACAGTCTGGAATGAGGTAACAACGAGGAAAAGAAATAGGCACAAATTAAGCGCAATAAGGCGAATCGTAACATTACCCCCTTTCTACAGTGAAAACTCCAGGTTTCACAATCTCATATCATGTGTCCAATTGATCAATGATTCAATCAACAGACAGGAACGGGATGGGGATTTGCAGACAGCTGGAAGGAGAGTGATGAGGGGCGGAGAACTGACAATGAGGGCAGGTATAGTGATAGCAATTAACGAGGACATGGCTGGGTTGTCTGCAATGGTCGCATCAGAGGCATCTGGTGTGGTTGACTTTGTGGACTCTTCCAGTGGAAGTTGATGCCACAGCCGATGGCGATGGATACGGTGTCGACCTTCATTGGTATGGTGGAGGTGCGGGGTGCATTTGTTGTTGCTGTGGTCCTTGTTCTCGTTCTTGTTGGGTTCTTTCTCGCTGTTGTTGGGTAAGAGAAGGGGGATATTCGGTTCGTCACTGTACAGATTGTAAAAGCGGCTGAGGGTACATGAAGACTCCTGAGCCTTCAGGGAATTCGACTGGAGAGACACCTCAAAGGTGTCCGAGGTCAGAGCGGTTGGGTGCGGGTGGTCGTTCTGGGGTGAGGAATGGTCGTAGGGCTGTGTTGAAGCCAAGGTTTTGTAGGTCAGCAAACGTGGCATTGGCTTGTCTCTGTTGTCGTCAAAGGAACGTGTCAGTAGTTTGGATGTTGAGGGCGATTTGGTGCATCATAATAAAGTACGCACACAATGCAGGTTGTTCCACAGAATTTGCGTCAAGAGCAGCTAGGAGGCGGTCAGTGATCTGAGGGTGTTCCACTTGTAACAGCCAGAGTTATATATCAATAATAGCCTACTGGCAATTCTCGTTCATAAATCATAGCTGCCAGTAGGCAGCCAGGCCTTTTTCTATGTGCTGCTGGGTTTGCCGGGGCTCGGGACTGTCTGCCGAGGCTGTGGGGGCAGTAAACAATGACCAAACAATGCTCGGGGACATTGAATGGGGTGCTTGTTGTTGTTGGGGGCGGGACAGGGCGCGGGAAAGCTTCCAAATCAGGTACGACGCAGGAGATGGCCTCTCCGAGATGCCCGGCGATGTAATTGGGGTCTAGCTCATCGTTGGGGACAGTGGGCAGCATCATATTTTGGGAATATAATGTCGGGGTATATTCTTACCTATTTCAGGTGTTTGCGTGCCTCACGGAGGGCGGGACAGGGTGGATGGGCAAGCGGGTGTTTGGATGTCGTTCTAAATTTAGAACACGACATCTGGAGAGCTCGGACACATGGGAAAAAATCATCAAAAATCATATTAAATTGAAATAAAATTATTACATGATGTGGGTGGCTCTACTAGCCACCCACTGCGAGGTATAGACAAAACGAGCAGAAACAACGTGCCATGAACGCGCCATTTCTGCTCGGGGACCTGGCCTGCTCACCCTCGCGTCGTGGTGGGTCACCCTCGCCTTCGCGCCATGCTCGCCCTCACCGTGTGCTGGATTTGCTTGGGATTGTGTGGTGGCCATCCTGGTCGGGCTCATGCCGTTGTCGTCCTCCTTGTTGTGCTGTCCTCGCTCGTGCCGGTGCCGTTTTCGTCCTCCTCGTTGTGCCGTCCTCGTTGTTCTCCACCCTCGTGCTGTCCGCATCGCTTTCCGCCCTTGTGCCGTCCGTGTCGTTTTCCGCCCTTGTACCGTCCTCGTTGTTCTCCACCCTTGTGCCATCCCCGATGTCACCACACCTGTGCTGTCGTGGCATGATCGTCCTCACGCTGTCGCATGGTTGTCGTTGTCAGCTGTCGTCGGTCATTGTTCTTGCCTGGTCATTGTGGTCGTTCGGTCGTTGACGCTGTGGTGTCCATGTTGGCCTCATGTTCGTGCCGCCATCATGTCTACTCGGCCTCGTCATCGCCTGGCTGCCGTGCTCATACTCGTGTCGCCACCGTCCCATCCTGTCACCATCGCAGTCATTCTGTAGTCGAATGTGGGCCTCGTTGGATGGTGAGAGGGAGGTGAGAGGTGGTTGAGGCAGAGGGCAAGGGAAGAGATGGGCAGCAGGTGGATAGAGAAACAAGGAGTGGGCTGACACCATGGTATTGGCCTGCTCGTGCTCGTGTTCTTGCTCCACCACCCACTCGCCCTTCTGTTTCCCACCCTGCTCGTGTCGCGGGTCGTGTTCGAGCCACCTGCCCTCTTCCCTCGCTGCTGTGGTCAGGTTGCCACCACTGCGTTTGTCGCACTATGGCTGCTGTGGTCGTCTCACAGCCATGTTCATCTGGCTTTCCTGGTATGTTTGTCCCGTCGTGCTCATTGTTGCAGTGTTCTTTTGCCCCCATCTAGCCATCACCAACCGCCCACCCCCCTTGTGCTTCTTCCTCCACCTGCTTGTCGTCCTCCACCCGCTCGTGCTTATGTTCGTCCCGCCTGGCTCATGTCGCCTCCGCTGGTGTTCGTGGTGCCACCACTGTGCCGTGTTCGTCTTGCATTCTGGTATGCTGGTCTCATGCTCACTGTTGTATTCATGCCATCGTTTTTCTCATGTTCCTCCCGTCTTCGTCACCGTGCTTACATCCCTGCAGCAGCGTTGGTCAGTTCGTCACTGTGTTGCCACCGGGCCATGGGTCGAGCAGAGGGAGAATGCGAAAGAGAGGTGTGAGAAGAAATACCACCCCGTCTCAATGTAGCACGACATCTCTGAGATGCCGTGGTTCCTCGAATGGGGGGAAGAGAGGAGAGGAGAGGAAAGGGAAGAAGAGGAGAGGGAAGGGGTGAGGAGAGGCATTGGCAAGTGTCAGCAGGTGGACAAAGACGGACCTACATCCCTGTTGAAGGGGAGGGGTGGGTGATTGGCAGGGCAGGGCAAGGGCAATAGGCGATGGGGTGACAGCAGGGCGGATGGGGAGTGGCCAGGCAGTTGTGAGTTGGTGTGGTGTGGTTAAGGGTGCGTTTGAGCCCTGCCCACATCCCTATTGAAGGGGAGGGGTGAGAGACAAGCAGAAAGCGAACATCGACTTCGAGTCGACATTCGGGGGCCTAATGTCGAATAAAAACTTGTATTAGCATATATATACATGAATAGAACATATAAAATACTTTTTCCCCCAACCCTGGGGGTCATTTGAGGCATTGGATGGCGAGGGGGATGGACAGGTGGTGGTTGAGGACGAGCAACGACTCTCATCGTCGTTGATGGGTTATCCGGCAGATGCCGTCCATGAGCTGATTGGTTGGAGCTCACGGCCCGTTCCACCACAGTTCTGCTCATGCACGACGGAATCGCTATTGCATCGCACAAATCATGAAAGTTGCTTAATTTTAGTGTCGGTATTCTTTCCTGGTATATAATTATACCTATCTATCCATATCCGAGGGAAATATTTTGAAGGGAAACCTAGAGTAGTGACATCAGCTATAGTCTACCACAATACCTACCCCAGGACCATATCCTATGTATGAAGAACTGTGGATAAAAATGTAAGACTTGTAATAAGTGTACTTATAATTTGTATATCTGTTTTATGAACAGTTTGAATGCCAACTTGTCGCTCTTGCAAGCAGATGCAGTGTGTAGTGTAACTCAAATTGAACTAATGCACACTTTCGAGGAGTTTTAAAGTGGCCATCCCACATGTCAGGCCAGAAAACAGTTTATTTAAGTTATATCTACATTGTGAGTACCAATAATATTCGATTTGTGGCATCAGCGAGGTAGAATGGGCACTATACGATGAGTCGGGTGTGGTGATCTCAGTACAGTGGGTGCCGGACTGACTCCTCCAGCCAATTGGAGGAGGTGCGGCGTTTACCAGATAACAATCAACAACGGTTCGACGTCGTTGATCGTTATCCACGACGACGATGACCACCCTCTAGACGCCTTCCCCTTACCAGCCAACCCCGAAACACAAAGATAAAGGTAAATCAATGTATTTTATGCACTTGATCTCCTACTGAAGTGCTTCCCCCCTCGCAGGAGCCCCCCTGTGTCAATGACAACGCAGCGAAACTCGACACGACGAAACCGCCATATGCCCCTCCCCTCTCGATAGGGATGTGGGCCAGCATGTCCTCCCCCACCTCCATCTGTCCTCCCTGCCATTTACTCACCAGCTCGTCTATGCCCCCTTTTTGTTCTCGCCTTCACCTTTGCCCTCGTTCTCGCCCACACCCACACCCGCTCACCCGCCCACCATGCTTCACCCCACCCTTAGCATCCTACCTCCATCCTCGGAGCCACGGTGTTTCGTCGATGCCGTGTAACTTGGCTGAGGGAGTATTTTGGGGCGAAGGATGTGGACGAGCAGAAGACGACGATAATCAAACATCTGGTGGATTGGTGGGAGGGTGGCTTCAGCACATTGGCTTATGACGGTGCCAAGACGAGAGGCAGGGTGAGGGCAACAGCAGTGAAATCAGCAGGGCGAGGGCAGAGTCAAAACGGTGGCGGCGACACAAGAGCAACAGCAGCAAGGCTAGCAAGACAGTGCCCTCGCTGACCAGCATGGCTCAATCCAAACATCTGGTCTGCTTATCCCACCACGATGTTGACATGATGAGCATGACAACAATGACAATGTGAGGGTTTCACCCTCCCTCGCCTCACACCGTCTCATCTCGAGCCCATTTCGCGCTCTCCCTCATGCCTTCCCTCATCACCTCACCCCCCTTTATGCCTTCTGGCTGCCCTCCATCCAAGCATCACACAGCGGGAGGAAAACAGCGAGCACACAAGTGGTGTACAGTGCGAACCGGACCACCATGACAGCTTGGGGATGGGCAACAACCAAGTCAGCACCCCCCTTCCACGATGACCACGACGGCTGTGTAGCCGAGACAAGTGCAACGAGGGCCAAGAAGGCCCTGTGGCAGAGAGTCGAAGACGACAGCGCCATGGACTCCATGGTGGTGACGGTGAATACAACCGTGTACGAGGTGCAGGCCACACAGGAGGTCCCCAGATCAGAGACGGCGCGCATATTGCTGCTGTTTCTGCTTATGTCGGCCTGGCCACCACGGCACAAGGGTGACAATGGCGCAAGGATGAGGACAGTGCGATGTTGGGGAGGGCACAAGGGTGGAGAATGAGGGCGGCACAATGACGACAAGGACGGCAGCACGACGACAAGGACAACAGTATGAGGATGAGGATGAGGATGGCAGGATGACGACAACGACAACGGCAGGATGATGATGACGACAATGGCAGGATGATGATGATGACAACGGCAGGATGATGATGACGACAACGACGATGGCAGGATGACAACGACAATGACGATGGCAGGATGATGACAACGACAACGATGGCAAGATGATGACAACGACAATGATGGCAGGATGACGACAACGACAACGATGGCAGGATGACAACAAGGAGGAGGATGGCAGGATGGCAGCACGATGAGGATGAGGATGGCACAACGACGGGGACAGTACGTCAAGGACCACGACAACGACAATGGCACGAGCATGAGCAGGATCGCCACCGCACAACCCCAAGCAAGACCAGCACAAGGTGAGGGTGAGCATGGCCAGTATGGCCAAAGGTGAGTGCAACCTACAATGATGCAAGGTGGTCCCCCAAGCAGAAATGGCGTTCATGGCACACCATTTCTGCTCATTCTGTCTATATACCTCGAGTGGGTGGCTCTACTAGCCACCCATGTCATGTAATAATTTTATTTCAATTTAATATGATTTTTGTGTTTTTTTTTTTGTGTGTAGTAAGTGTGTCCGAGCTCCCTGGATGTTGTGTTCTAAAAATAGAATGTCATCCGTCCACCCCATCACCCATCCACGCTGTCCCGCCCTCTGTGGGGCACACAAACACCTGAAATAGGTAAGAATATGCCCCAACATTATATTCCCAAAAAACGGGGCTGCCCACTGTCCCCAACAGCAAGCTAGAGGCCAGTTACATTGCCGGGCATCCCGGAGAGGCCATTTTCTGTGTCATACCTGATTTGGAAGCTTTCCCGCACCCTGTCCCACCCCCCAACGATGACGAGCACCCCATTCAATGTCCCTGAGCATTGTTTGGTCATTGTTTAGTGTCCCCACAGCCTTGGCAGACAGTTCCGAGCCCCAGCAGGACATAGAAAAAGGCCTGGCTGCCTACTGGCAGCTATGATTTATGACCGAGAATTGCCAGTAGCCTAGTTTCATGTATAATTCTAGCCTACATGGCTGGGTGTTCGACAAGAAGGTGGCAAAGTTGTTCGGAGGTCGTGGGGGCGGTGATGTTGGCAATGGGGGAAGAGGAAGGAGCGGAACCAGGAAGGACACTATTTGTTGGCAGGGGAGCTGGGATTGCACTATGCAAGAGGCGAGTAGTGTGGAGAGTCGTGTTGGCAGCGGTGACGGAAAGAGTGTGATGAGAGGGGTGAGATGGTGCAGTCCCGAATAAGCTGGGAGAGGGGGAAGAGGCTTGTTGAGATCGGGAGGGCATAGTGGTAGTGGTTTCTCTTGGATGGAAGTGTCGTATTTCGTTGTTGGGTCGAAGAAGGGAGGATGAAGCCTTTTTGTACCAAAACACTTTTGCTGCGAGATGCGAACAAAGTCGCGAGGTTCTTTGGGTGGTGGTATCGGTGCTGGTCCTTCGTGTTCTTCAAACACTCTAAAAATACCCAGTGACGATCAAGGGATGGTGTTTAGTGATTCGAGTGAAGAGAGGGAGGCGCTGCAGCTCATGTGACATGGCTGGTCGTTGATCTTTGTCTTCTTCGTGAACGAGGCGGCAGACTTGGCTTTGTGGATGATGTGATTGAAGGTCATTTTGGTGTGTAGAGGCGTGTTTCAAGGCTTGATTGGGTTTCGTTTGAGGTAGGGACCAAGAATGGCTGGTGCAGTTTCAAGTTCGGCTGCAGTTCGCCAATCGTTATCCCAATGGGGAAAGCCTTTCCACTTGACAAAGTATTCTCATTCTTTGCCTCACATTCGATGTTTGACGATCCTTTCGACTTCTTGGTGTTCTTCATCATCCACGAGGTCTGGTGCAGGCTTGGTGAAGGCAGGACCATGCATGTTGGTTTCTCGGAAGGGGGTGAGGAGTGCAGCATGGAAAACATCGTGTATCTTCCAAGAGTCTGGTAATGAAAGCCTGTAGGTTACAGGTCCCAGAACATCTTTAATTGGGAAGGGGCCTTCTCATTTGGTGGAGATCTTCTTGGTCACATATGGAAGCTTCAGGTTTTTCGCATTAAGCCACACCTTTTCACCTTTCTTGAAAGGTTTGAACGTGCTGCGAAGTCTGGAGGCCATGCGTGCAGTGGCTGTTATGGCTCAATTATGTAATATGGCATTTTCATTTCTTTTTCTCTTTTCTTAGTAATATGCTTGATTACATATGCTTGACTTATATGGACTACTAGATTAGTTGCCCGATATGGACTATTACTAGTTGTATTACTTATGCATTGACGGTGCATTGTACTTATTTGTATTCTTGTAGTATTTAAGCTCGTAACTACTCATTGTAATAGTTCAGCTTTAATCTACTGTCTTACTGTTTTCTTATCACTCTCAAACAGTAAAATCAACTCAGCTTCTCACCTCGTACAAACGACATCCGCTTCGTTCGACTCAGCGGATGCCGAACCCTGGACTACGATGTGGCATAGTTCAGCGTCACTTAGCATCTAAGCTCCTTGTAGTGGACGGCCCTCATACAATAGCCTTCAGGTGTTCGACTACGAGCAGTTATGGCTACTATGGACTTATTCGTTGTCAGCGACACCAGACCAGCCATATGGACTTCAGCAGGGGAAGGCTACACCGTTGATCGCAATGCCGACACCACAAGTGGGTTGTGTGTCATGCCTAACTATGGGAGTATGACGCGTAGTCTGCCAAGTCTGACAGTGTCCGTAGCAGTGGCAAGTTCATGTGCAGCAATGGCTTCTTTGTGGATTTGTTCCAGATGTTTCACCTTTTCTTCTACTGATCCAAATTTGGTAGCAGCAAATGTTTGAGGGATAGCGTGCAGTTGGATTCCAAGAATGAGTTCGAAGGGGGAGTGTTGTTGATCAGAGTGTCTTCTGGAGTTGTGGACGAATTCTACGAGGGAAAGTTCATCAGCCCATGACTCTTGTTGGCCGGTACAGAAGATGGAGAGGTAGGTTTCGATTTCTTGGTTAAAATGTTCTGTGGTTCCATCAGTTTGGGGGTGATAAGCGGTGGATAAGGATGATTCAATTTTGAGGAGTTTCAAGAATTCGCGGAAGGATTCTGCTTTGAACTGTGATCCTTGGTCAGAAATGAATTTATCTGGGAGGCTGAAGTGTTTGTAGAGGTTGTCGAGGAGGTGTTGGGCAGTTTTCTCAGTGGTGAGGCTGTCTTTGTTCGTCGGAATGAGAATCACCCCCTTTGTAAGCCCATGGTCCACCACGGACATGATTGAATCATACCCGTTTGACTCGGGTAGATCAGTAATAAAATCCATGGATACTTGGGCAAAAGGACAGAGGGATTTCAAAGGCAGGATTGGGATTAAGGATGGTTTCGGTGGGTGTCGGTCAATCTTGAATTGTTGGCATTCTACGCAACCTTGTATGTAATTCTTGACAAAGGTTCACATTCCTGGCCACCAATAGTTTTGTCGGATGAGGTTGTACGTTTCTAGTTCTCCAGGGTGTCTGGCAGTTCTGGAGTCGTGGTGTTGTTTGACGATTTCTCGTCAGATTTCAATGTCTTTGGGAATGTAATTCTTTCCTTGGTAGAAAAGAAGGGGTTTGTCTTTGACCATTTCAAAGGTCCAGTCACATAGGGATTCTTTGACATGTGGGAGATCAGAGTTGAGCAGGAGTTTGATGGCAGAGGTGGCATCATAGTCGAAGTTAGGAGAGTTGGTGATCTTCTTCTGGAGGTCGACATCGATGAGATTGATAAAGACTTGAGCAGGGAGCATGGTGATTTGCTCGTTGTCATTGTCTTCTTCAGGGCAGTGATCCGGGTGTTGAGAGAGTGCATTGGATTGGATCATTTTAGTGCCTGGCATGTGGACAAGTTTGAGATCGAATTCGGATAGGTAGAGGTGCCATCGGGCTTGTCGTCGGTTAAGGTCTTGGGGGGCTTTCCAATATTGGAGGTTCTGATGGTCTGAAAAGACCATTGTGTCATAAGGAGCACCTTGGATATAGTGTCTCCATTCCTTAAGCGCTCGTATGATGCCAAGGAGTTCTTGTTCGTAAACTTGATAGTTTCTTTTGGTGGGAGAGAACAACTGCGAGTAAAAGGTGCAGGGATGTCGTAGTCCGTTTTCGTTGAGTTGGGTGAGGATGGCTCCAGAGGCAAACTTGGAGGTGTCAGATTCGATCTGGAAGGGTTTCATTTGATCAGGCATGATGAGAATGGGTTCTTCAATGAAACATTTCTTGAGTGTTTCAAAGGCTACTTGGCATTTGGGGTTCCAATCAAAGAAGGCGTCTTTCTTTGCGAGGTCATGGAGGGGTCGGGCGATCTTGGAGAACTTGCAAATGAATCTTCTGTAAAAGTTAGCAAGTCCAACGAATCCTCGGTTTGGTGAACGGTAGTGGGGATGGCCAGTTGGCAACGGCTTTGATCTTTCTTGGACATCTTCGCTTCTCCATACTTGATGATTGTTCCAAGCATTTCAACTTCTTCAACTTCCCATTCACACTTCTCGGGTTTGATATAGAGATCGTGTTTCCAGAGTTGGGAAAGGATGGACCGGGTTTTCTCTTGAAGTTTTTGGATAGTGTTGGCGCAAATAAGGAGGTCGTCCATGTAAACGATTAACCATCCTCCATCTATTTCAGTGACAACGATATTGTCCATCATTTTCTGGAAGGATGCAGGGGAATTGCATAGTCCAAAGAACATTACGAGAGGTTCGAAAGTACCAAATTTGGTTTTGAAAGCAGCTTTCCATTCGTCTCCTTTCTTGAATCAGAGATTGTTGAAGCCCCATCGTATATCAAATTTGGTGAAGAATTGGAACTTTTGTGCTCAATCAAGGAGGGGGTTGATCAAAGGAAGAGGATATGTGTTTTTGATTGTCCAATTGTTGAGATATCGGTAGTCCTGGCAAGGTTGTTTCTTGCCATTGGCTTTAGGGACAAAGAAAAAGGGTGAGGCCATAGGGGATTTCGAGGGTCGTATTTTCCCAGTTCGGAGGTGTTCATCAATGAACTGTTTTGTCAGTTCGTCTTCTTCAGGGGTCATCTGGTAGATTGAGAAGGATTTTGGTTCAAATCCTTCTTTTAGTTCAATTTCATGGTCCCAGGGTCGGTGTTCAGGGACACGTTCAGAGTTTCGTTCGGAAAAGAGGTCAAGGAATTCATGATATTCAGGGGGAACAAGTTCTTCAAGGGTCTTCTTCAAGTTGTCAATCTGTTTCTGGTTCAGCTTTCAGTCAGTTTCTTCGGTCCTGATTGTGTTGATCCAGGCTTCAGTTTCGGGTTCTTCAAGGCCTTCAAATTTGTTGAAATCTTCTGAGTTTGGTTCACTCATTTGTTTGGGAGTGAATCTCTCCATTTGGGATTCAGTTCGCTCATTTGTCTGGGAGTGAGTCTCTCCGGTTCTGTTCGCCCATTTGTCAGGGAGTGGGTCTCTCCATTCAATTCATCCAGTCGACCAATCAATGATTGGGTTTTCTTCTCGAAGCCAGAGGAAGCCAAGAATAATCTTCTGCTTTCCTAATCCAGCAAGTAGTAGTTCGAGAAGTCTGATCCGGTCTCTGAGGTTGCGGGGCAGATACTGATTCGGTTGTCTCCAAGAGTTCCCTTGTCCTCAGTTGAGAGGAGGTCAGCTGGGGCATTCCCTGGATAGATGTCCTGGTTGACAGCAGTGGAAGCAAAGTCCTCGGCACATGAGGTCATTGCGTTTGCCAACCATCATGGCATCGATATCCATGGCGTAGGGGTCTCGTTCAGTTTTCTGGAAATTATAGGTCGAGTTGGGGTTTGAAGGTTTGGACGAGTTGGGGTTCAGGTTGTTTCCTTGTCAGAAATCGAAGATCTGAGCAAGTCATCAGTTGTTGATGTCTACTTCTACTGCTTGCTTGTACCAATCATTGATGTTCCTTGGAATATTTCCAGAATTGATGATCAGGCTAAGGACCTTGTTTGAAAGGGAGTCTCTGTAAAGGTCAGTGATAGCAATGGGGTCTGTGAGAGTAGATCGTTTGATGAGTGTCTTGAACTCGGCATTGTGGTCTTCAGTGTGCTTCTTGTCCATCTGTATCTTCTTCAACTGTTGGAGGGCTTCTCTGGGGGCGTCTTGGGTGGTAAAAGCTTCTTCAAGAAGCTGCATGAAAATAGCATAGGTATCGAAATAGAGTTGGCCTGCGTGAGTGCGGGCCTTGATGTATTGGTTTGACCAGACGTGGGCTTCCTGTTTGGTCATGAGACCAAGAATGTAGCCGATCATCTTCTTGTCAGTGTCGTAAACTCCTTCATTGATTTCCAGATAGAGTTTACACTTGTTGATGAAGTGATCGAATTTCTCTCAGTTTCTGTCGAACTCAGGGGGAACATTGATCCGGAGTTCTTTGGGTTCTTGGGGTCGTTCAGTATAGGTAGTGCCAATTGTGGGTGGTCCATATCCAGGAGGTTCGCTTCCAGAGGGTTTTGAGGAGGGGTCTGCAAAGTCGTTCGGCATTCTTCCTTTGCCATGGTCAGGTTTCGGCGTATGGATTGGGGTGATTCCTCTGGATTCGAAGTTGTTTGTGATTCCAATAATGGGTGGGTCTCCAAGTGGGTTCTGGGGAATCTGAAAGCTAGAGATTGGCAGTGGTGTAAAGCGTTGTTCAAAATTGTCTGTGGGGTTGTTGAACATCCACTCGATGGGTTTCAGGGGTACTTGGGGTTTTGGTGATCGGATTCCTTTGGGTTTGTTCGTTGGGTAGGGGAAATATCGGTTTGAAGCTCTGGAGAGGCTTCGTTTGTCGTCTGGTGATTGGTCCATGGTTCGTTTGGGTTTGTCCAAAAGGGTTCTCTCACGGATCCTTCGCAGAGTGGTGGAGAATAATCTTTTGGTAGGAGTCTACTGCAGTCTTTCGTTCGATGGCAGAGGTTTGTTCCCCTAATTGTTCGTTCGTTGTTCGTCAGGTCAGCAGTTTGGGAGCCGTTCGTTCAAGGGGTTCTCAAAGAGAGAGAGTGAGACTACTGAATAGTAGAATTGTGTTGTAGTGAGCTAATCTTTTGTTAAGCCTTCGCTCGCTGTCCAACTCAGAAGAGCAGTAAGAAGAGAACAGGCTTTGAATAACTAAGATTAGCTACAGACAAAGTATGTAGCTAAGTGTTCATATAGTATTGTCCTCGAGGAAATGTAGAGGCATAAAAGAGGCATGGGAGAAGCATGGTACTATGGCGCAGCAAGCACAGTCTGGAATGAGGTAACAACGAGGAAAAGAAATAGGCACAAATTAAGTGCAATAAGGCGAATCATAACACAACGCTGACTGACATCATCACCAGTGAGCACTTGACACAAAGGCTCGCTGCCGCCCACCTCCTCCTGAAGGAGGTCCTCATTCTCCTCTATGCAGATCTGTTGGGCAAGGTCAAGCAATTAAACGACGACACCTCTGAGGCTGCTGTTGCTTTCCTGACAAAGAATATCATCTACATAATAGGCACACAGAGGTATGGAGGGTTGGATAGAGCCTATGATTGGAGGCATATGCATTTTGCATGTCTCCCAGTGCAGGACTGCAGCCAGAATAAACTCCACCAGCAATTCTATCTTCCTTCCTTCCTTGTCTGGACCACTATTAATATTAACTCAAACCTTCTTGGTCGCTTTTTGCATTTCGGGCGAGTCAGTCTCAGTGCGGGCCGTGCGCCATGTTCCAGTGGCTAAATGCCAAACAACGAACAACGGCAGTCCAAATCGAACTCCAATTCTGACTCCCAATCTTCCACTGCAGTTTTGCGAATCTGTCAGTCACTTGCTTCCAATATGCCAACCACCATACATCCATCCCTGCCTGCCCTGAATGTCTTTGCCATACCAGAGGTCGCCGCCTACAATAGACTGGCCGTCGCAAACACTGGTGAATCCAACCGCACTTTCCTAATTGTCGCCCATCATAATCTAAATATACTCGTAGATCCTGCTAATTGGCAGTGGAGCGAGAAATCTAAAGGAGCATGGGAGTTGGCCCTGCAAGATTTGCAAGAGTTTGCTGCTAGGTGGTATGGAGCGATGGCTGCTCAGTGTGCCACACTGGTCGATCCCAAGCTCCTATCCCTGCCCCTGCCTGCGCCCTTCAACAGCACTCTACCATCAATCATCATCTGCAAGTCTTATGTAGAGATGGCCAATCAGGTCTGGGCATGAGCACTGTCATCACAAGGTTCGACTGGGGTTCTTATAACTGGGCAGCCAGGCATTGGTGCGTACTCACTTTCCTGCCTGCACGATCGTGAACATTAAAACATGTTTGAAGGCAAGACCTTGTTCCAGTACTACCTCCTCTATTTCCTTCTGCAACAGAAGCAGCTTGTGCTCTTCACCCTCACCTTAGTCATCTCGCCACCACAATCTCCAAGGATTGTCCACATATCCTTCAAGACAGGCCGATAATACCTCCAACTACCCACACCTATCACTGACAAAGCCCTCACCCAGCTCATCAAACACACGGCACAAGGAGAGGATGAAGGAGACATTACGGGCAAAGAAAGAGTGTAAGTGTTTGAACCCTTGAGTACAATATGGATGACTGACCTTTTGCTTTCTTTACCCCCTACTCCTCTAGCTGCTCAAGAGGATGTCTGCAGCCCATAAACCATGCCGAGCACAAGGTGCAACCACCAACACATGGCCCAAGTTGAAGGAGAAGCCAGAGGGTGGCGAGAATGAGTGCTGGAGGTCAAACACAACGGCGAAGGGTTAGAAACGAAGTAAGCACGTCTGTGTCCACATGAAACCGATGACGGACTGACCTTTCTCGCCGCTCCACCTGCAGTCAATATCCTCACGCCACCGTAGAATGAGATCTAGTGCATCTGAGGGCTGATGGTGAACGAGAGGCAGCGTACTTACTGGGTCTGGTGTATAAACAGCACTGTCATCGAGGCAAGCTGTGTGTGGTAGCAGCGAAGGCAAGGCGAGGTAGCAAACAAGAGGAACCACAATAGCACTGGGATCTTGGTGAGAAAAGCAAGCAGCCAGGTGTTCAGTCAGAAACCAATCTTATCTTATCCAGGACCATGACGTGACCAGGCAAGCCAATCAGAAGCCGTGGGTAGATCGCTATGATCCCACAAGCGAATTTTTGTGACCAGATCCTGGGTATAGAAACGAGTCACCCTACATGGTGGGGGTTCCAAGGTATAAATGACCTTTATACGAAAATGCCACAGCGAAATGCTGATTTTGGGTGGAGGCAGACATGCAAAATAACTTTCTATTCAGAGTGTTAAACCATATTTAAAAGGTCTTTCTGTTCAAAATGGTAATTCGTGTCAAAAAGCCCTTTGTATGAAGTGTTATACTTCGACTATAACCAGATGCAGCACAATGATCTCCCTTTGAACTCAACCACCACCACAAAGACAATTTTTTACTTGAAATAGAGAAATTTCCCCCAGAAGCTCCCTCATTTAGAATGGCCTGACCCATCAAAAATGCGTCTACATTTAAAGTATAAAGGGGCGAAACAAAGAAAACCCCCTTTATACTTTAAATATACCAGGATTTTTGACACATGTGCACACAAAGCATGGAGATGACCAGGTAAAATTTACTTCCATGTGAAATGTCCAGACTTCGTCCACAATTGTGTCCATCATGAGTGGAGAATAAAATAAAAATCACATTTCTATGAGATTCTCCAGTTAAAGTAGACAGATCTCTCCCACAGTCCTCTATACTTTGAACAAAGGCCTCTTTTACATGTTATTCATGCCTTCAAGTAAAAGGATTTCTTTGATGACAATCTCTACTCAAAGTGTACAATTCCGTAGAGCATTCACATAGAAATGACATTTCTACACTGGAAGCCCCATTGTGCTACTTCGTAGGACTTGTAACTACTAACTTATGCCCCAAAATTTAAGGGCCCAGAGCCGGGCCGCTGCCTCTTTCGGTGCCAATGACCTCACTGTGTCTCGGCAGCTCGGCCATCAGCTTGGTCAGCCTTATGTCAGGCATGACCGTCACAAGTCGTGACAGTGTGCACGTGTCTTGGGGGCTTCCGTGGCTTTCGACGTCCGAGCGGCAGGCGTTTGAGCTCCGACAGATGCTCGTGATGGCTTCTCACGGCTCGCGTTTCGGGCTCACGCGCTCCTGCGCGCTTGTTGGGGGCTGCGCACACCATCGCCCCTTGTCTACAGTCATTGTACATCTGCCCTCCCTCATTGTAAATAGCTAAATACATGAAATACAATGTGCTCTACATGAAAACTGGTCCTCCGGGCCAAATTTTGGATCCCATTGACCAAATTTAAGGGTTCCAAGGTTAAATTTAAGAGATGAGTCCGGTTTATTGCTCGAATTCAAGCACAGCCACTAAATCGCTTAAATTTGAGATCATGCCGAGCATGAGCCTGAGAGCGTGACAGCAGGTAAGTGACGGCAGGAGACGGACTCGCAAATCGACGATGGGTTGTTAACAGCCGGATTGGCGGCGGCATCATTTGTGATGTGGCTGAGGCTCGAAGTTGTTTGCGAATGGTGTCATTGACGCACAATAAATTATCTACATGTGGGTAAAATATATCATAATTTTGGGCATGGCTTCCGCAGGAAGAAAAATTGTGGTTCAGGAGTGTGGAGAGCTCGAAAACAAGCCCATGACATGCGGATGGCAAGTCCACGGGCCGTGTGACGGTGATGGGACACCCTGAATGAGTGAGCTGGCTCGTGAACTAAGCGAGAATTTAGGGGGAACGCCTGCACGAGGACTGAGCTGGCCCCTCCGAGCGTTGATCCGCTTAAATTGATCTTAAATTGATCTTAAATCTAGTTTTCTGAACGCTTACCTCCACTTACCTCCACTTAGTAACTACTTGGAGTCTGGGTCAGCCAACGTGACCGTGGAAACATTCGGCGCCTAAACTTGATTCCGACTTCACTGAGCCTTTGTTCCCTTCTGACAGTCACCGTGCCATCTACTTGCGTTGAACCTCTTCAAGAATACACAACCGCAATTCATTCTATATTTCCGCTCTCAGAAAGCAAAAGGAGGTCTACTCTCCACATACTGAGTCCGTACTAAGGTCGCATATCGACGCTATCTCTTCTACGACTCTACTGTCCATAAACGCTGTCTTCTCATCACATCATCTGTCAAGTCAGTATACTTAGCTCAAAGAATTAAGCATTATGGATCGTCCCAGTCAAAACAGCATGCTTTCGTCTGTTGCTCATGGGAGTCGACACTCAGGATACATAGGTATGCCACTCTTCAACATATATTTTGACTTGATCTAACATCCGACACTTCAGAAGATGTAAGGGCGGGTCCAAGATCTCGGTCTGACGATTCTTTGGCCTCTGAAGTGGCCAGATGGAAGGATCAAGCGAAAGCGGCTGCGGCGGAGCAACGGAAAGCACAACAGCAATATGAGGCATGTCGAGGGGAGCTCGACGCCTGCAAGGCTCAGCTTCAGAATGCTTCGAAACAGATACAAACCCTCAGTCAAATTAAAGGTGACCTAGAAAAACAGCAGAAGAGGCTTGAAGCTTTCCACAAGGGCTTGAAGGACGAGGTCGCCTCGGTTCAGTCGAAATTACATGAAACTGAATCCCGGCTCACGCGCAAGCTAAACGCAACCCAAGCACTGTTGGAAGCGGCGGGGAGTCTTCCATATACAGACCTCCTGGACAAAATCGAACGATTCAACAACAGGATTTCAGAGGTTGCTGTTTTCTTGGAGAATAACATCGTCTACAGGTGTCCGGAGGCGTTTCAGGAGGAATTGGATCGTGCACGTGAGGACGTGGAGGGGATATTAGGCGAACAATTTTGCCACCTGATCGTATCTCAAGCAAAGAACGCGGATATTGGTGTCGGGGCTCCCAATCCACTCTTCGTTGAAGCCGCAGTCCGAGCTTTCGTGGTTGCGGTTTGCGTGTCTGAGATATCTCCTCGTAGTGTTTTCGGGGACCGATTTCGTCCGAAAGACGGTGAGGATTTTCCTTCGGCCTGCAGAAAAATGATATGATTGTGACGACACAGGTGCCGACTCGGATCGGCCTTGCCATCGGCTGGAAACCTCAGTTACACCATGAATGTGGTTCTTTATTGATTTACGAGGATCATTCCGTACATGACCGTAAGGGAACATCCAATCCTCGGGCTATCAGCGGCGTGACCTAAGTAATACCCTAAGTGTCCGTGATCATACCAATTATCGTGACATCCCGTAACTATTTACACTAATCAGGGCTTCGATATACCTAAGCATAAGATCGCGTATATTCGCACATAGTAACGCCCTAGCTCCCGAAAGCAGCCGTTCGTGTGACCGGCATCCAACACAACCTCCCTATGGGTTTGGGTTTGTTCCATCATTCACGTGCCACGCGGTTCTTTGGCGGTCCGTGTTAGGAGACGACTTTAGCCGTTTCGTGTAGTTTCACTCCCACCCTCCAGTACTTTTGGTATTAACACCTCGGGGTCGGCTCTAGCCGTCTCGCTGGTTTGCTTTACGTACTCTGGGAAGTCAGCGCACCGAAACACCCAGCAGGCTCCAGCAGATCATGTGAACCTTGTCCCGAAGGGTCGGCTCTAGCCGTCTCGCCGCATAGCGGCAGATCCACACAACCTTGTCCCTTGGCTCCCTATTTCCCTTCCTGGCATAGTCATTTTTTCGATGACTAAGGAGAACCAGGTGACCCTGATATCATTATGTGAGCATGCATAGGTACGGTCACTCCAACCTCAGTTACACCATCCACGATAGGCAGCTTCAAGTCCTTGTTTTTAGCCAAGCTATCCAATATCCTTAAGACCGCAGCATGGGCAATCCCAGGGGTACAAAAGCGAACCGCGTTTGAATCCCTTCTCGTACCCTTGTTTGAATCGAAGGAGGGATTAAGGACAGCTCTCGGGGAGACCTTCTCATCGGTTAAACTTGAGCTTTCTGTTGTCAAGTATGGAGGTTGGTTCAGCGATGAATTCATGGAATCTCCGCACACCAGAGGAGCTGGCGCTGATTGGGTTGCGGCTACACTCGGGGTTGGATTGAAACAGGCTGTTCGAAGGGATGATCAGGAAGAGGTTCTCAGGGCTATTGTTCCTGCGCAAGTCGTGCTCATATCGACGCTAAATGCCTCTATGGAAGGAACATCAGAGGACGTTGAGAAAGGAAATAATGGTTCGCTTCAGGCAGGAGCATCCACCGATGAACGACCTCAGCATGATGGTAGAGATACTAGTAAGTAGCGACTTCGCTTGGTAGCGCGGCCATTATTTCAAGTTGCGCGAGATATGACTGTAGAGTATGGTAGGAACTTCTTATCTCGCCGATGGAATTTTGCATGCTGATATTTGCACTATCCACTAAAGATGAGCTATACGGTAATCGACACTTGTTGATGAGGCCACGCACTTCTTGGGCCCCGAATAGGGCGCCTATTCCTCCAAACAGCGACAAATAGGCACTAAGTTCTTTGTTTCAATCCCACTGGCCGTCTTTCCCTCCGTTTATCATCTCCCACTTGCGCATTCCTGGCCCGCGACGCGTTCATTGTGTCCCTATCACAGGACATTCCCGAGAATCGCCTCGAAGCAAAGATTATATCGCTGCGATCGTAGGAGAACCGGGGAGGAGTCCAATAAGAAACGAGGGCCAGGGCGGGTGAGCACATTCCTGCAATTCCCCGAAGTCCCCTTCGCTAATTACTGTTTACATCCACTAGTACAGCCTCCGATCAGCCCAAGCGTGATTCGACGAATTGCAATCGTCCTCCTAGTCCTGAATTCCAAATGTCAGAGGCACTGCCTTCCGATGAAGGTCAGATGCCCACTTGCCATAGCCAACAAAAATCTCAACAAGATGCCGTCGATGCTCCTCGAATCGCGTCAGATCCCTCAGGAAATACGTTTAGTGCCGGAATCCACTCCATTTTTTCTGGAAGCATTGGTCCTATTGTTGAAGCCGAAATGAATCGCATGAAGGAGAAGCTCAGAGCGGCAGAGGTAGAGACCAGCAAGTGTCGCAACACGTTGGAGGGCTATCAGGCGGAACTCTACAGGTCCCAAGGAGAAGTTCATTCATATGCAAGGAAATGCCGCGAGATCCAGCAAGAACAGCAGGGGCTAGTGCAAACGAACACGAACCTCGTGCATGAGCTAAATGCGGTCAACAGGCGATTGGAAGAGACAAAGGCCCTGTCGGATAGACGTGGAAATGAACTCGTCGCCGTGCGCAAGATACTGGCGGAGATTAATTCTAATTCTCTAGCGGCCTCAGATCTGGAATCAGAGACACCGATTCAGGAAGATATTGGGCAGGCGCTCAGATCCTTTTGACCGAAGCCCACGCCCTTCCATACACCGATCTTTTGGATAAGGTGGATGCTTTCAACAAAGAAGTCGCTGTTGCATCTGGCTTTCTAAGGAAACACATCATCTACAGAAGCCAAGATGCATTCCAGGAGGAATTTGATGAAGCACGTGAAGAAATCGAGGCCGTCCTTGGGCGCTCTATCTGCGCCTTGCTCGTTTCTCAGTCACGAAATGCAGAACTCGGCGCGGCCACTCCGCCTGCACTTTTCGTCCAGATAATTACCCAGCTGTTGCTTGTGGCGTTTTCTGTTTCTGAGATTTCACAGAGAAGCGCTCTTTTAGATACAGGTGATGGTGAGTGTTTCCTCCCTTTTTTCACTCTATGAGCAGCCAATTCCAAGCCATTTACTAGGCAAATCTGACCTCTCCTCTCGTGAGCATCACCAATTGCAAACCTCCCAACCTCCATCCAGCTGGAACAAGTTTAGAACTTCGTTTCTGGCAAAACTATCAATGGTATTCAAGACTGCAGCATGGTCAATTCCAGGTTCAGAGGCACGGGCGGAATTCGCGTTGCGTTTGAAGCCCTTGTTCGTAGCCAAGGAAGATTTGGGCGTCGCTATCCGAGAAACTTTCGCATCTGACAAGATCGAACCTGCCATTGTCGACTACGGCGCTTCATTTACCCCGGAAATAATGCAAGATGGGTTCCCGGGCTCGGAAGGAAAAGCGGTGGCTGGTACGATCAGCGTGGGGTTAAAAAAATCGGTCGAGCAGGCGGAGTGTGGATCAGTTCTACGAAACAGGTGAATTGGGTGTTACTGACCGGGACAAAGGAAAGACTCAGCTACCTTCTTCTCGTTTCGATGGCAGTGATATAAAGTAGTAATGTGCAGAGTTTATGCACTAATGGTGATCTTTACTGATGTACAGGCACAAGATATAAAATATATAGTCGAGATTCGATGGTCGTCCGTGGATAAGGTCATACATCAACCGCAGGCATGTGAGGCTGTCCGGCCTTGAGGACGGGCGCTTATTTCTCCAAATAGCAACAAACAGGCACTGGCCTTTGTTTGTTCGCTAACCACTATTCTTTCCTCTTACCATCTCCACCCACTTCAACTCTGTAATTACTGCCCTAAGGATTACACCTTCGTCATGTCTCCATCGGAGGACGCCCCCGAGAATGGCCAACAACAAGTCGTCTATCAAGATTCAGTGCGAGTTTCCAAAGATGCCGCTGCTCGATCAGCGCCTGCAGCGCAACACGAGGATGCCGTTCCACACGCGTCTCGGGGCGGTAGATCAGAGCAGGAGCATCATACGCAAAGAAACGAGGACAAGAGGCGCGACACAAAGACTGGATCGCGGGGATCGCACGAGAATCGGGGCAGGGAGGATCGCGATAAGATGCGGGGTGCAAGTGATCACATCCCTACCCCCGTCGTACCCCCAAAGGCCCCACCGTCAACTACTGTGACATCCACTGCAACAGCATATGATCAGCATAAGCGGGAATTAACAGACCTCAATCGTCCTCCGTCTCGTCAGGAATCCCGAAGGTCAGAGTCACCATCTGACGAAGAATTTGTCCATGTTGAATGTGATAGCGCCAGGCCGGATGTAAGACCCAGGGCAACAAGCGTAACGGGACGCGGCACTGGTGCATATTCGGGTTCCTCTCCGACGTCCAGAAACCACCGTTCCAGCGATTCGAGATCAACGATGCCGGTATCGTATGCAAGCGCCGTTACATCTCATGCTCCTCAGGCGATTTCCCCTGGGTCCCACCATACGCAATACAAGACTCTTGCTCCTAGTAGCACTGTGACTCATGAGACGCAAACTTCAGTTTATCCCCGGCGCGGGTCAATCGATAGAGAGGTGACGGCGGAAGAATTCCATCAGCATATTCCTCGAGAGACATTCCAAGAATCGCCTCGTCCTCATTCCGACCCTGGCGAAGCGAACTTGAAGGAGGATCGAGGGCCCACTCACCAGAGTCAGCAAGAGCTCCAACAAGATGTCGATGCTCCTCGGAGCGCGTCAGCTCCCTCAGGAAATCTTTTTAGTGCCGGAATCCGCTCAATTTTTTCGGGAAGCATAGGTCCTATTGTTGAAGCCGAAATGAACCGCATGAAGGAGAAGGTCAGATTGGCGGAGGCAAAGGCCAGCAAGTATCGCAACACGTTGGAGGGCTACCAGGCCGAACTCTACAGGTCCCAAGGAGAAGTTCGTACATATGCAAGGACATGCCGTGAGCTCCAGCATGACCGCCAGAGGCTGATGGAGACCAACACCAGTCTCATGCACGAGCTCAATGCAGTCAACAGGCGATTGGAAGAGACGAAGGCGCTATCGGACACACGCGGCAAGGAACTCATTGGTGCCCAGGCTTTCCTCACCAAAGCCGACTCTCTTTCCATCTCCGATGTCGTGCAGAAGGTCGAGGGCCTCAACGAGGAGATCTTCCAAGCTGCGGCGTCCCTAGGCGAGTGCATCACACGCAGGAAATACGGCCTGACGGAGGTGCAGTTGGGCGAATGCTTCCAACGGGTGTCTTCTCTCATCGGGGCACCGTTAGCGAGCATCATCGTCGAGGAATCGCACAAATCAGAAGAGGAACCTGCTAACCCGTTGTTGGTGCAAGTCGTTCTTCAGGTTTTCTTGGCCAACTTCTGCGTGCGAAAGATACGCGCCTGGACACCAGACGACGCCACGATTAATACATTTTTGAAGCAGACATACGAAGGCATTCGTGACAATGGTAAGTCAAATCGTGTTTTGGTCCATTCCTGCCCAAATCTTATGTGTACGATGTCCACAGAGGAACAAGCGGTCTCGGGACGTTGGCGAGCGCTGACACGCAAGAGTCTCTTTACAAATTCGGAAGTATGGGTGCATGAAGTGGCCGAAAGACTTTCAACGGTGTTCCAGCTTTGCGGTTGGAACGCGACTCAGGCGCACCGTGAAGCTTTCGAGAACCAGCTCATCCCTATCTTCAAAGGCGTACATGATGCACGCAGTGCGCTCGGGGAGATGTTCACCTCCGCCGATCTTGAGGCCTCTACAATTCAACCTGGAGTTCCCTTCAAGAGGGAATACATGGAGGAAGTTTATGGAGACGGCGATGACCATAAAAGCGGCACACAGGCGGTTGTTGCTACGACGGGGATCGGTGTGAGGAAAGCCTTGCCGCGTGAACGTCGTTACGAGAACGTGATGTCGCCGAAGGTGATCCTTGAGTCGAGCTTGAAGGTGGCATTGGAGCCTCAGCCGCAAGAGGCGTCGAGGAGGTCTAAGGGCAGGCGCGATAAGAGGCCGAGGGACGAACAACAAGACGACCGTCAGCGTAGCAAGGTTCCGGCTTTCTCTCATGAAAAGTGAAGGACATCATGTCGATTGATCGAACAATGTACAATAGGGTATCATCCTTCTTGCAGCATGAATGTGTTTGGTGCCTGTAAATCTCAATGCATCCCATAATGTCCTTGATGGAAATAAATTCGTCCTTCCGACCCTTCAAAGCAGAAGTCAGCCACCGTAATCATGCAACAAATGAAAAGCAACGAACCGGCTGACTATCATCCTACTGTAGCCACCCGCTCTTGTGTCAGGGTATGACCAACTAGCAACCACCCCATCTCCGCTACTGTCCCAGTCTCGCCTCCATGGTACAACCAACTCCCTCCAATTCCGCACAAGTTCGGGAGCACGCGGAGCAGAACGCGCGCGACCACCTTCGCCAAGTTGTCATTCCGCTTGTTGACCCCGAGCTCTCTGTCTACGGGGTGGGTCATGAGGAACGGGACAGGCGCATTACTAACGTTGAGATACGTGATCTTCGTGTTGGTGCACTCAGGTGCGATGGCAGAGGCGTCGAGCTGCTCGTGTGCACGGGCGTCGAACGGAAGCACAAGGTAGCGGAGGTCGGGGCAGAGCCGGAGGAGAGACAGCAGACCGACGAAGGTGACGTTGGTGTCGATGCCCCAGCCCTGCATCGAGCCGAGCTGGAGGTGCTGCAGGCGTGGCCAGGCTTCTGCCATAAAGGTCAACTCGGCGTCGGTTAGGAGGAAGGTGCAGCGCAGGTCGACTGAGATGGTGGTTAGATCTTTGAAGGCGAGGAGCGGCTGGAGGGTCATGCTATCGATGACGACGGTTTCGTCGGGGATGACGACTTCAAAGCGGTTTTTGGGAGGTACTTGCTTGATCGTGATTTCGCGTAGGTCTCCATTGCTGCCTTCTTCGAGTATCTTCAGAACACCAGCCAAGTCCATTGTTTTTGGCGTTCCAATGCAAGCAATCGAAAGTGTTTGAAGCTCGATGGGACGCATTTTGTTGAGCAATTGCGCGAATTGTGTGAGATCATCTTCTACTATCCGAAGATGGTGCAGACTTGAGAGGAACACTTTGGCGTCACCTTTTACGGCTCTGAGGAAATCTTGAGAGGAATTGGAGATTTGTAACTTGGAGAGATGGGGCTGCGACACGAGAGAAGCGAGCGCCTTGCTTGTCAGTTTCCGAGAACCGCATGCCAGTGCCCGAAGGGACGTCATTCTGGAGACAAGACGAGACAGCTCCTCACACTCCAGTCCAGCATTGTCCTTGAACGAACCCAAGTCGAGTTCGTGCATATGTGTCGCATGTTGTCTAATTATTGGGAAAAGTTGAAGGAGCATCGCGTCTTCTGATTCACTCCAATGAAGTGATAATGATATAGATTGGCTCTCCAAGAAAATAGGAAGTGCGTGGAAGGCGTGGGCTGGATCGATGAACTCCAGTTGGAAGAGATTAGGGAAGACGGGGCCGGGACGACATTGTTTTCGACGTGCTCTTGCAAATGTCTTCAGCACTTCTAGGTCGTGTGGTCCTTCTCGATGCGAGGAGTGCCACGGGTACGGTAGATATCGAAGGCATCGTATCCGACGGGCGTAGAATTCCAGCCTAACAACATTCTCAAGCTTCAGGGGCCCAATGTTCTAAGCAAACCTCGCTTTATCAGAAGACCTTCAATGGCAAGCTATTGACGTTACAACACTCACGAATGTCCTGCTGTATCCAGTCTTCGGATGCTCCACCACTAACTCATCCGGCAATGTCTTGAAAAAAGGTACGAGACTCGTCTGCGTATGCCATATTATATCCAACGCCACTTCACAGAACGTTCGACACGTCAGAAGCAGTGGCAGGAGCAGCAGTCGCGAGCTATGCGTTGAGTGATCTGGCACAACATATTGGAATATGATATCGAGGATTTCGGGAACTTGCAGGCAATGGTGCATGGCTTGAGGCGAATGTGGCCTAGAAAGCATCGAATGGTGTGGTCTGAAGGTGGTGGGACTGAGTACTGAGGCCTGAGGTAGTGATGGTAGGGTCCAAGCCTTGAGCTTGAAACGTTCAACGCGCCTTGTTCTCAAAACGTGTGAGCAGCCGGGCCGAGAAGTCCGAAACAAATATTGACTCGCGTCTTATCTTATCTTATCTTATCTTCTTCTGGGCACAGCCACTGGCAGCTTCGAGTTGCAATGTTTTGATGTTCATAGGAAAAAATACATGGTCCAAGGATTTCTACCAATCGTGCTCCTTCTTGATCCTTTTTGGCTGAATCTCAGCTACATATAACCGATTAGATGGTCTTTCTACTTCAAGATAAAGCGGGAACTGACAGGTTTCCCTGACATGAACACCGTCTCGCTTCTCTGGCCGTGAATTCGCATTCGCAGCGGCTGGTATGAAACTAGGTCAACGACCACACTAGTTATACGGTCAATAAATGCACACCTGCCAACACTCGCGCCCGAATCCTAGGATCGCGTGATAGCTCGGGCTTCGTGGCTGGTGACACAGCCTGAGATTGAACGGTCGACCTGGCACTCCAACGTAGACCTTCACGGGAAAGAATAAGAAACGCAATGCACACGGTGTGTAAACCTGGCTTACTAGAATCCATGACTTCCTCCTTTACCCTGACAGTTTCGGGCTCAATTTTGACTTCTGTATACGAATGTAATCTCCCCATACGAAGACAAAACAAACACCTACCTCTTGGTTCGTCTTTTACTGATACATCAGCAGGTGCCATGCCTCGTATCTCAGGTGGAAGTGACTCCAGGAGCGATAGCAACTCTTCTGAGGCGTGATACTCCGCCTCTTTACGCAACGAGGTCAGAATAGTCAGACCGATTTCTATAGTCAATACGAACCTGCTGGCACTTCAGCCTCCACAGGCTCAGGTTTGATGATCGGTTTGACGTCCTCTTCTTCCACTTGCGAAAGATTGGTCTGGTGTGCTGGCCCAGGGGGCTGAAGAGTTGCGAGCAGTTCAAGCAGTTCGGCTGACGGTTTGTATTCCTCGGGCGCAAGTGGTGTTTGATCTTCTTGCTTGACTGGCAACATAGAAGCAATAAGACGGATTTCGCCTATGTCCGGCTTAGGTTTGACTGGAGAAAGAGAGCGTAGCAGCTCTGCCGCGGCCTCATCTGTCAGAAAAGTAAGTAAAAATAGGTTCTCAAAAGCGGGGCGATACGAACCCTCTTCGTAGGGATCCATCTTGTTCAATTTTACCATACCCCCGGATGCCGCTGCGTTGTGTATTGGATTCAGGGATTGCTTGAGCTGAGATGTGTAGTGATTCGGAGGATTGTATGCAGTAAACCGATCCTGTAGAAAATGCATAAGCACGAAAGGACATTTCTGCATCGCATAAGACTGACGGTCGCCGTCATATCACTCGCTCGTGAAGTTGCTGCTGCCATCTCTCTTGATTTCCCCTTCCCATCTTCTCTGGCGTTTGCGACTGGGCTCCGACGATGAGACTCGTCTCTAAGTTCTTGTGGTCTATACACAGAAGATGGTCCTGGAGTTGGAGATGAGGTACTGGTTTGTCTTCTGTCGAGCGTAGGCGATGCAGTATCGCAGGGAGTGGCAGCAGCAGCCTGGCGAGCAGCCAGTCGGGCATAAACTTCAAGAGAGATAGGTCGTGCCCATTCGATCTCAAAAGGAGGTGGAGGAGCTTGGTCCGGTGTTGGATACGGTTGTGAAAAGAGGGCGAGGATACGAGGAGGGATCTTGTTGTAGTCTGGGAATTCTTCTTTCCAGCCTACAGGGAAAATGAGGATCATGGAAAGAAGAGAAGAGGGTGTGCGACGCACTGTTGTCTTCTGGAGAGCCTCGAGCAGAGTTGTACGGGTAGATGTAGGCGGCACGATCGTCGAAAGGCCTATTTTTGAGGAATTTGGAGTACCGGTGCATTCCCATGTACAACGTAGGGTCCTTGATCTCCGGTGGCAGTTCAACGAGCACACTCGAATGCTTCAGAAAAAGGCACATTAGCCATTCAAAGACCCCAAATAGTTAACAAAGACGTTACTCACCGTCTTCTGGAACCAGACAGTGGGCTGCGCATCCGGACACTCGTCCTTCAACATGACCTCGATCCAGGCGCTTATCGCGTTGCAGAAGCCCTGCCAATCGTTCGACGGGGTCTCGTCTTTCCAGGGGTTCATCACGAAGAGGACTCTTGGAAAGGCGTTTTTCTAGGTGGTTCAGAGGTGGAAATCAGGTCCCAGCATTTTCGCTTTCGGAGGGCGAGTGTGGAGAGACCTTTCCAGCTCCTTTCGACTTTTTGGCCATGTCTTTTGGGGAATTTTGAGCCCTATGGGATCCCCTCGACGGTGGTTTCTGGGATAGATCGTCAATTGGACGCGTGTCTTCACAGAGAATGAACAACAAACCGAGTTTCTGAGACCTCGAGAAAGCCTCGAGGCGCGATGATGGTAGTTTGCACCCAAGAATTCGCTTCACGTAAACGCGTCCCCACACTCCTGATTTCATACCTTCGTGAAACATTTCAATATTGGTCTGAAGGATAGAATAAAGTCGCTTTCTAACTATTTTAGTTGCATTATTGAAACAAGTAAATCTTGTACTACGTAGAACGACGACTTCCGTCTAACTTCAAGTTCATCAATCGTCAGCGTCCCAGTTGCCTGCTTGCTGAGGGACTTTGGGCCCACCAGCGGGCTTGCTCATGATGATGCTGTCGACACTGAGCACTGAGTTGGCTGCCTCGGTGGCTAACCGGATAGCCCAGGCCTTGGCAGCGAGTGAGTCCCAGATCTGGTGCTTGTCGGCTTGGAGAGTGCCATCCGTCTCGCACTGGGAAACAAGTCAATCGTAACTCAACTACAAAAAGTCAGGGAGCCCACCTCGACGTCAACACCCCATGCCTCGCCACCCTTCTGCTCATGCTTCGCCCAAAGTCGACTAAGCACTTCGTTACCTTCAGCGCCGCCCATAGCGTTCTCCGCGAGCATACGAGGTACGACCTCGAGGGCACTCGAGAATTTCTTGATGGCATGTTGTGATAGACCCTTTATCCCGCTACCATAGGCGTCTACCCTCTTTGCGAGCTCCATCTCCGCTGCACCAGCCCCTGCAACGAGCCGTGGATCCTTCAGCAGACCCTTGATCACGTTTACACCGTCGTCGATCGCCCGCTCGAGGTCATCCAGGTTGTTCGACGTCGCGCCACGCAGGACGATGGTCGCCGTCCGTGTCTTCTCGCCCTGTGCTGTTGGGTCAAATCCAGGCTCGCCGGGCGAGAGCTGACGTAGGACCGTAACACGATCGCCTCCAATCTCGATTGTCTCAAACACATCGACGAAACCGGCCTCCTCAGGTGTTGGGGCTCCAACACGAGCAAGGGGCGTGGCGTTAACGACACGACACAGGCGACGCAGCTCAAACTTGGAGAGGACCTTGAGAACAGCGATGTCGAAACGGTTGAGGTAGTGCAACGCGAGCTCGCCTACATTCGAGCCGGCAATGATGACCTTGATGCCAGAGTCCGCGATCTCTTTGAAGATCTTCTCGAGCTGCTTCTCCTCGCCGGTGGTGAAGTTGAGCATCTCGTCTGCGTTTTTTATGAGCACTGTCCCTTTAGTTTCGGTCTGTGCGATGTCGAGCGCAGTTGTGAAGACTGCGACCTTTCCTCTTGTCACTTTCTTCACGGTGCCTGCAAAAGGTTGGTTTTCATTGATGGGAGATTAAGGCATGGCACACCTTCAGGTTCTCGTCCAAACACCATTCCTGATACCACTTTACTGCCTGCTAGACTTCCGCCCATGATCTTCACCACCCGAACGTTGTCGACATTGAAGTTTTTGGGGTTCGCGGGCATGATGGAAAGCGCAGCTTCTGCGACTAGTGACGCGAGTTGGTCTTCGAATCCATATTGTTTTGAAGCAATGGCTGGCTTCAGAGCTGCGGACAGCGAGGAATGCGTAAGAGGACTCGGTAGGCTGAATGTTGACAGTTCTGCAGAAATACATGAGATTAGAATTGGGAATTATGGCATAGGGACATACTTTCAAGTTCTGACTGTGCCTTAGCAGCAGCAAGTTCGTATCCCTTGATGACTTCGCTTGGATGCAGGCCCATAATCAGCAGATGCTCAGCTTTCTTCAACAATTCGCCTCCGAGAATCAGAACCATGTTGGTTGCATCACCCATCTAGGAGTAACATTCAACAAATGCCCTTGCAGAATATCGAAAAAGACGCACCTCGGCTTCTTGAGCTTGCGATGCCATGACTAACAGCTTTGCTGCAGGGTGCACGACCTCGATTTCGCGGATTATCGTCGCAGCATCTGAGGTAACAAAGAGTCTTCCAAGGTGGTTGATGAGGAGCTTGTTTCGACCTGATCATTCGATTAGCGGCAGGAATTGCGAGAGACACGAGAAACGCGCCATTTGGACCAAAACTCGTCCGTACGAGGTCTGATAGCTCGTTCACGGCCTGGATGTTTCGTAGTACCGCCTCATCAAGGCCTTGCAGGTGCTTTTTCCAAGATCAGATCCGTCGAAAGAACATATATTAGGTAGACAAACCTTGTATCCCTCCTTGAAGAGCTGTATATTGTTAGCTTTAGGTACTTTTAGCGACATGATGGTGAAGGGCAGAGTGCGACGCGTCTATGATGAAAAGTTTGGCACCGCCACTTGACGACCTTTTCCTTCTGACCATCAATTTCCTCGACATTCTACGGCTGTCACTCCAGAAGTGGCCCTTCAAATGCATCCAAACTGCGTGCTTATCAGCTTTTCGCGGTAGGTAGCCTCGTATGTTTCGCCAGAGTCCATAAATTGAATAAAATAAATAGAGAAGCCTAACGAAAATGTTCATGCTGAACCTCCAGCGATACCAACCAAACCTGATGGAAGAACGACCTTCGGCTTCAGCAGAACCGCTTCATTCCATTGCCCAATCGTCCCTGACAACTTCTCCGTTCGGGCCAGACCGAGGTCGGTGGTGCAAACGACTGATTCATGGTTGTTCGTGATTGAAGTCGATCCAATGGCGTCTTCCATCATGTTCGGGTTGAAGGGGATCTCAGGAACGATGTAGAGAACCTCCAGGTCGCACGAAGTTATGCCTTCACCGATTTTCTTGTTCATATTTTGGGCATGCTTCATCGCCATCCGGATCCGATCGCCAAAGCTGGTCATAATTCGTTCGTGCACCGTCGCCGGACTCTCTTTGAGACCTGCCGTGACGATGATGTTGGAAAAAACATCCACCATATCCACCGCCAATTGTTCTGGTTCATGGGCGAGCATTCGTTGGAGATGGGTCCTGGTCAGTTGTCGCCAACGTCCTGATACGGCTTGTTCCTCTGAATGAAGAAGGTCAGCCCCGTTGGACTGTCGTATGCATTTGATAACTTACCTGCTTCCCGGACTCTGGCGTATATTTCGCTCAGCATATGTTCGTCGTCCGGATTTTCGAAGCACCACGAAGAAATGATCCAGTGGGTGTATGCGGTCATCCCAGCTTGGAATGCTAGCTGAATCAAGATAGGGTCTTCATGGTGTTCAGAGGACTTCAGCAACTCAGCCATACGCGCTCCGACAATCTCCTCCGTCCTTGCAAACGCCTCCCGCGTCTCATCCGATTCCAGCTCCTTCCCATTGCTGTCAAACCTCTTTTCCTCGATCGTCAGATCCTCCGCCATGCTCGCCGATATCTGCATGATATCCGCGTTCAATACCTCCACCAATTTGATGACGTCGGCCCCGGAGAGTTGGTCAGCTTTCGTCAAAAATGCCTGAGCGCCTTTGAGCTCAGCTGTGCGTACTTCGAGCAACTCAGTGGCCTGTTGGCGTTCGAGCTTCGTGTGCTGTAGTTCGCCTTCGAGCTGCTGCCCTCGCGTGCTCAGTTGCTTCGTCCTCTCCGCCAACACCCTATTTTGCCTCCTCATATCCTCAAGCTCACGTTCCGTGTCCGACATGCGTCTCCCAAGGCGTTCGATCTCCTCCACATGTGCCTGTGCCGCCATCTTCTTCTCTTCCACCTCCGCCTGGCTTTCGCTCAACGAACGCCGAAGCAAGTCCAGCTCCTCCTCCTGCCTCCTCAGCGTCGCTTGCTCCCTCAGCCGTGCCCTTTCAACGCGTCTCCAGACCTTGACGAACTTGAAAGTGCCGAAGATGCCCATTGCCGATAGTCCAGCTACACCGACGCAGATTGCAAGCCGTGACGACATGAACGACCAAGAAGACAGGAGGAGGTGGGGTGTGGGTCGTATCGTATGAGTGGTTTACTGGTGGTCCTGCCTCGCACCGTCTTACGCCCTTTCATCTCGAGTCTTTTGGCTTCGGGATATGCGGTATGCCATGAGGCGGGAACGTGTGGACCACCCATGGTGTTTTGGAATGTACGCGCAACGTCCATCGCCCTTAGCCTCGTGTCATCAAAGCAGCCAATGTCATCTCACACGCATCAGTCGGCTTGTCTGCGCGTCCGTTTCATCGTTTCTGTTGCAGACCGCAGCTCCAGACACCGCAAGGCTCGTGTTGTGCTCCAGGCCGTAGTACATCGAAGAATGGGCTCCTTCCAAAGAACCTACGTCCGTCGAATGTCGGCATTTTGTTTAGGAAATACTCCGCCAATGGTTCACCCGGAATGTCAGAACTTGATGCGGAGATAGCGTGTTTTCGACAGAACGGGAGGATGAGCACGATCTTTTCTTATCAGTCGTGGCGTCATCGTGGCTTCCCTCCCGTGACTCACAAGTACTCTTCTCAAACTCTTCTCCGGCGTAGAGTTGAGACATCTAGCTCGCGCAGCAGCATACACACCTTACATGCTTCGTGTGGCATCTTATTCGTCCTTTCGATTCAGAACGAGGAGTTACACTTACAGACTACATTGGGTTGGGGTATAGTATCCGGATCTCGTTGCCGCCTATCGCGCACTAGAGAGAAATCATTGGTGGCTTATGGTATATCTTCAATTATGGACAGAGGAGCCCTGTTTGTTGATAAATAAGGTATGTGGATCTCGTACATCGGAGGCGAAATGACTAAGAAATTAAGCTACAGCAGTGCCCCATATAGTATAACCTTCGGCCTAAGCAGAGTCTGGGGCTCAACGTTTCCAGCATCGAGACATTTTAGGCCCAAGCCAACCGTACACACGACCTGCTCATCGGGAATGAAATTAGGCGCCGTCCGGTTCCTCTTCGTCCTCTCAAACGGAAATTCGTTCTCCATACGCCCAGGCTCGAATGACCTTCCACGGTCCACGGAAGTCGGCTCTACCTCGCCTGGAGCGCTAGATGTCCTCAGAGTGTTGAGATGGAGTGCCAAAGCCACGAGATTGTAGACTTTGTGCTGGAACGCTTCTGCCACCTTCTCCGTATCACTCTCCGCAGGCCACCCACAGACGGCCATCACAACGCGAACTTGATCGATGAGGAATGCTGCGAGTTTCGCGTTCCGGTCTGCAGGAGGCGCACAGCTTTGCAACGTCATCCTTCGCCATGCGTTCGCTTTGTCGACCCCAGCTATTACGGTTTAATCTTCAGCATGCACACTAGCCACCAGGAGACAAAACGAAAAACGCACCTGAACCGCGGACCCTCTCATACACCACCGCCAGGAGGTCTCCAAACTCCCATTCAGTAGGGTACCACGAAGTGATGATGCGCAAGCAGGAGGCGATCAGGCATCCTTGGAGTGCGATTTGGGTGTAGAAGGGGTTGGTCTCTTCGATAGGGTACTGCGCCTCGTCTTGCAACTTCTTGGTCAACTCTAAGCCAAGGATCGACTTCAGATATTCGGCCCTTTCAGGCGTGCCATCGGCGTCGCCAACGACGAACCTCTTGTTTATCCCCTCCAGAAGATCTGTCATCGACGCCGCGGCGTGGTAGATTTCGTCGTTGAGGAGCTTGAGAGCCTTGACGGCACCTTCGACACGCGGGCCGCAGGAGCCGCGCACGGAACCTCGAATACCGCTGCCAAGCTTAGGAAGATGTGTGTTGGGCCGGGTCTGCTCCTTTTGCGCGTTTTGGAGTTGGTCGGCCTGTTGTCGGATTTGGGCGAGGAGGACGTCATTGTGGCATTCGGACGAGTTAAGCTGGCCCCGGAGCTGGACCAGCTGGGCAGACATACTCTTAGCCGCCATCTTGAGCTCCTCGATCTGCTCCGTCTTGTCCTCGATGCGATCCTGACCGCCCATAAGCTCGCCTTCGCGTTCGTTGAGTTTCGCCTCGAGCTCCTGGTACTTCGCATACAACTCCCGCGTCTCCTCGCGGCTGTCCTCGAGTCGCACTTCCAAGCCCTGGATGCGGTCTTGGGCCTCCTTCAGCTCGACGTCCTTGTCTTCCAAGTTTTCGTGATACTCCAAGATGTCGGCCTCGTGTGTAGCTTGGATTTGAAGGAATTTGTTCAGTGCATCGTCCGCGATCTGGTGGTTCGTCGTCAACCTGTCCGCCAATTCTTCTTTCTCCCTCTCGATGGCCTTGAGCTGCTCGCGGTGGCTATGCCTCTCAACCGCAATGAGGGCCTTCACCCTCTGGACCTCCTTCGTCGCTACACCCTTTTCCTCCTCAGCACTCGCAAGCCCGTCGTGAAGACTTTGCCGCTCGACCTCCATGGAGGCCTGAAGGACCCTCATCTGCTCGCGGTGGCTATGACGTTCCACTGCGATGAGAGCCTTTACGCGCCTAGCCTCCTTCTCGACGTCCGCCTTCTCCTCTTGCAACGCCTTCACCTGCTCGCGATGGCTGTGCCGTTCAACAGCGAGCTGGGCTCTGAGCTGCCGAACCTCCTTCGCCATGGCGGCCTTGCCGTCCTCAAACACCTTGACGCGCTCGCGATGGCTGTGTCGTTCCACCGCGATCAAGCCCTTGACACGCTGGACGTCCTTCATCGTTATCCTCCGCTCTTCCTCTGCAGTCCGCTTGACAGCCTCGTTCTCCTTCTTCAGCTCCTCTATCTCAGCCTTCATGGCGTCGGCTTCTGTCACGAGGTCGTCGTAGCCTGTCGACTTGATCTTGAGATCGTCGATGGCGTTACGGAGACGATCCTCGACATCGTGCAGCTGTGCGGTGAGTTTTTCCTTTTCTTCCAACGCGATTTGTAGATCCTCTTTGTGGTTGTTCGACTGCGGTGCAATGAATGCGGCTTCGCTCTGCTTGTCGTCATCGTGATGTATGACGCTAGCGGCATTTCCGTCCTTTTTCGTGCTAGCCTCAGTAATATCCAAAGGTGTCCAATCGATATCCGAGAAATGGGTTTCTGGTTGTCGCACGACAGCGTAACCAGGTTCGTCGACGTCGACCGCGGAGATCTTTCTCTTGAGTGCAGCCTCTCCGCCAGTCTTGAATGTTGTGAATGACCCAGGAGTCGAAGAAACAGAAGCACGACGCTCCAACGGCAATTGTGGTGCGGGGTCTGGGCTTGAAATGGTTGGAAGGGACGGTGGTGGTTCGGTGACGATGACGTTAGATGAGCTCGAGCCCGCTCGAGCCTTCCCCGTCTGTCTGTCATCAGCTGCCACCGATGCCGTTCTACTAGGAACGGTCCGTTTGCTTGACCGGCCTCGAGACTTGGAAAGGAATTTCGTCACTGAGAACAGAGACGACATGGCAACGGTAAGTTGCGTATTAGGATGTGGTAGGAAGTCGAAGTCGTGGGTGAGTTGGTGGTGTGGCAGAGCGTGTTAGCTTTGTTGAAGGGAGGCTCTGGCTGCGTGCGTGGGTTGCTATTAAGCCACTGGATGTGTCAGTCTGCAGGCTGTCTTTGTGCCCGCTGCATTGTGTCGTTCAACGTGTTCTGGCACGAGGCATTTCTCTTGCTGAACGGAAACACGGAGGTGGCCTGCAAGTCGTTCCAGAGATAGACGGACCGCATTTTGTGGTGCAAGCACGATCATGGACCGTGTTTGGGACCTTGGGTGGGGACGTACCCTTTTGATCTGTTACTCACAAGTGACACTAAGATCTGTCCCCTAGTTCTTTCGCTTCATCTCAGTATCATGATATTCGTGTTACAATATCCAGTTTACATACTTTTTTTTTACTCTCGCAGGGTGTTTCTGAACTATGACAACCAAATCAGAAGCACGCTACTTATGAAACTCCAAGGCTAGTCCTCAGCTCTGTCGTCTACTGGTACCTACGCCAGACAGGGCTGGGTCTGGACTCTTTCCTGTTCCCACAGTTAGGCGCCTGAGCCAAGCACGGCTTTCCCCTGAACGGTCACGTTCTTGGAATGCTGTCCAACACGTTGCAGGATTCCACCGGCATTGTATGCCTTATATATAGCAATGCGGCCTGTGATGGGGCACCCTTCTTCTCACCGTGACCTTCATCTCAAGGATGGCTTCCCGTTCAGCCTACAATGGCCGAAAAAGAAAGCTGGTGCTTGCTTTCGACGTTGGGACGACGTTCAGTGGAATCTCGTACAGGTACGTTCTATCGCTTGGGGAAAATCGCACGGGCGCTTATTTGATACTGCGCACGATAACAGTGTCCTCGATCCGGGCCAAGTACCAGAGATAAAACCAGTAACCAGGTCAGTCTCCTGCCAGCGCTCCGAAGTTTTGGCTGCTCAACAGCACGATCTTGTAAGATTTCCCGCCCACGAACACATCAGCGGTGCCTCGAAGATCCCGACCATCATCTACTATGATCGCACAGGGAAAGTGAGGGCTGTGGGGGCCGAGGCGATGAAAGAAGGGATATACGAACTCGCAGAGGATGAAAACTGGACCAAGGCCGAATGGTACGCTCTGGGTCCGGGTCTACGTCCGCGTGGTCCGTTGACATTTCCCAAGGTTCAAACTTCACCTACGCTCGAAGGCTGGGGCAGGACGTAACCTTACCACCGATAACATTCCTCCTCTTCCCCTGAACAAGTCTGTCATCGACGTCTTCGCCGATTTCCTACAATATCTCCTTCAATGCGCTGCGACATACATCCAGGATACGCACGCAAACGGTGCTGCCCTGTGGGCCTCCTTCAAAGAAGAAATCGACTTTGTGCTATCACATCCGAACGGCTGGGAAGGGACACAGCAGCAGGATATGAGAAGAGCTGCTGTCCAGGCGAAGCTCATCCCCGACAATGCAAGTGGCCATGCTCGGCTGACCTTCGTGACTGAAGGCGAGGCCAGTCTCCACTTTGCAGTTCAAAATGGGCTGCCGACAGGTGCGATGAAGGTGCGATCCCTTGATGTATGCGTGTTATCTGCGAAGAACTTGGTCACTGAGAATGGAAATGAACAGCAAGGAGACGGCGTCGTCATCGTCGACGCCGGTGGTGGAACTATTGATATCAGTTCGTACTGCAAGAATGTCAAGGAATCGAAGGAGACCTTCGAGGAGGTCGCGGCTCCCCTGTGCAATTTTCATGGTTCGGTGTTCGTTAGCATCCACGCTCGTCTTTTCCTGCAACGTATGCTGCCCAAACTCTCTCTTCGGAAATATTTGCTGACATTTTCTTCGTGCAGAATTCTTGGAGGACTCACCTTTCATTGAGGACTTAGAGCACATCATAAGGTGCTTCGACAAGACGACCAAACTGAGGTTCAGGAACGCAGAGGAGCCGTCATACATCAAGTTCGGTTCAACACGAGACAACGACGAGAATTACAGCATTCGATTCGGTCAGCTCAAGCTGCAAGGGTGCGGAGTCCTTCCACAGTTGCCCTAGGCCAGACCCTTAACATGCTTGAAATAGGAGCGATGTCGCACTTTTCTTCGAGCCCTCTATCAACTGCATCATCAAATCGGTGACGGACCAGAGGAGAGATGCCCACAAGACTATTCGCGTGCGTGCATTATTTTCTCTTTCTGAGCGGGTATTCTGACGGTTGACTGCCCTCTCAGCACGTCGTACTCGTCGGAGGGTTTGCGGCCAGTGATTATCTCTTCGCGAAAGTGCAGGCCAAGCTCACGCCTGCAGGTCTCAACGTCTTGCGACCGGATAACCATGTGTGAGTTCTTTTATTTATTTTCTCTCCTCCAAGGCCCTAATTACAGGTATATGAAGCAACAAAGCCGTCTCAGACGGGGCGATCTCATTCTACCTGGACCACTTCGTCCGCACACGCGTCTCGAAACTAACCTACGGCAACTTTTGCCATATTCCGTATGACCCGAAGGCACCTGACCACCAAGTGAGGCAACACAAGACCTTCGTATCGGTGTCAGGAAACAAGCGTATAAGTGATTCATTCGATGTCATACTCCCCAAGGTCGGCCCTAGGCTTTATCTAGACGACGACCGCATTGAAATTAATTTCTGGTGTGTTCAGAACATGCAAGTGACAGAAACGAAGGAGTTTCGCAAATCATACTTCCGGGAATCGCACTCGAAGCTTGAGTTCAAGGGCGCTTCGTTCAACGTGTGGTGCTACCGCGGGACGATGCCGGACCCGAAGTGGAAGGATATCGATACAAGTGCGTCGTCCTCCCTCTCCCCTGTTCCCCTTGTATTCCCTTGTATTCTTATACCCGCCCAGACAATTATACGAAGCTCTGCACGATCGAGGTCGACCTCCATAACTTGCCTCTGGACGCCAAGTCGAAACCTAGTGGCGGTGGCGTCTTCTATAGGCTCGACTATGAGATTGTGCTGCTGTTTGGTTTGACGGAGTTGAAAGCGTTCGTTGCGTGGAAAGAGCGGGTAAGTACTGATGTTGCTATTATCGGTTGACGATTGCTGACCGCAGATGGATTGTGCATAGGGTGTCGAAAAAAGGTGGTTTTCTTACGGACTATGACTTTCTTGCGGGTTATTGATGCGTTGGTACAGGAGCGCAACCAAGATCGTGTATGATCCTGATGATAATGGTTACTAGACTTTGGATATTTGAAGACGCCTCCCATCCACATACATCGCGCCAATATTCTGCACTCATCTCCTGATCTCCTGATTGCATGTCAGATAGAAACTTTCAACCTTTTCATTCATCTTGCAAACGAAGCTGGACGAATTTCTGTTACACCTCAATTACTGCTATATTCGTCCATGCGTGAGTTCAGTTTGGTGAGTCCAAATTTTCGATGAGTACCTTGAGCTGGGCTTTCAGTCTAAAATAAAGCCGTGCCTTGATGTGTTGCGTACTAATATGACTGACAAGGCCCTTCAAGGGATTTGTTATGTAGTTAGGCCTTTGTCCACAACTCCTTATTAGCCTCCAAGTAATCCCTCGACTTTCGTTTCCCAGGGATCGCCTTAGGGTGCCCGACGTTCTTCTCCTCAATCCCACTCGCGATTCGCCCCTCGTATGTGTTCAATTCGATCGCGTATTCTTCATCCATCCATAACTTGAACGAGGCGAGCTGCTCTTCGAGTGAGATAAGCCTGTGGACAATTTTTCGACCAGTGATCTCTCTTAGAGCAGCAGCAACCTGTGTAAAGGTGGTCTCATCAGTAACTTCCGGAAGGATAACCAAGAAAGAGATGCGTGTACTGACATCGTCGTAGGACCACAATTCCGGGCCGATAACGAAGTAGTCGGTGTTAGCACTCTTCTCAGCCGTGAGGGCATCGAAAGCGGCTTTGGCGATATCCTGGACGCTAACGAAGGGGATGCGACCTTTCCCAGTGACTGAAAGAATCTCGTCGTTCTGACGAATGGTGTGGGAGAATTAGCCGAAATTCTCTAGAGACGGAGCGTGAGACGGAGCGTAAACACTTCATCATCCGAAAGGGTGACGATGCTCACATACCGATAAACCATGTCGGACGCAAGACGGTGTACTCGACGCCAAGATTCGCCAGGTGCTCGTGCACCTTCCCATACTGGGAATTATCCCCCTTCTCCGCTTGCGTAGCGGTAATGAGGACGAAGCGTTTGACGCCTCGCCCGATCGCGACCTTGAAGAATGGTTTCGTCTGCTCGAGAGCGTCACCACTGATTGGGGCTATAACAAAGACGCGATCGATGTTGGGTCGGCGTTGAATGGGTTCTCGAATGTCGACGGATCGGACCAGTCGAACTTGACGGCTTTGAAAGGCTCAGCAACGCCCTTACGAGAGGCAACTATGAGCGAGTAGTTGGCAGCTTGGAGAAGACGTGCAAGGGCACTGCCTATGTTGCCAGTTCCGCCGGTAACGAGGATGGTCATGGTGCGAGATGTTGATGAACGAGGTAGGATAAAAGAGGTGGTCGTTTCTGGTACTCTGCAACGAAGATCGTATGGAGTACTTATACCTTCGAGACTAATCGTGGTCTGCAGCAGTGCATATCACTGTCTTGCTAATCATTCAATAGCACAGGAGGATGAGGAATGGCCAAGCAACAGACTCGGCGAAACAGGAGTGCTACCGCGTATCCCAATATGGAGAAGTACACGCTTTCTGGGGAGTCGGAACGCTCTGTAGTCTTATCAAGCATAGAAGCTGTTTGCCGTTCGCCCTTATTTGACTCATCAAAATTGGCAAATAATTTTGAGCTACGGCAAATATTGTAAGTGCGAGCTCTGACTTCAACGTCGTCATACGGAGAGTCAGAAATGGCTGTTGTAGGTAAGGAACACCTGTCGTTGGCATGTTATCTGACTCTACGCCCAGAGATGGCAAATTTCGGGTTGTTCTTGAGTTGCGCCACACTAGCCGGCAGGCGGACCGAAGCGTGTGAATGTTTTTGGGCTCCGCAAGTTCTTCCGTGCCGGTTTGTTGAGCTTTGTTCGGTGTCTGTTCCTTCCGATCCGACAAGTACTCCACCACTCCAGCAACCAGTCTCCATTCTCCTCTTCTACAAGCCAAATTCCAGACTTTTGCCAGGTTTTTAACGCAGGAAACGGGTATCCCGCAAGCGATATTGAGTAGCAAAGGAACGGCCGTGGTACGCTCATAATTCACAGAGCTCAACTTTCAAGGTAAATGCAATGAATTCATTCTTCTGTGAGATCTTGAGAGTTCACTTATGTAAAACTACGAGGCCCTGGAATTGTTTGGCTAGATCTCTATCAATTTCCTTCTCAAAGCCTCGTGCTCAAAAATTTGCCGCATGACTACACCTCGACAGTGCACTCCATGGACCCAGAAGACAAAAACGATTGTATCTACTGCCATGTCACGAACGTGATGAAGAGCGCCGCTTTCGTCCACTCTACCTTTGGTCTCCTGGTCTTTGGTCGACATGCAATCCCCAAAGTTCGCATACTTCCTGCTCAACTGTTTTGGATACGACGATTGCGAGAATTCGAGTCAACTCCCCTATGTTGAAGGCTTGTTAGGAAATTAGCTGATAGGTTTAGGGTCGGAATGCTCTGGTTCGGATTGTCGAGGACCAGCCGCTGCTTATGGGAAGACTGGATTCTGTCAGCGTACGTCGGTCTTAATATCCTCCTGTAGCATCAAACTCATTCCAATACTCGTAGGCTCTTGTAAGGGAATATGGTCCCGCTCATCCCTAGTAGGATGCAAGAGTCAAACTCTTACACCCCAAGGCACCCACCAGCTATCTCAGCTCCGGCTGCCTCCAATACCCGACGTCTTTCCAACCAAACGCTTTAACGATCCCTCGCTCCCAGTAGCGGGACTAGGTTCAAAACAAGCTCCACTGGCACGTCGCGTACTTCAAGCAGAGCGAGATGAAACATTTGTGTATCAGCCTGACGACCTCCCGTGTCGTGTTCGACGGATATGGGGTCGGGATGCTCATTCGTGTACTTGAGACCGAATTGCTTGGCATGACGATCCCGCCCGTGGATGTGGTCCCGTAAACGCAGGAGGGGCTGGAAAGTTCTAACGTGGTTTTGATGATCATGAAAAGGTGATATCAGGTCGTTCTGGTGGTGAAAAGGCTTTTTGTGATGCCGCCGCCGGGGGTCTACGAGAAGCTCGCGGAGGATACACGAAGCTTCAAGGTAGACGAGTGATGTTTGACTCTCGTTTCCCTTTTACACGATCGGCTCGCCCTTGACCTGACGTTAGCTAACTAGCAACCCAATATAGGTCTGTACCTATCGAGCGTTGCCCCCTTTGGCAAACCTGCAGATGGCGCATTGGACATGGACCAACACCACGCATTTATTCCCCTTCTTGCTGCAGAACTCAAAGCGCCCCTTGCCCACGCACTAGCGCGTACTTTGGCCCAGAGATACGCACGCTTCTGTCTCACAATCCCAGCGGTCTACAGTGAGATCGACGAAGCCATGAAGTCTTCCGGTGGCAAGACGCATACGGCATCGATAATGAAGCCCTTTTGCTGATGAGCAACGGTCTACATCACGAGTTCTGTGGACGTTGCTTGGATCGGGGCAATGGTGTTGCAGAACCAGAGCTTCGTCGGCATGCTTGGATCGCGGTGTTCTGTTTTCCTTTCGATCACCGAGGGTTAGATGATAGGAGTACGATGCCTAATCTGCTACTGGCGAAGTGGAAGATGAGGGCCCTCGAGGCTGACTGCACGCGGCTTTAGAAGATAAGTGGCGTGATCTATTTTGAGTGTTTCTGAATCTTTAGAGGGCATCTCGTAGAGGGCATCTCGTGTATTGGAATGCCACATGGCATAGGGCTTGAAAAAGGAAATAAATTGTATGCGCCGCACCGAAGCCGGCCCGTATTTGAATCCTTCCTTCAATGGAGCTTCTTTTCCGGATTAGAAGGCACAAGCTATACGCATAATGTCTAATCGTAAGGATGGAGCTTGACTCTTTCTTATTTTCCTTATCGTGGACTCTTGCAGTGAGTCTGCACTTTTCTCCGATAGTCATAAATCTTATCAGGCGCTTGAAGCCTAGAGACCGATGAGAGGTTCTAGTCGTGCCTCCCGACGCCGCTGGCCGACATGACAAGGTACCAACATTATTCTTTACTTGTAGGCACTATGCCATATCCCTTGTCTTCTTTTGGCTAACCTTATTCTTCGACCTTGTGTCTGTGAGTGCGTTACCTGCCGATATTTGCCTTTCTCGCCCTTCCTAAATTTCTCTTCAAACCAGGCAATCGGGAGGTGCTTCTGAATTGAGGGATCATCACCGGGACGGCATGATGAAGAATTAGATTGTTCTCGTGACCAGTCAAGCCTTTCTACTTGGTGTTCACATTGACGTGAAAGGTTTTCAAAGATCCCTCACCCTTTGGCCCTCAACATGGTACCGAGCTCCCTTATACATGCTACCTGTCAAGTGCTATTCGTACTCTAACGTCACGACATAGCCAACACTAGATTAGATCAGTCCCAGAATAAGTACACTGTCGGGGAGCTGTACATAGGAACCGGCAAACCCGTCAGCGCCTCCATTCCTTCAACGCTCTCCCCTTTCCCCCTCCCTCTTGACCTCGACCTTCAACATGTCTATCCAACCACGCGACAATAAAGTCTCGCCGACGACCAGGGCACGTGCGTCGGTCTCCCGGTGTCCGGACGGAGGCTATCCCCGTGGGACTGGCGGGACAATCAATATTATCATCTCTATCCTAGTCGCAGCCGCGTACCCCCTACGACAAAACCAAGTACAGCCAACATGCCCGAAATTCGTCTCTTCGAAGGCACCACAATTCAAAATGCACGCAACGCAGTTATCATCATCTTCATTGGACGTCAAGAGCAGTTAACGGAAGCCCTATTGGCACAAATTGTCGCCCGTGAAAGGGCGGCACAACAAAACAAAGAAGCATCCAAGGTGCAGAGTTCCGGAGAGGCAGAAGATCCTGTTCAGCAGGCTTGATCATCATTGCTCAGGTGAGCGCGATAGTTTTTTTCTTATTTCCTTGCGTGTGCTGACCCATGAGGCAGAAAAAACTTCGACTTGACAAGGAAGACGGAGGGGAGCACATTTGTACATGGCGATGGATCTTATGAGTTATTGGATAATTGTATCGGTTGAACTGTTGGACTCTTCCAAGTAAGCCCAAGGGCCTTTTGAGAGCAATTCCGCCTGTCCTTCGCCAAACTGAGAAAAGAAGCTGCGGGTCGATCCCGCAACCCCCACTTCGTATCGCACTTGGGTGGCATAGGATCGCCGCTGATAAACGACGTGGCCATTTAGCGAGACTAGAGCACACAAAGCTTGCTGCTATCCACAAGCCCCTTCTTCAAACTACCCATCGACTCCAACGTGCTGCGCGCCACAAAGGCGGTGCAACCCTCGTACCCCACCCAATACGCTCGACGTCGTTCATATCCCATAAAGACATACTGGACAAGGTCGCAAAAGGAAGAGTCCGCCACTGGCATGTCCATACCGCGAACGCGGACGACGATCGCACACTGCACAAGCTATCGGCGGAATGATTTATTTATCTAAGTATGAGGCGTTGGTCACATTCCGCAACGCGGTGCACTGGTCATGGACGTGATTCAGCGGTCGGGCCTTTCAGAAGTGCATGGGTGCGCAACAATCGGATTCCGAAGAGGCTTATTAACGAAAACATCCTGTGCTGGTTTGGCCTCTCTGATCACCACCGTGATAGCAACGACGAAATCATTGGAAGACATGCGAGCGGCGGGCACCCCAGCCTGGACGATGTCGACCTAACGCCTTAAACACGGAAGAGGTGAAGTCAAGGACGACAGCATGAAGGTGGGCGTGTCCATAAACTTCCTTTGCTTCCGATCAATTGGAGAAGAACTCATGCGCCACATATTGTTGTTGAGGAAGACCGTCGAGTCAAGCGTTAAACATAACACCCACGTGGCTAGGCTCCCCACCGATTCCAATGCCAATAACGCTAGAGCTATCGCATGCAATGTGGGCGGTGGCGGTGGGGTGCTTCGATGACGAGACCGTTGTTTGACGTCCTCGACATGACGAGGTCTGGGCGTAGCCGAGCCGAGCGTCCTCAAAAGGGAAGGCGACTTCTGAAGGTGTGAGCAGCTTCGAAGGTCGAGGATGTGGGTGTGGGAACGACGAGCAGATGGGTTGTGGGCTCGCGCCGGAGCATCGCAGGAGATGACAGCGAGCTTTGAGGAGTACCGAGATGCGCAGATTGGTGTTGATGCCCTTTATGGGGGCATCGAAATTTATTTGCTGTGCCAGGAGTGGTCGAGAAACTCGGACGACGAGAGTTTGTGGGATGGATCTTATACACGTAGGATTCGGGGGCGCTGGAAATGTTTGAATATTATTGATAGCTGGACTAGGCTTCCTGAAGAATTCTTGTGGCACTGGGACGAAATTGGGGGTGGACAGCTTGGAGGTGAGATCGCATGGAAGATCCTAGCGGTGGGAAGGGTGGATGCCTCATGATGGTGGTTGGGTCTGTCGGGGAGCGCTGGGTTCGATAGCAAGGGCTCGGGAAGATGGAAAAGCCGCTTCGTGAGGGTCAGGGTTCATCAGAACTCGTAGGTACCCAGGGCGTGTTCCGCCTCGTATTCGTCGCCTGAAAAGTCCAGGGGGAAGGGGAAGAGCAAAAAATACCACGTACCTGGCTACTGGCCGCTACGAAGAGGCTGTGGTGGAATGGGGGGATTCGGGCTCAGACAAAAGGTTTTGGGACGGTCTTGGGCATTAGACCCAGCACGGGGTGTAATCGTCTTTCTATGGGTCTAACATGCTTGTTGTGCGTATGAAATTCCGAACGTATCAAGTGCCCTTGCTCCGTCGAGTCTCTTCCCAGGAGCCGGCCACACGAGAGGGTTTTGAGTCACGGTGGCGGGGAGCCCGATGCTCTCTCTCTTGCGACTAGATGTGCAGCTGAGTTAGACAAGCGGTCGGTGAGGGCATCGGAATAAACGAATTCGTACGAGTTTTTTTTATACGAATCCTTGTGCTCATCTCTAGCGTAATCGGACGATATAAAATGTCCCCTGGGATTCAGATTCCCCTTCCATGCCTGGTTGTGTAGATTTTGTTAATGACGAGAAAACGTAGATCTAATAAATGAACTATACCTTGTGAGTCAACCGCCAACAACTCGTATCGACGGGCCACATTCTCATTTTGCGAGCCCTCTGTACTAGGCTGTACGGTCACCCCCGCCGCGTCCACAATCACTCCCTGCCCCAAAACGATGGTGATTGGTCGACCCGTAACATCAGTTTGGTCCAGAAATATTAACACCGTGGTGTCTTCGAGGTCGAGGGCGACGTTCTCCCAAATTCTCATCTCTGCGCCCATGGTCGATAGTGGTTGCGGTGATGGAGGATAATAGGCTTCGCTTAGTCAGCTGACGCCTGGCTTGTCAGCGGCCCGGTCCATGCGGTGCCCTGAACCACCGCCTCCTTCCCATGGACTCGATGACTGTCCATGACTCAACCCATCACCGGATAGGAGCCATAGACTTTTCTGCTTTGTTGTTGAGAAAATTAGTACGGACAATATTCTGGGAATTAATTTGGGAACTGGAGGGCTAGAAGAGGAGAGAAAACGATAGAGGCGCTCACTGTTGCTGAAGGGGAACACTGCCAAAGAGGCGACACGCGCTGGTTGTAGGTGAGCGGTGAGCCGCTGGCACCCCTAAAGGCATTGAACTGGTCGGCATTCTTAGTGGATACCCACGCATCGGCTCTGCGGCAGTGGAACGGCGTTGGTCAGGTTTTCGACCAGCGATGATGGCGGCGGAGCAATGAGGGACGAGGGGACCAATGACATTCGGCTTGTCAATTAAGGCGTTGAATATAATGGAGCACTATTTCGAAGGATATTAGCCCGAAGGACGGAGACCAGCTAGAATTCGCCAGTCAAAACACACGTTATTTCTGCGAGCCTCGTCATAGCGAGCAAGCAATGGGATAAAATCGGGGCTTGAAGATAATGTGCATGGGACGAGAACCTAATCTCAACAGCAGTGGGCGATGGGGAGGTTGAGTGTAGGAAGGGGGAAGTGTAGACACGCAGAAGGACCCGAGCTTTTCCTGGTTGCCTAGTATTTTAACGCTGACCTCCCAAATCGATGCGATGGATTCCCGTCTTCTACTGGAAGTGGCCGAAAATAACTAAAACACGATGTCCATTGTCAACCCACTGATGTCCCCGATAGACAAGAGAACAACATCGGAGATGGAGGGAACGGGTATGTGCTGTCTGTCAGAATGGGAAATGAAACTTTGTATTTTGACATACCTTCGTAATAATAAAACCCTCGGTTAATCAATCCTCCTCCTCCATCCTCCTCCAGCGAATAATACAGGCGTCATGTCACAGTGTCGCTTCAACTTTCAGTAGAGAACTCTGCAGGCGCTGTACTGCGACACCATCCGGGCGTTAATCCGGCGCACGGGTTGATAGTCACAAGCGCCAATTGTCCACCATATAGACAATGGACGGGTTAGGCTCGTTTGTAAATCGAGAATAGGAGTGTGGAGGGGGAAAGGAAGGAGAGCGGTCAGGGACGTCTTTTTGCCGCGTCGCCTATGCAGGTTACCTGCCGTATCAGTTGCCTCGTGATCGAACACATGGAACATGGAACAATCAAGCTTCAGCGCCTAAGTGCCACTGATACCCCTTGAAGTTGCACTCAAGGAAGTCATATAAATACAAACCACCGCCCGTACGTACATACACAGAACGCTCTGGATGTGATTACTATACTACCCAGGTTTTGGAGCTTCCCCGAGTCAACCAAATTAGCGCTCCCAGACGACCCAGAACAACTAGCCTGGCCAGAGTAGCGCTCTCCACAGTGATAGTGGCACTGTCATCAACCTTGACAGCGTCAATGATACCCTCTTTCATCAAACTAAGTAGAACGCTTGACGTATATATGTACTATTCAATAGTCGATGATGGTGGTGCTCGTCCCATGCTACACCTTTACGAGATCTACTCTATTCTTGCGAATGAACAAGGCCGGGGTGTAATTGTGAGTTGACCGCTCATTCTTCTAGTACGTCTACTCCTCGTATTGTAAGACCGGTTCTAGCGCTGAGTAGGAACAGCTCCGTGTGTTGAGAGCGACAGCGCATCCTCGACTCCTACGACTCGGAAGTGCAACCCTCGTGATCACTATCCGCGCCCTCCTTCCGCGAACAGAAGACCTATGGCAGATCTCTCATGTCAAAATCCGGTGTGGCATCCGCAGAGCTCGCTGAGTCTGAAATCTATTGACAGGCGTGGCGCCAGTCGCCCTAGCCGCGGAAGGTCCCCAAGATGGGCAACTTCCTGAAATATCCAGACGCCCGTGCTGACCGCCGAGCGCGAATCTGCAACTAAAGCTGTGGAGAGGGTTTTGAGGGACTGTGGTGTCATTTAAAAGGAGGGTTCTTCCTATTGACTCGTTTTGCCTAGACTGAAAAGGGTACAACGATAACGGGAGGTTTATAAGAGGAGTGGAGATACAGCTTCTGTTCCTTAACGTTCTTCTGACATGTTTTCCCAGCCCCAAGAACCCGAAATAATCCACTTTCGAAACGGTAAAGATGTCGAGATCAAAGATGCTGAACTGGTCGCTCAAGTACACGGTGTGTACTCCTGAAACAGTTCCCTACACCATATTCAAGACACTGGATATATTTAGGCAAAAATGGTCACATCAGCTTCGGCGAATCTGTGAATGATATGAAACTTGTGGATTCATCGATTTGTCTTTTTATCAGCGCCCAGAGCGAGAAGGTGAGCTCTCTTTCTATCAGTGTCAACGACACACTAAAAGGATAGCTTCTCTCAAGAATCATACTGTTACTTCCGACCAACGATCAGCCGTGAATAAATAAGTAGAATACAAGTACAGATATTTCAAAGCTTTGGATACTGAGCATCAGGGAATGCCAATCAATTTAACACGAGGCAGTCCAGGAAGATGCGTGTTCTGCTTGATCATCCTCCAGAAGGGGAAAGCGAAGTAAAAGGAAAACCTGAAGGAAAGAAAGGGATGGAAACCTGTCTACGCGGGCGTACTCGACTTAAGCGTGTATCATATGGCAAGATAGGGGAAAGCAGCTACCCACGCAAGCTATAAGTCTTCTTCAAGTTAATTTCCCATTTTCTTAACAGGGGATGTAGAAACTGCCATCTTCTCTCGACCCTTTACAAGGGAAGAATGGGTGGTGTCTTGGATGAAAAGGTCCATATTCGTTAGTGTCATTCATGCTATGAGTTAGGGAACATACGGATTTTACGAACAGTAGATTCACCCCCGTTCGTAAAGGCGAAACAGAGGCTGGCACCCTTATATTTCACTTCGTCAATGTTGCAGCCATACTGGAGCGAAGCGCCAGGTGCTGCAGAGTTTCTATAATGGTGAGCAACTCAACATGGATTACGAACTCGGGACCGACCTGGGGGCAGCGCTGCTGTGAATTTGAGATTCTCGGCGTATACCTTGCCCGCATTCCCGTGAACATTAATTCTCGGGCCGGACTGGGGCTCGGAGCGCCCGGGAGGAATAAATGGAGTGGTTGAAGGCTTTGGTTTGGTATCGGATTGCGAAAACATTTGGGAAAGGTGCAGTCCACGAAGGTGTGAATATACGACGGGGGAAAGCACTTGGTCAAGCTGGAATCACGGTTTATGTCCTACGAGGGGTGCAAGGGCTGCTCTTTTTTATCCTCGAGAAGAAGCCTGGACTCACCCTGAATCAATTTAGTCGCTATTCAGGCTGCTTGACTGAAGTACTCCATCATTAGAGATTCTGTACTCTTGAAGAGAGGAGTTTGGGCCGACTCATTGGTGACACAAAGAGACCAGATTGCTGGTTGGTAGTGCCTATAATCGAGAAGCATAGTGCATGTAGCGGTTAGAATGTCTTACGAGAAATGCGCCCAGTGTCAAGCCACCAGCTTTTGAATACGAGGGCTTCTTCTTGAAAGCAGTCAAGGAGGTTCCTGATCATCTAAATCAAGAGGCTTAGTTGCTCTGCTGGTAATAAATCGAAAACTCACCGCCTCTGAAATATCATGAGTGGATTACACACCCTGGTGGAATGACATCTCACGGGGCTTATACCTTCCTTTTCTCCTCGTATCTCGCTGACCGTTGCGCAGATATCGACTACCACTAACTGTTGCGGTTTGCGCCAATTGCCGGTCTCGAGCTCCTCGCGAAGTTGTGAGTCCACCAATCAGAGTGCTGATGCCTATTTTTAGAAAGATGTTTTCTTGGCGGGCGCTTAAAGATGAACACCATTGCTCTGTCTATCGATGTCGCTCTGACCGCCCACCATACAGGGTTTTTAAGGTTTGATGTATACAAGCAACGAAGACCCTTTTTGTGCTGCAATACATTGCCGGTGACGACTCTGGCGTTCGTGTTGCGCGAAGTACGGCGCCACCGTCGACACCGTGGTTTATGCGTTGGTAGCTCTCCAATTTAGCAGGCATATTATAGGGACATTTGAGTGTAAAGCATGTCTAAATCGTGCAAAGTGAACAATTCGCAAGGTGAGAAGATCTGTTAATTACCATGATGAGAGGCTTTTTTAGAGGTCTAAGCGCCTCCAGCCGCGATTGTTTTGTTTTAAGCTACCCGGAATTGTCATGGAAACTTGTAGCCGTGAAGGCTAGTTTACCTTGAAAGTATGCTAAGTCCCTTTTCTGCAGATGTCCTGACCGGGATCGGCCAGTGCTTGACGTGTTGCAGCCATCCGACAGCCACACGGCAGGGCCATGACAGTCACCTGAACAATGCGAGAAGAGTAATCCACTCGAGGATGTAATTTCGTGATCCTGACGTTAACACTTAATTGAGCACGTAACTACGTAGGGGCAAGTAGGCTCGATTGCACGTTGGAGGACTCTCTGCGCCTGGAGGCAAGCAGGGTTGTCAAGTTGGATTATAGATGCCATAACATTGACAAAGATACGATGCCTTGACGTGAAGCCCTGAAATAGTGGGACGAGTCGTGCTAACAGTCTCAGCCTCCGATTCTGACAATAACCTTCTTGATTGCTGTTTAAGAATAAATACTCCCCAGTTCTCTTACAAGTCGCGTTCCATGATCCATCCACATGCCCTCCTCACGGACCAAGGCTTACCGCTCTGCTACTTACCGGGTTGGTTGGGGTATTCGGAGACCAGTTAGTGAAGAGCACAGGTATACCCGGGGTAGATTGTTTCCTACCCGCACCCTTACCCGGTCATGACCCCTACCCGGACTGCGGGTACGGGTTACCCCAAGGATGGGGTCAGGGTATTACCCCTACCCCCGGATCCAACGGGTTTTGCAACAAGCAAGCTGTGCTATTAATAGCGACATGACATCATTGGAGGGAACTTTTACCGAAGTTACCTGTCGTTGCGTAAAGCCCAACTTGCTTCCAATCTCTGATATCTTTTCTACAGGAAACACAACCAGCAAGCCAGAGATTACAAGAACCACAAGCAGGAAGCTAGAGATGACAAAGGACATGTCAAGGAGGATCTAGACGACGAGAAACATGACCAGGAAGCTGGAGACGAAGAGAAACGCGAGCAGGAGGTTGGAGACGACGACGAACTCGGCCAGGACGCTGTAAACGACGAGAAACCCAACTAGGAAGCCGGAGACGACGAGAAACGCGTGCAGGAAGCCCGAGACGACGAGAAACGTGAGCAGGAGGTTGGAGACGATGATGAACTCGGCTAGGACGCTGCAAACGATGAGAAACACAACCAGAAAGGCGGAGACGATGACCAATGCTAGCAGGAGGTTGGAGACGACGACGAACTCGGCCGGGACGCTATAAACGACAAGAAACATGACCAGGAAGCCCGAGACGACGAGAACATTGTATCGAATAGTCTGACTAGTCGATACAATATGCTCAGTTAGTTAGATATAGTCCTCAGAACCATTGATACTTGGCCTAAAGTGTTTGGAGATTGTTGCTCTTAAGAAATAATAGGGGCGTGTGACATTTTCCTTCCTGTTTCGTGTCCTATCCGAACAATGCCAACATCGGCTCTTCCTTTCTTTTCCCACTCAGTCATTCTTTGCTTGTGTCCTCCTCTGTCCCCCTTGATGCGCTACTTTCGGATGACCTCGTTGTTCAGTTTAGTGTCGCCCGAGGAAGCAGCAGATCCCGCTTCACTCTCCAATCTGCCTAATGACACTCGAGAGCGGTAAATTTACTTTGAAAGCCTACTCGTTGTAGACCGGGTCCTCTCTCGGTCTGCCCTCTCCTAGGAATTAACAGTCACTGAAACAGGATGACGGAGACGATGGACCCGGTTGAGTGGGGCCCACGGTACGCAGGATTACCCTCTCCAGGGAGATTAAGTACTGATGGCTGAGTTCACTCTGTAGCATCCAAATTTCGCCGATACGTCTAGTAACCCCCATCGAGACACCCATTGTCCACGACCTAAAGCTCAGCACTTCAGAGAAACCGACGTTCCCCGACCGCCAATGCCCCTTCGGCTGGACTACCCACAACCATTCCTGCTCGACGACACCAGTTAACTCTCCTCTCTATTCGGCGGTTGGCACCCACATCACGGCAATACCGGGCTCAACCGGTCCTCTGTATCCAGATGCAACAATACCTCGTTGCTACTTTCGGCTCTGAGAGTCTCTTGGAAACACTCGCCTGTGGCAAGCTTGCTCAAAAATCTTCTTCACCGTAGACAGACCTTCGGGTACTCCAACTCACCCCCAAGCCACAACCGACATGCACTTGAAAATCAGTTTCTGCATCCTGGCTAGGCCCGTTCGACATAGGATAGTAAGTACGGCCGCTTCCTCTCGATAACTCCGTATCAAGCGGATGGGTTGTCTTTGAAGGCTGTTACCAACGAGCAGCGCGAGTTTAACTTCGGTGATGCCCCTAGTGTTCTCGACCGACTGACAAGTTACAGCTATGAGAGTCTGGCTCGGTATCTCATTACGCACTTCCCAAACCTTGACCACCACCTCGATGGGGTTGAAGAGGAGGCTATGGCCCGCCTGCTCGTGTGAGTAGCTCCTCTCAGAGGATAAATCTTGATATACAAACTTATCTTTTGCCATGCCGAACACCGGCTTGGCCTTTTCAGCTTTCTCCTGTACAGCCTGAGAAAGAGTGCTTTTAGAGGCCTGTTGGAGACGCCCTGCATCTCCGACCATGTCATTCCATCGATCAGGCTGCCGCCCCGAAACAGTTGCTTAGGCTCGTCCGCGTTGTGTTGGACCTTCTGGCAGTTCATGGAGTTCACATTTGAACTGGGAGACGATACAAATGTTCGCCAATGTGACTGGGACGGAGAACGGATTCTGTCATTCAAGAAATCACATGACAGCGGCGTCGTCGGCCCGACCCTCTACTCATCCTCGAAGACAGAATATCCAGCCGGCTGGGAGAGTCCGGAGCCCGGAGCTCCTCGAAGATAGAGCGACTCTAACCGCGAACGCGATGGATCTCCTCGTCCGTTCCATGCACGCATCTTAACGCTGAACTACCTGAGAAGATTGCTGTTGATATCTCCGCTATGACAAGCGTCAAGGGATTCGTTATGTCCTCATTTGAGAGATAAAAAGGCTGTTATAAAAACTAGGAGATGCCTAGGGATCCTTTCATTAGCAGACCCAGACCTTCGAAAGGTTCTGAAACGGAGTGCAGGTATTGCCAAGGTCAAGCGCAGCGTAGTGCGGTATAGCGGAGGTATGTATCATAGCCGCGCTTATGGATAACCAACCACAAGTCATTTGATATATGCAAACATTTTTAAAAATCCGAAAAGTCGCGTGATTGGTTCTCCAAAGCGCTTGGAGGCGCTTTGTCGTGGGGTAGGCTAGTAGGTCACGCTTATACAGGCCACAGTGCACATGCCTACATTTGGCTTTAGTGGCCCGTTTGGTCATCTGCGCCACTCGGGGGCGATTACTTCTCACCCCTTATAATTACTTATAAGTCTCTTGCAAAAGTCAAGCCGCAGCAACCTCCTCTCTTGTTTACAACCATGATCACCTCGTTCCCTCGAATCCTCTCCCTCGATATGTCAAAGACGGCACACAGACGATCAATTAGATATCGTGCTCTACCCAAGCAAAACCTTCTAAAACGCGCAATCACCAACGACCTACGTATCCACAACGAGACGATAACCACCTTCCATGGCCTCCCACATGACATAATCTCGTATATATTCGGTATTTGCGTTCTGGAGCTGGATATGCACCCCACCCTTCTGTGCCTGGTCTGCAAGATGTGGCATCAAGTCGCGACCACCACTCCCCACCTTTGGACGACCGTACGCATCAATCTAACCCTGGCTGAAGAATATCCTGGAAGATACAACGGGTATATCTCAAGGTCCTTGAAACGATCTCAATATCTCCCTTTATTCGTTTATATCTTCGACGATGGTATCCCTTTGCCAGCGGAGGCTGCGGAGCTTCAGTTGCATGGTCCAAGGACCCCCGTACCCCTGGCTCACACCATAAAACAGCACATTTCTCGCTTCCAGTACCTCAAAATTACCACATCCCGCCTTTCTCTTCCCCAACTCTCAACGGGGGAGTTCCACAGCGCTCTCCACACGCTCCACATGGAGGGCAACCCCGGACGCGTGCCACAAATAAAAATTGACGCGTACTTCGCGTCTTTCCTCCAGGACGTGCACATCAGCCGTACATCCTTGTACTACCTCAAAATAAATTGGCGGAGAGTGACGACGCTGGTCGTCGAACACGTCGCAGAAGAAGAGGTTGTCAAGATCCTGAAAAGCGCGCCACAACTCGTGTCGTGCACGCTTAGGGACCTGGTCCCTTCTCGGCACTCGATGGCTGGATTCCTCAATTTGAGACTCACAGTACCAAAGTTGAAGCACGTGCATCTGCAGATTAGCTCGGAGTTTATGGAAATCCTGGCTTGGAAGTTTACCTTTCCCGCTCTTACAGAAATGACGTACGAGGGCCCTCGGATGCCGCCGCCCTGCATGAGACCAGACGCGCCTCTTCTGCCAATTTTTGTTGCTTGCCAGAACAACGGCAATCTGAAGCGGCTAACCCTGATGAACTGTAATGTGCCGGCTGAGTGGAAGGAATATATCTCGGCCCTTGCTTCGTCCAATACCTTCAAGGTCATTTTGGACCATTCGGTTCTCTGGGGACAGGGAAACCTGGCCAGCTCATCATCTCGGATTCCCTGACATTGGAACAAAAGCTTACAGTGACATTACTGGCTGGACCAGAGATCATATACTCGTACTTAGAAGATAAAATAGATTTGATCGTTTACTTTGAACACATAATACCACATAATACAAAACTACCAACCCAGGTTGTAATCGTACACAGCGCTTACGGGCACGAATTATCCGAATCACGGATGAAGCAGGACCTTGGTGTACCCATCGACGCGACGGTCGAATTTATCATACGCGTCTGCGGCGTCGTCCAAGGGAAGGTTGTGCGACACGATGAACGACGGCTTTGCCTTGCCTGCGATGATCAGGTCACGGAGATAGCGGTTATACGCCTGCACGAAAGAAACAGGTCAGGAGACTTGAAGGTGGATATCTTGCAACGAAGGAGATGCGACGCACCTTGACGTTGCACTGTCCAGTGCCAATCGACAATCCCTTCTCGAATAATTTCCCTAGTGGAAGCACATTAGTCTGAGATACCCCAAATGCTCTCCAAATGCTCTCCAGATAAGCTACACACCAAACGGGAACGAGATATATCCCCTGGAGCGCTAAATATCAGCATGTGCAGGCACTTGATGATTGAAGCACATACTTAGCAGCAGCCGAGTCCGGCGCACCCGGATCGGTCGGGACGTACAGACCGGGGATACCCAGTCCTCCAGTCGGACGGACGACGCGGATCAGCGCTTCGAGAACGGCGTTGGGCTGCTCGGTCTTCCCGTCTCCGGTCGTGGCTTGGTAGCCGACAGCTGTAGATTGACGTGCAAGATGAGTTGTATAATGCCGGTGAGAAAAGAACGGGATTTGGACGTACCGTCGACACCTCGATGGACTTCCTCTCTACAAAACAATTAATTCGCGTTCACGTATGTGAAGAGAAAATGAATTCTACGCACCCATTCCTTAAATCGAGAATTTGCTGCACCGCGTCGCCTTTACTAAAATCAATAGGGGTGCATCCGATCTCCCTCGCCTTGTTCAGGCGCTCAGGCACTCGATCGACGACGTAGACCTCGGAGGCGCCGCGTATGATGGCGGAGTAGGCTGCCATGAGCCCGACCGGGCCCGCGCCGAAAACGACGACGGATTCGCCAGGTTTGAAGCCCTGAGGTGAAGAGGGTGGTCAGGATATACTCGGAGAAAAGGGGGGGAAGAGGAGATGCAAAGAGAGACTGACCGAAAGCTGGACGCCGTGCCAACCCTGCAGAATTGACACAATAACTTAAATCAATGGATGTGAGGTGAGGAATAGATGTATGACCCACAGTAGGGAACACATCTGCAAGCAGAGCGAAATCTTCTTCGTACTCCGTTCCAGGAGGAAGTTTAAGCGCATTGAAGTCGGCGAACGGGACGCGAATGTATTCCTAGAACGTTTATCAATATATTTCTTTGAGATATTCCATGTATTAAAGGGAGATCACGCACTGCTTGGCCACCAGGATACGGACCCATGGCGACATATCCATAGGCGCTGAGTGACGAGACCGGATGAGGGAAAGACCCACGAGAGATTTGAATATGCCTACCCTCCTGCCTACATCACCGACGTTTTAACTCGGAGATTTCCAAAGCTCAGAAGAAAGCGCGTACAAAACCAGGATTAACCTCCTTGCAGAAGGCGGAGCGGCCTTCTTCGCAGTTCAAGCACCTGCCACATGCGACGTTGAAGGGCATGACAACGCGATCGCCTTTCTTAAGCAGCTGTAGACACAAAAATGAATATTGTGTTGGGTTTTGAGTATCAAATTCAATGCTTACTGTGACCGCAGTGCCTACTTCCTAGAGAGGTGTTATTCTACGTCGAAGGAAAGGCGCTCGAGACTCCTACGCACATCAACAACTCCCATGCTGAGAGACAGGATTAGCCTACAGGATTCAGGTCGTTCACAACGAGGAGGCGTACTTTTCGTGTCCAAAAACGATACCAGCCTGGGCGGCTGTTCTTCCTTCATACATGTGCAAGTCACTGTAATTGAAGTCCTCGTTGAGGCCCAGTAATGAATATAGGTACGGAAAAGTTGACTAGCCTTCCGCAGATACACGTTGTCGTCACTGTCGTCGGAGTCTAATACTTCAGGATATGTCCTGCTACAAAGATGAAGGCGGACCTGACCTTTGACTATGACATCATCAGGATGCAGGATCTTGGGCCTGTCGACATCGCGAACCGTAACAGCGAAAGGTTTATCGTAGACGACTGCGCGCATTTCGGTGGTGGGAAGAGAGCTTATCTCGATCGTATTATTGGACGGAAGTCGAGTTATATAGGTTTCGAGAGCGGATTTTCAGAAGAGGAAGAACACATCAAGCGAAGCCTTGAACCACTTCTTCCCGCCTAAATAGACTATACTTCAATGAAGATTGAATGTATCATCGACTTATGGGTCAATGAAAGTCAGGCGGACGTACCCAAGAAGAGCGCGTGAGATGCGCGTGAGCGTCATCCTGCATATTTTGCACCATGGGCTTTCTGGTCAAGTTGAACAAATGGTCACCTGAATGATATGGTGACTAAGTGTTCTGACTTTTATTGACCAGCTGGACTCATAGCATACCATCTGACTCGAGGCCGCTTAGAGTCCAATTGTGGGATATGATAGATACAGGGGCTTGACGGGGAGAATTTCAGCCCGATGACGAGTACAATTTTTGTGGTTGAACTTTGAAACTTGGGTGGGTGGGAAGAGTTGTGGGTCCAGCGGGCCGGCAAATGTGAGCATTTCGTGGAGTTTGAATCGCGGAAGCAAATCCACTGCGGCCAAGTTTTACCGCGCTCTTCCTCATCATGTTAACGTCGCAAGTGTTGCGGGACTTTTCTTTTCTAGTAGCCTGCTCTCCAAAGATCTTGTGTCAAGCTAATTTCAAGAGCTTATTTTCTACGTAAATTCCTTCCTGTTTATCTTTTAAAGTGCTGCCGAGAGCACTGACATGACACTTAGGCGCCCATTTCTTATCGCAAAATCTTGCATATAGATTCGACAATGGCTACTCTTGACAATAGAGAAACTGCCCCGGTACCTCATCTACAGAGCAACGTCCCCCTCCTCCCAGAAATCTGGGTCGAAATCTTCAAAATCATTGTCGACTCTAGCACAGACTCTACCCGAACTACATTCACGGGCCGAAAACATAACCCACTCTTGATCTTGACGTGGGTCTGCTCAGATTGGCGCAAATTGGCAGTATCCACCCCTTCTCTGTGGTCGAAGCCGCAAATACAGATCAATCGCACCAGCTTGAAATCGGCGAAACACAAGGAATCGTATGCCAAGTTGGTCGATCTTTGGATCGATCGCTCTCAGCAGTGCCCTCTCGCGATTTTCTTGGTCGACTTACAGGGGAACCGGCGGGGGCGACGTGCGCCAAGCAACGTACATTTCTTGCCCTGGTCCATCCCAGAGCCCATCGTAAAAGAGTGCCGTCGTTGGGAGACGCTATATCTCAAGACAAGCCAGGATAGCGGAGACTACTTGTGGCGATTTATACCTTTCAAGAACAGTCTAATCAACCTCAAATCTATCAAAATACAAGTCAAGCCAAGAACAATTGTCGATGGAGGGCCACTCATTGTCGAAGAACAACCGCAGCTAACGTTCATCGAAGGGGCGACGAAATTGTGCGCCGTTCATCTATCAGTGCCAGAGCTATTCTTTGGATCGTCCCTCCCTTTCGCTGATCTTACGACCCTCGATCTTGTTGTAGATCAGAAGCACCGCTTCGTGTTCCCCCTCCCAATCTTTCAATGTCTGAGGGCGTTGATTATGTGCCCAAAGCTCTTACATGCGGCCTTCAACTGTGGCCCAGCCCCTGCAGGGGAAGTTATTCCGCACATGGCACCTATTTATCATCCAAACCTGACCGAACTCCATATCTTCGAGACCCACACACGACCAGAAATGCCAGGCACGAGGACCTTCCTTGAAAAGCTCACCGTCCCCTACCTCACCAGCCTTTTGGTAACATCCGATCGCAACCCCCCAGATGGAGAACCATCGAGATGGGACCATGAATCTATGCATGATTTCTTGTCGCGCTCGCCCGGGTTGGAGTTACTTAGTCTTCGATTCCCAAACGTCGATCAGGTGAACGTGGGCGAGGCACTCAAATATCTGCACTGCTTGTCCAACCTCCGCCACTTCACCCTGTCGATATTTCACGATCCACAAACACCCGTCGAACATGACGTGCTTATGTCCTTTTTCATGAAGGACGATCGCTGGCCGCTGGGTTACATTAGCCGAGTCCACTACTGGGTCAACACACCTCAGAAAATCCTCAATATCACCACCGACTCTCTCATCAAACAAGATAAATACAAAAGCGGAATCCTTGTTGTGCCGGAGCTGTAAGAAAAAGATGAAGGCTATGTATAGTGCGTGTGTATGAAGTAGCTAGATCAGAATCAGAAGAGGCCCAGTAGGCTGTCGTCCCCTATGGACTTGATGATATCTCTTGCTTCTCGGGCGGGACGCGCGATGAAGGGTTTATCGTTCGCTGCGCTCTCCAGGATCTTTTGGGTAATTTGGCGGAGGACCTTCAGTTTTTGGAAGAGGTTGGGCCCTTCTGTCTCGTCGTCGTCTTCATCCTCGCTGACGACGGCTAAAATGACTTGGGAGGATATCACAGATGGTGGTGTTCCTGTAATCAGATAAGATCTGGAAGCACGTTAGTATTTTGATAAGAGATTGCGTAGGGGTGTACTCACTCGACGAGTGGCCGCAGGAGCTCCGGTTGGTCCGAAAGCGATTTGACGAGAGCGCCAACAGCCTCTCCGTAATGTTCTGCAGGAAGAAACGGTCAACAGATAGAAGAAAATGTCCTGAGAAACAAAAGACCAACCACTATGAGGCTCTCGGAAGGCATCAGACACAAGCTCAATGCAGGATTCTCTCGCCTTCTCGCCAACGTTTTGCGACGCACTCTTCATAACATACGAGATGGCAAGGATAAAGCTCGTTGCGATTGAGTCTTCGTTTCCTCTTGCTCCCGTAATCAACTCGGTAATGACAGGATCCACGCGAGGTTGGTTCTTCATCAAAACACCCAAAGCTTCCGCAGCCTTCGCCCGTACGGCACTGCTCGATGGGTCGCTGGTGCTCTTGACGAAGGTCCGTTGCAATTGTGGGAAGAATGGCTTGACGAACGCAGGGATGTGCTCCAACATCGAAGTTAGTGCATGCAGAATGGCGATCTTGACTCCTGGTGGATACGTCGTCGCCTGTGTCGCCACACGAATGAGCGGACCAGTGAAGGGTACCACGAAAGGCTTGATGGCATTCTCGTTGGTGCGCTCGACGAGGTCGCCGATGGCATATGCAGCTTGTTCGCGCTGTTCGTTGCTCCCTGTCGTAAGACCTGCGATTACGATAGGCACTGTCGGCGCGACACCCTTTGGCAGGTCAAAGCCTGGCACGGTGCGTCCAGGAGCGCCAGTAGACTCGATTGTACGACGAAGAGGCACAACCAACGGCTCCAGTTCGTCCTTCGGTATAGATTTGACAAATGTATCGAATGCGTTCCAAGCAGCTGTATGCACAGCTACTTGCTGGTCGTCCAAGAGAGAGACAAGCTGACGGATCCAATCGACCCGATACAACGAGGAATCCATCTCGGAAGTTTCACAGAACACGGTGAAGAGTTTGCATGTGGTAACCCTTCGCTTGGGTGAATCGTGCTTCGCCCTGATGCAGATTAGTACTTGCATAGCAGACCTTGTAGAATTAACACACCATCCGATGAGCATCATCATGACTGTATTGAGACCTTCTGCATCCTCCACGGATGAGAACAGAGCATTGACCGCCTCGTCAACAGCTTCGCGAAGCTCATCTTCAATATCGTCCTCGGATACCTTGACCAATGGATTCAGAATAGCGGTCAGCCGTCTGCTCAAGGCATTGCCTGCAACAGTGACTAGAGAGGCCAATGCTCGGGCATTGAAGACTGTCATAGGAATGGCGGTCAAAGTGGGTATGAGCACTGGGAAGACAGTTGAAGCTCGGACCTAGAAGAGCAATTCAGTCTTCATGACAGTCGAAATGATTGAAAGCCATTGCTTACACTCATGACTTCCCTCAGAGCTTGCAATGCGGTTCCTGATCCCTTGCCAGGTTGACGGAGGGCCTCGAGCAATGTGGGAATGGTCTGATCGATCGCCTTGACACCTAGCTCCTCTTGAAGTACATCGAAGGCTTGGGCCGCTGCGGAGCGGACGTTGGCCTCATCATCGACAAGGGCTGCCCGAATGATAGAAATAATATCGTCTTCATGATCTTCTCTCTGCGACTCGGTGGCGTTTTGCCTAAAGGGGCCGCGTTAAAATCAGTAGAAGGCATTCTAAATCCCATCCTTACATGATCTGGCTAATTGTCAATGAAACGCCTTCGCGGGTACGAGGGTCGGTTGAGGTAGCTTTTGTCTTCAGAATGGGCATAATTTCCCCGAGAATGCGCTCGCCAAACTTGCGGCATAGTTCAGCCACAGTTCGTCCTGCGGTCTACAAAACATGAGCAAAAGCAGGATAGACACTGCGGGGAAACAAACTTCTTGTTGTTCGAACTCATCCGATGAAATCAAGAATACGATTTGGTTTATAAGTTCAGGAAGTATTTCTCTAACTGCAGAACTTGTCAGCCAAATTGTGATACCGTATTGAACAGGACTCACCAGTCCGAGGTGTGTTGTTTACAAGAGCCTTCCAGATCTGAATGGAGGACTGTCGCACAACTGCAACGCCATCCTGGCGAATGAGATACAGCTCTGCAAGAATCCTATCGCGTCGCTCAACCCCAAGGACTTCAACAAGAGCACGTCGAGAAGCTTCAACCACTGTTCCTTCGGCAGCGACGTCTTCCTCGTCAAGCTCTGATGTCTTTCCAGATATACCCGATACCTTGAAGAGCAGCTCTCCGACTAAAGTAATGGAAGATTGCTAGAAAAAATGACATTATAATGGATCCAAGAGATGTACAGATGAAAACGTACTCGAATGCGCCATCCTGGGTCGAACATACCAGTCTCAAGCTCAGGTAGGAGCAAATCGACAGCTCGGCTGGAGTAGTTGGTAACGACCATTCGTCCAGCACGCATTGCCGCCTCTCGAACATATTCCTCAGTGTCTGAAAGACCGCCAAGAATAGGGGAGATGATCTTCGGCAGATGGGGTTGGAAACGCGTCCCGAACGTTGCTGGCAAATAAACGAGAAGCGACATGAAACCTTCTCGCACAGTTGATCTTGGGGAGCGAGCGTTGGCAATGATATCTGGCAACAATCCTTCCAGCCTTTCCATTCCAAGGCCCGATAGAACTTCGCTGAGACCTTGGGCGGCACCTTGTCGGTCCACTCCGGATGTGTCAGTTTTGAGGATTCTTAGAAGTCCAGGTACGAGATCCGGGAAGTAGCCTTCTCCTAGTCGTTCAACCAGAGTTCCAAGGGCTTTCGCCGCTGTTGCTCTAGCTTCGGGCACGGGATCGACTAAAACTTGATGGACCATGGGTAGAAGCTCGTCTAGGTAAGGCACGAAATCCTTCACGTCAGTCAGCGATGCCAGATTGCCAACAATCTGGGCGGCTTTCTTCTTGGTGTCAGCTCCTCGTTCTTTCAGTCCTCGTTCAATGATGGGAATAACCTAAGAAGAATAAAGACATGACAGTGAATGAGAAGACTGAAACATACCAAGGCCAAAGAAGACTGGTCGATGAAATGCATGAAAGATGTTTTCAAGAGCGAAGATAGCGCGTTGGGGGTTTTGGCGGGATCAACGAGTGCTTTGAGGAGTACAGGAACGAGTGACTGAATCTCCGGATTGCTGATAACTTCTCCGAACTGTTTCAAACTCTTGTTGGCAGCCGTTTTGACTTGAGCATGCGAATCTGTCAAAACACCAGTGAGGCGAGGAATAACGATGGGAAGGGATATCGATAGTTGGCGAGGAGAACAGTACGCCATCATGCCTAAGAGTTCAATCGATCCCTTTTTGGAACGCCACTGCTTTTCATCCAACCCTTCCAAAAGGGTAGGAAGAATAAGCTTGACACCATAGCCAGAAAGATTCGCCATGATTACTCGGGCGGCATCTTGTGTGGACTCGCGGACGTCTGCTGTCCCGTCGCCGAATAAAGTTAGGAGAATAGGAAGAGCGAAGGTGATATATGGTTCGAACAATCGTCCCAACGTGCTGGACAAGGTTTCGAAGGCGAACATGACGCCTTGACGAGATTCGTAGTGCTTCTTCTCCTCAGCTGCCTCCTTCAGTCGACTGATAACACGGAAGTCCTTCATGCCACTAATGCCCGTTCCTCTGATGACCCCAGCAAGACCATAAGCGGCACCACGCCGAGTTGCATACTTTGGACCATTGAAAAGATCATCAAAGAGTTGGTCAACGAGGGTTGGCAATCTGGGTCGCATAAGTCTAACGAGAGGCGATAAACATTCGGACACGGCAATTTGCACTTGTTCGGCAGGGGTTTTCAGAGCATCGACGAGTCGGTCTACGATAGACGGGGTTCGTGCGTCCGACGCCTCCAGGTGACGAGCAACGCGACCGAAAAGAATAACGACGGCCTCCTTGATGAAATCATCCGTTTCTGAAGAGGACCCAGGTAGGGCTAAATGTTCCTCGAATAGCTTGATAAGCTGTGCCAATCGACTTGCACCATGTATGTCGATGACGGTGGTCCCAGCTGAGAGCATGCCTTTGCGCACGTCTGCTGTTCGGTCACCAAGAGCCTGATCTTGAATCAAGAATTTGAAGAAAGGTTCCAAATCATCCGCTGTGAAGGATGGTGCAAGAACTTCAAATGTTTGCGCTGTTGCTAGCCGTGCAGTCCATGGATCCGTTCGTTCTAGCGTCTGAGCGATAACCATTCCCTGTAGCAGCATTCAGTCACAAGCATCACTTGAGGCAGAAAGGCACTAACGTATTCGTCGAACTCAGGGGCAAGTATTTTTGCCTACAATTAGTTAGCCTTGAGGCTAGCGTAAATCCAGTCGATCCTCACCTTCTCGCGATAATAACCTTGTAAAGTGGCCAACGTTGGTTGAATAGTGAGAGGCCACTGCTCAACCGCTTCTGCTATGGCTTTCGCGGCACTCAAGCGAACGTAAGCATTTTCATGGTCTATCTCAAGTTCAACGAACGTTTTCAAAAAGACAAATCAAGGGATTCATACCCAAGAATACAATCAAACGATCCAAGTATTTTTCCGGGATGTCGAGACCATTATCTTCCCAGACATGACGAGCCAATCGCGCATTTTGTTCGTCGTCGTCGTGACAAGCCACCCAAAGCTCTGGAGACCAGTCCATGTCGGTCAAATCTAATGGTTGAATGGCTTGCAAACATGAATTTCTGACATAAGATTCCTGGAAGAGTGTACCGCGAAGCAGCACTTCAGACTCTGCACGAGTTGCCGTCGCCGAAACGGCCTCTCCAAGTTCGATAAGTGCAGAAGAAGCAACCTTCCCCAACTTCGGCTGGTGCCGAATGGTATGTATAAGGTTTCCAATTGTTCGCGCTCGTGGAAATGCAGGAGCAGCAACTACATGCAAGGTGAGCTATTAAAAAGCTGGGTGAGAACCATTGCTTACATTCACCACAGTGGAACTTGATGACCTCCAATGCTAGTGTAACTTGTTCCAAGATATCGTCCTGCTCTTCTCCCGGAATTCCTCCACTCACAAGTATCTGACTCAGAAGAGGAAATGTGTAGGAGAATGTAGCGGCATCGAAAGGCGTTTGCTCGGCGAGGAAGCGCAAGCGATACAGGACGCGAATGACAAGCACTGAAGCGCATCACTAAGGACTAGAGTCAAAGGGAAATGTGACCTGACTCACTGTGAAGAGGCTCCGCTTGCAGATCTTCTGGAATGGATCCCATTTTTAGACATCGGAGTGTAGCGATTCCAATCCATCTTCTAATCGTGTCCAGGCGATCCGATGTACTTTCAGAGAGCGTCTACAGATACAACTGAGCCGAACACATGCAAAACGGATAAGAAAAAAACGGACCAAATATGTCTCGAATGCAGCAGGACCAGCAAGGAACGATCCCCTTCCGAGTGCTCCATTTAGCAGCAGTGACACAATCGGCGACATGTAGGATTGGAACTCCTCTACACGAGCGGCAACAAGACTCCTCACGAAGAACAATCCCCGGTTGAGTTGTGAATGGATGACTTGTACCCGCTGTCGGATTTTGGACTCCTTCTCCAACTGGGCTTGGACAAGTGCTTGCTGTTGTCTTGACAAAGTAACGGGTGCAGCCTTCTTCGCCGCAAGTGCTTTTCGTGTCTCCTCTTCCCATTTCGCAATCTCATAATCCTTGCCTTTGGCCGGCCTCGTTTCATTCTTCGAGGAGGAAAGCACTATTACAATTCTGCTAGTTAGAACAGTCAACTTGCAACAAGAATTAAACCTGCCATCAACAAAGGTTGTGCCTTCTGCTGTTGCCCAGATGGCAAGATCGTCATCGGAGAGGCTGTTAAGAACTTCAGGATTAATGTCCGATTTAAGCTGCTCTGTGACGCGAGGAAGAACATTGGCAGGAGAGACGAAGGCCAGTGTTGTTATGGCCCTGTGACTGGTATTTGCAAAGCCGTCCTAAGATGACGTAAGCATCGACCGTATCACAAAGGTGTTCGACAAACCTTGGATTCCATTGCACTGGCCTCCAACACGAGTTCGAACAATCTGTCAAGGTTTTTATTGACCACTTCGCGAGGATCAGCGCCAGCTTTCTGGCAGACATCGATCCAGGTTTGTCGGTCGGGTCCACCTGGATCAGTAGGTTAGGATGAAACACACGCAACGAAGGAACGACGTACGGACATATGAGATGGTGATGAGCCAACACAATGAAATCGACAACGATGTTTTCCCGCAAGGAGGTATCAACAGTTTCTTCAAAAGAAACTATACTAAGAAGCAGGGCTGCAAGTCTTGAATGCTTGTTCCAAGGGACGACAGTTTCATCCGACGGGGTTGCTTTCGCGGTCGGGACACCCTTGGAGAGGAAAGCGAACAAGGCGTCTCGGATTACTTTGCTGACAAGTCCGGGAGAAAAGGCGGCCAGCTCAACCAAGGAAGCACTGACCCTTCGTCGAATTTCTGGGAACCGGCTATCGATCCCGAAATGGATGAAGACTGCTCCAAGGTGTGTTCTGCATGAATTTCAGCGATTCGAATCGCAGATTTTCATCGAGTCATTCGTACCTCAATGTTTCATTTTTCGAGAGCTCGGACTTGAAGTACGGAAGCGAGACATTGCACGCTCTGAGAAGCCATTTCTCCTCCTCCTCTTCCGTCAGCTTTTGATAGACCTTGTCCCACAACAAGAACGACTGCTTAGCGCTGATGGTGCCGATGGCCGCAATTACCGGGTTCTGGGCGATGACCGCGTCTGGAGGAGGCGTCAACACAAGACTGATGATCAAGGATCATCGCCGACTGACCGAACTTCGATTGCGCCAACGGGCCCAGAAGGACGGCGACAGCGACATAACCCTCGTACGGTCCTCCACTCGAATTGAGCGGGTTGCTTGAAACGGTCTTCAGACAATTTTCGAAAGCCGGTAGAAGTGCTCTGGCGAAGGCGACACCATTATCGTGATCTAAAACGTGTGGCTCGTCGAAAAGCACTGAACCCGCGAGCCCAACGAATGCTTTCCTGACAGTTGGCTTCGCATTGCTCATCTCCTTTGCGATTAACTGAGTCGTCTCAGATGGTACGGAAGACTGTGAGAGGAGAAAGACGATATGACGCGACAAAGCAGCTGCAAGCACAGCCGTAGTACCTTCATGCGGCTCCTTGGCGAGAAGTGGGGTGGTAGTCTGAAGGAGTGTCGTTGAGACCTCCTCTGCTGGAGGAAGAAAGGCGAGCATCGAATATAGAGCAACACGATGGTCGGCGCCAGCAGTTTTCCCAGTTTTAGGGAGAGTCAGGAGTTCGGGCACAGCAAGGCGGGAGAGGTTATGACGATTTTGTGGGTCATGGAGGCTGAGGAGGGCTTTGAAGAGCTGGACCGAATTTACGCGGACGAGAGCATTGCTAGACTTGGAGCTGCTGACGACTTGTTGAACGAGGTGTTGGAAAATTGTAGGTTCTAGAGGCTGCTTATAGGCAAGGAAGAACTGAATGACGACTTCAAGGAACGTCAACAAAAGCTGATTACTTCGCAAAAATTAACGTACCGGGAAGAGCATTTTCTGGGGCTCGTAGCAATGCTTTTTCGATCGTAGGGGTGATAGTGCTCGTAAAGTCGTTATTCGTTACAAAAATGGATATGAAGTCGTTGAGGACGGTCTACAACTCGGTCAGGACACATACAAAATAGATTACGTAGACGTACGAGTATATGCTCTGGCAGTGGAAATTTGGCCATTAGAACGGTGCTTGTATAAACGCCCACAACTCCCTGCTTCAGGTCATCTGGAAGACGTTTTTCAGGATCTTCAGATATGTTTTTGAGGCGGATCAGGACGCTGACAGCGACACCAATCAAGCTAACAAGTCGTAAGGGAGTTGAATTGGTTTTGAGGAGGGCGAGGAGGGTTCTTATAACGTCCGTTACGTGTCCAGGCGCCTGCTAAGATGAGCCTGGTTCATTTCACGAATCAAAGAACGCACCGATCTCAAAGCCCGACGCGTCCGTACAAGACCGCCGTTCTTCATCGAGGGCTTGGCTTTTGTCGACTCCAGGAGCATGTCGAGGAGCAACGCTAGCGATCCGACGAGAGCTCGCCACGAGTGGGAAGACGCGAAATTTGGGTTGCTTTTCACACACGTCGTATAGAGCCCACAAGACCAACTCAAGAGCACGAATAAATCCGAAGGAGCGTAGGAACTAGAAAAATGTCAGTTCCGCAGCGCAACCTCGAAGGCATGACCAACGCACTCTGAATTTCCCTTCTTTGCCAGTCTTCCAACCTCGTTGGAAAGCCATCCCAAAATTTGCTCCGCTACACCCAACCTAACCTCACCCCTCGGTCCATCCTCCGTACCACGAACTTCATCACGACGAACCAACTCCATGCCCACCGCCTCCACTGCGTCTCTCGATCCCGAATCAGAATACCGCGGATAAGTTAACGTCAGTAGCTTAAAAATGTCCAAGATCTGCGACAGCGTCAAGTCTTGCGACATACGATCAATCGATGACTCGAAACGCCCAGCAGGTAAATGGCGTACCTCCATGTTTCGCCAGGGACAAAATTTCCATCTGCAGGAACTCTATCCGCGCTTTTGTCTTCGCGTTCAGGAGCACGTTTTGCGCATATTCCAGGGAGCGGGGCCAGTTGTCCAGCACGCGATCTCGCTGCCAGGCCTGTTGTTCGTCATCTTGGTCCCCATTTTCATTATTGCTTGTTGAAGAAATCCATGAGTGAATTTCGGATTTGCTCATTGCGGCCGGAGGCGGCTCCTTGGCCTTGAGCTTCGCGAATGTGGCTTTGGGAGGCACTTTGAAATCCGATAAAGTGAACGAAGCACGAAAACAACTTTGGCGTTTTGACACTATAATTTGAAAGTTCCCACGATAAAATGGCTCCGAGTCCAATCCGAGTCCCGCGTCGAAAAATCTCGAAAGAATGCGACCTGCTGCTGGATGGGTAATTCTAAGAAATACATTGACTTGACCCGCTCTGAAATAAGACTAATTTTCACCAAAATACATGCCCCTTCATGAGGAACCTTCCAGTCCGCACCACTTTCGCGCTTTTCACCTGGCCATCCTCTCCAAATTCAGCACCAACATCAACCAATCCTCCTGGATGGCGTATCCTGACGAGGTCTGTATCTGAAGTCTTCGACGCCTGCACAATGGCCCAAGGAATGGTTCCCTGTACCTTCGATGCGACGCCGAGACAGAGACCCACCGTCATCGGAACCGCCTTGTGAAGTACGCCCATCGAAAGAGCGTGGATTACGATGTTGGAGTCGACCGTGTTAGCTGGCGCACTAAGCATGGCGATCTTCGGTTGTGCTTGCGCCGATGGGTCAAGACCCATCCGTCTCGCTCCTTCTTGTCGAATAATCTCCAGTACGGACCCAACTTCTTGCAGGGCGTCGCTCTTGTTTTGAATATACCCCTCCACAGGCAGGAAATCGTTCAGCTCGTTCAAGTCGACGAAGACTGTCGGGTTTGTCGTGTCGACCAGAGACACTTTGATGGTTCGGGTCAAGGACGGGACGGCGATTTCGAGCTGGTCCACGGCATTTCCTGTAGGCAAGAGCTTCCCAGTTCGTGCACCACCTGGGTTGACGAAGTCCAAGATGATTTGGGATGTTTTTCCCGGCACTCCTGCCACGGTCGCCTCTGGGATGTTTAGCGACGGTACGCCGGTCTCTGAAACAGGGAAGGTAGTATCGATGATCTTCTGTGTGTTGGTATTGAAAGACCTGACCGTCGCATGTCGTCTACCTCGGGAAATAGAACACAGACCTTCGTCGAGGGCGTACGCGCCGATCATACTGGAAAGATTACCGCAGTTTCCAGAGTAGTCGATGCTGCTATCGCGTATGCCAACCTGGACAAACGTGTACTCGACGTCAATGTCCTGGGCTTTCTGTTCAGGCGTCGCCTCCGCGACAACGCATATCTTCGAGAGGCTGGAGACACCTCCTCCCATGCCATTCAGCTGTCTGCCATGTTCTGGATCCGGAGAACCCATTATTCCGAGAAAGATGGGGTCCCACTTAGCGCGCTCAGATGGCAGATGGGCCTTGTTCAGGAAAATTCCTTTCGATGTCCCACCGCGGAGGAAAGTCGCTGGCAGTGGATTCGGAACAGAGGATGACCCGAAGGGGCGAGTCATACGAGCCTTGAAGAGTTGCGCTGAAATTACGCCCAAGCGTCGTTTCACTGTCAGAGACATAACAGATCAATGATTTCGGCTGCCCTCGCCCAAGCTTCGCCAGATCTTTTGGGCTCAGAATTAGCATTCCTCGAATATTGTATATATGAATGCTTGCCTTGCCTAGGTGAGAGTTCCGAGAGAGTTGTCTTCAACGCAGCCTTTCGTGGGAAGCCCCTAGTTTCCTGGAAGGATCCAGAGACTACTTAGTCCTTTAAACAGAGCTAACCTGTGGGGAAAATGGCAACGGCTTGTGTACCATTTCAACCACCCTGGTGCCTCTGTTTTCACGGTCCTCCTGGGTGGATGAAAGACGACGATTATGAGGTTTCTATGACTGTTCTGGGGTCCTAATAGGCCGACTTGCCGACCGGGAAACCACGTGGGTCGAGACCTTTGAGCGACAATTTCTGATCGTTGTTTGCCTTCTGGACTTCGTCAACGGTCCTTCGGGTGCCCACTGGTTCCTGCACAACGTCGACACCTCTCTGGCATCTTTCTTAGAGCTTTGAGACCGCCTTTTACGAACATTTAGAAAGCAACGAATATACAAGAATCTTCCACATTGGACGCACCCATTTCTCAGCCACGGTAAGGCACATATTTGATGGAAATTGGACCTACTTGAATGGTCTGACCAACTACTTAGGTTTACCAGAGGCCAGCGAAGGATCCTCCCTTCCTTCCTGTACGACAGTCTCCTCAGCTTCTGTTGACTGCAGCCTCGGATTGCCTTGGACGCCACTCTTTTCGTCCAAGACATTATCCTCGGCGCGTCATTACCCCACCTCGCCGCTCCTTTGTCACCATCTAAGGTCCTATTTTCCTTATCTTCCCCCGGTCTAGCACCATACTGAAGTTCCAATGCAGTGGGGTCATCCTCCATGTCATCATCCTCATCTGCAACGCCTTCCGGCCTCATCACCACCTCCACGCTATCGGACCCTGGAACCCCTAAGAGCGACCACCGGCTCTTAACCACCGTGGTTATCCTTGCAATCGTCGCAACCTTCCTCATTGCATTTATCATCTGGCTCACGCTCCGTGTGAAACGACGCCAGAGTAATGGGGAATCCTCTGGCCCGTACCAGGGAACTGTGATGAACCAAGATCATCCAGCATCCAGCATTACGCCGTTCGGAGCAGGTGGCCCGCACGCAGGACGGAAGGCGCCTCAATTCAGTGCGTTACCCCCCACACGACTATCTATATCCTTCCTTCTTAACTCCTCCTTTCCAGCACACACCCCCGGCGAAGACATGCGAATAGCAGTCCGTCGACCCGACGGTGCTTGGCACTTCGCCGATTCCCGAACACCTTTTACACCAACCGGAGTGCAGGATATCGACGTCCTTCCATCTCCCATGTCATCCTCAGTTAGCCTGCTTTCCCTCCTGCCCCACCAGCCTCTGTCGAAGAAAGCGCAAGAAGCTCGGTCGTACGGGAAAGGCTATGACTCCGATATCGACTTCGAAGTCAGGCGGACGGTCCCACCTCCACCTGCTTATCATCGCGAGCCGTGCGGAGAACATTTCGATGACGCTCGATCTCCCGTATAGCATTCATTCCCTGGACTCTTCCTTTCTGTTGGTTTGGGCTTTGTCGTTCTTTCAGGACCCCTGGCTTTTCCCTTCTTGCTCGGGCTGGATCACTGTACTTTGATGCCTCTTCGCACCGTCTCCATCGATTCATCGTTCATCCTATCAACCTGCATTTCACCCTTCTAACCCGCCACATTTTGCAACACTTCATTACAACTTCATGGTCTGCTAATTGCTCCTTCATTATCCTAGATATGATTCACATCATGTCGCTCTGTATATTGAGTTATTGATATGTATATTCCACTATGGTTTTACTCAAAACTCGGAAGGACTCATCCTCGATGGTTATTTTCGACGTTCTCTGCTGGTGGGACTACAAGTACAAATAACTTCCTAATAAGTGTCAACCCCACCAGTGGCTCTCTTGCTTTCTCCTCTCAGTCTCCGGTCGTTCGCGGTCGTGACCTGGTGCAAGTGCTTCAGGCGACAAATCTACATGTTCCTCTCGCAAATTGCACATGAAAATATGCAAGAACCTCCATCATGACGGGGCCCCATCCAGCAACTTGAAAGCACAGCTGCAAGATTCGATTCCTCCGAACCCGAAGTTCTGTTTGTTAAAGCGGGTCGAGTCCCACTTTGGAACGTTCGAAGTTACCAATGACTGTCCCCGGTTGTTGCTCTCTATGGTGTGCGAATGATTCAACGCTTCACAGCATGGAACGGAGATTATTCTTCGGCGAAACCTAGCACGCTATGCTCACGATGGTTCTGGGTAGAGCGGAACGAAACACGCCTTTAGAAGTTCAAATATTTACGCCTTAAAACCGCTGACAGTGCAACGGCCAGTGACGGATGCAGAATTTCTACAACAGGTGATGTTCATCGTACGGTATGTGTCCTTCAAACGTCGTAAATGACATACGCATTGGAAGCTAGATCTGAGCTCAACAGGAAGAGGGGCGATCGCAACGCCGACTTGCTATGTCCGTGTTTCTTGTTCTCCCTGGGGAAACTCCGGCTTTCAATCTGCAGACGTATGTGTTTATTTTGCTGGCGCTCTTCTCTCCTCCAGGATCTAAGAGATTCTCCGTTTCTAACAGGCATTTGGGATCTCCACTATCTCCGTTGCAGCTTGTCATGAGCGGATCACGTGCGAAGAGGCGAAAACTCGGCGACGAAGCACTTGCTGTGGCCACTCTTCTAACGTCTCAACAACGCCGCCGTGTCGTTATCGCTCTACTGGGCCCATGAAAAATGTCTGCAGCTGTTAATCACGGAAAGCACATTTCTTCAGTCCCTCTGAAGCATCCACAATGCTCTCGCTGAGACGGGGAATTATCGGACTTCGTTGGAAGCGACTGTATATAAACCCGACAATGGCGATATCGTGTCGACTCGCATCTCCTCCTGCCAACACCATGGTCTTCCGTATCCTCGTGGCGTCGTACACCAACGATATCACTACCCTGGCGTTCGATCTCTCGACACCGTCGTTGGAAGTAACTTCCAGCCTCACGATTGGCCACCATCCTTCGTGGATCACTTCGAATCCAAACCACCCTTCGTTAGTCTGGACTGGCTTGGAGCAATCGGATGGACGGATACTAGCTCTTGGTGTTGATAAGCATGGGAAAGGGAAAGTTGTCGCTGAGACATCGAGCGCTGGTCGCGACCCATGTTCATTGCTCGCGTTGAAGGAGGAGCTTCTAATAGCCAATGTACGTATCATCCGAGTGGTGTCAGATTCATTGAAATATAATTTCTACCAGTACTCATCTGGCGTAGTTGCGACTCTGCCATTGCCCGCAACATCCCAAGAGAGACCTCATTTTCTCTCACCTCCCACGACAATTCAGTTTCGCGGTACCGGGCCGAACAAGTTGAGACAAGAAAGCTCTCACCCCCATCAAGTCTATCTTATCGAGGAATACCAAGAACTTCTTGTGGCCGACTTGGGAGGAGATGCTGTTTATCGATTGAAGAAATCGCCTGACGGATTATGGAAAGTCCAAGGCCATATTGGATTCGAAGCCGGTGGAGGTCCCCGCCATGTGGTGTTCCATGGTGCGCCACCGTGCTTCCTTCATTTATGTTATGTTATCTCTTACACACCGATGCCCAGACGGTGAACTATTCACATTACTCGAGCTGACAAGCAAGGTCGTCCGACACAAACTCCCTCCTTTGCCCGCCGTTCCTAAATTCGTCACCTCAACCCCTACAATGACCAGCCCCCTTCCAACACCCAACGACATGCTCGCCGCCGAGATCCTGATCCCACGACCAAATGCGTCCTTCCCGACCCCTTATCTGTACCTCTCCAATCGAAATGATCCGTCGCCCGAAGGTGATATCATATCTATTTTCTCTATCGAGAACCCCAACAGTCTCGAGTTCGTGGCTGAGATACGGAGCGGGCTGGAGCACCTCCGCGGGATGATCTTCGGTGGCCCCGACGACAGGTTCCTCGTCGCGGGTGGCGCGAACGGGGGCGGCGTGAAGATCTTCGAACGGATCAACGACGGAAGGTCTCTAAGGTTTGTCGCATCCAACGCCTCCGTCGAAGCGCCGACGGGCTTTTTGTGGCTATAGCGACCTCAGACCTCTCCTCTCCTGCGTATGGTGTGAATCTGAATCTTGATATGGGCAGTAATAATCGCTTTGGTACGCCGATCCGATTGAAATTTACTTACGACCACTTGTATGAATAGCCACGAATTCGCTTTTTTTGCAGAAATTGACTCGACGGCTTGACTACTGTTATTGCCCCAGTGATACAATCGCATTGAATGTCCATTGACAAGGCCCCAGATTGCCCTCTTTTCCACCCCGATGCCGATTTGCCTTTCTCAAACCAAGTTGGGAGGTCGTATCGAGTTTAACCGATGATTCCTTCTCGTCTCAGTTGCCCAAGCTCTTCTTGTGTCAGATCCAAATCCTCCGTCAGCACCTCGTCAGTGTGGGCTCCCAAATCTGGGCCTGCCCACTTTGGTTGAGAATCTACGCCGTCGAGAACGGGGAAGGTTCCTTGCATCTTGACCGTCCAGTCCCCGATATTAACATCTCTGACAGCGCCTCTCTCCCGGATGTGCGCATTCTCAACCACTTCCTTCACGCTGACCACCCGCCCAACGGGCACTCTTGCCGCATTCATGACCTCAATAACCTCGTCGGGCGTTCTCTGTCGCGTCCACCCTGAAATGGCGGTCTCGATTTCTTCCTGCCGCCCCACTCGGTGCTGGTTGTGCTGATACTCGGGCCCAATGAGGTCCTGGCGTCCAATAGCACGCATGAGGCGGTTATAGATCGTGTCGCCGTTGGCCCCAATCACAATATATTCGTCGGGAGAGGTCTGTGCTGGTGACTCCGAGCGGCAAGGATACGCATTGGTGGGCACGATGCCTGTGACCGAGGAGCCGGACGGACCTCGTATCTTGGAAGAGTCAGACGACCTGGTCAGCTTTCTGTAGGTGTACTGGCGGGTGCCAGATGCCTTTCCAGGCTCACCTTGCCCTTTCTATCGTACTCGGGGATTATTCCCTCCATAAGGTTAAGCATGCTAATCGAGCGGGAAGATGAGCCGAGGTTTCTGTAGCTCGAACAGGGCCCTCTATCTCACCTTTCGACGATGCTAACGTCGACAGTTTTTCCTATCGGCCTCGAAGAGGCTCTCGCTTCTTGTCGGTGCCTCGAGAGAAGAGCAAGAACCTAATACCACCACCTCGAAATTAATCACCGCTGTACTCTGGAATGTATTGAGAAGACAGACCGTTCCGAACGCGGCGTGCAGCCCAGCTACAGAGTCACCCAAACTGATGTTAGGCCGAACGGGTGCACCTGACAGTCGCCCGGTTTGTGGGTCGGGGTAGCCATTGATGTATCGGAAGCCAGATTCTGCTTCGCAGACTGAGGCGTAACCTGGACGCGACGCCCAAGGACCTGTTTGGCCGTACCCACTCACTCGAGTGAAGATCAGAGATGGGTTATGAGGATGCAGATTAGCAGGGCCCATGGACCATTTTTCCAGAGCTACGAGTCCATTTCAGCAGCGGTGTTAGCTAGCAAGGGTGACACACACTGCCAGGTTTGAAGTTCTCTAGTAAAACGTCGCTCTTAATGGCCAGTTTCTTCACTAATCTGCAGCATATTAGCAACACCCTCCTCTCGATGACCGTTGAAACACGCACTCTCTCCCCTCGGGCCTGCGAAGGTCAATTGCGACACTTTTCTTGTTTCTGCCGATACTTCTAAACCATGGGCTTGTACCATCCACATCAAGCTCGCGCCACACACGAAGAGGATCTCCGGTTTGTGGTGGCTCGATTTTAATTATTTCAGCACCAAATTGACTGTAAGCCATGTACATTGAGCGATGTTTGTTATCTCCACTATAAAAACAACAACGTACCCAAGCAACTGTCCAGCAAAAGGACCCGCAATGAGCTGGCCAATCTCCAATACACGTATTCCACTCAGCGGCAGATCACCGCCCGCAGGTGTAGATGAGAATAGCCTCCGTCTTGATTCGAGGATTCCGAGCGTCCAGGGTTCAGAAACAGAAAGGCCGAAGCGTCCGTGATTCTCACAATCGGAGTCGTCTTGCTTCAAGGCACGATCTGCGACTCAAACAAGCTGACATGAGGCTAGGTCGAGAAGGTGAATGGCTGCATTCTTGAGTGTATTTTGAGTAGCTCACCCACACACGCAGTTTCCGGCCGAAATTAATGACCAAGGGCTGAAGTTCAGGTAAAGCTGATAGCCTGCCCGAGTAGCAGTCGAATTAAACGCTATATTGTGAGGGTAGAGATGTAGAATAAGTACGTGTAGGCTTGATGTCGTGGGGAAAGCTGGAAAACTCGTCTTGAAGGTTCGAATTCAAAAGGTGAGCATCACGTAATTCATAGTTTCAAAGCGGTTGAAAACGTTCTTCCTCCAGAGTTCCTGATACCTGGCGACCAATAAATACCTCAGTATATTTTCTACTACTAGACACAGAAATTAGAACTCGAACACTAGAAATACTCTGAAAGATGCGTTGAAATCTGACGACAGGAACTGCGCAGGGCATCTGGGGACTAGCCCCTATCCCAGAAATAGCGAACTTGGCGGTGCCGAGTGACTTTCGCTCACAACTCACACCACGACATCATCTACCAAACTTATCCAGCGGCCGCTCTTTGCAATTGTTCCTATTTTCACGTACACACAAGCCTGGCGGGCGCCTGCTAGTGCGACATGAGGCGCCTGAACTTTCTCCCGACGACTCTGAAAGCGAGGCTCGCGCTCGCAGGTGCCCTGACGCTACTCTATGTCGTCGCCTCCACATTATACATCCGAGGGTACGGGTCTTCCCTGAAAGCAGCACCAGAGGTCCTACAGAGCGATCCTATTCCCATCGACACACCCAAGACTCCAGCAGAGGACACAAATATACCACCACCAGCACCGACAAGATCCCAAGTGCTTATCGTCTCCGCCTTCTTCCCCGACCCCACCTCGCCCTTCACAAAGAAGGACTACGATGTCTGGCTACCCAACTTTCTGGGCCCACTCACGAGCGACATATATCTATACACTACCCCGGAGTTGGAACCGCGTCTTCGCCCTCTCCAGGGCCGAAATCTGACGCTGACGATCGATACTACCTATGCCTCCCCGCTCGAGATACCCCCGCTGAAAGGAAAAGAGGAGATGTACAAAAGGATACTGAAGAAGGACCGTAACAAGTCACGTCGCTCGATCGAGCTCTATGCGAACAGGAACGCGAAGGCGTTCTTCTTGAGCGATGCGGTGAAGAGGCTAGAAGAGGAGGGAAGGAAGTATCAGTACGCATTTTGGAGCGACGCAGGGAGTTTTAGGACACAGCATGTGTATCGGGAGTGGCCCTCGCTAAGCAGGCTGCAGGATCTTTGGGAGGAAGGGAGTAAGCTGGCGGGGACGAAGGCAGAGGATATGCTATTCATCCCCATTCTTGGCACCCCGCATACGTCGATGGTGTTCTGGACGGAGAACATGGGTCCGATCGATAACGGAGTTAGCATAAGTACGCCTTTCGCCTCTTTCTGGCTCTCGAGGTTCACTAAAACCTGATACTTTTATTCTACAGGCTCATTCTTCGGTGGCTCACCACAAGCGATCGACTGGTACGCTCGGACATATTACGCCTACCACGACCTCTTCCTCTCTCTCGAGATCTTCGTCGGGAAAGACCAAGCACTCATCAACGCCCTCCTCATGCTCTTCCCTGAGCGCTTCCTGACCGTCTGGGCACAAGACCCCGATGCACCTGCCCACCTTTCACTCAACCGCCCAAAAGACAAGGGCGGCTTCCTAGGCCAGTGCGGCACGGAGCGTTTCTACTACCAGTTCTTCTTGTCAGACAACAAAACACAAGAGGCGATGCAGAGGCTGTGGGTGGAGAAGGCGAGTAGATGGAGGTGGTGGGGTTGGTGGAGATGGCGCGACACCGAGCCGTGCCGGACGACCAGGGTTCTTGCGATGAAGGATGTGCTGAAGAGAAAGCTTGGCGAAGGCTGGAACCCCCCAAGAAGGACGCTGAATTATTAAGTTGCTTTCGGACACCTGCTGTGTAGCGCCGTACTCACTCGATGTATCTTGATCGTCGTACTCCAAATCACATCTAATAGAAGAGAAACCTTTCAGTTTAAACCAACCGACCCTGCAAGAGCGCGACTAACCCGCAAGGAAGGCTCAAAGCTTCGTACAAGCTTCATAGGAGACGACGACCGCGAAGAGTGTGTTCGTTGTCGAAGTTCTGTTGAAGGTTGCGCAGCTAACTCTGACTGCGCAGGCAAACGCGCCACAATCACTGGCCAAGCACTAGCAATGGCTTGCCTTTGAACAACCCACGACGGCATATCGTCCTCTTCACGTTGAGACGATCTCGCTAACGTTCAATGAAAAAAAGACGCCCGGAAAAAATATGATACAGATGCATTGGTTGATCAATAAGCTATACAAATGGAATGTGCAAAGAGATGCCTGACTTGAAGGCAGTTCGCCGCATAGTCGACTGGGGATATGTAGTATAAAGTTCGAAATAAATGACTGTGGGGATGATCCTTCCTGCAGCTTTCCTGCGGTCCACGGAGCACGGATATGTGATGACGATGAAGATATTGGGAGAAGGCGGCAAATCCAGGATAAACTGCGAACAATGCAAGTGTGAATGGTGATATATCATTAAGTTTGTCTGTGGGTGGCGTCGGAACAAATATAGCTCTCGCTCAGGGTATATGGAGGTACGGTGCGTCATTCATCCCAATCCAGTCATGGCCGCAGGCTACCCACGGTAACAAGCCCCAGTAAAATGCTAAGGCCGACGGCTATCCAAGCCCCTTCACCCCGAGGATGCGCAGCAGCATTTGTGGTGTTCGTTGCCGAGGGGGCAGGAGACATCGCTGTTGAGAGTGCAGACGAAGTAGGGTCTGCCGAAGAGGTGACTGTGGGCACAGGAGGAAACGAGAGACTCGGCGAGGCGGACGCGATATTGCAAAACTCCTGTGCGAGGTTCTCGGCATTCGACAATTCGTCAGGACAATCCGCCACAATGCAGCCTACGAGTTCCAGAGGGAAGCCAGGACTTTCGTAATGAGAAAAAAGGAGGAAAGTCAGCTCGTGAGGTAGAAAGACGACAAAAATCTGGGAACTCACTTGACACAGAAGCAGTTCACGTCAACAATGCTCGAGCAGCCTACTCTGGCGATCCCCACCGCTAAACAGTTTGACACTGTATTCCAAGAATCGCATTGTTTTATCAGACCAAATTCTTCGTCCAAGGGAGGAAATACACGTACCACAAGGTGAATACCCGCTCAAGCTCGGGAAACTCGCCGTGCTAGTTGTGCTAGCAGTTAGCGACACGTTCACAGACGAACTCTGGGACTGCGAGGTGCTAGTCGTCGTTGAAGCAGATGTTGAGCTCGATGAAAGCGTTGGGAACGTCGACGGCGGTATTAATGTCTGTCCCCATACGAGCACTGATGCTGGGAGAAAAGCGAGCAAAGATATTGGTACCAGATGCATGGTTGTCCAGGTGGAGGTCCGAGTCGCCTTCGAGATGAAGGCCTCGGAGGCCGTTGGTCAACAGGGACAAGCATAGTCACGTGTAGAAGACGGATCAGGCCGGACCGGATCTTTCTCACGCTCACGATTGGCCAATCAAAGTCTCTCATCTTTCTTCCAGTCCTCCAGACCTATTTGCTCAATTCTAAGCACCGTTGAAACGTATGCATTAGAAACGGATTAGGTATGGCGCCTCTACCTGAATGTCGCACTGGCAGGTATACGTCTTGTCTTTCTCACTGTTTTTGCGTCCTTATGCTCAATTGTTGGTATTAGCAGAACCAAATTTGCCGGTTTTCAGTCGTTTTACGCCTACATGTTCAGTGATGCATATTTCTGGATGTCATGCGGGACGTGATATACGCCCTACATGGCTCTTATATTTCTCCGTCGTCTGGAAGTTTTGCGTCGGAACGCCGTTTCACTGGAAGAGCCAGCGTGCAGGACCTTTTGTGCAATGGATGCTTGTGATTTCACGTACTGCTATGACTCCAGCAATCCTCCGAGATTTATCGACCGTCCTGCAAAACATATCACGCCGACAAGCTTCTCTGGAGGCACTCGTAACTTCTCTTCTATGTCCGCGACTTGAAGCTTGAAGTGCGAGCTCCGACGTCTCCCCGAGCTCCCGCCAGTCCGTATAAATCGATTGCAGCCCTTCGAAAGCAGTTTCGACTACTCAGACTCCCATGCCTGTACCTCCCATGACCTTTGTTCTTGTGCAATTGTCACTCGTTTCGCTGGCGTGTCTCGCGTATAGTGCAATCACTCCAGGCCCGGATCTCCTTGTGCACACCACCTCTGGGCGTGTGCGAGGATTCTTGGACTCCACGACCACAAATGTGGAGCTGAAAAAGTGGCTCGGGATACCCTTCGCCGAGGACACCGCAGGCCAAAACCGTTGGCGGCCGCCCAAACCACTAAAGCCAACGCGAGACTCAATACTCAACGCGACAACCTATGGACCGGCGTGTCTGCAAGGAAGGTCGTGCCGCATAACCATAGCGGTCGAGTGCTGTCAGATTCCTGATTAATTAAGTATCCTCATTTCCAGGGCTGATGGAGGGAACGGCACTTCGATCCAAAGCGAGGACTGTCTGCGGATTAACATTATTGCACCCTCGAACGCGAGCGACCTCCCTGTTTACCTCTATTCCCAGTGAGTCTATGGCGGCGGCGTCGTTTCGACCACTTGGCTGATGGGATCCGCGTGAAGTGGCGGAGGGTTCGACAGTGGTGCTTCGTCGGACCCAAAAATCGACGGGACATACTTGGCTGCGAGGGTGTGCTCTCTCATTCAATCGTCTTCACTCAACTCAAAGGAAAAATTTTAGGGTATCGTATTCGCAAGCTACAACTACCGCCTCTCACTGTTTGGATATCCACACGCCGAAGAAATAGCAGAAGCAGGTGAGACACAGAATTTCGGACTTCTCGACACTCGGGCTGCCGTGGAATGGTTATACGACAATGGCAAACAATTCGGTGGTGATCCCAAGAAAATCACGCTCGGAGGTATGTCGCCGCCCGTTCTCCCGTCGGGGGTACATTTCATTATACTTTATGGTTTTAGGCGAGTCAGTAGGAGCAGGTACGCGTTGTACTGTCATGAAAAAAATCAATGAGAAAGCCTTAGCCTCGCAGAAATGACCAACTTCTATCTGTCTGCGTACCACAAGGACCCGCTCATCCGAGGAGCTGTGATGCAAAGTGGAGATAGTAAGTGCACTTTTTCGATCTCGTATTTTGTAGTCACCTTATCGTTAACGTTATTCCTTGGGGTTGATCTTAGCCTTGCAACCAATGTGGCAGATAAATGATCAGATTTCAAAAGTCGCTGCGAACGTGAGCTGCCCAACAGGTCGTGGGCTTCTCACCTGTCTTCGACGGAAGTCTGGAACAGAGTTGCGCCAAGCCCTTCTCTCGACCGGCACGCAATTCCAACCGGTGGTGGACAATATCACGGTGTGGAAAGAGTTAGTCATATTATACTTATTTTCGTCATTCGAACTTTTCATAGCGCTAAGTCTTGGGTTCGGTCCTTAGCTTTGTTGTCCAAACGAAGGCAGGCCTAACTGCCCGCGTCCCACTGTTGATAGGGACGAACAAAGTGTGTGAACTTGCCCTTGATATCCTGATTGGCTACCTTTCTCAAGGCGCCCGTTATCTAGGACGAAGGGACGCTGATAGTAGAAGGCGAACCTACAGCGTATCTGCCTGATATCGTCCAATACAGGTGAAGTCTAGGAGGCCATGCGCTTCAACCGAGGTTCTTACTCTCGATGCTGATGCTTCTCGAACATGGCAGTAAAAGCAACAACCTTAATTTCCCCTTCGCCAATGTCTCCGAGCTGCAGAAGAACTATCCCGTACCCTCGGGTGCCTTCTCGACTGCATACAATGCATCTGCAGGGATGTGGAGAGACGCCCATATGCTCTGCCTAGCCAGCAACCTCGCGGGTCTTCGGTCGACCGTGCTGGGTCTCCCGGTGTGGCGTTACCGGTTCGACCATGTTGCAGCCAACCTCAACTCACGAGTGCGAATCGGGGCATTCCATGGGTCCGAGATTCGCTTCGTCATGGGCCAGTGGAGGACGATAGTGTTATCGCCACCCTTCTTACCAGCCACTCCAGAACAGATAGCTATTTCAGACCTCATGGTTACTGCCTGGACGAATTTTATCAAAGGTGTGTGCACCTTCCCTGTTCCGACTTCCTCGATGTCTCGGCTAGATAAAGATTCTTTGTCCAATCACCCACAGAACCCCACAAAGGGCCGCGTATTCCTGGATGGAGTAAATACAATCCTGAGCACGCAAGTACGTTAGCGATTTTGGGCACCTCCGTCAGTGGTGCCATGCCGGGCGACCACTTCTTCGCGGACCGCCCTTGTGCGTACTGGAATACCATTCTACCTGTCTTCCCTCAGGTTGGTGTGCGATTTTCTTGCGATAACGCAAGCTCTTGGCTGATCGCGTTGCAGACGTTCCCGAGGTGTGGAAACTGGACGTGTTAGCCACTCACATCCGCTCGTCTATTCTCGCGGAGAAGTGGGGAGTAATACATACGCCGGTGTCTGTTGGAAATCTCTGCCGAGAGGCCGTGATTGGAGTACTCCTGAAGAGCCAGAACGTCGCCGTTCACGAAGTCGCAGGAAGGAGAGAGGCAAAAAAGCTTGATGGACTCGAAGCGTCCTGATATCTGGGTTCCGACGTCTGGTTCACACCACGGAGAGAGAACATCTAAAAGTGGTCGCAGAGAGATGATTATGGCACCTGCAAATTCGAGCCGTCTGAGCCGTGGGACGGCTGGCGGCCTAACTTTTGGAAACGAAGAGTATCGTCTGTTCCAAAATCGAAGATAATTGCAACCGTCAATATATCCGCTGTGATGTAACGCTAGGGGTGGTAGGAGTAGATTGAGATCCAAGGAATGCAATTGCACTTGATCTCGAGGAAGTCAACGGATTTGTTAGCACGGGTCAGGAACTCCAGAAGACTGTGGGATGGCCATGTGCGATTAGCGTTGCTGGAAGACAGGCAGAAACTGCGCAGTGAAGGAAGCGCGGGGCGGTCGAATAGGATTTCCAGGTCGCCACGAGGACGGTGAGGTTGGTCCGTCTTTGCAACTTTGACGTAAAGAGCAACTGCGGATAGACCAATGGGTCAGGAAGATTGACGGTTGCGCTTGTCATTCCGCAGTGAATGGGATATTCTTTGAGGTTTGGGCAAGCGACCAGCGTTGATAAGCATTGGGTAATTGTGGCGCACGTGGATGACAAATTGGTACAGAGTTCCGTTCGAGAGATGTCAAGCAATCAAATGGCATTTTTAAATTCTTGAGACGGTATTCGGCTTCGAGAAACTTATGAGCACCTTGAAACAAGCTTGCGATACCCCTTTGTATTTGACCTTCTATTGGGAGTGTCGAAGTCGATCCAGGGTAGTGTATGCTTGTCGATACGATCGAACACTGCTCCAAGAGGGGAAGTCATGCAGCATATGTTGGAGATAGGATGAAGTAGCCTCGCGCCAACGATGGGAAGGCGCAATGAGGGCACTGAGTTCGGGGGCATCATCAACTCTGTCGGAATCTTGCAGCATTATTGTCCCAATGAACGCCAACGGTGAGAGTAAGATTGCCGGATCTCAGTGCCCAGTAACAGATAAGATCAAGTTGGGATTGGCGCATGTGTGGGTGGCCGATGCGAATGCGTATGGTCGTCCATAGACCCGGGGTCGCTAATGCAGTCGTGCGCCATCTCTGAGATATATTGGTAAGTAGCATAGGGCCTTCTAAAGGATCGAAGCTTTCCGGGACTTCAGAGAATACACGAGGCGCTCTCCCAGGCTGGCAACGTATGAAGATCTCAGCTAAGATCTCTGGAGGCAGTGAACGAACAGCACCTAATGCAGCCTTGTGCTCCTGGATGTGACCATGGACGATCCACCGGTCCTACTTTTTCTTCTCCAAGAGGACGTGTAGATGGCTGATCTCTTCATCCAAGTCGAGAGCTCGGTCTGAAAGGCAGTGATGTGTCTGTGGGTAAGATCTTTTTCAAGGACAGACGGAGCTGCGTTTGACGTGAGTAGGTGTGGTATTGGACATGCTGCGAGCTCCATCCGTTTTCGACGGCCGTAAGATGCGTTAGCGAGGATGGTGCAAGGGGCGAACGTGGAAGAACGCTAGTCGCATTTGAACAGCAGCGAGGAAAGGTCGCAGGGTCAAGATTGATCCCGTTATCATCACATGTAAGCAAAGTAACCCTCGAGACTTCGCAGATTCTCTGGCTTTCTCAAATCATAGGAATATAAACGTCGTCCACCATCTGGAGCTATCGCGAGAAAGATCCACCTGAGGATCCGGATATGATAGGTAGAGGACATACACTGTTGTACAAGCGATCTACGATCTGCAGTTTTCGACAAGGCAGAGGAAAGACTTTTCCTGCCAATAAATCATTGTTGTACATATGTATGGAGGCGATAAATGCGTCTGTCAATGCCAAAATGAAGCACCTTCTATGTGTCGAAACTGGTAGGGATCTACCCTAGAGTTTTTGATCGTTCAGGCCCCTACTGTGTATCCTGTAGAACACACGAGGAACAGCTTCAGAGATAACCGTTTGTCGGAAGTCAGCATCCCGGATCGAGTGGACCAGCTGCCCCGAGGCGGATTGGAAGTGAATTGGCCCGCCAGGACTGGGCTGCGACCGAGTGATCACATTCTCCTGCAGAGCCAACCCCATGTAAATATATGAAATACGTACAAGAGAACAGAAAATCCATACCATAGTGTCAATCAGGCACTCGCTAACAACATCAATCATGTCCTTCACTTGTTGGCGGGTATACACTGGCTCCTCGACCGGAGTGACTGGTGTAAGCGGCGCTGACCCGTTCCAATTGCCCATGTTGGGCTGCCGCGAATCGTTGGGAATAAACCCGTTGTAGCAGGTAGCATGCGGATGACCGATGGAGTGTGTGTAACTCAAGGGTGATGAGGATGCCGATGAGGAGCTCTGTCATAAAAAAAAAGAAAAGTGTCAAAATAGCGCCTAGCTAAATATAGATTTCACTGACCAGTGAGGAGGATGTGCTGGGACGACGCTGGGAAAAGGTGTGTTGACTTGCTGGATTCCCATCAAATGACGATAGTGGCGAGCCTGGAGGGACAATTGTCCCCGAAGAGAGAGGGGTCATCGCCATGTCTAGCGCATGGTAGTTTCCTTGATATCTTGCATCTGGGGAATCGAAGTTTGGGAACAACCCCGACGACGAAAGATAGTCCTGGCCGTAGGGCATGGTGTTCGTCGGCCTTGACGTCAAGGAGAGAGCGCCAGCGCTGTCGGGAAAGATGTCGTGGACGAAGGAGCTGTCGTTGGGCCGCAGTGTTCGATCAGTCGTTGGACTCCAAGGGTAGCACGTCGAGGTATGCGCCTGCATCTCTTGTCTGTTGCCGAGGAGTCAGCGAGCTGCGGAACGTTCATAAGAAAGGGTAGGTACTTGGAGCTGAACTCTTCATCGCAGGTGTCACATTTATGAATGGTGTTTCGAGTGTCTAGGGATCCCTGATGAGCGTCAGGGTCACCGAAAAACGAGTCAAGGGCTTACGGATCTGGAAGTGTCGACGAAGGTTAGACCTTCGCGTGAAAGGTGTATCGCATTGGGGGCAGTGGTAGGCGCCGTCCTTGGCGTCGCGACGGACGTTGTCGACAGGGTCAGTTTTGACTTTAAGTCCGCTCATGAGGTGCGAGTGAGGTGTCTGCGAGGTATCGAGGAAACAGGTCGAGATAAATACTGCTGTCCGTATTTGAACAAAGAAGAGTCGGGGTGCCGTGTGCACGCTGAAAAGATGCCGGTGACCAGATGCTATTGGGAAATTTCGATGTCATCATACCCTTCCCTCGGATGTCCTGTGGATTAGACATGAAGCTTGCATCAAAACCGATTATTTCCTGCCCAGTCACGTTCGCGCAGCGTTCCAGGCACCGTGCGCTTAAATAAAATGACGACTGTTCGAAAGCCCGTTGCTGGTGGGGGCCCGATTCCCGCCATCTATCTCCATATCGATGTCTTCCTCGATAATCATGAAACTGCGAGGGTGCAGACGTTCAACGGCTGTTATCCTCCGAGAGGGTTGCGACTTACTTTGTCTATTGGCCACCCAAGTATATGGAGAAAACAAACAATTGATAACGATCCAGCGCAAGGGAGAAGAACTCAGATTGAGGTCTGTCCGCGTGTAATGAAAGGCTCCCTTGTACGCATGAGGAAAACCTTCCTGATCTAACAAATCTCAGTCTCGAGAACAAAAATAGAGACATAAGAGAGTTACCGCGGTCCGTAAATATACAATTTCGGACTCCTTCAGAGCGAAACGTTTTCCTACGCACATCGGTGACGAATGGATTGACATCGGTAAGTAGAATGTTGGTTGATGTTGACTTGGAAAAGCCCTTATACCCTTCACCTCGATCAGCGTCTGTCAAAGGTGACGAAGAAGTATCGAGGGTTCCACGAGTGCATATGAAAGTCCAAGAAAACCGTCATGTGGTGCTTAATGAAAAACATCCAGGTTCGCAGGGTTCAGTCGTGTACGGAGCCCGTTGACTTGCGATGAGTCGAAAGACTGTGAGAAGAACACATTTTCCAAGTGCGAGAAATGTTAATGCAAGACGGAACCGTCCAACAACTGCGTCACCCTTCTAAAAATTGCCATCAGCAATGGACAAGGCTGCCAGCAACCGTTTTAAGATACCTTTTCAACCCCATACGTGTAACTGAAAATGCCGAGGAAATAAGTGGACTGTGCAAGACATTTGCACGGAGTAAACATGACAATCCGTGGAGAAACCGCCAAAGTGCTATTTCTGTTGTTGATCGACAACATCACTCGTAGAAAGGGGATGTAATTTGCGAAGAAACGCGAGAGAAGGGCGGATCATGCTTATGGACTGAAATGTTTTTGCGGGGCTCAAATTTATTGAGAACAAACGCTCTAGTAATAGAACTGCAAAGCTGTCAGTTACTGCAGTTCAAAATGCACGGCACATAACGTACATACCGTTGTCCTGTTTCCACCCCATCACTGACGACTCTAGGACGATCCAGACGGTGAACCGAGGCTCTGAGAGGACACCCACGCAGCCATTGGCCACTGAAAGCAAGATTTCCGCCGACGACAAGAAGCGACAGGATGGTGGTTGGAAACACAAAGCAAAGCTGACCGGCCGGCCCGTCGAAGTTCCACCAATCAACGGTCCCGCATTTACGGCAAGGCCGCATCCAGTAAGCGAATTGGTACCAACCTTGAGGTAGCGGGTCAGAGCACGGTAGAGACTTGTGGACTAGAACGCTAAAAAAGACTTCGAACCGACACGGACAAAGCCAAGATGTTCGAGCTCAAGACACAAAAATAAGATTCTCTACTGTACAGACTATACAAACAATCGATAGCACACGCAAGGAATAGCAAAATATTTATCAGAAGAGGGACCGCGAGCAGGTTTGTGGAGGCGATGTAAAGATAGGGTGGAAGAAGCGTTCCGCGAACCTCATGCCATGCAGCGTCGAAGCATGTCAAGCGCGGGGTGGAATTCAGGTGCTCGTTAATCTGGAATGACGATTGCGGGAAGCCAGATGAGGTGCCCAATCAGCCGAGACCCAACCATGTCGTCGCAGGAGCTGAGAGAAGATCCAAAAAAAGAGGCTTGAGATAAGGGAAGCTAAATGAACTTGGGGAAGTAGGAAGGGAAGCCGATATTTCAGGAAAGGGAAGTGGTCAAGCACGCGATTGAAGATATAACGAAAGCAAAGGATGGCAACGAGGTCAGAATAGACTAGCGAGCTCAGGAGGAAGGAAGAGAAGGCCGGCTGTCAGTTTTGGTAGGGTAATTCCAGGTACACGGAAGCGCTGGGGCATGGGATGGGATGAGAATGGCGAAGAAAAAAGGTGCGAGAAAACGAGGTAAACATATTCATACACAAAGAAATAAGCAGGATAAGAAAAGAACGCCAAAGGAGGAGATAAAAAGGGGAAAGCGGGAGATGGGACGTTGGAAAGGAGGAAGAGCCTCCAGACGAAGTTCCTCGCCGGAAGTCAAGTCAACAACGGGTGCGAGTATCGGAATGGATCCAAGCAAGCAGGCGCTCCCAGGACCGCGAGAATGAACCGCTCGAGGACGAATCTTTAATATTTCAATCGTCGTCCCTCGCCACTCCAATCAGGGTTCAGCCTGTCGGGCCTGCCCTGTGGGAAGGCGCCCGCGACCACATCCGGGGCGGCAGGTACGGCTTGTCGATTTCCTCCTCGCATTCCTCATCCTCCCGCTCGGCCGGTACTTCCTCTACCTGAAGCAGGGTACCAACCACCGCACTGGGAGGAGCGGGCGAACACGCAGCCTTGCCCTTACCGCCTAACCCCACCCCCAACGCTGATCGGTCTTCGCCCTCTCCGTTTAAATCCGACGCGAGACTAGCAGGACTGGCCACAAGCGACGTCGGATGGTCCACTTTGGCCCTCTTGTTCGAGGCGTTACCGGGAGGACCCTGCCCCGATTCCGATCCCACCCCATGGGCGTGAACGTAAACGTATTGTTGATCGTCGGGCCCGTCCTCGAGCTCTTCGCTGCTTCGTTTTCGTAATCGGGTCGGAGAAACCACAGGCGAAACCATGGGGTCGTGGTTCACACCGATAGGAAATGTCGATAGCCCGGTGTCTCCATCTATGTCTCCCCCTGCAAGTCCGTCTCCGTCTTCTTCCAACGGGCTGACGGGATCCCTGTCGACGTCTCCGAGTCGAGCGCGTTTCGGCGGCGTCCCATGTTCTCGCCTATCATCCCGACGAAAGAAAGGCGATTCAACAATGGAATTGTCGTCCGGGTCCTGACCGGCTTCAATCGCGTCGGCTTGCGCATCTGCCAGCTCTAGCTCGTCGCAGGACCTCTTCCTGGGTCGGGGCGACGGTGCTTGCTCGCGTTCATGACCCTGCTCGAGATCGCCCTCGGCGTCCGAGACGAGGTCGACCACATCCACCTCAGCCTCCACCTCAGGCGAGGCCGAGTACATATATCGTGCGTAGCGCAGATCGTCTTCATCTTCCTCCTCTTCTTCGTCATCGTATTCCAGGTCGGACGCGTCATAGTCCACCTCCTCCTCGCCCTCGCCGTCCAGCTCGATCTCGCTCACTTCCTTGAGCTCAATCTCGGCAGCGTCAATATTGACGGTGGCATTGCTATCACTGTTGATATTTCCGCGGATAGCAATAGGGGGGTAGGACCGGACAGGCTGTTGTTGCTGTTGGTATTGATACTGGGACGGCACGATCGTTGGAGCATTCGCAGCCGCGTATGCTGCGCGCGCGGCAGACTCGGCGAGCTTTGCCCGTTCACATATAGAGCACCGACAGTGGTACAGTGGCGCACAGGCGTCGCGCCAGACCTGCCATCGACAGTCAGTAAAAATAAAAACATAAATATAGATGAAATAAAAATAAAGGAAACGAATAAATGCCCGAAAATGGGGAGAAACTCACGATGCGAATTGCGTCGCTACTGAACTGAGGTAGATGGGCGGTCGTCACTGGAATATAAGGTATACTGCTGAGAAGTAAGGGCGGGGATCGGACGGGGTCAACAGGGATTATCCTCGGCCTGGGAGGCGGAGGCGGAGGCGGAGGGCGAGAAGGGGCGGCATCCGACTCTGACTCGGATTCACGCTGAGAAGGAGCAGAGCCGTCCTCGTCCTTCTTGCTCGCCAAACCTCCTTCCACGTCACTAGACGGCGGGGGTGAGGGTGTGGTCTGCAGCGTCGTAGTCGATAGCACGGGGCTCGTCGCATTTGAATGAGAGGAACTTGACGTGTGTGTCGACGAGGGTGTCGACTTGTTGCTAGGGCTGCTCGCAGCTATTGACGAGTCTTCGTCGTACTCCTTCTCCTTCCTAAGCTGAGCTTCTTTCCGCCGCCTTTCCTCTTCCTCCTCGTTCCTTCTCCTCTCTATCCAGTCGACTCCATCATACCACACGCCTTCCTCCTCCCTCAGAATCGAGACAACCTCTTCTAACGACATTCTCCGTGCACGTAGACCAGGGTCTTCATATCCCTTCACCGTCGGTATGCTGCACTCCATAACGATCTTCCTGACGACGTTCCGCAGAGGATGCAGCAGTATCTCACGCATCTGCTTCATATGCGCAGCGTACGCCTGCTCACAGAGCTGGTATGTAGGCGGTACTTCGCCCGCCACAATAGCTGGATGTGGGTGCTGAGTCTCCGTATGCTCCTTGTCCTCGTCCCCACCACTGCCGTCGTACCGACTTCGGAGCCCTCGCGGGCCCATGGACATGGGTGTACAGCCTGCACCGAACTCGGTTGTCCGGGTACCTGGTGATGATACCAGATATCGGCGGGGCTCATCCAATGTCCGTCTAGGATCCTCTGCCTCGCCCAGTCATGTAGAGCTAGCTCCCGAACCTGGTTGGCGTCCTTCATCAACATAAGCTCCTTATCCTCTTCCGAGTCTTCCTCCACGTACTCCTCCTCCAGCTCTTCCTGTCCTCGGTCGTCGCCATGCGATTTCTGCGCAGCGAGAGCGTGCAACCCGAGGCTCTCGTACTTCGTGTATCGTTTCAGCCAGAGCTTCTCCCTCGCCAGAGTCAGCACTTCAGCAATGTTGCCCTCTGCAAGATCAATGAAACCCTCGAGGCATTGCCTCGTCTCCCAATCGCTGCTCTGAAAGTTTGGCCCGCCAATCGCCTCCTGGTCGCGCGGGCTGTGGCTGGCTCTCCTCCACAGCCACTCCATGCGACACTTTTTGCAGGTCGCCTCGACACCAGCCCATGTGTCCTCGTCCTCATTCTCCAAGATCCCAAAAGCTTGCGCCATCTCGTATTCGCGCACGGGGTCTTGATGCCCGGGTGGGAATGAGTCTCGTAGGCAGAGTCCACAGAAGTGAGTGCGTCGCCGGTCGTGTTCTCGACAAAGATGTACAGTGCCGAGCATGGAGTTCAAGAGAAACTTCTTAGCGGCGGTCAATCCCAGGTTTGTCCCGGGATAGTTGATGCGGCATACGTGACAGCTTGCGCCAACGATGTTACGGAAGTGTTGGTAGTGGGAAAGGTATATGGGCGGCGGGAGAGCCATGGAGGAGGCGTTCAACGAGGGCTTTGGGTGGATAACCATATGATGGAGAAGGTAATCGTTCCCATCGAGGAGGGAGACGGCCTGCTTCCAGAATGGATGTTTTGCAACTGCAGCAGGTAGTTAGTACGAGTCAATGGCAGGGCACAAAGAGAGGTTGTATCAAGAATTTCGTCAGGCGTCAATTGGTACAGTGGCCTTCGCAACAGCGCAGTGCTGGCCGCGGGCAACGGCACACACATAACGCGATCGAAACACGACGGTGCAGCTGGTGACAAGGACGCGAAGCAACGGTAGAGACGCGTACACGGTCGATTAGAGACCACATGTCGGCGTAGGGCCGCGTCGGCGAGACCACATCGCGGCCAACATGGGCGCCATCGATGAGGAAATGATGCCAGAGCATAATAGATGAGTACGCTGCAGCATGCGACCAGCAACTACCTTCACAACACGCCGAGCACAGTACGAACCCGATGCTGTGCAGCTAGCGCTTAAATCGCGCCATACACCGATCGCGATCATACGAAGCAGCAGAAACAAAGGAAATGCAAAGACAATGAAAAGGAGAAACAGCCATCGATGCTCACCGGCTCTGTGCCATTCCGGACATATAGACATGATGTGCTTTTCGAGCTCGAGGGAGTCGCGTATGCAGGTGTAGACCATCCTGGAGGGCCACAGACGTCTTGTTTCCCATGTTTGCGGGCAATACGTGTTCACGGCGAGATCGTAGAGGTAATGGGTCGCAATTAGTCTGCGATGGATGGGATTAGGACTGTGGTCATCGCGTGTGGCGCTGTGCACCGCAGAGGGCTGACTGACCTGACGATTTCCTGGGGCAGCTGTGGCCAGGAACGGTGGGCAAGCTTGCCCTTATACTGAAGGATGGTGTTGGGCGCGTCGACAGTTGTGTACATCGTGCTCGTCGCTATTGTCGGTGTCGAGCACGATGGTCAGTGCGCGCAGATTTTCGGCAGTGGTCACGGAGGGAGCGTCACAATGACAAAAGACGGGCAGCCCTAAAGCATACTATCATACTTCCCACGCACGGACCCCGCTCCCACATTCCTCATCCAGCACAGCAAACTACGGCTTTCTCCTCGAAAATACGTACAATAACGGGCGCTTGCTGCGGCGAACGCGCGCTGGGCTGGTCGTCGTCGGGGAGCACGTTGCGGATCGCGGATGTTCCAGGTACTGTCACGACCGACCATATTTGCCGATCCGGACAAACAGCCTGCACAGCTGAAGGTTACCTTGTCATTCCGCCGGCTTGATTAATTATAAGCAAGCCCTGTACGTTTCATTCATTGTCGGGAACGCACTTATTCATATCCTCGACCTTAATTTATCAGGTTTAGCTTCCGTGATCAGCACAAGGATGTGGCACATGAGAATCTCTAGGCAGACACGACCAGAACCCAGCTTCAGCTTCGGCATCGGACTTGATTGTCTTAGGGCCGTCTTCCAAAATTCGATGTCAGATCCGAGTCCCGACCACCTGAGGAAGAATGGCGCAGTGGAGAAGGAATAGAGCGTTTATCACTAGTCTGTTTCTTTCCGACGCCGAAGCCCTCACAGAACAGAACCACATGGAATGGGCTTCTAATTGATGCTCAATGGACTTGGATATTTTGACAGGTGTGCCAGAGACAGCACTTGCTGGTGCGGGAAGGCGCAAGGCCAACAACGATCGTCAAGAACTGGCGTCCAAGAGAAGGGATATGGGAGGAGGTCCCCAGAGCTACCAAGATCGGCCGACCATCGGTTCACTTGCGTTCGCGGACGGCAGCTATAACTTGGCTATAACAGCACGCCTGATTGGCAGTTGTTGGAACTTTGCAATAGGCCTCTGTTCATTGCCGGAGGTCTTCATCGCGTCAGGCTAGGCGCAGGAGTTGTTCTTCCCCTCGCCATCCGAACAGTCTTGAAAAATCTGCGGTGATTGTCACCGTCAGGTCTTCAGAAAAAAAACTACGACCACCACTGCATTTAGTTTCGGCCACAAAACAACTGAACACCAATCAGGGAAAGATAGAGGGGCAGTCCAACTCATGACAGCTTGTAAAAAATGGTATACAAACTGTCCGAAATGTGTTTTATACTCTTATTGACTATCGCCCTTGCCATCAGTGTTTGCACATGACGCGTTTATGACGCGTTTAGGGGTATTGACGCGTCGCGTCCTTGATCATCGGTTCGATAACAAGCAAGGAACCGCATAACCCTTCCGATATATAGAAAAACAAAATAAGAACTACAGCATACACAAGCAACACGAGTTGGCGAAATTAAATACAACGATCGTGGGGCAGGAAATCCGAAATCCTCGAGGGCTCAGTCGTGAATGCAAAACGGCTAGACAACCCTACCCTCCATAATCGCCAGACTCACACTCATCAACGAGCTGAACCTACCCTCCTGGATAGCAAAGTACGCTGGGGTATTCGGGGGTGCCCTCGTCTCCGGAGGAACCTCTTCACCTCCTCCATCTAGCCCAAGGCTCCGATTCAAGTTCGACGCCAAAATTGCATCGTATGTGATACCCTCGACCAGGACGTCGTTAATCTCTCTGCGATCCAATCGCTCAGCGGGGTCTCTAGGCGGAGTGTTGTGCAGTGGTGTTGACGGCGGGACCTGCAGCGGAGTCGAGGCGCCCGAACCGGAAGCTTCCCGCCGATCGCGTTCGCCGGACGCTTGGAGCAGGAGCGCGGCGTAGTGGTGTGGCTCTAGGACCATGTCGGAGACGCTGGTTATTATTGCAATGCTCCCTGCAGTGCTTGGTTTCTGGTCGTCGATGGACGAGGAAGGGCTGGAATCAGATGCTGAACGCCTCGGCGCTGATCTTGCTCGTGAGGAACCCAATATGTTGGGGAGGTCGTCGAGCGTACTGATCCCGGAGCGGGAGCGGATGCGGATATATGGTTTGGGTTTCTCGTGTTTCCTGCGTGTGAGATTGAACGGCAAGGAAGGCATATTGGATCGCGTAAGGAGCTGATGTAGATGAAATGTATCTCTGCTCGAATTAATGTTTCAGCATTGCCGTACAGTCGCGACTGTGATAAGACTCACAAATTATGATATGGAAGTTAAGGGGAAGATCACAAGCACCTACATACTCAGAGCTCATCGTCACACTATATATATGCATGCGCACGGTTCGAAAGCCAGCAGCGCCTATTGTAGAATGTGCAAGACCCGAAACACCGCTCTTGTTCTCTTGCCGGCCTGCATAACGAGGGAAGCCCTGCAAGCCTGCCAGAAATGGAGTGTTGGGACCGCAAGCATTACTGCACGGGCGTCTGAAGCAAGGAAGTCAGGTGTGGGCTGTGGGCGCAGTCATTTGTTCCTTTCAAGGACAATATGGTATTCGTAAGGACGGACGAAAGGGCCAAAATGAAGAAGACGAATTGTTATGTAAATCTACGTCCCAACACTTACACTCCGACGTTGCAAAAGATATGACCCTGCCAGTGTGATCAAATTCAGTGGTAACTTACTAAGTAACCAGCGTACCGAGGAATACTTAGGCGCTCAGATAACCAAAAGACTCCTGTGAAATATGCCGTATATATGGGTTCACAAGATGAGGATATATTGGATTTGTCGGCTTTTGAGCCGTACAGAAGTCATGGGTAGGCATCAAGCTTCAAGCTGCTACTAGTAAGTAAGCATGTTGGCTGGGAAAGTAAGTAAGTAGTCGCATTGACTAGCGTCGCTCAGTTCATTTGGTAATTTCCGGCTGGATAATGTAGAAGCCCACCTTTATAGCTGATACCACTCGGTCCGAGCGGCAAGCGTAACAATTCATCCCTGCCAGTGCCAATGGTGCCAAAATGCTTTGTCCAGTGGACGGATAGTTTGGGGAAGTTGGACCGATAGCTCCGCGGGATTGGGGAAAGACGGTCACGAGATGTATTGCTGGCCCGTGCGGCGAGACGCGTCGACGCGCCTTAAATACCGGACATCCCCAATATTTTCCCCGTCCCTTCTTTCCTCCCCTCCTCCACCATCTTTGAAATGCTTACGACTATACCGTAGCCCATCGTCCGTACCAAGACCCCAGTGGACCAGGACACTGGGAGGCTCTCTAACAATCGGCGTTACGTTACGCCTTTCCTCTTGTCCTTTTTCAAGGTGTGCGCGCTCCTAAGCAATGACCCGTACCTCTCCTTTTGTTGTCTTTCCCTGTATGAAGCATGTCTTGATCTTATCTTTCTGAGTGGCAAGCGGACCGACACCGGACCGCTATCCCCGTGAAATTTCCATTTTTGCCATCAATGCATCAACGACCGTCTTCAACTATATTTTGTTCACCTCGTCTCCTATTTCTTCTTTCCACTTCAGACTATGGCTGATCAAGAACTCGACGACCCTCTGGATGCTTTCCCCCAACCGAAGCGATTCAAGGCATGTCGCTTTCTGTATCTCTTCCAACTCGCTAACTCGATTCCAGTATCAGTCCTATCAACAAGCCCTCAAAGATGTCCACCTACCGTCAACTTTCAAACAGAGCCACCTGGACCATGAAGTTGGCGTGCGTAGCAAAATTTTACTTTCCCATCGAATTAGACTCACTTGGTTTTCAGGACAACGAATCCCATTTCCATGAAGCACTCGACCACTGGCGGCAGCTCAACCTCTCCCCGAGCTTCATCCAGTTCGCAAAAAGAGCAGATGGGCTGTCCGCCTCGATGCCCCTGCTACTTCATAACTGGCGCGAGATATACACACACTGGTACGAGTCATTCAAGAGTGCAGACGACGAGGGTCTGCGCGTGTTACTAGAGTGAGTCCCTGCCGTCGAGCCTGGCCAAGATCTAACCACGCCGAAACAGCTTGCTTCAGATGTTGGCGCACGACCTTCGAACGACCCTTTCCCCAATTTACACCGAACTCCTCCAATCCCTCCTTTCCCTGCTACCGCGCTCCATATCGCCCCCGGCTTTGACCACGTTACTCGAAACCCTCGCGTCCATTTTTCGATACCTCCTCGTCCCAGACATCAACACGGCGCTGTTGGAGGAGACATGGAAGTTGATGTCTTCCACCCTTCCAAAGTGTCAAGACGAGATTCAAAGAGCTGTCGCCGAGGTTTGGGGAGCTGTTCTCAGACGTATGAAAACGAATACACGAGAACGGGCGGTTTTACTGTTAGCAGAGCACACGAGAGAAGTGCCGAATGCGAGTGCGTGGGTTGTGGTATACGCCTGCAGGGTGGGTCGTTGTTCTCTTCATTCGCAAAATTTCTCACTCGGGTTGTAGTCTGTTTCGCAAACGCTGCACACTTGCGCTGCCTCCGTCTTTTCCCCTCTTCTATCATATCACGTCGCTGTATCGGATCCTAAACCGACATACACGCTTCTTCGACGAGCATTAACGGCGCTGATTCACCATGTCAAGAATTCGGAGCAATTTGTTCCTGTTGCGGAGCTCGTCGTACAGAAGCTTTCGACAACTGACAAGACTGACGTTGAACAACTTCGGCGGGTGGTTGAGGTGGCCTCAGTTATTTGCAGTGTTCGGCAGGGGTCAAGATTAACGGGTATGATTCATTCTTTCCTAGATGGAAAACATTGACCATTGGTGTTAGATGCGCATAAGGTCGTTCTTTTCGCCGACTTGAATTCTCTTGCTATCATTCCCGTGCTCTATAGCTCCATTCTTCGTTTTGCGACTTCTCTCTATCTTACAAGCGAGATGCCTCTCTGGCTTGGCCCTGGTCTGAAATTTCTTCAAAGCACATGGAACTCACAAATATCAACCTCCTTCGCACTTAAACTGAACCTATGCCTCGCGGACTCGGGATGGAGTGGCTGGAAGTTGATTGCACAGCCACTGGTGATGAAGGCAATTGTCAAAGCGGATTTGTGTTTGCTAGACCGCGAGCTGGTTGGTTTTCTAGGAGCGCTAAGGAGGGCGAAGAAATTGGGGGCGCCTGCAGAGGTTGATGTGGTTTGGAAGAAGAAGATCGAGACTATGGTTATTGGGAGGTTGAAAAGTGGTCATTGGCGGCATGGCTCGCTTGATGAAGCGGTTCGTTGGTATCATCTTTCGTTACGGTGGTTTCTGACATCGATCAGGTGGTAGAATTGGATGATATGCTGGTCTTGTCCCCATACTTCTCCAATGCCGTCACACTTCCTATTATCGACATTATCAACGCGAGTTTGGATGCTACGGATTCTGATGCTCGGGTCGTAGGGTTGTGCATGCAGGCACTTTCGGAGCGCGATATGTCAGAGTGGAGTGGCAAGGTCGATGTGGGGTCATGGGCCAGGAGGTGTACGGAAAGATGGGCCTCGGCTCAAGTCCTGGACGGATTGGTCTCCCTTGCACAGGCGAAGTAAGTCTTCAACCTTAGGTCGATGGATTCGAAACTCATCCTTTACAGTCCTTCAACCAAGCATGTTCCTGTTTCTCAGATCTACCCCCACCTACGCCCTGCCTTGATATCCCATTCACGTGCTCACAGACTTGCTGCTCTCCGACTCCTCGATTCGCCACTCATCAACCCTGCGCATGATCAGATTGAGGTCCTTAAACGCTGCCTTCAAGGCGAGGAAGTCTCTTTGGATATTCAAGGTGTACGCGAACGCGTCCTGCGTATCGGTCGAGTGGGCCAGGTCGTGGGTGACGAGAAGGGTGCTGACCTTTGCGCGAGATGGCTTATTGCCCAGCTCAAGGTCAATTTACGACCGTTGTGGTCTCCGGCGGCCGCTGCATTGGCCTTCCTTGGCCAGAGATTTGGAGATCTAGTTTGGAGGCTGCTCTTCGACGAGGTGAAGAAAATCGAGGAAGGTGCATATATCGCTCTATGTCATGAGCTGTCGCCGTCACCTTCTCAGGAAAGAGGGCAGGAAGGGGTGGATTCGGATGGGCATCCTGATGATGTCGATGACCCTTGGGAGGAAGAAAGGACATGGCGCGACCCAAGTGCACACAAGGTTCGCAGCATTGTGAACGCTTGGGATGACCCCCAAAGCACAAGGGCGAAGATTTTGAAGGTCAGTTTCTATGCGGACTTGTGCCGTCTTAATTGCTCATCCGTCTATAGGAACAAATGTTGCATGATCGATTGGATCTTCGTTCGTACGAACACCAGCTGCTCGTAACTCTGGGTGAATGTTCATCCCTCGCGGAGAAGCACAACCGCGACCTGATACCATACTTCTTATCGTTGAATGGCCCGACCGACACCCCGACAAGCAAGCTGCCGAAAGCGAAGCTTATCTCATGGCTAACACTTTTTTCGAAGTTCTCCAACCCGAAGGCCCTCCATGCTACGCATACACTACGCACATTGTACACCAACCTTCTTTCGCATTCAGATCGTTCATTACAAACCATCGCACTTTCCTGTCTCTTCACCTACAAATCGCCGCATCTGGTTCCATATGAAGAGCGTATCCGCGCACTGCTGGACGACACTCGGTGGCGCGATGAGCTGGCCCTTCTCACGATCGACGACATACCCGCGTCCGCACGCGCCGAGCTCATCGATGTTATCATTCGTTTGCTCTTCGGGGTGATGCTGGAAAGGAAAGGCCGCGGCCGCGGGGCCGACCGCAGAGCAGCTGTTCTTGGTGCTCTTGCTGGATGCGCTGACCCTGAGCTTGGTCTTCTGGTCGACTTGATGATGAAGCCTTTTGGCTGGAACCGTTCGTCGATGAACGTTCGCGTCGCGGAGGGTGGGTTCTCTGTGGGCAGAATTGACATGGGTGAGGAAGGAGTGTCGGAAAAGCAGGTGGTCGGCTTTTTGACCCTGCTGGGTGATGTGCTGAAGAATTTGGGGTCGAGGCTCCTCGGATTTTGGCCTGCGCTGCTTGGTTTGACGGTCAATCTGACTAGCGAAGCGCAAAGAAGGATTGATCGGTCGAATTTGGAGAAGCAGAAGGAAGTTATTGTAGAGGGAGACGATATGTCCGATGAGGAGATGGAGAACATCGAAGACTCTCAGCACACCCACTCACCTTCTAGGCTTGCCCGAACGATTCGACAGCTAGGATTGAAGCGCTTTGCAGACTTCTTCCGCATACCCGTCATTTTCGACTTTTCGCCCTACATGGGTTCTGCCTTTGCGTCATTTATCAGTCCTCGGCTCCCTCTTCTGGATCTGGAGAATACTCAAGCACCGTCCGCCCTCCTGGAGCTCTTCTATGTGTGGACAGTCGATGGCATATATATAACCTTCCTCGTGGACTACGACTCCAATACCCTTCCAAAGATCTACGACTGCCTCGTGGCAACCAACGTCAAGCCCTCAGTTATTTCTCGAATATTCGATATCGTCGACAACCTTCTACGTTCGGCGGCAGATGAAGAGCAGATATCCGAACACGTCTTGAAGCCCCATATATCCCGACTGCTGTCTAACCTCTCCATTCTTGTCGAGAGGACGAAGGGCGTCTCCACTCTTTCGACTCCCTTAGGGCAACGTCAAATCTTCATTCTATCGGAGATCGCCCAATACTCCATTGATGCCAACCAAGCTTCGACTCTGTTGGAGCTGTTCAACCCTCTGCTTCGTCGACCTTCCAAGTTTGTTCCCGAGAAAGTCAAGGCCAACCTCGTGAAGATCATCGGTAAGCTTCTGCGCTTGATCCCAGATCTAAGCAACAGAGACAGTTCAGTATACCAGAAGACCTATGGATTGTTGGCTCAGCTGTTCCAAAGTCTTAAGTCTCGCCCGGCTCGGTTGAGTCTCGTTTCAGCCTTCCAGCGCCTGGCGGAAATAGACACAGGACTTTCAGATCTCGCGAATCTTTTGGAGGCCATGAATTCGTACTCTCTTAAGAGGCTCGACGAGTTTGACTTCGAGCGAAGGCTCGAGGCATTCACTACCCTGAATGAGAGATCATACCAGTCTCTTTCAACGTCGGACTGGTTGCCGGTCTTGTACAACATGCTCAACTTCATCCAAGATGCTGCCGAGCTCGCCGTCAGGAATAACGCGTCCTACGCAATGCGACACTTTATCGACTTCGTGGCGGCCCAAATATCCCCTGACTACGACCAAATATTCCTTACAGTGCTCTACCCCGGGCTCAAGAACGGCTTGCGGTCGAAGAATGAGCTTGTCCGCGTCGAAGTTCTCGGTGTCATTGCCTACGCCGTGGAGAAATGCGAGCACATTTCTTCGTTGCAAGAGATGCGAGTCCTGCTCGAAGGTGGCGACGAAGAAGCGAATTTCTTCAACAATATCCTTCACGTCCAGGTCCATCGACGTTCAAGGGCTCTACGTCGTCTTGCTGACCACTGCAATGAGGGTCATCTGCGGAGCTCGACCATCGCGGAAATTTTCGTCCCACTGGTTGGCAACTATATCACGTCTACTACCTCGGCCGATCATCACCTCGTAACCGACGCTATCCTCGCAACTGGACGAATGTCCAAAAGACTTTCTTGGGGTGGCTACTACGCCTTGGTGCAGAAGTATCTCAAGTTATCCAGAGCGAAGGATGAGTCCGAGCGTGTATACATCAGAGCTCTAGTCTCTTTGCTCGACAATTTCCATTTCTCCATGGACGAGACCGTTGCGGCTTCCGAAGGTAACGTGGAAGGGGATGAGGATGAGGATGATATGGAAGGTGTCCATCAAGCCGTCAACGAGCCAACGGAGCCCGTACCGCCTCTCCCTGATGGGGGCCGGAGTATTGCTCAAATCGCTGATGCTGTCAATGTTCGCCTACTTCCCAACCTTTTGAACCATCTCGAGAAATATGACGCCACCACTGACGACAACACCCGTATTCCAATCGCAATCGGTATTGTAACTGTGGCCAAACATCTTCCCGCTGCAACTCGGGAGGCCCAAATAACAAGACTGTTGACAATCCTTAGTCAAATCCTACGCAGCAGATCTCAAGAGACTCGAGACTTAACCCGAGAGTCGCTCAGCCGTATCGCCGCGAATCTTGGTCCCGACTACCTCCCTGTTCTGTTTCGAGAACTTAGGGCTGCTCTTCTTCGAGGGCCCCAACTTCACGTCTTAGCCGTCGTTGGCCATTCCATTATCCTCCACATCACCACCGGTGAGAATGCAGCCAACTTTCCCACACTCGACAACTGTGTCAACGACGTTGCGTACGTCTCTGCGGAGGTCATTTTCGGTGAGTCTGGAAAGGATGTTCAGTCGGAAGACTTCAAGACCAAAATGCGAGAGGTTCGGGCATCCTCATCTCGCGGCCTTGACTCCTTCGCGATCATGGCGAAGCATATCACACCTTCCAAAGTCAGCAGTTTGTTGGCCCCTCTCAAAGCCATCATGCACGAGACAGAGTCGATAAAAGTCATGGGCCTCGTTGACGAGGTCCTGAGACGAATATCGACTGGTCTTAATGGGAACCTTCATTTGGTGCCCACAGAACTGATCACCTTGTGCCACACGCTTATCACGCAGAATGCAAGGTTCCTCCAGCAGACCCCATCTCGTAGGAAGACCAATGCCAAAGGAGAAGCTATCGTACAAACGAAGCGGCAAATTGCGGTGGATGTTGACCACTATGCCAACAATTCTTATCGGTACGTTGATGACCTTCGTGCTAAGTATTTGATTAAATGTCATTCATTTAGGTTCGTCGCCTTTGGACTAGATCTCCTGCACATTGCGTTCAAACGCACTCGGTTCGATTTCCGCGATGCCGCCGTCATGACTCGCCTGGAGTCGATGATTGTTGTCGTTGGAAACACTTTGTACTCGACGAACTCAGTTGTCCTCACCCTCGGCATGCGTTGTGCTGCCAGTCTCGTCAAGTGCCCCCTAAAGACCATCCAGAACTCTCTTCCAGTCTTCGTGCGCCAAATCCTTGACATCGTCAAGTCCGCAGGAAACACAGAATCTGAGCTTGTCCAAGTTGCCTTCAAGTGCCTTGCGACGATTCTCCGTGATGGTCCACCTGTTCAAGTGAAAGAGAAAGATCTCGTATTTTTGATCGAATTGCTTTCTCCGGACCTTGAAGAACCCGACCGTCAAGCCTCAGTTTTCACTCTCCTCCGGGCTATTGTTGCACGGAAGTTTGTCGTTCCAGAAATTTATGACCTCATGGAAAAGGTGTCGGAAGTTTCCGTGACAAGTCAATCTCCCCAAGTTCAGGAACTTTGTCGCGGGGTGCTCCTCCAATTCTTACTCGACTATCCTCAAGGCAAGGGCCGACTTGGGAACCAGATGGCTTTTTTCGCGAAGAATCTTTCTTATGTCCATGAGACTGGTCGAGCAAGCGTCATGGAAATTCTTAGTGCCGTTATCGTCAAGTTTCAAGCCAACCTAATACAGGAATACGCTGATTTGTTGTTCGTAGCTCTAGTAATGGTGCTCGCGAACGATGAATCTGCTAAATGTCGCGAAATGGCTGCGCACCTCGTCAAAAACCTATGGACCCGGTTGGACGACGAGCGTCGTGGCATCCTCTTCTCTCACCTGCATTCCTGGGCTTCACAAACTACACAGCCGCTTCTCACTTGGGTTTCTGCCCAAGTTTATGGGTTTGTTGTCGATGTCATGCAAGCCGAGTCGGCCTCATACATTCCGGCGATTCTTCATGACCTCAAAGCTTGTCTGCACCGCAGTGCTACTTCTTTTGTCGCCGAACAAGAGGATGAAGAGAATGTGCAGATGGAGGTGGAAATGATGTGGCAGCTCCCATATCACTCCTTGACGGTACTATCAAAAGTTCTTCGCATCTTCCCTACGTCGGCCACAGAAGAAGGCAAGATTTCTTGGAACCTTGTCGTTGAGCACCTCCTCTTTCCACACGCGTGGGTCCGGACGGCTGCTTGCCGCCTCCTGGGACACCTGTTTAGTGTTGTTCCTGTCGCGGCCCCTCGTACAGACGTACCAGAAGAACATCCATTCTCACGTGCTGGCATGCAGGAGATCGCGAGGAAGCTCACCCAACAACTCAAGAGCGAGCATCTGGATGAGGCCTCGAGCCTGCAGATCGTCAAGAATCTATTTTATCTGGGCAAATGTTTCTGCCTCATCCAAGTTGACGATTCCAGGGCAATTGGCGAGAATGGGGACAACATTCTAGATAAAGATGCTTCAGCTCTTGTTAATGGCGGGCAGGTGAAAGGGGTTGAAGACGCTTTAAGAAGGCTTCATAGCCCACTGCCTTGGTTGTTCTCCAAGTTATCTTACCAAATCAAGTCAGGCCATATCGCAAGAAGAAACCGAGCTGCAGTCAAGGTTAGGACCAAACTTTCTATGAAACGTTGTCCTCATGATGAAATGTTATTTTCTCCAGCCCAATTGGTCTCAACAACCGCTTGCAGGATTGCGTTGGTTCGCTGCCATGTCCTCGCATATGGAACCGCAGCAATTGGAAAATTTTCTCATTCACATGCTGACGCCCATTTATCGCCTGACCGAGGATGATACCATCCGAGACTCACAGATGGGCAAGTTTCTTTTCTTTCTCTGTCCATAGTCGTGCTCATCCTGTGCTTTTGGGTTTGGTTCGTAGAGGAGTTGAAAACCACAGCGGTTGAGCTACAGGATCTCATCCAATCTCGGGTGGGTGCAACGAAGTTCTCCAATGTATACAGTCAGATTCGGCAGAGTGCGCTCGGGGTGAGGCGAGAACGGAAGGTGGCAAGGGTGTTACAGGCTACGACTAATCCTGAGGCTGCTGCGAAAAGGAAGATGCAGAGAAACATCATCAAGAAGGATAGTCGGAAGAGGAAAGAAAGCGGCTTCTTGTACGTCTTTGAGTTTCTCGTCATCGATGAGTGTGAACACCAGCATGATTCTAGGGAAGCGAAGGGCAAATTCAAGAGGCGGAAGCAGGAGTAAAATATCATGACCTTCACGATTTTCACGAAATGTAGACCTAGAAAAGTAGAATACTGTAGACCTACCTTCTCATGCATGCTTTATCGTATGCCCATCGTACACTAATTCGACATATCCACATCATTTTAACCCACCAATCTTGTCGTCCTCACTAGGAAAAGCCAACTGAGCCTCCTCTCCAACCGCATCCTCGTCATCCTCATTCCAATCACTCGTAGCCTCCCACTCGTTCTCAAACTCGATGTCCAGAGCCAGCTCTTCCTGACCATCGACGGCATCATCCAGTGGATAGAAACACGCCAACTGCGGGGCTTGGAATGTTGCTGGGTTGTGTGACGTTGGTTGTACCCATCGTCGCTCTCGAAGCCGCTTATGACGCTCGCGGTCCTGCTCTATGCGTTTGTTCACTTCGTTGCGCGGCAATGTCTCATGAGGTGCAGAGTGCTTTGAAGTTGAGGGTGCTTCAGGGCCTCCATTCTCGGAGGAGCCGGCGTTGGGGCGGGAATCCAGTGAGGTTAAAACATCGTCAATCTTTTGAGGGTCGATGTAGCGTTTGTTTCTCCAGTTCTCGAGAATCTGGGGGCTGCGAGCTAGGAACAGGACAGAGATAAAAAGGTATGAGAGCGTACCTGTTTCGTACTGAGGAGGTTTGGAATGCCCTGTCTGCCTTCTGGAACAATCGACTCGACGATTCGATTCAGGTCTCTCGCGACGAAGTGAACATACAGGCCGTTGGCGTTGGCCAATCGCGATCGCTCTGACCTTGCATGGGACTTGACTAGCAGGGACGTCTCACAGAGTGAGTCGAGGAAGTATAGGATATTGATTCGGGAGTTGATAGAGCCCTGCGGGGGGTCAGCAGATAGTTCTGTCCTAATCTCTGTCGATTATACCTTGGCTGTTTCCTCGACAATGCAGTCCCAGATGTCTTCACCGCATGGGGGAAAGTGCTTCACGGCAAAGCCCACGACTTTCTGTATCGACTGCTGCGAGCTGCAGCTGCTTTAGTGATACGATAGAAAAGAACCAGAGAATGGCTACTGACGCATTCAGTCGACGAAGCAGTTCAATAAATTGCATCCTTACTTCGAAAGGATCCATTTTCTCCGTTTCTTGATCACTAGAATAAGGGTAGTGGAGACCTCATGTAGGTGCCTTCCGTAAGAGACGTGGGTCAGTCACCGTGATGGCGGTGAAGAAGGGGGGGTTACAATGCCTGTGCACGGCTTTGAACGACAAACCTTGCTTGATCGATGACCACAACATCCAATCAAACTTGGCATCGTCGACTCCCCAACGGCGCGTTCGTGCATTCAATTTTCAAGTTTCCGAACAAAGTTACTCTTGCGTTCTGAATACGCCGAGGGCATTGCGGAGCGCCAAATGTTTGTGGATGTACAAGGTGTGCCCGATTCTATTGTGGATTCTCCAGCGGCTGACGGTAGATAAGAGCATGTTGTACACTCTTGCAACCTGATGCGGTGGCGACCGCTTCGTCGACCGAATCTTGCTTTTCAGTCGCCCATTCAGGTGGGCTTCGAATAAGCGCCCTCGGTCTTCTGTCGTACAAGCATAAATCCTCGGCGGAACGCCTCGAGAAGGGCGGATTCCGACCAGAAATAGGGAGATAGACAACCCGAAGCATACGGCGCGATGTTACGAAAACAACGAGCTTTGCATCGAGGCAGTGGATGCCGCATAAAAGGAACATTTGACCATTGCGTGGGGGTGAGGCGGAAATGCTATATAACATCTTCTCCTCTCTTACGATGTTCCCCATCATCCCTTCTCTACCTCTTCGCAAAAGCATCAAGGCTTTAATAGGACCTCTTCTTCCTCTGACAATTCACTATCTACGATGACCGAACCTATCGCAAACCATTCGGGCTCATCCTCCGACGATGAGCCATTAAGCCTTGACACCAATACAGGCGTCGGGCTATCGAACCCGCAGTTGTCTCAAGGCAGGCGCCAAATGTTGGACCTAGTGAATAAGCTTCACAGCACTGGGTGAGCTCGTCTCCAACTTGCGCCGAATTTTCTCTTTACCTTCATCATAGCGTCCAAGTCGACATTGACTTGCCACAGATAGCCGTCGTCGGCTCGCAAAGTGCTGGAAAGTCGTCGCTCATTGAGAGTATTTCTGGCATTACATTGCCTCGCGCTGCCGGCACTTGTACCAGGTATGGACCGTTGAATAACCTTTCTCGCGGACCAATCATAATCGCTGTCTTCTCTACGACTAGGTGCCCTACCGAATGCCGCTTATCTAGGAGCGACGGGCCGTGGAAATGCATCGTATCTCTCCGCTTCACCACCGACGCGTTCGGTCAGCCTTTGGGTCAGGCCCGCAATGAGATTTTCGGTGGCGTCATCTACGACAAGAGCAAGGTTGAAGACCGCATCCGCCGAGCTCAGAAAGCTATTCTGAACCCACAACGCTCATTCAAGGACTTCCTAGACGACGACGAAGGGATGTATGATACGGAGCTGAGCTTTTCCATGAACTGCGTCAGCTTGCAGATCAGTGGACCAGATGTTGCAGACCTTTCATTCTGTGACTTGCCCGGTATGTCGACATTATTTTTTTTACTGTTTGGTTGCGAATTTATATTCACCCCGTGGACAGGTCTTATCGCGAGTGTTGGTTCCAACAGTAAAGGTGGTGAGAACGATATCGCATTGGTCAAAAGTCTCGTCACTAGCTACATCAAGAAACCCAGTTGTATTATTTTGTTGACGGTCTCTTGTGAAAGTATGTCTCTCTCTGGACCAACTTGCTCTATGTCTAGGAGCTCATTGTATTTTTAGCCGATTTTGAAAATCAAGGCGCTCATCATCTCGCGAAGCAGTACGATAAGGAAGGGAAGCGCACCATAGGTTCGTTCCAAACCTGGGTTTGCGGGACGACAACTGATTTCCCTTTCTAGGCGTCTTGACGAAGCCCGACCGCATTCCGACTGGCGAAGAACACATCTGGCTTCCGTTTATTCAAAACGAGAAGGAGCCGCTCGTTAACAACTGGTTTTGCGTGAAGCAACCCAGCTCAAACGACCTCAAAGCCCAGCTTACCTGGGAGCAGGCTCGTCGGCGAGAAGATGAATTCTTCGCAACCACTGCCCCATGGTGCGAGATGGATGCCGTGTATCAAAAATACCTTCGAACGCGCAACTTGGTCGATAGATTGAGCTTGGTCTTGTCAGATTTGATCTCGAAAAGGTTGATTTTACGTCCGGTGCAATGAAGACTCGCATATCTGATTCTTCATTTCAGGTTACCCGAAATTCAACAGGAAATTCAACGCACTATCTCCGTCACCAAAGCAGCGCTTTCACGCCTCCCTCGCGAACCTCCCCCCAACCCCCAAGCCGAAATTACGTCGCTCATTTCTGACTTCACCAAAGATCTCGAGAAGCAGATCGATGGCGTCCCTGACGCGAAAGGACTCATCCAGAGCATTCGACCGGCGCATCAAAGCTTCAGGAAGGCCATCCGGCGGACAGCCCCGAACTTCCGTCCGTTTGAAAGTAAGATCAAGGGGCGGCACATCGGCAGAGCAGCCTTCCTTGTGAAAGAGGAAGGAGAGGTTTTGGATGGGGAGGATAGCGAGGACGAAATCGAAGATGCTCCGACGACAGGCCGCGTGTCCCGTACCTCATACACGGCCGACATCGGCGACTCGCGCAGTGAACTCGGTGATGAGGGGATATTCCAGCAGAACGAAGATGATTGCAGTGAGAAGCGGTATACGAACAAGGTTTATATCGACCAGGTTTTGCAAAGGGCCCACGAGTAAGTAATATGTTTTTGTCTTGGTGGATCTTTTCTGACAGTTGCTTTCTCTCCCGTTTAGCGCTTGCACTCGCGAGCTTCCCGGAAACTATCCTTTCATCGTCCAAAAGACCTTCATCCAAGCAATCATAAAGGAGTGGGAGGAGCCAGCCCTTCACCTTTGTGACACCACCTTCAGCCAAATTGATAGGCGCGTTCAAGAGCTTGTGGCGAAACATTTTTCGCACTTTGGGCAGGGCCATCTTGAGCAGCGCGTCAGGTATGTTGTGCTTAGGGTGGGCCTCGTTCTCGGACCGCTTACGTATTCATATTTTTTCAGGATCTTGATGAAAAGTCGCATCGAGGAATGTTTCGCAGACGCCAAGCACGTCATTGAGTGGCACCTCAAAGTCGAAGACCAACCCTTCTCACTCAACACCCACTACCTGACTGCATATCGCGAGAAATTCATGGCGTACTACAAGGGCGAGCGACTGCGCTACGATCAGACCGGATTGATGACCGCCCTCTCCAGGACCGCGAGCACTTCTTCGTCTCCTCAGGACACCCCTTCTGTTCTGTCTCAAATCATGTCCAACCTTGCAGCATTGGGAATATCGGGCTTAGCGCCAGAGGACTTGAAGAAGTTGCTTCCTGCCGACGACATGGAGCCGGCCTTGGGGATCATGGCTGATGTCAGAGCTTACTTCCAAGGTTGCTACCTTCACCTCGTCTCCGCTGGTTCTGATTGACTAACAGCTACCCTTTCTTAGTTGCGTACAAAAGGTTCGCCGACAACATACCGCTCGCCATCGACTACGAGCTTGTCCGTGGTGTCTCTCGGGATCTGCAGCGTAAGCTGAACGAGCAGCTTGGGATCAACGGCGTCGACGGGCACCAGATCTGCCAAGACCTAGCGCAGGAGAGCCCGCAAACCGCAGACCGCAGGGTTGATTTGAACAAGAAGCTCGAGAGGCTGAGGGTCGCGAACAGGGAGCTCATGGGTCTCGGAGCCTAAATATGTTGGATTGCTGCTTGAAGAACGGTGAAGTCATATTGCTCCCTCTGTCGTATATTGCCCTCTGTATTCTATCAGTACCCTTTGCGTCTGTGATCATTAACTCATCTGACAGACTGAAAAGACGAGATACCTTTGCGAAAACTATGTATGTCCATTGAGTTGTCGTTTCCACGTACCACCGGGGCTGAGTTGCTTTTGAAACGTCGATGATATTTGATGGATTTCCTCCCTTGGGGGCAGCGAGCTTGCTAAGGCCCGGCCCCGGTGCTCATACGGACATGCTTCTCATTCGAGCGAATCCACATTTCTTTTCTCTAGCTCACATAAAACCTCTGCGCTTTAAAGCTTTCTGGTTGTTCCAGCACCACCTCCGCCGTTTCTCGTCGAGAAATTAATATTCAATTTTCATCCTGATAGATATGGCCAGGCTGTATGAGGACGATGTGCATTCCCTTTAGCTGCCTTCTGGGAAATGTGACTTGTAAGCGGACATCGCTCGTACTAGTATAAAGATTGTTCATCCGAGTGGAGCTGCAAGCCTGATAGCAGCCACATCCATTCGATGCTCTCGTATCTTCTTTGGTTATCAACGCCTCCTCAGAAGAATCGGTGTCTATGCTGCGAATACACGCTATTTTAAGTTCTTTGAATAAGCCTTGAAGGTGCTACCGAGGGTGTTTGTTTGTCGAACTTCGATTCACCCGGAAATTCTCCTTCGGCTGACATCTTTATTTTATTCTTAATCCTGTCAATGAAAGAGCCTATTGGGCGACCCTACTTTGTGGAAGCTCGACGAAGTAGGATGCTTCGCTTTTCAGCGTGTCGGAATCACCAACGTGACTGGGAAATAGTGTCCCTCAGCTGGCCTGGTGCCTTCTCGACATAAGGTATATCAGCGAAGTATGATACGGGAAATTTCAGTTCATGGAACCTTATGAACACTCTCGGGCTTCCAATTCCCCTCTCAAACAATGAGTTACGCGTAGGCCGAATAGAAGATAATTTTAGGACTTGACAAGTGCAGGTCACCTTCATCTAAAACGCTCTCCCTGGTGCCGTAGGCGCATAGTACGGACCCGTACATACATGAATTCCTAATACTTTTTCATGCACCATCTGTCGGGGCCAAGCCGATCAAATTTGCCAAGGTGCTTGACGCCGAGAAATTTAAGCGCCCGAAGCTTTGGACTTCGGACGAGGCGCTGCCGCCTTTGCTGCATTGCATATGGCGAGACACGTACACCTACGTGCGAAATGTCTACCATGGAGAGAATGAAATGGCTGGTGGATTGAAAGTCGAAGGGCCATAGGTAGGAACGCTATTCCTGATCCGTGTTCTGATATCAGTTTGCAAGAGGGTAAGGTATACTAATGGTACGTAGACGAGGTGAAGCCGTGACTTCGAGACGTACTTAGTAGTAGTTGAACCTACTAATGATGAGTAGAGAAAATACATAACGTTTGGTAACCCAAAAACTCTCATTAAGCTTTTTCAGCCCTGGTGTATTGCTTCATGCAAGTCCCGAATTTCATCTATGACCCCAGAACCGTCGCTGGCACTTTCGGAGTCGGAAGCGGTTGCCACCTCGCCAGATTAATTCGCACGGTCACTACGCGACGAGTCGAAATTTCGAGCGACTCTCAGACTCTGCCCACTCCAAGACTCTTTCCATTGTCGAAAACTGGTGCAAAATGGCAAGCAGAATGGTTACTAGTGACTCGCCTCGTAAACAGAACAGATAGATTGGTAATAGGTAGGTACCTGCCTCATCCCAGGAACCAAACGTCGCCGCTAATGCATCATCGGTCCGACCGTTCTTCCTGAACCTCGGCCAACAGAGGAGTGCCCCACTGAGCACACATGAACAACATACGGGTGTTCTCCGCGTCATTATCGCAGAGAGGGGACCAACTAAATTGAAAACTCGACTATTTTTGACCCGTCCTATCCTCTTCTCTGGCCAATGAATGCAATCCGCCTTGAGGCATTTCGCGTCGGAGGTTCCATCGTCTGAATCTATACGCCAAAATTGGCTTATTTCTCTCTGGGAACGGGGTTCGACTCTCGTATTAATAGGACTAAATCAACCTCCCCGCGTCGACAGTCGCTTGCACCATGCAGTGGAAGTCCCTCCTCGCGATTGCCCTTGCCGCTCGTCAGGCCCATGCACTCATTCGCTTTGCTTGCTCTCAGCTCGTCACTGAGCGTTTAGACCCGTGATATTCCTCCGACTCTAGTTGTCAATCCTCTCAATCCTCCCACAGGCTTGTCTCTCCGGGTGAGGTGTCTGCTCATGTCCATCAAGTCGTTGGCGGGGTACGCCTTCAGTGTGCTATGTCGTTCCTACATTCACTGAGCCAGTGACGAATATTCTCAACTACAGAATGCGTAAGCCCCCATTTTAACTACCCTTGCTTTCTCTGATAGCTGAATTGGGCGCGTCTTTCCTAGATTCAATATCACAATGGATTCCAGAAACGATCTTGCTAAGCTCTCAACATGCACGACTTGCCAATTCAAAGAGAACAAGTCCAACTATTGGACCGCTGTTTTATACTTTAGGCACAATAACGGCAGCTTTATTCGTGTACGTTGTCAATCCTATCGCATTTGAACCGTCTCGAATGGAGAATGACAGGTCCCGCAAATGGCGAACCAAGGAACAGGTACGCCCAACGGTGGTATGACGATCTACTACGTGCAAAACGGTCTCAGGGTTACTGCTCCTCCAAGGGTAAGAAGCTTATGCAAGCAACTCATTTGTTTCTCATTTATTTTATGCAGGGATTCCGCATGATCACAGGAAACCCCATGCTCCGGAGTAAAGATACCAATGTCCCGAACAAAGTTACCAGCTTCCGGTGCTTCGGTGCAAACTTCCAGGACAGCAACGGGTCTCAGCCCCCTGGTGGTGGAACGGACACCGTTGAATTCCCCACTAAGTTCTGTGCAGGTGGTATTCGCGCCAATACCTATTTCCCCCAGTAAGTTATCGTCCTCCCTTCCTGGACGGTTTCGTCGAAAGGTACTGAGAGCTGGATATTAAACTTTAGATGTTGGGACGGGGTAAATCTCGACAGCCCAGACCATCAAGTGCGTTAGCAGGGTTTAGCTCGAGCTCGTGATTACTTGACCGCTGACATTCTCTGTAGAGCCATGTTGCCCATCCCATTGGCCAACCCGACCCCTACACTGGTCTCTCTATTTACGGCGGAACTTGCCCATCCACCCACCCTGTCAGATTGCCTATGCTCTTCTTCGAGACTGTTTGGGACACACGGCCTTTCAGAGACATTTGGCCCACCGATGGCAGGCAGCCTCTAGTGTTCAGCATGGGCGATCCGTAAGTACATGCACAACATTTTGAGTTCTTCGTCGTTAATATTTCCGTTCTACCTCAGAACTGGCTATGGACACCACGGTGACTACGTATTCGGATGGGAAGGCGACGCGCTCCAGAGGGCAATGGACTCCTGCACCGAATTCAATGGCGTCCCGTCTTACTGCACAGCGCTGACTGTTCAGTCAGACGCTGAGATCAACCGCTGCACTCAAACGTCTCGTGTTGCTGAAGTTGTTGAAGGACGCTGTGAGTGCTCAATATATCAGTTGCTTTCTTAGGGTAATTAGTATTGACTTGCTAACCAATAGACTTGGACACCCTTCCTGGATGCAACCCGATTCAGAACGGACCCGCCGATGCAACCATGCCCGCCAATTGTGCCGCCGCCTCGACCATTGCAGGTCCAGTGCCTACCGTCGTTCCTGCCCCCGGTACTACTCAGGCTCAGCCACCCGTCGTGACTCCCGCCCCTCCACCGCCACCCGCCCCGACTACTGCTCCAGTCCCTAATGCGCCTCAACAGGCCCATTACGGTCAGTGCGGAGGGTATGCCTTGCTCCTTGCTTCCTTTCCATATTTGTGCTGACGCCACTGGCACTCCATCCTCTAGGCAAGGATGGACGGGTCCTACAGTGTGTCAGGCCCCCTATACGTGCACTTTCTCTAACCAGTGGTACTCTCAGGTATGCTTTCCCTTAACTTCATAAATATGTCTTCATTAAACGTGTCTATTTGTCTAGTGCTTGTAAGCGCCCATATGTTCTCGTGTCTGTAAGCTTGCATCTCGTATAGTTATCTCGATTATTTCTCTGCCATTATGTATCTAGTCGTATGCAACTCCTTTCTCGAGAACTGTGGGTCCCTGTGGGTGGTATGCCCGCCGAGCGGGCCGCTGGCGGGCCGTCATTTTCTCAGGCCAAACTGTGCCAAACCCAGACTCTTGAGCTTTGTCGAACTAATTTCCTGGACACCCTCAGCAGCACGCCATCGATTGTACTTACAGTGTATCGCCCTTTTTGCACTACTGGTTATCTCTGAATGACTATCAATTCAAATCGGCTCTACTGTCTGTACTTTCCCAGAAAACCAGCCGCCAACGATGACGCCAACGCAATGTTAAACTTCCTTTCTCCATCGACCAGCGTTGCTTCGTAGACCAGACTCGACACAAAAGGGGTGGTGTAACATGTTGAATGCTATAGAGACAGAATTCGAAAGACAAATGGTGCGTACTCTAGAATTCAGGTGCCCTGATGGTGATGAGTAACGGCCACATTCCAGATGCCGTTATACACAATAGGGCAAACCGACATATCGCGCTGCGGAAGCGCTACCGCCGTTTTACTCTTGGAGAAGCTCCTGAAAGAAGGGTCTGGAATGCAATGAAGTGTGACGAATTCAAAGGCCTTTGGTCATTGAAGGCGGTCAGCACAAAGAGACTCGCGGACATTGACGCGAACAATAATCGCGTCAAAGATGCAGCAACTGTGACACCAACAAAGAGCCCCTGCATATATCAGAGGCCCTTCGCAAGGCTGATGCGCCCACTGCCAATCCTTCCCCTCGCACAATGTTCTCCCTGCTAACCCCCAACAAACGCAGAAAGTCTAATCCGACTCGACAAGGGAAAGCCCGTCGAGGTGCTACCTCCAACGACGATGTTGTCGACATGGAGCTTTCGGATGACGAGCACCTAGGAGCTGATGCATCAGCAGGCGTTGGTCTCTCTGATCATAAAATGACACAAGAGGGCCGTCGTCGTCTCCTTGACTTGGTCAACAGGTTACATAGCACAGGGTCAGCCTTTTGCCTTTTCGTTTTCTTTATCTGATTCTGACCTTCCATCCAGCGTTCAAATCGACATAGACCTTCCACAGATTGCTGTCATCGGTTCCCAGAGCACTGGCAAATCCTCTCTCATCGAGAGCATCTCTGGTATCACTTTGCCTCGTTCTGCTGGGACATGTACTCGGTATGGCCTTTCTTACTTCATGAATGTTCTTATTCATGATTTTCACAAGATGCCCAACGGAATGTCGTTTGTCCAAGAGCACCTCCCCTTGGCAGTGTACCGTCTCCCTGCGTTTCACCACCGACGACTCCGGACAGAATCTGGGACAGGCCAGAAACGAAGTATTCGGCAATATCATCCACAACAAGAGTGAAGTTGAGGAACGCATTCGTCGGGCACAGAGAGCCATCCTCAACCCAGATCGATCGCTTGAGGACATCTTACAAGAGGACGTCAACGCCACATACGAGAACCAGCTCAGCTTTTCGATGAATTGCGTCAGCCTTCAGATCAGCGGCCCGGATGTCGCCGATTTGTCTTTCTGCGACTTGCCCGGTGAGCGTATGCTATATATTTTCCAGCAGACCAGTGTATTGACCTTTTCACCATTTTTTCTTAATAGGCTTGATTGCCAGTGTGAGCTCCAAGAGCAGAGGCGGCGAAGATGACATTGCTTTGGTGGAGAGACTCGTCACCAGTTATATTAAAAAACCTAGCTGCATCATCCTCTTGACGGTTTCCTGTGAAAGTGCGATAGTCGACTTCGTCGATTTTCGTCGAATACTAATCGACCTCTCTAGCTGACTTCGAGAACCAAGGTGTTCATCACCTCGCAAAACAATTTGATACGGAAGGGAGGCGTACAATTGGTATGCTTGTTCGAAAAGTCTTCAGCTCTTAACTAACTGCCTCATTGTCAGGTGTCTTGACAAAGCCTGATCGCATTCCGACTGGTGAAGAGGACCAGTGGCTGCCCTTCATCCAGAACGAAAAGGAACCGCTCGTCAACAATTGGTTTTGCGTCAAGCAGCCAAGTTCCAACGATCTCAAAAACTCGATGACCTGGTCGCAAGCCAGACAGCGCGAAGAGGAAATTTTCAAAAACACTGCACCGTGGTCTTCCCTGGATTCTGAATACCAGAAATACCTTGGGACGATAAACTTGGTTCAGAGGCTCAGTTTAGTTCTATCGGATCTCAGTGCATTGAGGTCTGTCTTCTCGCAGCTGAACTCTGCGATATCAGCTCGCTGATCCTCTATCGTCAGGCTTCCGCAAATTCGACACGAGCTTCAGCGTGCCATCGCTAACACCAAGAAAGCCCTCAAAGCCCTTCCTCGCGAGCCACCTTCCAACCCTCAAGCCGAGATCATCTCTCTCATCACCGACTTCACCAACGACCTCAACCGACATGTCGAAGGTGTGCCCGACGTCGACGGGCTTATCCAGGCCATCCGTCGCGAGCACGAGGTGTTCAGGAAGGCGATTAGGCGGACGGCACCAAAGTTCCGCCCATTCGAGAAGAAGTACGAGGGCATGAGACACCTACATAGGGCGATGTTCCTGGTCGAGGAGGGCGGGTCATGGGAAGGCGAGGATAGTGAGGATGAGCTGGAGCTTGAGAGAGTTGTTCAGTGTGCACCGGTGACTCCCCATCGCCAGCCTTCCGGTCAAAGGACCTTGCGGCATGAACCTCAATCAGGCCGCCTGCAAGATACTCATGACCCCTTTGACTCTGGTGGCAGCAGGCGCAGAGATAGTGCCCAAGGTGGAGAGCAACACTTGCAGCCCGAGACAAGCCGAGGAACCAAGCGCAAGAATCCTCCGACGAACAAAATTTACATTGATGAGGTGTTGGAGAGGGCACACCAGTGAGTAGTGACTGCGTGCCAACCCATCGTGATCTCATTCCGACCTTTTCTTGCTCGTTTTCAGCGCTCGAACCCGCGAGCTGAAATTATCCGTTCATTGTCCAGAAGACGTTCATTCAGGCGTTCGTCAGAGAATGGGCGGAGCCATCACTCGACCTTTGTGATGCCATTCACAAGAAGATCGCACAACGAGTTGGCCAACTTGTGAAGGAGTATTTTGCAAACTTCGGACAAGGCGAACTCGAGCAGCAAATTAGGTGAGGGTCTCTGTTCGATATGCCATTTTCGAGCCACTGAAATTGTCGCTTGCTCTCTGCAGCTCCCTGATGGAGTGCCGAGTAGAAGAATGCCGCAACGGCGCCAAACACTCCATCTTTGGACAACTGGCGATCGAGGAGCAGCCTTTTACTGTCGACACACGTTACCTTTCCTCCTATCGGAAGAAGTTCCTGGACCACTACACTGGCGAGAGGCAGCGATATGACCAAACTGGGTTGATAGCCGCCATTGCTGAGGCTATCCGCGTCGAAGGGCACAATTCGCTGGGTGGCTCGCCGCAACGTGGTGTGTCAAAGATCATGGCAGGGCTTTCCGAGCTTGGGGTATCGGGACTGGATGTCGAAGCGTTGCGCAACCTGCTGCCAGCAGATGAGATGGAGCCTGCGTTGGGGATTATGGCAGGCGTCAGGAGTTACTTCCAAGGTCAGTATATCAGCCTCTTTTCCAACAGTGTTGTATTGAGGTTCCGCTTCATTTCTTCAGTCGCACACAGACGATTCACGGATAACATTCCTGGCCAGATCGACCGAGATCTTGTGCGTGGTGTTGCGAGAGACCTGCAACGCAAGTTGAATGAGCAGCTGGGAATTAATGGCGCCAATGGCTACCTAATTTGCCAGCGGCTCGCACAAGAAAGCTCTCAGATTGCAGATCGTAGAGCCGAGTTGAAGAGGAAGCTCGAGCGACTGAATGTGGCGTACAGGGAATTGATGAGCATGGCTGCTTAGCTACTAATACCCATTTGTGGCAGTTGTTGGTCCGACGCGTCAGGTTTCTCTATTTTTTAAATTTTATATAATCTGTAATTATATACCACTCCTCTTTTCTCTTTTCTTTCCACCTCCATTCCAAGATCCTGTCGAAGGTCGGAGGACGCGCTTACGATTAGCCCCTATTCTTCGCGTGTCGACACGTGATCGTGTTCTTCAACAGTCCAATGGCAATTGAACTCTTTCCACCCATGGTGAACGCATATGTAAAGCTTCATATTCGTCGACCCTTCATGCATTATCGGAACAACACATCTGCTGAGGAACAAGGGTACGAAATGGCTTACAGTTGGTACCATTAAGTCTGGCTGATCTCCGAAGTCTCGCTAAATTCTCAGTCAGGGAAGGTCAAGGGCTCTTACATACAGATGATGTAACGCTGGCAGCTCCTCATCGATAAACTTCAACCTTCATTAGTGGCTCGGAATGAAAACCACTTCAAGGACCGCCTCAGCTTCTACACATTCTCGCGAACCTTCTCCAATAGAGAACAGCGACTCTGAAAGGAGTGAACACGCAACAATGGCCGTCGAAGAGGCGAAGACGTCCGTGCTCGCCGTTGGCCTGTCCAATCCGAAGCTCTCTCAAGGAAGGAGGCAGATGCTCGATTTGGTGAACAAGCTGCATAGCACAGGGTGCGTCTTTTTCCATTCAGCCCTACTCAACTCTTCACGAAGTTCGTAGTGTCCAGGTCGACATAGACCTTCCGCAGATTGCAGTCATCGGTTCACAAAGTGCTGGAAAGTCGTCGTTAATCGAGAGCATCTCAGGTATCACGCTCCCGCGGGCAGCTGGGACGTGTACTCGGTGCGTGACGCGTCTTCTGGTTCAAATTGCCGTCTAATTGACGCGTTCTCTTCAAAGATGCCCTATTGAGTGCCGCCTCTCCCATTCCAACACTCTGTGGCAATGCACAGTCTCTCTTCGCTTTACCACAGGGCATGATGGACAGACATTGGGACAGGCTAGAAACCAGGTCTTCGGAGACGTCATTTACGACAAAAGCCAGGTTGAAGACAGGATCCGCAGGGCTCAGAAAGCCATCTTGAACCCGAAGATTTCTGCGAATGCCTTCTTGAATGGAGATGAAGAAATGGAACGGACAAGCGGCCGACAGTTGACCTTTTCAACGAACTGTGTCAGTTTGCAGATTAGTGGACCCGATGTGGCGGATTTGTCGTTCTGCGATTTGCCAGGTGCGTACTGTGATAACTCTTGTGTGCATTGGACATTGAACGCGTTTATTTGGCCCGTAGGCTTGATTGCTAGTGTCAGTAGCTCTGGAGGAAAGAACGATATCATGCTGGTGGAGAATCTGGTCACTTCTTACATCAGGAAGCCCAGCTGCATCATATTGTTGACGGTGGCATGCGAAAGTAATACTCGTTCATTGTTTGAAGAGGCGCCTCGCTCAACCATCCCACCCAGCCGATTTCGAAAATCAAGGAGCGCACAGGTTAGCAGAACAATACGACCCCGAAGGTAAACGCACAATCGGTAGGGGCATCTCTGTATATGCGCTCTCTTTTCCCTTTCTAACCCATATACCCATCCTCAAGGGGTCCTAACCAAGCCCGACCGCATCCCCATCGGCGAGGAATCCAACTGGCTGCCATTTATCCGGAACGAGAAGGAAACTCTAGAAAACAACTGGTTTTGTGTCAAGCAGCCCAGCTCAAACGACCTCAAAGCGTTGATGACATGGGCTCAGGCAAGGCAGAAGGAAGACGACTTTTTTGCCTCGACGTCGCCGTGGTGTGAATTAGACGGCGTGTACCAGAAATATCTGCGAACGAGCAACCTCGTTGAAAGGCTCAGTCTCGTCCTTTCGGACCTGATTTCCAAGAGGTATGCCACACTTGAGGTTTTAATGCATCGTTTTTTTCATGCTTTTTCTAGGTTGCCTGGTATCTACAGCGAACTAGAAAGTCAAGTACAGACCGCCCGAAATGCACTCCAAAGTCTCCCTCGCGAGCCACCCAGCGATCCTCAGACAGAAGTTTCCAATCTGTTACACGCTTTCGTTGTGGACCTTGCCCGACATGTCGAAGGTGTTCCTAACCAGGAAGGTCTTCTCCAATGTGTTCGTCCAGCGCAGGAGAAATTCAAGAGGGCCATTCGAGAGACAGCGCCGAACTTTCGTCCTTTTGAGAGCGGATATGAGGGTGTGATGCATATTAGGAGGGCGACGTTCTTGGAGAATGAGGAGGCGGCGTTGGATGGAGAGGTCAGTGATGTAGGCGAAGATGAGGACGAGGATGAGGATCTAGACATGCCAGAGTCCGGACAGCCTGCGCGACAGGCCGAAGTTGACGATAGCTCAAGTTCTGACTCTGACTCTGACGAAGATGATGAGGATGAAACCGAGGATACGTTCAAGGCGCAGAAGGAGAAAGAGAAAGAACAACGCACGAGGGAAGAGGCTCAAAGGAGAAAGAAAGCTGCACAGAAGGCGGCAGCACCTCCGCAATCGGCCCAGCCTCCTAGAGGAACAAAGCGGAAGGAAGCACCACGCACGAACTACAGGATATACATCGACGAGGTGCTGCAGCAGGCACATTTGTATGGCAAAACATTCTCTTAACCACCCTTCATAACGTTACAACCAATTTTTTAGGGCTCGAACACGCGAACTGCCTGGGCATTACCCCTTCGTTGTGCAGAAGACTTTCATTGAAGGCATAATACAACGCTGGCAAGAGCCTGCGCTCGCGCTTTCCGCCACTATCCATAAGACTGTGTCCGAGCATGTCAACGAGCTGATTTCGAAACACTTTGGTCACTTCGGCCAAGGGCAGTTGGAGCAGCGGATCAGGTGCTGCCCTTTCTATATTTATTTACTGTCTTTCCGTGTCGTTGCTGAAGAGTATGCTCTAGAACCATCATGCACGAACACATCCAGACCTGCGCCAGCAATGCGCAGTCACGGATTGAGTGGCTGCTCGACATCGAGAGCGAGCCGTTCTCATTGAACACGCATTATCTGCAAGATTACAAGGAGAAGTTCCTCGCATTCTACAAGGGTGAACGTCGGCGATACGAACGTAGCAAAACCACTGCTGCCACCCCAGCCGCCCGCAATGCTGCATTGAAAGTACAGCGTCCAGGGAGAGGCAAGGACAAGGAAGCCTCTGTAGTGCCGATGAGCCAGCCCGCGATGTCGGTTGAGACGGTCCTCGCTGGCCTGGCGCAACTGGGATATACGGGTCTCAAGGAGGGAGACCTTCAGCGGCTCATTCCTGGAGATAGGATGGAACCTGCCCTGGAGATCATGGCGGATGTCAGGGCGTATTTCCAGGGTATGTGGTTCCTTGAGCCATAGTTTTTCGTCGGTCTGACATCCATTCTCAGTTGCATACAAACGCTTCGCGGATAACGTCCCTCTTGCGATCGACCGTGAACTCATACGTGGGGTGGAGAGGAATGTACTCGGGACGCTTTACGAGCACCTGCAGATCAACAAGTCGAAGGGTCGTCGGCTGTGTAGGGAGATGTCGCAGGAGAGTCAGCAAACGGCAGATAAACGAGCAGACCTGAAGAGGAAGCTTGAGAGGCTTGAGATAGCGTATCAGGAATTGAGGGCAATTGGGTTTTGAACGAGGTAGCATATCATTATTGTGTATGCTTTTGAGAATCCTTGTAGGTTTTCCGATTACAGTACGGTGTGAACGTCTTGCACTTCCGGGCCGGTCCCGTCAACTACCCAAGCAGGCTTTCGGAGGAATGGCCTGTGCGAGGAACACAGGAGGTATAACACTGGTCTGAGCCAGGTTTTTCTACAAGTTCGATTTGCAGAGAACAACCGGAAAACATCAATATGTATTGTAATACAAAAAGTGTCATACAAAAAGAAGTCTATGGTATATATAGATGAGCGATAATTTCAACCCATCTCCGTGAGTTATTCAACGAGAATTCAGAGAGTGACGTAGACGAGGAGCAAGGAGAATACAATCATCCACTCAGCTTGTACGCGCAAGTTAAGGCCTTGGGCTCCACTGAGAATCGACGAGGGCAAGTTACCCGTTGTCGTCGATGTGGGGAAACCTCTGTTGGACGTAGCAGACGCCGCGACAGTTCCTTCCAACGTCCAGGTGATGTTCGTTGCGCGATCATTCGTCGAGATGAGGATCCCCATCCCAGGGGTCCAATGCCTTAGACTGAAAGAATATTGCTGAGTTTGCCCGGAGAAAGTGTTGAACCTGCGTTCCATAAGTTCACTTGCCTCCTTGTAAGTGCGGGACATACCTTGCATAATCCACCCCTTCATTATCAAGGACAGTGCCGCCAAGCGCAGAGCCGTTGACGACCTGAATGTTCGCGGTATATCTACAAGTTTCGAGTAAGGAGGTCAAGTAGCTGATAGGAAAGTATCTGATACCTACGTCCCCGGTTTGAGGTCGCCGAAAGGGGCGATAAGGAAACTACGCCCTGGTTGGTCCTCGTTCAATAGGTTGGGTTCGACAGCTAATCATGATAGCAATGAGCCCAATTCGAGCACGAAAGCTCCTAAAGAGACAAACCTTCGTTTCCAGACTTCGAAACACTCTCATCGTCTCTCGTATTTAGCGGAACCCCAATTTCTTCGGCTGCGATGCCATGTTCGCTCGTCGCATCCTCCTGAGCCCCAGATGCACTTGACGTCTCGCCAGTGGTTGGCACGTCAATCGAAACTTTGTCGCACTCAACACTGATCACGAACTCATCTCCCGCTTGAAGGCTAATTCCGTCCTTATTCAACTTCCAGTTAAACATCCCGCCTTGATATAAATTCTGTCGGTCTGGGACGCAGCTAATAGAACGTCGGGATGCCGGTGTGGAGAGCCCACCCTCCATCGAGGAGGCTGGTGGGTACTGCGATGGGCAAGAACATCAGTTGCGATACGAGTAGAGATAGGAATGTGCCTAACCTCGACGCAAGAGGTGTAACTGGGAGGAACGAGGCCTCTCGCAATGCGGTCTGCGCAGTATCCTTCGTTGCAACCAGCTTCTGTCCGTGTACGGCTTATAGCGTCGAGGTCCGAGCCGCGATATGTCAGTATTGCTGCGACCGCGTTGGCGGTGTCCAACATTGCTGCAGACAGTATTGTGATAAGGGACTCAGTCAACAAGGAAGGCAAATAGTTACCTTGGCACATGTTCTTCAGAACCTAGGGCGATGTTCAGGAAAGGATACTTATTCGAAATGCGAACTGACCTCGATGTTCTCATCCGAGGTGTTGAAACGGACGATTCTGTTCCGGAGGGCTGCAGTCCCAGTGTAAGCAATGAATAATTCCACGGAAACCGAGATCAAATGGCGCACATGCACGGATACATCTATTCCGTTCACAGATCTCGCCAGATAAGCAACCTATGCTCATTGTTAGAGGGGGGATGAAAGGTGAATAGAGCTTGATGAAATACAGATGTTTCCACAATTGCACGACGGCGTAGATGGTGCAGCCGCAGACGCAGATGACGCAGGCGGCCGCGATGGTGAAGACGATGGAGGAGGCGGCCGAGATACAGGGGGCGGTGGGGGCGGCGGGGGCGGCGGGGGAGGCGACGTGCTTCTTCGAAAGCAGGAACCCCCGCTACAGAAAGCGCCAGGACGGCAACCTATGCTATGTGTCAGATGGGGACACAAATGTAAAGAAAAACCGAGTAAATACAGCCACTTCCGCAACACGGATAGCCAGGAGGACAGCACGCCGTGTGGCCAGACTGTAATCAACAATAGCGTTAGAATTGTCTTCCTGGCGAAGTGGCAACCGGAGGCGCACACAAATAGTGTAGCTGATTGGACAACACCTGTTCATCTGAAGTATGAACACGAATAGCAGGAGAAGGTTGAAGGGAAAGGAGACCTTCTATTTGCAAAGCACTGGTATATCACAACGAGGTTTGGTTCAACAGAGGTAGACTCGTAGATATAGGACATTACTCACGTTTTGACTGGAGTAACAGCATGAATTGCCAGGGCACTGTTTGATAGCGGGCTTGAATATACAGCAGAAGACGACAAAGCGGCGACCTACGCATCGTTCACCGGCTCCACAGCATGTAGTCTGGCTACACCAAGCTAGAGATGAGAAGTACGTTCCACACCTCAGGAGCACTTCAACAGCTTTTGAATGATAGGGAACTTACGTCCTCCGGGTCCTCGAGTGCAAGTTCTAGTTTGGCGCTTGTCGAAGGATTCGAGGGGGGTACGAGCCTCGCTGAAGTCGGGACTCGACCAGGGAACGAGCAGCGCCTGTGGAAAAGCAGGAGTCGACACGTTGAACAGGTGTTCTGGAGCTGGCGCTGAAGCTGAAGCCGCAACCGCGATGTAGAACGGGAAAAGCTCAACGAGCACTAGGGTACTAAGGGTGGCAGCTACGAAAAGAGAAAAAACCATTTTCGACCTTAGATGAGAGGCAGGGAAGTGGTGCGAGAGAGGCGCATGGACGTGGTGTTGCATCCATTATATGTGGGCTATGAGTATATGAGTACTGATGGTGGCCATCTTAATTGAAGGGAGGAAAGCCTGTGTGACATCAACTTGAAATTCAGGGTTTCATTCTAGCAAGCATCCCAAGGCTCATTGGGTCCTAGGTTATTTGGTAGGCCTCGTTTTCATCTGTCGTAGGTGCCAAGTTGATCATCGAGATCGATACCACCACCAACAATTGAATACCATCGTCGGGCGCTGGACACTTTCCCATTCCATTTGACGCCCCTGCCAATTCTAGTCCGCTGAAACCCTGCTCAAAACATTGAAGGAAGAACGTGCTCACCTCTAGCCCATGCTAGACAATGACCGAACGCGCCTTTAGTCCCCAGAGCACGAAAGACCTGAGAACACGCAGCACTGAGGGGTGAGTGCTTGAGCCTCAATTGGCAGAACCATCGGGGTTCAAGCTTCAAGCTGCGTTGAACCGCGAGATATTGAATGGCCGTCTGAAGGAGGCTTGAAAGTGGGAAATCGTGATTGAAGGCGGCCTTGTCACTGGCTTCACGAAACCGTTGTTGGGAGCCTCGCCAGCAATCAACGTCAGGAGCAACCAGTATCTTCTACTTATATGTTCTAGTGCGTAAGTTTGGGACCTCTTCGGCGAGAAAGTAGCAATCGTACCTCAATTAGAGTCCAGAGTGAATGCCATGCCGCCTTCATACGGTGACCCTGCATAGTATCTACGCGTTATCTAATCAGAACCGGCGAATGCCGGCAGAACGATCCATGAATTTCGAGTCCTTCCTTTCTTCCTGCATCCAACCTACATCGCTCCGACAACCTCTGCAGCTCGACGTGGATAATCCATACGATTCCCGCTTATATTGGCTAAACAACCCTGGTCGTCGTCATAGATTGCTATGACCCGAACCGGGTCATTCCTTCAGTCCTTACGATTCCACAGAGCAGCTGACCCACAATGGTACTCATCTCAGTTACGTGCAGCTCTCTCGCCTATGACATCGGAAGTACCTGGTCATCACCAGTCAACGTTCGACAATGAAATGTTCGGCTTTGGATAAGTACCTCGACGTTTGCGATGCCAAGCCTTTGAAGGCGATTATAAGTACGTTCATGGTCGTTCATGGGGCAGACAGAGCGCTGATTCTTGAAGCAAGATGGCCTGCTCTGGAATCACCGCCTCGGGGTTGGCATTCTTCGCCTTGGGAGTAGGTATTACTTCGCGTCCGACAAACTCATTATTGAAGCACTATTCCTCATTATTCAGGTTGCATTCACCCTCGCCTCGCCCTCTCTGGTAGCCTCAACCCTGGAAGAAAGACAAATCGATGGTCGACCCCCGGAGTGGGAGTATAGAGGATGCTATAGGTATCTCAAGTTCCGTTGCGTCTCCGTTTAGCCTCGGTTTGTTGACCACCTTCGACTAGAGACTCGCCGTCCTTCCGTACTCTCCAAGGCGCATACATGTCTAGCGATAACATGACGCGGGATATGTGCAAGGCGTTCTGCGATATTGAAGGATATGCGCTGGGTGGGACGGAATTTGGCAGAGTAAGTCTCTATACCGCTATGCTTGTTCAAGTTTTTGATCTTCGACTCTAAATTTTACTGTCTATTCCATCCCCCTTCATGACATAGGAATGCTGTGCGTCCCCCAGCTATGTCTCCATCCCATCCTCATCGTTCTAACTACTTGCCATAGTCTGTGATCACACATATCGCTTCGAATTCAGCGAGAGCGAGCCATGCACGATGCCCTGCGCGGGCAACCCTCAAGAGACGTGTGGTGACATCAACCGTCTCGACATATACCGCAATATCAACGCCTTCATCCCGAACGTGAAGAATGTTGTTGATGGATGGAGCTATAAGGGATGTTATCTGTACGTCTCTTCTCTCTTTTTAAAAATTCTTGCCCGAAAATCAAGGTCTAATCATGATGATTCGCTGAAGGGACCCTGTGAACCCGCGAGCGCTCTCGTTCACTGCCCACCCTGAGATTGGTGGGGGTATGAGCATCGAGAAGTGCATCGCAACTTGCAAAGCCCATGGATATGCTATTGCCGGTGTAGAATTTAGGAGCGAGTGCTGTGAGCTTCGATTTCTTGTCCTGCTTTCGTCGTCCTGATCCAGCTCCTGTGTTCGAACCATAGATTGCGGGAACGAGCTTGCTGACGATGTAACGCATCAAGTTGGCGAAGAGAGGTGCTGGCTACGGTGCACCGGAGATCCTAGAGAGTATTGTGGAGGAGCCGGGGCGCTTGGAGTATACTCTTTATAGCCCCTTCCATTCACGATTACAGATTTTGTTCAGTCTTGGTCACTTGTTTTGAAACGGATACTTACGTCTAGGGTTCTAAATGGGCTACTGTTACTTTTACAAGCTGCGTGTAATTCCTTCGGATGGTGCTCTCGTTTATCAGGAAAGAGTTCGTTGATTTATCAGTAACAATGAAAAGTACAGGTTTACATTTGACGAGATTAAGAAGTTATAGCAAGTACACATTTCCAGGGGTGCTTCTAATCACCAGCAAAAAGAAGAAGGACCAGGACGATGCCACGACAACAAGAATCATACGAGGGGGAAAAGTTGGAGTAGAGGGCGAGGAGGGTTCAAAAACAAAAACATGGCCTAGAGTCTTTCGAGAGGGGGCGTCGCAATCACCAAGAGCGTCCCGAGCAGGAAAGCTTCCGGGGACTTGAACTTCCCGGGCGCCTGACCGCAAAGTCCACTTCTTTAGCGACGAACACAACGTGAAAACGAAGTAACTTTACCCAAGCACATCAACTCCCTCTCTCCTTCCTTCTCGTGGCATCCTTCATGTTCGGGTGACGAGGACTTAGGTGCCACGACCACGTCGAGGCTTCGAAGAACCATGGCCATTTGTGCCACTAGGTACGTCGGAGCCATTGGTCTTCGAGCCAGACTTCTTGTCGCCGGCGCCATGATCGTTCGTGGATGAAGAGGTGGCTAATACGAAGGAAGAGACTGTCAGTGAAGGAGAACTTTGTGATGCACACAAGAATCACCTCACCGCTTGCAGCGCCGCCGTTCGCGGAACTCGAAGGGCCAAGACCCAGGAAGTCAGATATAGTCCTGAGGACGTCGCCTTCTTCGACGCCTTGGGGGAGAGGGCTTGCGTTGCCGCTGCTGGGCAGTGCACGGAGGCGTTCACGGGCGCGAAACACTGTCACAAACCTCTTCTGCCCCATTTGCTCAATCTCCTCGTCAGATGGGCCTTCGTCCCGCATGCACATGGAAGCGTATAGCGGCACGATATGCTCTCGGTCTGCTTCATAAAGCTCGAATGTTTTGATCTTTTCGACGACCGATAAACTGGACTTGTTGAGCTCGCGAATCGCCAGGTTCTTGATTTTCGGGAACTTGTACTGGTGCGCAACCTTCAATATGCCGGTCCATTCATCCGCCGTAGCATCGTAAACCGAGTATTCTCTAGGTAAAAGGAGAGGCATCAATTGAGTGTCAAAGATGAAGCACGATGGACTTACTCGTTGTAAAATACCCACAGGAATTTGGTGAACTCAGAGGGAGTGACAGCTTTGATGAGGATAGGAGAGTCCGCAGACCCGGGCCGTGGTTTGCCATCCTCGGGAATTTTGCTGAGGACACCGTGAAATTCGACGGAATCGCGCACAAAAAAAAAGGAGTGGGCCCGAAAGAGTATTTCGCAGACCTTGCTTGTTCAATGAAGTCCGGTTTTATAGAAGAGACAACGGCGTTGACGAACCAACAGATATAGGTCTCCCCCTTCGAGGAAGTACTCCTGGCTAGGTGTAACTTGCTTGACACTTGATAAAGGCTCCGACATGGTTGGGAACGAGATTGGGGCTCGTGAAGGATCTGGACGCGCAGGGGGGAAGGATGATGGTAAAGTCGAATTGATGAACGTCTCGAAAAGCCCTCAGTACTTTAAGCTTCCTGCCCCCTCCATGTGTAGTGCAACGTTCCGCAAGACGACAATGCACGATGCCCGAGCGCGGATTCTCTCGCCACGCGTGATGGAGAATCAGAGCCTCTTGGACGTGAGTATACCGAGAATTTGCGGTGAACAAAGAAAATTCAATTGCGAAGTATAGAAGTTCTCGGCGAACGTGATACCATTTGGTCACGGTGCTTCATCGAGTCGAACAAAATCAGCCGCCATAGTATCATCACTCAAGACAACTGTATTCGTTCTTGGCTACAGCCTCATTATTTCGTTCTCAATGCTGTTAAATAAATTTCAGTTAATTCTGTTATATTTCTCGTCTATAACAGTGCAAAAGACATCAAAAATCAGAATTCCCCCGACAAGACAGCGTGGTGCCTACTGTTACGTGTATGTGGCAAACGATTTGGAAGGGGACATAAGCATTGTATTGAGGATGATTCCGAAAGCAAAGAATAAGCGCCCATATGTAAAGAAGGCCGAACCTAGACTATCCTTGAGACTGGGCTTCCGTGTGTGATCCTCAGTCATGCTATCACCGTGGCGTCGAAACAACGTCGAAATCTCGTATTCTTCGAGGTTGGAGATAAAGCTTCGTGAATCACCTTGAGCCTTTTGTAATGGCTCCCAAGAAATCACGAAGCATCTGGGGACACCTTTTCTATTGTTTCCACTTTAAGCGCCCATCCAGTTCAATAGGCGCCCCGATCCCACCCTCAGTGGCAGCCCGTGGGAACTTCTACCGACTGCCTTCTACCACATTCCCGAATTCTAATCGGCCTCGAAGAATGGTATTAACCAATTTGAGCTACACGACTCACCGCTTTATTGTGGAAGAGTTGTAGAGAAGGAACGTGTCACCAACAATGCGCCCGCTTGGTGTCATCGTCCGGCCCACCTTCACTTCGTCGCACAAGGTCCTTATATCAAGCAAGCAGCCGCACCGTCGCCTTTTAACTATTGGTAATTTCAAGTCGATAACCTTTCCACGCGCCGCTGCGCGTTTCCACGAAGCCGAACGGAAGCACAACACACCGTTGCCTGCAGGCCCTAAAGCCCGTGGGCAGGTGGCATTTATAAATACTCCCAATGTTCTCCCCGGCCATCCCATGTCTGACACGCGCTCGAACTCGAACTCTGGAATGAGCGTCTCGGACGACGGCAACGTCCAGCGCGGCTCCATGGCTTCGACTCCCTCCACCAGCGATTCGTCTTCGGACGTCGATTCAGCGCCGACCGGTGTTGGTCTTTCCAACCCCCAACTTAGTCATGGCCGACGACAAATGTTGGACCTCGTCAACAAGCTCCATAGCACCGGGTGCGTCTCTTCACAGTTCGGCGTGAACTCTCGTGACCTCTATATTTCAGCGTCCAGGTCGACATCGACCTTCCGCAAATCGCTGTGATCGGCTCTCAGAGTGCTGGCAAATCCTCGCTCATTGAATCGATCTCCGGAATAACGCTTCCTCGTGCGTCTGGGACCTGCACTCGGTATGTCATGTCGTTTTAATCATGTCTTCGCCTTTCTTATATCCTGTATGTTCTCAGTTGTCCCACGGAATGCCGCCTTTCTCGTAGCGACAGCCCGTGGCAGTGCATTGTGTCTCTTCGATTCATCACCGACTCAACTGGCCAACCGCTTGGTCAAGCTCGTAATCAGCCTTTCGGCAAGGTCATCTTCGATAAGGGCGAAGTGGAAGAACGCATCCGGCGAGCCCAACGCGCGATTTTGAACCCAAACTTGCCCATCAAACATTTCTTGGAAGACGACGAGGACGACTCGAGCCAAGACTCCCAGCTTAGCTTTTCGAACAACTGCGTTACGCTTCAGATTAGTGGCCCGGATGTTGCGGACCTCTCATTTTGTGATTTGCCGGGTGCGATCAAGAATACTGCTGAGTCCTCTAGCGCCGTCTGACGTCGTCGTGTTTTTTAAATAGGCCTCATCGCGAGCGTCAGCAGTTCAAGGGGTCACGGAAACGACATCGCCCTCGTTGAGAATCTCGTCACTTCCTACATCAAGAAACCAAGCTGTATCATTCTCTTAACCGTCACTTGCGAAAGTCCGTTATTCCGTCCTTCACATAATATGGTCTTTTACTCAAGAAAAACCTATCCTTCTAGCCGATTTTGAAAATCAAGGTGCCCACCGTTTGACGAAGCAGCATGACTCAGAAGGAAAGCGGACGATCGGTGGGTGGGGGACGCTGTTTCTCTGGCTGTACTTTTCAAACTCTTTGTATAGGCGTGTTAACGAAACCCGATCGCATCCCAACTGGAGAAGAGACCAACTGGCTCCCTTTCATCCGAAACGAAAAGGAGACACTCGAAAACAACTGGTTTTGCGTGAAGCAACCCTCTTCAAAAGACCTCCAGTCAAATATCACCTGGTCGCAAGCTCGACAAATGGAGAACGATTTCTTTTCATCACAGGCGCCTTGGTGCGAACTCGAAGGGATGTATCAAAAATACTTAAGGACAGGAAATTTGGTCGAGCGACTCAGCAGCGTCCTATCGGACTTGATCGCCAAACGGTATGCCAACAAGATAATTCCCTTACTTGAAATCCAAGCGCTGACAACCTTCAAATAGCCTCCCCCAAATCCAAGAGGAGCTCGAGAAATCCATCGTCTCGACTAAAGAGAAACTCCTTCAGCTCCCTCGCGAGCCATCTTCTGACCCACGCAGTGAAATATCCACCCTCCTGCACACCTTCACGAGTGACCTCGCCCGTCACGTTGACGGTGTCCCGGACGAGGTGGAGGCGTCTCCCGACGGCATTGGCTCTGGCCTCATTCAAGCCATCCGACCAGCGCAAGAGCGCTTCCGTAAGGCTATTCGAGCGACCGCCCCGAACTTTCGTCCATTTGAGAAAAAGGACAGTGGCAAGAAGCATCTCCATCGTGCCGCTTTTTTGCAGTCCGAGGAGGGGATCGAAGGTGAGGGCGAGGCGAGTGATTCTGATGAAGATGAGGAAGGTAACGCCGTGCTTGACTATGGAGACCGTGTTGGAAGAAAAAGGAAGTCCTCGTCTGTCGACAACAAGATATATATCGACGAAGTTCTCGAGAAGGCTCATCGGTAAGCTCATACATCTAGCCTCTTCCGAATTCGAAACTGCCCTGGCATTAAATACTTACAGGGCTCGAACTCGAGAATTGCCTGGCAATTACCCATTCGTCGTTCAAAAGGTCTTCATCAAAAATATCATCAAAGAGTGGCATACACCGGCCATGGTCCTCTGCAGGACTGTCCACAGCACTATAGCAGACCACGTCAAAAAGCTCGTAGCAAAACATTTCAGCGACTTCGGCCAGGGATATCTGGAGCACCGCGTCAAGTAGGATATCTTGAAACATAAGTTCACCAATCAATGCTAATTGAAATTTGAAAATATAGTGCAATCATTCACCTGCACCTCAAAGCGTGCCTCGAGCGCGCACAAGAGCGCATCGACTGGCTTCTCCATCTCGAGGACCTCCCCTTCTCACTCAACACTCACTACCTCTCTGATTACCGATCCAAATTCTTCTCATACTACAAAGGCGCCCGCGAGAAGTATGAACGGAGCGACGTCATCCGCGCGATCAAGCAGCACACCAAGAATCCTGTTCCCGCAGCTCCGAGTCCGACTGCCAACCGCAATGTTGCGGTCGCTCCCCCGACGGGCATTGCCAAAGTCCTCGCCGCTCTCGCAGAGATTGGGCTTTCTGGGATCAAGGCGGAAGACATACCAAAGTTATTCCCGCCTGATCGTATGGAACCAGCGCTTGGGATCATGGCTGATGTTCGAGCGTATTTCCAAGGTGAGCATCTCTTGTCATATCTTATTTCTCCTCAAAATCGTCTGAACATCTGACTTACTTACTTGATCAGTTGCATATAAACGCTTCGCCGACAACGTCCCCCTTGCTATCGACCTCGAACTCGTCCGCGGCGTCGAGCGGGACATCCTCGCCGCTCTCTACATGAACCTCGGCGTCAACGGCGCCGACGGGCACCGCATCTGCAAGGAATTCGCTCAAGAGAGTCCGCAGATATCCGATCGTCGTGCTGAACTCCTGAAGAAGCTCGAACGGTTGGAGTTTGCGAGCGGGGAGTTGCTCTCGCTGGGGATCTAAAGTCGCTGCTTCGGACTAGAGGATATACTTTTTGCTTTGACTTTGACATGATGTATTCTTTGATAACTGCAATGTATTTCTTGACTCTCTCTTTGTTCGTGCTCTAGAACCTGCCTTTCTCTTTCAACGATGACGCGTGACGCTCTACCATGCAAACCCACACGCGTCGCCTCTCTTTCATTTCCAATTTAGGCAATATTTGCTGAATGCACACATGCCAAGGCTTTGGGGCCACTTCGAATCACCCTTTGTTCGTGAGCGCACGAGGCAATCCTGTGTCATTAATATGTGGCATCGATGGGCCGCATACATATTTAAAGGCCTGCGCCGTGTTTGATGTCATTCTCTCATTCCCATCACCACTCTACGCCCTTGAACATGTCAGACACGCCGTTCCCTTTCAGCAATGTCCAGGACCTCGATTCGTTAGGCCACCTTTACGATGACCACGACGACCCTCCAACCGATGGTCCACCCTGCGAGTGCGCCTCCTGCGCAGAGATCGCATCTCTCGAGCAAATCAAGCAAGAAACCATCAACAAGATCCTCGACACAAAGCGCAAGATGAACGTCGCCCACTCGGCCTTCATTCGCACACTTCCTATCGAATTAAAAGTCAAGGTATTTGAGCTATGTATCCAGGGCCCCGGTCCCTCAAGCTCAACCCCTCTGGCGCTAGGCGCAATCTGCCACGACTGGAGGCAGGTCGCATGGGACGCTCCTTCGCTGTGGGCTGCCCTCTCAATCAAGTTCAACGTGCTTTGTTGCGACAAAAAGCCATGCAAGGCCCCTCCTCCTCCAAATACCAACCGGCTCATACTTCTCCAAGAGTGGCTCGCCCGCTCGACAACCTGCCCACTCTCGCTCGACCTCTCAGTGCGCACCTTCCCGTGCAAGGCGAAGATTCCGGGGAATTTTACCGGTGCCATGGCCGATATACCAGAACACTATCTCTCTCCTCCCACCCTCGGCAACCGCGCCCGCCTCGAGTCAGAGACAGCCTCCATCATCGAGCTCATCACCAAGGAGTCGCACCGGTGGCAAGACCTGCGCATTTCCCTCCCGCGCGCGTACCTCAAACTGCTGGGTGCGACACTCGAGCTTGGGCTGCCCGCGCTCCAGAGCATCGAGGTCCGCCAATGCGAGCTGTATACCTGGCGGGGTGACATCCTCGACTACCGGCTCGCGATCGCCGACGCGCCGAACCTAAGAAAGGCCGTGCTGCACGCCCACCGCGAACCCGCCAAGGACTTACCATGGAGGCACCTCACGCATTTGGTAGTGCATGAGTTCTTCGTCGAGGAACTACTGGGGATCTTGAGGCAGACGCCGGCGTTAGAGGACTTGAGTGTGCGCTCCCTCCTCTGGCTACCAGGCAGAGAGGATGGCTATAACGACGACGAGGAGGAGGCAAATGCCAGGCCAGATTTGCCAATCGACCACCCGCAGTGCGTCCGTCTCCCGCGCTTGCGGGCCCTCCACTTCCACAGCGACATGGGAGAGGGGTACAGCGCGCTCATTCCCCTGCGCGTGCGTACCTACATGCCTGCGCTCCAGGAATTCGAATTCGAGGGGGACGAAGCGGCCTCACGCGTGTCAGGCGATAGCGGGTTCGCTCTCGGCCCAGTGTTCAGGCTCGCGTCAAGGTATCGCGAGACGCTCCGGCGGCTCGCTGTACGCAAGGCGTTCTTTATGAGCCACCGCGTCGTCGATGAGGATCTACCCAGCCTCTATAAACTGAGGGAGTTGGAGATCGACGCCGCCTCGACGAACCCGCTGTCTAGCATTAGCGGCGCGGTCCTACGTGCGCTGAGCTTAAAGACGTATGCAGGTGGTAATGAAGAGTTCCTGCCGCACCTAGAGGTCCTGAGCCTTACAGGGGCGAAGGACTTCGGATGGAGCACACTGGCGAATATCTTCCCAGACTACACTGCAGGAGGTCCGGGCACTAGCACGCCTGCAGATGCAACGACCGATGAAATCTCCCTGGTGCGAGCGTTCCGCTCCGTGAAGGTCGTGTGCCTTGCCTCGGACTTTAGGACGGTCGACTATATCCGTCCGGATGACCTCTGCCGTCTTTTCGCAGCGAGGACAGGTGGGTGTCGCCTCGAAGTGAACCGCTGGGAGTGGGAGGAGTACGATCGCGATAATTACCACCGCAAGTCTAGACCTGGGGCTTTAGGATTGAACAAGTCAGACTGGCTGGAAGCGTCCGTGGAGAGGTGGCAGGAGAACATTCAAGGCGGAGACCAGGAGGAAAATAAGGACGGTCAATTATAGGAAAACGATGATGACAACGTTGATGAGCCCCTGACACCGGAAAACCCCGTTTTTCGATCTTCGTCATCACATTCCCATGCTCCCCTTCCTCGCTGCGCCACTCTTTCCTTCTTAAGTAGTCCTTTCTTACCACTACCACCGTCACTGCCTTGCCGCTTTCCCTATTCCTCTCTCTTTTATTCTTATCTGGAAATTTCTTTCTTCCTTCACCCGGTTCGGAGATCTCTCTTGCCGGGCTCCCTTTTCTTAGTACTTACCTTAGATATAAAATCCATGTCTATTCATACTTGACTCATACACACAAAACAGAAAATTCAGTTCGTTTCTCGCCACCCTCGTTCCTCTCCCTCTTGCTCTTATTCCGGAGGTGCCATTGCCTCCTCTCTCACATTCCCACGTTTAGCGTCCATATTCGTCACCCACCTTCGAGTCGCGCGCCCCCCCTGGTTAGAGCCGCACAACCTGGGAACTGACCTCGTGCCTCAGAGCCATTTCTTATTTGCACGATCACCCCACCGTAGGCACGCCAGTGTCTGCCGTCTCTTTTTCTCGTGGGTCTTGATATCGTGGGTCTTGATATCGTGGTCATTCGCTTTCAGAGGGTGACCTGATTATATAGGAGACCTGCGTACCTTGGCCGCTGGCGCGCCGAAGCAAGCGCTCATCTGACCGCAACTACTATATGCTTCCATCAAACTTACGGAGATAACACTCGCCAAATGGCCGCACTGGCACAGACTGCCACATCCAGCACCCAAGAGCGTTGATCATCTGGGCAGACGACCTGTCCGCGTGCAACGAGGGTCCAAGAAGATTCATTTCTTGCATGCACCAACCCAGAAGAAAGATGGAAAGACCAAAGTCGGTGATCCCGGGATCGAATTCGTGACTATTTTTGCCTTTCAAAAATTCTTTTGTATGTTCTTACTTGTAATGCAGTCCTCCACGTGTTTTTCTGTTTGAGAGAGAAAGATAAAAATCTTCAGTCCTTGGACTGGGTCGGCTGCCATCAAATTCGGGCAAGTAGATGTTCCCAAGGCACCCATACAGGCTGGCCTGTGCTTCTCTCCTGTTTTCTAACAATCACAATGACCTCAAAGCAGGATTTGCCTCAATGCCTGCCAAATGAATGCAGTTCGGACCATTTGCTGGGCCCGGCTGCCTATAGTAGCTCGTGATCGCGGTCCATGTGGCATCCTCATCGTCTTCCCCACACCCGACCCACGGCTAGCTCGCATATTCCTATAAATTCAGCCAACAAAGATCAGCGATGCCTTCGTTGCCGTCTCCCTCTGCTCTTCCCAACGACCTCTGGGACTTGGTGGTGTCGATATACGACGCGATGTCCAGCTTTTTGTGGTATTTCACGGCCTTCTTGGCTTCGACCTCTGTCGTACCCAATGGTGGACTCCAGGGAGTAGCAGCTCAGTATTTGTTGGGTCTCGGTGAGTGGTGGTTTCGTGCTGCGAATGTGCCAGGCTGACGTGTCTACAGGAATTGGAGACATCACTGGGTATTCATCCTTTCATGACGAACTAGAGAACGTGTTGCTGAAGGACGTGGTGTAGGCCGGTCGTGGAGACTAACATGATGGTGCGTGGCTTCCTACGAATTCCGACGTCGTCCAACCTTGTTCTAGGGATACGCAGATCTGGCACAGGTCGATAGGGGCCTGCACATGCGAGAGCGTAGTCGTGCCTTCATCGTCGCCGATGCGGCGGCACCCAACAATCGTATCGTATTTATCAATGCTGGTAAGCGTTATCTACCTTTCTGGCCATTCCATGTGTTTCTCGCTTTCTTGTTATCGCCCTCGTACTGACGTCGGCGGTAATTAGATATTGCCATGGGGGACACGGGCGTGCGTCGCTCTATCGTCGCGCAACTCTCGTCCCAGTTTCCAGGTGTTTACACTGACTCCAACATCGCCTTTGTCGCCACGCACTCTCACGCAGGTGTGGGTGGATACCTTGAGAACCTGCTACCCCAGGTCACTTCTCTGGGCTACGTCAAGCAGACTGCGGATGCCATCGTCGCCGGAACCGTCCTCGCCGTCCGACGGGCACACCAGAGCCTTGCTCCTGGTCGGCTCCGAGTTGGAAATGCGACGGTCCTCAATGCGAACATCAACCGCTCTCCGACCGCCTATCTCGCGAACCCAGCCGCGGAACGCGCGAGATACCAGTATGACCAGGACAAGGAGATGACGGTGCTACGATTCGACGACAACAACGGGAACGCGAGGGGCCTGCTTAGCTTCTTCCCTGTCCACTGCACGAGCTTGTATCAGAACAACACATTGGTCAGTGGAGACAACAAAGGGATGGCTGCCTTCCTGTACGAATGTGGGCACTTCTATCCTTCTGCTCGGGTTCCATCTTGATATGGAATGGAAACAGCCTTTGTCGAGCCCAATTCGCTGCCTGGCAACATTACATTCGTCGCTGGCTTCACCCAATGTAAGGACATCACTTCAGCTGCGGCCACTCTAACCTCCTTATTCTGACGTCATACCTACCCTCCAGCTAACGTTGGCGACACAAGTCCAAACACGTTCGTACTCCTTCCTGGCAGTTGCTAGTATCCACCCCTTACACCGGTTTGACAGATTGGGTCCCATCTGCCAGAGTCCCGGCAAGGAGTACGACGGACAGCCATGCGACCCCGACCACTCGACCTGCGGTGGGACCGTCCAAGACTGCCGTGGACGGTAGGCTCTCTCTCTATTAAGTATATCCCAACGCATCTTACGGTGGCCTTAGTGGTCCGGGCTTCCGCATCTCCGACTTTGAATCCAACAAGATCATCGGTCAGCTGCAATTCGAGGGCGCTCGGGGGATCATGAACGGGCCCCTGAGCCCGGTGCAAGGGGCCGTCAAGAGCGTGCACGCCTACGTCGCAATGTTCGTACTGATGTCTATTCATAGCGCTTACCCGGCTTGCTGACATTGGCATCGGTGTTGTCGTATTCGCTCTTGTTCCTTTCGTACAGGGCCAACCACTCGTTCCAGCTTGCGGACGGAAGGACGGTGTCCACCTGCCCGGCTGCCATGGGTAAGTACCCAATATCCCTTGTTCTCCTCTCGTCCTCCCCGATCACCCTTTCTCCTTCTTTCCTCCTACATCGTCTCCATAACGCATGGGGCGTAGTGGAGATTTGCGAAACAGTGAAGTGCGGATGCTAATACTCATCTTTTTCTCCTCATGGTAGGTTATGCGTTCGCGGGTGGAACGACGTGAGCACGCGCTCTTTCCTCGCGCTTCTGAGCGTTTGATATATGTCTTCCTACCGATAATATAGCGACGGACCTGGAGCAGCTGACTTTATCCAAGGAAGTAACACCTCCACCACACAGTAAGTTTGCGAATCGAAAATATTTCTTCGTGTTTCCACTGACCCATTTATCTTATCTTCCAGAAACCCCTTCTGGGAAATTGTCAAAGGTAGGAGAACAGTTCTCCCACCGCCGGGAATCCGCCGGATCGAGTTGATGTGGCATTCTAACGTACTGTTCATCTACTTCTCTTCTCTGTCCTGTAACCTCTCCTCTACCGCGCTCTACGTTATACAAAAACGGAAACTCCTGCAGGCGCCATAACTCCTGTACCATCGAATGCCCAGAAAGCTTGCCAGGACCCCAAGCCCATCTTGCTCAATACGGTAAGTCGTCTTGGCTTCCTATCAAACCCTCTAATTTTGGATCAACCTTCCTGTTTTCCTATGCCGTACTGACACATGATATCCGTTTTGCTTCTCTAGGGCTACGCTCACTGGCCGTACGAGTGGGCTCCGAACACCGTCGATGTCCAGATCCAGCGCGTCGGGAACTTCGGTAAGCCCAAGTCCCTCTCTTTATGTCCTTTACGCAGGTCTACTCGCATTATATCTTCTTCATGCGGCGGAGTTGGTGAGGGACTTATCGTAGCTATCTACAGCTAGCCTCTCTGAGATAGGCCACAAGCCACGGTTTTGTGGCGATTTCTTCTCGATCGTTTGCTCTTTGGGGTAGTTTCGAAAAACAGACGGTAGAACTGCGCGCTAACGGCCTCCTTCCTTTCTTCTGCACAATTGTGTGCTGCTTCCCATAACCCATCAGTTATGTTGATAGTGCCAGGTATGTTTTCTACCGCTATCCGCTGAATGTCGAAGTGATCGGGGCCCATGCGTGGCCCTACTTACACGCTACTTGATCTCACAGGAGAATTCACGACTATGGCAGGCCGACGAATCCGGTTCGTGATCTCTTGCTCTGCCCAAACTCTGGGTCTCTCTGTCTTCTTTCCGAAAGCTGATACCGACTCTCTTATTCTCCGTCGCCTTCTCTCCTCTTTTATCGCACTCCATTTCGCGTACCCACACGCAATCGCAATTCGCAACCGCACTCGTCCCCCTACTCCGTTTCCTATCCATCCTCCGATCTCTCAAACCTAAACTAACAAACAAATGAACGTTCGGCATCTGACTTCGACTTTACGTGATGTCCTTCTCACGAAACGTCGTTCTCTTTCGCGTTTGCGTTTCCCTGGGTTTGCCTTGTCTGTTCTGGCTCTCTCCTCCGACTCGCTCGTTTACAGGGAGGCAGTGCGGACGAAGCTCATCGCGGACGGCGTTATTGGCGATGATGCCTATGTGGTCCTCGCGGGCCCCGCCAACGCGTACTCGCACTATGTCACTACCCGCGAGGAGTACGGCATCCAGCGCTATGAAGGCGCGAGCACCATCTTCGGACCATGTGAGTTCTTCGCTCTGCACCTCGTTTTCTCCCATCCCTTTTTCTCTTCCGCAGCCGTCACGGGCTATAATTAAAATCAATTGAGCGAACGCGGGGTGGGGGAACGCCATCTCTCGAAGTAAGAGATGGGTGGGGCCCGGTCGCCTTTTTTTGGCCGAGCTCCATCTATCTTTCCTCCATCCCGCGATTTAATTAAGCCGCGTGACACAACGGAGATGTCGAGGGCGGTTCTCTCCTCTTGCTTCTTGACACTCCTCCCATGCCGCAAATGGCTTGTGTCTCTGTTTCTATCGGGGGCCGCTTTCCGTGCGCTGCTGTTCCCTTTGTTGTTTTTTTGCCGTGTTCTTTTGGGCTGGTCCGTTGATGAACTTGTTTCGCTGAGCTGATTGACTGGTTGGCTAACCTGTGCCGTTGTGTTTTCTTGGGGGTATTAGATACGCTCGAGGCCTTCATCGATAAGTACACCAGTCTCGTACCCTACCTCGCCAACACGGCGACGGGCACTCCGGCCTCCGACCCTCCTCCGGCTGAACAGACCTCCAAGGCGATCTCGCTCCAGGTGAGTCCCAATCTGTTATCTGGGATTCTGAACACAGGCTGACACGGCTTCTTGCTTTTCATCTAACAGACGGCTGTGGTGTTTGACGCAGAACCTATCGGACAGAGGTTCGGCAACGTCTTGACGGATGTGAGCACGACTGCGACCTACAGCGCAGGGCAGACCGTTTCTGCCCAGTTTGTTGGTGCAAACCCTCGGGTGCGTTGTTATTCTGATACGGAACTTTCGATTAGGGGGAATGTGTTGGCTGATTTTGGCTTCTCTTTCCTGTGTTTCTTCGTGTAGAACAATCTTCGTTTGGAGGGAACGTTCCTTTCTGTCGATCGATTGGTGAACGGACAGTGGGTAGTAGTGAGAAGCGACTCCCACCCATCGACTATCTACGAGTGGGTACGAACAAACCTTGTGAGCCCTCCAGTTTCTTATTTTATCACGAGGGTGCCACGGCTGAGGTTGTACTGTTTAGATCCTTGGATTCAGCACTGTCACTGTCTCATGGTATGCTCCCTTGAATCCCTGCAACGTTAAGAACAATGGCTGATAATCACACGTCTCTTCCTTCTAGGACCATCGAAAGCGGCACTCCTGGTATGTTCCGTTCATTTTCATCTCGCAGACGTCAGATGCTGAAATAAGAATGAATTATAGCTGGCACCTACCGTCTCCGCTATTATGGCGACTCCAAGCCGCTCATTGGGTCCATTTCATCCTTTACAGGGACCTCATCCTCGTTCACGGTTGGCTGAAAGACTCTTTCAATTGCCGTCTCCGTTTGAAGTTACCCGCCCAGCGAACATTGTCCAGATGTAATTGTTATGATATAATGACAACGTACCCTTCGTCAATAATCATCACCATCGGTGCGACTGGGATTCAAAAAAATCAATTATAAGGTGTCCAACTTGAACAAGCGCGCCTCGAGGTTACCATGTGTTGATGTGCGTAATGGGCTGTTGTGCCAGTGCTGTGTAAAGTGGGGGGCTCACGCCATTCGCCCTCCTCTCCTTTCCCACTCACCCCACTTATCCCACCTACCGTAGACGCCCTCCTCTCAAAGATAGAAAGACATGTTTCGTGATATCACCAGTCAACTCGCCGGTACCGGTGCAACCTCTGGGGATGCGAAGACAGATGCAAAGAAGGTTCTGTCACCAACGCTCCGCCCTGACATCTACAGCCTGATAGACAAGACGAAAGCGTGGGCCTTGGCCACCACCCCCTCTTCCTCAAGTGGTGGGCAGGCGGGCGACGGCGTCTCGTACGGTGCCCTGCTCGAGCTGATCCAGAAGTACCTCCCCGAGACGAAGAAACCTGGCCTCGAGTCGTTTGGGCAGGCCGAGGGGGAGATCGCCGTCATCGTCGGGGGCGTGACGAACTTGATACTTGAGCTGAGCAAGTGGGAGGGGATGGCGGCAGGGATGGCGATGCGCACGTGGGTCGACGCGCTCGTAGACGCGCACGCCCGGGCCGGGGAGGCGCGCAAGAAAGCGATCGCAACGGGTACGACGCGCGGGCTTAACCAGTACACCGACGCGGGTCTGTTGACCAAGGACTTTACGACGCGCATCCAGATCATCTCGTGCTTGAAGACCGGTGAGCAATTTCACCCCTCATTACCTTGTTCCATCCCCATTTCCCCATACACGGTTCGCATTTCGCAGCCGCATTGGCGCTAGCCCCGGGTTTTGTCCTGCAAATTGCGCCCGGCGCTAGTTCGCATTTTGCCACTCGCACCCGGATTGCGCAGTTATATCTTGGTCTCTGTATTCCGGGAAATGACACAACTTAACTTCAGAACACTTACACCCTGCTCTTCCCTTCCTTTTCTAGTTAGCGCGAGGATGTATGGCGCTGGAACCGACGAAGCGAGAAAGTGCGAGGCGATGTGGAGCTCCAAGTTTATCTGATCGTGCCCCAGCTTTTCATCTCCTCTGCTTAATCGTGCTGTATTCGTGCTCGTATTGTACCCGTACGTACCCAGTGCCCGTTATCGACTCTTCCTAGTTCGAATTCGTCGGCTGCCCCGGTCTCATACTATACTTACTTATCATATCCTCATACTCGTATGCCACCTACGTACTTTGTACGTACAACGTCAGCTTGAGCGCACTTACTGACTTAGACTCAGAGTAAACAGACTTGGGTTCCAGTTCCCTGGGTCTGACGGGCCCGCCCAGGCTACGTACTCGTGTACGTTTTCGTTCTCGTCCTCGGTCTTGCTTGTTGGATTAGGAGATTAGGAGATTAGGATAATAGCTCTATTGGAACTCGTAGTACATATTTACAATATACACTTTTTGGTTAACTAACGAACAAGTAAGTAGGCCGCAGTGACTAGATGGTGGGTGAGATGTGTGGGCGTGGATCGAGGTTCTGGTCCTGACAATTCCCGGAGCGTTCGTGGTTGTAGACGGATAAGAGTAGATAGGGTAAAGTAAGGAAGAGGAAAAAGGAGGACAGGAAAGCAGGAAAATGAGGAGAGAACAGAACAGTCCGAGTCCCACGAGCTAGGTAGAATAGAATGCACGAGAAAATAAATGAAGAAAGGAAGGCATGCAGTGGGGTATAGAAAATGAAATAGGACAAAGCAAGGCACAGAAAACGAGTAGATGAATGGATAGATGACATACGGATACTGAAGCCCGATAGTGGAGGAAATGCGAAGAAACTAAGAATGATAAACGAGCAACGGATAACGGAATGTGTACATGAAACTAAGGTAGGATAGAGAGCGGGCGGTTGTGGGGAGGGACTTAGGTGGTCAATAAGTAAGCATAAATGAGGAAAGGAATGAAACACATAAATGGAGGAGGAATGGCACATGGTAAATGGCGATGGCAAAACGGCCTCCAGAAAAAAGTGGCTGCGGGTGGATGTAGACGATAGATTGGAAATGAACGGAGCTGCTTGGAGGCCGGAGAAGTGTTGGTCGGGTTCGGAGAAGAGGAAGAGGAAGGTGATGTCGATGTCGATGTCGATGATTGTACAGCGTTCGAGAGCGGTTTTTTACTTTTACAGCTTGATTTACAGAATCAAAGAATTAGATTCATGGGGTTCGAATTGCGTTCATAGAGCCTAGACGTTCGAAGTCGTGCATCAGCCGCTGCGGCCATTAGCCCCAGTACAACAAATCACTCACATAGTTCGGGACATCGTTCAAGTGGGGAAACATTTGCCCGCTCTCCGCCCCTCCACTGCCACCTCCGTTACTACCACCAGCACCAGCACCCAAGGGGCTCAGGCTCCCGGCGCTGGGCATCGTACACGGCAGAGGTAGCGTCGGCTGGTTGCAGTCCACGGGGCTGGCGTACACGCTGCCCGCCCCGCTCCCACTACTTGATGAAGAAGACCAGCACCCGTCGTCCATGGATCCGGAATTTGAGGTGGGAAGCCCGGCGTACCCCACGGCGCTGAGGTCGAAGAACTGCTGTGGGTTCTTCGCGCCGGGTGGGCCGGTGGAGGTGAAGCCCATCATCGAGGCGTTCACGTTCATGGAGCTCATCGAGGAGTCGATGGAGGAGCCCATGTTCATGCCGTTCAGGTGGGCCATGCCCATATGCGAGATGTCCCCGAATCCGTCTGCGTCGATCGAGATGAGGTTGTCGAACTGGGCCATAACGTCTGGGTAGACCGCGTGGTGCTGAGGAGAAAAGCTTTGACTTTGCTCGAGATGCGTGTGGGAGAAGGACGGCGATGGCGATGGCGAGAAGGAGGAGCTTGAGGAGTGGGGCGGGGCGTATGTGAATTTGTACATCGCTGAGAAGAGGAAGGTGGGAGAGGATGAGGGCGATGAGGGCGAGGGGTCCTGCGTTACTCGTTGGAGGATGATGTACTGCGAGGCGTCTATTATGCAAAATATTAGAGACCAAGGAAGAACTGAAGAGAAGACAAACGCTTACTCGAACTATTCACGATCGTATCCCAATACCCCGGGACGAGCGAGGTCTTGTAAAGTAGCGCGCCGTCGACACTCGTGGCTTGTGTTGGGTCCAGCGGCTCCAGCTCGACCGTCTCGGAATAAACGACCCCGCCGTCCGTGTACACTGTGAACTGCGAGTGCGCTGTAGTCGCCGCCCTCGAAATTAGTGTGATCGTCGGGTCTATATCCCTTAGGCGGCGTGGATGGGGAGACGCTCGGGAGATGCGGTGGCCGTGCTCCTCCCACATCCTCTCCTCGTCCCTCGAAGATGAGGCAGAGGAGTTGGTGAGGTGGTCAGAGGGGTCTTCGGGCAAAAGGTCGATGTAGACAATGGTTTCGGGGATCGACTCAACGCGCGGCTCGACGCCGCGGTACAGCAGGTTCTGGAGCGTCGCGTGCGCTTCAGTGGGCGTCGCCGGTGCGCTTGCGCTCGAGGAGTCGCTGCCCGACTCGGACTCGTACCGCAGCGAGGGAAGCCCGTACGCAGACGCCGCTACAGATGCAGACAAGTGCCCATCGCGGTGTGCGAACTCGGGCGAGCGGGAGATGGGCCGGGGACATGGTCGGCGGGTCGGTGAGAGCAAGTTGAGTACTTTGAAGGAAGAAGAAAGCAACGATGATTAGAATTTAGCTCCCGTTCGCATCACGCAGGCCGAACAAGAACAAGAGACGGGTACTCACGTCGTTTCCCACCGCACGTATCTCTGAGCTGCTGCAGCCGGCTGCCGACCTGCTTGGCCGTACGGCGCTTGCCCGTCTTCTCGTATATCCAGTCCGAAATGAAGCGGTTGCGCATCGGGAAGCGCCCGAGCAGGCGCGTCTCCCTCGAGTCGTCCGGCTGGTAATTCTCGAGACCTGGGTGGTGTAAAAATAGAACAGGAGGCCTGAGCGTGTGGCAACGCGGAAGTGCACAACACATACCTTCGATGAGCGCGGCTTCGAGCTCGGGGGGCCATACAATCTCGCCCCCGCGTAGTGTTTTCCAACTCTTGCGTCCCTTGACGATGGACTGGAAGACGTCGTGGGTGCGGGGATTGGGGAGCGCGGGGCTCTTGAACTGGTCGAGGGTGCCGAGACGTGTCGCTGGGCGTGCGGCGGGGGACGACTCGACGCTTGAGGGCGGGGACGGGGAGGCCATTGGAGGGGCTGGATGGGTGAGTGAGTGATCAGCAGCGGCGGCTTTTAGGTATACTTATATTCGTTTTGAGGAGTCGAGGGAATTCAACGTTTAATATGAGTTGTTCGGGAGCCCATGGAGAGATGTCGCGGCTTTGCCCACAGGAGGTAAGGCTATCCAATCCAGCCTCACCACTGTCCTCTCAGGGAGTCCATCTCATCGGTCGGCCTGATCGACGAGCCATCGTCCGTCTTCTTCTTCCGGCTTGGGGTTCCTAGCTGACACAACCCCCCCTCTCTCTCCCTCTCTAGATTCGTCTTGTCGATCCTCTTCACACCTCAGATCTCCCCGATCCACACCGCCACACATCCGGAACGCGATCAACACCGGAGGCTGAAATGGGCATCGAACACGAAGGTTGCCGAAATGCCCTAATTCGCTACACAGTATCCGCTCTTTTGGTCCCGCTTCTGAACCATGCTCCGATTCCTCCCAAACCTAGTGGCAAACGCGCGCTAGCGCTACAAAACACAGCATATTCCGCTGGCGCTAGCCCGACACTTTCGCCTCGAAGCGCCTCTCACTGTATCGCCCGCGTGTAAATGTCAGTGTCAGAGAAACACAAGAAATTAGGTTAAGACATTGATTGCAATGCTTTTTTTTCCAGTGCTGTCAACGCTCATCAGTCAGCGATATTTTTCATTTTTGGGTACAAAGGCCTGTCTGGGCGAGAGGTTGTAGGTGTGTAGAAAGCGCCGAGCACAAACACCCTTTCAAGTTGGATTATGGGCCCTCGTAATTCGGTGCAGGCCAGAGCAGAAATACTGCATTAGAGCTGCTACACACGTGTACCTGAAGCTCAAGTAACCCGAGGCTCTGAATCGATGGTCATTGTCGTACCTCGCGTCTGAACCCTCCACCTTGAATGAAAGCTAAGCGCTGTCCCGACCCTCCGTCGTCCGTGCTCATTTCCGGACCGGCGCTCCTTCCCCATTTACGTCCACAGTTCAAAGAAACCCATCGCACAACGCGCGACGTCCTGCTCGATAAGAGAGAAAATAGAAAGATATTCAAGGTAAAACACCGTGCAGGATTTCATACGTTCCAAGAAAACATTCTGAACGCTCTCGTGCGACGACTCGCTGTTCTTCAACGACTTTCTTGCCCAAGCTGGGCGCGGAGACGCCTTGCAGGAGTTGGCGTCTTGCTTTGACTCCGCAGCTGGCTTGTACGACGTCCACCTCACCAAATACCGACCGACCGACGATGCAGGGCGGCAGACTGCTCGCATGTCTTCGAGGTAGAGGGTCCACGAAGTCTTGGGGACCAACCGAGCTCAAGTCGACGCCTAACACGAGGCTCGCAGCTCCCAATCCATCCAAAAATAAAATAAAATAAAGTTCGAAACACCTTCTCGAGTTGTAGGTCGTAGTACGTACGTACCAAAGACCGAATAGAAGCGCCTGTCCTAGGCTCTAGCGTCCCCAAAGCAAATCCCATCTTCTTCGCGAAACCTCCAAACACCCCAACAACTCGAGAACTCAACAAACGCCGCCAGTACGTCGCTCTCCCGAAATAGCGTGAAATAGCGCACCGTTTTCTGTCGCTATCATCAGTTTCCACGGCTTCCCCGACACCGGAGCGATCACAGAACATAGGACAAGGAGCGACAAGCCAGGCGATCGAAATACCCACATGCGCCTTTCTGTTCGTGGAGTTGTGTTCCATTCTCTATCATGATGGTCTCCTCCCGCGTCAAATACGAGTCCTGGGCAGTGGGAAAGGCCCTCTCCGCCGGGGCTGTCGATTAGACTTGGAAACGTTATAGAAAATAGACCACGTTTCGTGTTTTAGAGACTAGCTACTATTGAGAGTGTATCACCTTGAAGGAGAAGAGGAGTTTGAGAAGCAGGGGGGTCGAAAAGAATCAAGAAACGGAAGCCTGGATAGACAGATAGGACATGAGACGACAGATAGCGACGCGACACGACACGACAGATAGGTGTTAGGTATTGTCGTGTTGACAGTATCGACGGGGTTGGCCTGGGAGAGGATAGGACATTATCAACACTCATCATCCGGGTCACCGCAAGAAGGAAGGAAATAGTGTATCTCCAAGCGCCCATGCGCCCGGGGGAAAATATTGAGGAAATTCATGGGAAGGGCAAAGACAAAAGAAATCCTAGAGTATCGAAACCTCGACGGAGATCCGGGATAATAGATAGATAATAAGCTACGGAGTGGGCGACAAACAAGCAGGCGTCTCTAAATAAGTCGTGTAGGAGGGAAAGGGTCTTCGTACCCCCCGAACACGACGCGGACACACGATAAGCAGGCGTTTTAATATTGATATTTACGTGGCACGCAGGCCGAGGATGCAGGGAGTGGAGGGACGCAGGCGATAAACGCAAACCAAACCCAGATTCATGATGGGCACTGGCAGATGCACGCCCACGCATCCCCGGGTGCGAAAATCGAGAGGGGCTGTAGCAGCACAAATCAATACATCCAATGCCAGAGATCTGGGGTTTGGCGTGTATTTATTGTCTATGGATGCAGGTGCAAATCCCGAGACCCGGAGAGTAGGTGAACCCCGATGGGATGGGAAGGGTGTGCGAAGGAACCCGTAAATAATAGAAATAAACTGGCAGAAGGGGCGAGGGCGAGGCGAGGCGGGGTTAATCAAACCCAATTCGAGTTCAGTTCAGTTCATGTTCAGGATCCTCCTGCTCGCGTCCCGAAAACACGCCTAGTCGCAGTGCCTCCACGTCCGTCAACTAGCCGCCGAAAAGCCAGACCAGTGGAACGCATACTCCAGGCAGAGAGACGCCGGTTTACAGGCAGATTTTCATCGAGGGCTGTCCAGAGTCCAGAGATTAATTCGTATTCGCAGAGCCTGAAGTCCACCCTTAGCCCCTAGTCCGTGAGGTGAAACACGGAAAAAGAGAGGCCAGAGGCAAAGAAAAAAACACAGCACACAACGAGGACAAACGGGCGGCGTCATAGATTTCATCGAGCATCGGACACAGGAGTCGTCCACCCGCCCCTCTCTTGCCTGGACTCTGAGCGCTCGCGGGGCTGAAATTTCAAACCTCATAGCTCTCCCTCTAGCACACCCCCCTCACGTCGTCATCGACCTACGACGTCATACACCGGAACGCAAAACACGATCGGGTAGGGGGAGAGGCGCTGCAGCGGAAGTACGGCGCTCGGAGGCGGAGGCGGATAAGGAATTAGCGCAACACAGCCGCATCCAGGCTATCCCAATTTCCCATCAACGCCACATTGCGTAGGAGCTTCCGTGCCGAAGATGCCGTCCATGTGCCGGCACATTCTCTAACCTTTTTGGGAGTCGTGGGAAGATTTGCGTGGAAGGTTTGTTGATGGCGTACGCAGGGTTGTGGTTTTCGGCCAGTCCGTGACGCGCACGGCACACATGTGCGTTCAGCACCCGCGTTACTTTCCGAGCCTCGAAGAGGAGGGATATAATAATGCCTTTTGCGTGCCTGTTTTTGAGGGGTCCTCGACGCGGATTGGTTACAATTTCCCTATTTCCCGGTGTGCGCAGCTTCAGAGGACGAGAGAGGGACAAGAGTGAACGTGCAAGGGCGTCCCTTCCCGAGGGGCCCAGTGAAGTGAAAGTTAAGGGACCCTCCGTCGACGAGTCAGTCACCCATAGGTAAAAGACATGACAGAACACAGAACAATGGCACGACCCGACCCTTGCACGCACGACCAACACGCCCCCTTCGAGAACGAGAACACGCTCGCGTCGGAGGTCGACAGAGTCACGAGCAAGTTATTCCTCGCCTTGCTCGCCTTTGCCTCCCGGATGATCTCTTCGCGTGATCCGGGAGGCGAATAAACGCGCGAAGGAGTCAGTAAATGGTAAATAAGACATTGTGGGAAGCGCGATAACGCCTGTGAGCGCCACGGCTTCTTTCCTCGACGCGAGCGAGGAGGACTCGGAGTCAGCTTGTTTTAGCGTGGTATGGAGGCTTATCCTTTGGAGTAAGACGTCGATGGGAGTCCGAGGTGGAATTACATCGCGTTCGCATTGATTGCCTCCTCGGGAGCATCGATACATGAGGCTAGCGGACCCAGTTGTGGAACAGAGCAGAACAGAACCACCGCCACTCTTAGTGGTGCTCTTGCAGCCTTGCAAAGATCGCTGAAATCTCGTTTTCTCGTTATCTATCTAGGATCTACATACTTAGGACAAGGTTCAGAGATAATTTTCATGTTCGAAACTTCAAATGGATAGACAGATGGGCGGTGTGATTCATAGTGATAAAGCCATCGGTTATTGACCGCGTCACCCGTTGGAGAGTCCAACAAAGCTTATTTCCATGCTCCTATCGTCCTCCCAACATGTTGTTATTACTGACTGCGATCTATTAGTGAGGAGCCACGGACGGGGACTGGAGGAGATTGGCTTCTCTCGCCCCACCCGAGGCTCGCATCGTGGCTGAAAGGACAAAGGAATCAGTTACCCTCCGGTAATACGCAATATTCCCAACGAATTTGTTGCTTTCATGAAAAATTCCAATTAATCAATAAAGACTACATAATCATAATCAGCGGCCATGTCTCCCTGGGCTCGTCTCGGCGAAAATCCGGATCTTCCTCTCAGCGCCAGTGGGACTTCCTTAAAGCCAACGCATGGACGTCGTACTTCCGCTCCCTCAAACGCTGATGCAGCACACCCTCCCCGTTCCCCCGCTGACGCGCGTTTGCATCCGCGGCGGCTTTTAGTTGCACCTTACAAGCGCGGCCCGCCGCCCTGGTGCCTAAGTACACAGCTTCCGTCTTCGCTCGGGGGCTTTGAATTATGGGTAATTATGCGAGTATTCACGGAACGCGGCCTTTGTTCTTATGCGCCGTAAACATATTCAATTCCTCCCTGAAATTCTTATGTTTTTCTCTCGTCCTCCTCGCGTATCGTCTGATGATGACCATCAGCAATCAGGACCCGACTGACGCTCAGGAACAGACAGGGCAAGCAAGGCAGGGGAGGCGCACGTAAATCCGATACGATATACGATACGATACATGCAGTAACTTGCATCGCTATCCTTGATCGCATCGCTTTGCCCCCCTCCTCTTTTTCCTCCTTCCATCTTTGCGTATCAGTGTCCCATTCGGCGTTCCCTCACGCCTGGTATTTCCCATTGAGATCAATACTCAATTAAGGACCGTGGGCTCGTCACGGCCTCGTTCCTCGAACCAACAAGGAAGGTTCTCACACGCCCATCCTATTCAGAAAGAACGTGAGTCTGTGTGAGTTGGGTGGGAACAGGCCATGGCTGCGGACACGAGGAGCTGGCGCATTGTAGGAGGCCTTGGACCTGGAGGCTTGCCTAAACTTAACAGTGCAATTCTCCTCGCTTCCGCCCTCGAGTTGTGTTTCGTGAACGTTATGCGGGGGGACGAGTGAATTCAATACCACATAGTCAAGATTCCTGTGGCGGCTTCTCCTAGCAGTTTGACGTCACGATATTAATGAACATAAGACTGACTGGCAGGTCATCTCTATAAATGTCGAAGTGAGAATCAATCGCGAATCATCAGCAAACCCCAAACACGCCCCTCATGCTCAAATTGCGCCTTTCTCCTGGGCCAGTTTCGTACACACTGGACTCACGAGTTGCACAGTAGTCACTTATTAGTAGCATCTCGATTCTTCTTCATACAATGATAGTCCCTTCCACCGCCAAACTTTAGCAGGCCAAGCGAACTTGCGTTGGGTGATGAACGGCGAAAGCACATCGCCAGAATTTCTCCGCCGCTCTCGTCACCCGCCTCTCTGGCTTCTTATCTTTTTTCTCTGTACGTGTACCTCATAGCTGCCTGCGGTCTTCGTAGAACCCATTCAGTCTTCCATTACACTCTCATGGTTCAAACGTTCATCGCCTAAGTAGATCGATGCGTACCGAGGGTACCCCTTACCGAAGGACGTGGGTGCGCGGGCCTTACCCTCCTCAAAGGAGCCTACTTTCTTAGAACAATAGCACTGGCAGCTCTGTGTCGTAATTTGATTGAGGGCCTGAAAGCGTGAGGCCAGAGACTCCTCCTTGGGGTCTCCGAAACGCTTAAGGCTCAGCACCGAAATAGAAAGAAGACGAATTGTACGTGTGGTTGGATCGCTCAATTGAAGAAGTGCTTATGTTGAAGAAGCTGCGTGTGGGACTTAGGACGGAGGCGAGACGATGCTCCGACGTCACTGAAGTTGGGCCGGGAGCTGCCGACATGAAAAATCGTCATCGAGGGCCCGCGACGATCGTGGAGGGGAGGGGGAAAAGTCGCCGGTCGACGAAGTAGGTTAGGGCCTTGGGTAAGGAAGACGATATGAAGTCTGGTGAAGTTCAAACAAGATAGCACCCGTGAGTCTGTGGTGCTGATTAACAAACAGCTCATGCGGTTGCGACAGGTCTTCCATCTCCAAAGGTCCACCGGCGGCGAGCGCTAAACCGGACACGAGTAAGTGGGGTGGAAAATCTGGAATACTATTGCTCAGAAGAAACCTCGGAGTATTTACCATCAAACCTTGTTCACTTCCTCACCAGAGTCAAAGTGCGAGCGCCAAAAAAGGTGCTAGGGTAAACCCCAATAGTTTTTCCATGACATAGCGCCTATCACATCACAAGCACTGGGGTCGCGATGTAAAACTGGCACAAGCCCGTGGTTCGCGGGACGAGAATAACGGCCAGAAGCCTCCATAGTACCGCATTACGGTGGTGAACATCGACGTGAGACAAGTATAGTGGAGTAGAAGCGCAGAACAGGCGCACTCCTTCCTAGTTGTAATGTCTTCCTCCACCCGCAACACCCCAAATCAAATGAAATTGCTTTCTGCCGTGATCTACTTGCTCCTGCTTATCAGGCAAAAGACATCCTGTGTCCCCAGTTGGCAGTAGGTTCATTGATGGGCCCGATACCCTGCTTCATTTTGTTCTAAACATATACTTATTCTGTTTACTTCTGTGATGGCAGACGGCGTTTATTGGCTGGTGAATTTATCTGCCGAGGTGCGAGGAGGCAGGCCTGAACCTTATTCATGGGCTCTGCAGAGTTTGTCCGTCCGACCTCGAGGCTGGGGGATGGAGCCATCGCGTAATGGCCACCTCCTTCAAGACATATTAGGTGCCTGTCAGACATATCATGGGCGTCTGTTACTAAACCACAAAAGATGAACATTTGCATGTAAGCTTAAGGGGAGACACGCCCTCGCAGGGACAAAACTCATGAGCGATTGTTGCACAACCGCTCCAGTCGTATGCGAGAGCAGAGCACCGGACAAAGATATATGTCCTTAAAAAACTCGGAAATATCGAGGCACAAAAACATGCCTTGGTAAACCCAGAAACAAAGGAGGGAATGTGTGCATGCCGCAATTATAACATAACAAAAAGAACTACGCAAGTGCACAAGCTACGAAGGTGTGTAAGGTAAAGGTATGTGTACCGTGATAGGATATACAAATGTGGTCCTCAAAGCAGAAGAGTCCGTGAAGCAAGTCCGTCGACATCGCAATAATCGAAGTCGAAAAGTCATAACCGGGAACATCAAGGTTCGTTTTAACATACTACACGAGGTTTAACGACGACTGGGTGGAGGGGTAATCGCAGCAGGAGGGATAGGGGTACCTGTGCATCCCGAGGGGACCGCGAGATTCCAGGCATCCCAGGCATCAGGGTACGAGCAACCGGAAATCGGCGTCGGGGCAGGTGCATTGTCGTTCGGGTTGAACCAGCCATTCCCGGCCGAGATAGTATTACCAGTAGAACCAGTATACGTCGGGGCTGAGAGGGTGGAGATAGCACCAGTCGGGGTATACATGGGGAGGTTCGAGGCTGCAACAGGTGCGTTGCTGAGGAACGCGGGAGGGAAGGGGTACTGAGCCGTCTGCGCTGCCCCGATGGATCCAGCACCAACACCTCCCGTCATCCACGGTTCGAAGCTTTGATCAAACCTGGGCCCAGTCGACGATCCACATGTGCCAATCGCCGTCCGGGGGTCAGTGGGCATCCAGCCATTACGCAGGCCGAGCTGATACGACCAGAGAGGAGATTCGACGATGCCCCTTGTGGAAGGTCCGATCTGTAAAGGTTAAACAAGTATGAGCGTTGGGCGTTCCCCACGTGTGCGCCACTAGAAGCCATCGATAAAGTGCACGCACCTTCCACGTCCAGAAGAACCAATCCCCCAGGGCGTCCATGGTGGCCGAAGTGAATCGCATGAGCCCGGCCTTGGTCCCTGCCGTCCAGTTGGACGAATCTTGCCAATCGGCGCAGTCACCGCCGTACGATTGCCTTCCTCCGACGCCAGTCAGGAAGAGGCCGCAATCGTTGAAACCGTTGCTCCATTCCCCTCCGAGGGTGACACCGAAAGCGTTGCGACTACACGGCGATCATGAGTTTCGCAAGAAGACTTTGTCGTTGTCGTCGCAAGAGGAGTCATGACGTACCTAGCGTTCATGGAAGCACCCCACTGGCAAGCTGCCTGCACCCAGGTTCCCCCGGCTGTTGGGCCCGTACCCGTATCGATAGGAGAGGTTGCTGGTCCGCCACTGAAGGCGAAGTAGGGATGCCTATCAATGGCAATGCGATCACCACCTTCGAGGAAGCCAGACCAGCGTTCCAGGCCTTGGAACCCATCGTGGAGACTGATGAATGGTCCTTTGCCTTCGCCGACTCCAGTGATACCACGTATCATCTTGTAAGCTTCAACATAGCTTGAGAAATATGTTGAGGATGAAACCAGACGACGAGGATGACATAAATTCTCACAATCCGCGCAACTGTTCCTCGCCAATGTCCGTAATGCGAGCCTCGTTCATGATGCCAAACATGGGAACGACGTCCTTCCACTCAGGCTGAGAGATGAACTCAGTAATTATCCGCATGTAGTTGAGAGCGCGTTGGGCATTCGCAATTCCCATGGTACCCATCATGAAGTTGATTTGTCCTAGCTTTCCAGAGTGGTTGTATCCTAGAGAGCCTCAGGGGTCAGCAGGAAGAGCTTATAATCCGGTCAGAACGCACCACTCTGAGATCCTGGGATGGCATGAAGATCGAGCTTGACACGGAGGCCGTACTTCCTGCACCATTGAAAGGCTTGGACAATGTACCTGAAGCCTAATCAGCAACAACCTCAAGAAACGTGGGAGGCATGGCACGAACTTCCAGCTCGTCTTCTCAAGGTAGGGCTCATCTGGCATCTTATCGATCGCCCAGAAGGGAATTGGTAAACGAACCCAGTTCAGCCCAGCACCGGCGATTTCCGCAATGTCTTGTTCAGTCTACGAGAAGCATCACATGGGTTCTTAACTTATGGGAAGAGACGAGAAATTCGATTACTCACGATGAACGTCCTGTAGTGTTCTTCCAGTTGATTCAGGCCGCCGTTCGCTGTATCAGCTGCCATGCGTTGGCTGAGCGTCCACTCATCCCTAGCACCGGGATATCTCTGGAAAGGTGCCGGGGAAATGAAGGGCTCCAGAACAAACCAACCACCCAAGTTGACGCTAGAAGTGGCATGTGATGGCTATAGTTGATGAAGAGCCGTCGTATCCCCCCACTCACCCAAACATGCGATCAGTCCCGTAGTTCCAACTCTGATTGAGAGGAGGCGTCCATGAGTTGGGATATGCGTTGTTGTTGTATGGGTCATCGGGGTCGGAATACCCTATAGAGACGTAAAGCGCGTTAGCGAAATGAAGGATGACGCAAGAAGCCCTCGAGAAGGTCCATGCCAAAATAGCAACCTGCTTGACTCGCATGACCTTGGCAAGTTTACGGCATCGTCCCAATCGACATCAAGCTTTCTCGCTGATAAATATCGAACAGCGTATAAAGACTCACACATGCCACCCAACTTGTTAACATAGGTAAAGGTTGAACCATCGGTAGCTCGCACAGTCGAACCATCGACGCCAGAGACAGGTTCTGCCGGGGGAGTCGTCGTACCCCCAGTCGCGGTTGGCGTCGCGGGATCATCGACCGTGCTTGTGGGAGAAACGGCGGCGGCGTTGTTATTGTTCCTGGGCTTGATGACAGTAAAGTAGACCGGGAGGATCACCGCGAGGACGACAACGATGAGCGCGGCCAGAGCCGCGAGGAAGATAAGAAGGGGGCGGCGTTTAGCTTTCGTCGTCTCGGAGCTCAAAGGGGCGGGCTCTTCTCCGGCAGGCTCATTCTTCCCGGCAAGCAAATCCACAGAATCGTTGGGCGTGGATTGTCGGTACGAATCGCGCGGGGATTCTGTAGAGTCGGGACCGAGAAAAGGGGCGCGAGGCTCGCGGAAGAAAGAGGCGTCATCGCCAGCTGGTAAAGAAGTGTTGGCAGCAGCAGCAACGCTGCCACTGGAGAGGGCAGAGACCGGACGTTCAGTCATAGCGCGAGCGCTGGCGGGGAGAGTGTGGGGAAGGGAAAGAAAGAACGTGCCGAGTTCGCGAAGACGCTCTTGGATTATATTAAGCACAACTTCCGGACGTGCTCCGGCAACTCACGCGCACATGACCGGAATTGGCACTGAGACGAGCCTCGCCAAGACTGCGGAGCCGAGGTGAACGAGTTCAAGGATCACGAAATGTACCGCTACGCCTGAACCTCGAGGCTCTTTATCTAGCTACCTTTCTCCTCCGCCTGCCTGTACGAGTCGCCTTTCGTTCGTACTTCAGTAGCTGGAGCAGGATGAAACATGTGCTCAAGAGGGAATACCTCCGCTCTCTACGCTGCCAAGCCATCGAATGATCCGTAAGCGCCGGCGACCCTGCTTTCTAGTCACAAGTTGCTGAACCGGGTCGTCTGTCTTACTTACAAAAGCAACACTTCACAAGATCTCCCTACATCAAGAAAGACAGAGACACAATATCAGGAATCATCTAGGAAATTATGAAGAAGAAAAGTCTTTTCCTCATGAGAATTTCTTATGATTACCCTGCCCAGCCCTGAGACTGGTCTAGTCACACCTGAGGAGAACGCCAAGGGGCTGTGGAGGGAGTGAGATCACCCGAGTACGAACCAGCGTCCTCTGCGGCAACACACCTGTCTGCGGCCTCCTCATGTTCCAAGGGTTTGACTGGCTATTACATGGTTTTGTCAGACATCCTCAAGGCTGAGGTAAATAAATGAACGTCCCTTAAGTGAAAGACCGATTCGTGTCTCAAGTGAACGCCCACCAGTGCGATTAGATATCGATATAGCGTGTGCCCGATAGGTCCGTCGCCCACAAGCCCAACGATCAACATACGCGGTGAGCAGCCCGCACCTCCAAAGAAAAATGCGGCCAGGACACGCCGTCTTCCAGAGTTAAATCTTCCAGGAGATAATTGCTAACGTCCGGGCATCAACGGGTCGCTCAGAGACATGGGAGGGAATAAATAAAAAGGCCAGACCCCACAGTGACAAAAATCATCGCGGAAAGATGCCAGCCGGACCAGAGGAGACCCACAATGTGAAGCTTGCATGTGAAGTTCGGTCGGAGACTATCCTTCATAACAAGCAACTTGCCCGGATAATCCCAAGCCGATAGAATTGGTTTTCGATATTTAAAGAGAAGTCGTTACACAGTGGATGGTGGGTCCAGCACTCAGAAGTCAAGCCAGCTATCAGACTGTAGATGCCACCTGATTGTCGAGGATTCACAGGGTTGTACGGTGTCTTTCTGTAGAAGGTCCCTTCTGAGAAGGGCAACAAGAAAGGGCTAGAACAGCTCGTACGTTTCCAACGAAGCTTTTTTTTCGGGAATCTTTAGGAGTATTTACCCCTGTCGACTCGAGAGCAAAAGCAAGCTAATCAGCAGAGAGTAAGGCTTCCTCAGCAGGGACCCAGGAGGACGACTTGAAATCCCTGACTATCGTCAGGTCGCACGCGACGCCTTACTAAGATCGAAGCCCAACCACGGCCCTTCGCGACCCCAAACATCCAGAGTGCGGAAGGATGGACGCTTGGACTTGCAACCAGAGGAAAACCCATCAGCAGTCCACGGCTAGACGCTCAAGAACTCCGGCTGTGCTACAGAGAGCTCGAAGTCCATGGCTCGTTTCAGACCGTGGACCACTGTCGCAGCCGCCAAAAGTGTAACGTCGGTGGGGCACGTTTCCCGACGAGCAAGAGATTTGTTCAAGCTGCCCATACACGAGGAATGGCGACGGCAGCGGATGGGAGTCCACATCGAGGTCAGCCACCCGACATGATGCGTGTTTCCGCAGGTGGAGAGGCGCCTGACGAATGGCAAAGCACCTGTCGACTCTGCCAACGAAACGTTGAAACGTCGGCGCGTTGTCCGAGCAGGAAGCTGCCGCCCTTGAATCGGGTAATGACGAGACAAATGTCAGGAGCACGTTCCAGAGCGAGCAGACATCCACCATCCAAGAAGAGTGGGATATTCCTGCATTGAGACAGGACGGCGACAGCTCGCAGAGAAAACTGCAGGAAGCTCCAGAGCTCCCAAGAGGAAATTCACTGCAGCATTGATCGTGTGGCTCCGATCATCTCAAAGACTTGTGAATGCTGACTGGTAGACCTCTGCTGCAAGAATGGCATAATTTCGACAAGTGACGTCTGTCCCCGGGCCTCTGTAAGTGGCGGACAAAAAATTAGAACCCCTATTCGACCGCGAGTACGTGTTATCCCATCGTCATGTCGAGAGCAATTACCACCAGAAAAGGAGGTTGCTCTTGGAATAACGTAAGTTTGAAGAAACTTGCCGCCATTTTGAGAGGATTGCGAACATATTATCAAGATGACACGCCGCGCGTACGAGATGCGTCAAAAGACAGAAACCATTTCAGAAAAGAAAAAAGACGAATTCGGACGACTTACAAAGTCAGAATATGGACTTCCGTTTATTGATGCGAAAACTTCCTCGCTGTGAGACCCAGTAGGTGATTTGTTCAGGAGGCTGGCCTGAGGTGCATCGGCGCAGGAAGAGATGCCAGATTAGACGCATACATCCACTCAGAGCAGCCTTTCCCACATGAATTTCGGCTGTGTGCCTCATGTCGAAGAATTGTCCGCTATGAAAATGTACCACCAGTCTGGCGGAGATTAGACACGAATGCTGCAATTCGATCAGGAGTCAGCCCAGAATCTTTGCGGAGCAGGGGCGTTCGCCTAGTTTGGAACGCGTTTGAGCGCCAACCGGCCAAAATTCAACCGTAACGTGAAATATATGCGCGATATTCTTTCTCCTTTCCCGTTAAATATCAACCTTGTGACATGAGCAGCTCTATTACTCACTGGGATTTGGAAAGGGACATTCTTCCAACGAAAGTGAGCAAGACACATTTGTCGGTCTTTGTGCCGGCTGTCAAGAGTGCTTGGTCGCAAGACTTACCAAGCTGCGATGTTATGTCAAGATGGGTGGCAGACTAGCTATCCTAAGAGCGTACCTCAAGACGCGCCAGCAGCACACGTCCAAACGTCGAATTTTGAGCTTGACTTTCAATTGGGGTCCAAAGCCGAATAAGAAGTGTTGCAAGAGGTATCAGAATTTGTTGGATGGAAAACTAGATGAGACCTGCCATTTCCAGCGCCGACGACGACTTTACGGTGCAGGTACAGAGGTAAACGAGGGGTAAACCTCCAAGTAGGGAACAATGCTAGGGGGGAGGACGTGGTGGAAGCATGCAGAGATTTCCCCGGGTGGCAGTGCAGAAAGGCTGACTCTGTTTGGCTGATCGCTTGATCAAAGAGAAGGTTGCCAATTTAGGAAGCGCTCCCCACCATTTCAGGTCCGAAATACTCGACCTTGTAGCTTTTACGTATCTACAACCTTGCAGGTAAAGTACATATTTGGCATAAGAAGCTGTTTTCGAGAAGGCATTGAAGGTCGGCAGATATGCCGTTTCTTGATCTATCCCATACGCTCAGGCGTTATTACATAAATCGAGCAAACGACGGGAGGTTAGAATATTGAATGTTTAATGAGCGGACCCGGTGTCTCCGTAGCTTTGACTTCAGTTTTAATCATATTATGTTAGAATTCTAGATGTACTAATAACAAAGAAACAAATAGGCACAGATCGAGACTAAAAATCGGAGCAGCGTCTGGATGGCATATGGATCCGATCACTGTCAACTACTGAAACCCTTCCCTCGTTTTACTGAGATTTTCTTTCAAGAATAATCTAGAGGATACAAGCATAATGATTCGGAGTAGTGGAGAGTTCGTACAGCTTGCATCCTGCCATTCGTCACCAGACCATTTGATATTGTCTACAGTAGCTACCCTTTCAGGCCTGAGAGCCTCGTTCCACGGCGAGCCGATCATTGTGGTCAAACAAGCTACCCCAGGCCTGAAGGATCTTTTTAAACAGACAGTTGACATTAATTATGATCGATTTCTTTCCTCCAGTGCTCTACTTCGTTACAGCAGAAATGAGCAGAAAATCCAGAAATCACCAGTCCAACGGCCCGTACTTACCCAGAGAGTTGAGGTGAATGAGCGTCCATCCAGAGAAGTTGCCGGATAGGTACAACATTGATTCTCTAACGGCAACAAGGACAGCGCCTAATTGTGATGATGGGGCGGCCAAGAAGGGCGGATCACATCACGCGCGACTCTTTTCCGTATGCCGAGAAAGAGGTGTAAGTCATTGTGCTGAATGTCGGCGTTGGGCTTTGGACATCCCTTGCACTTGAGTTTCTAGGAGTGTGATCTCGGATTGACAGCAGTCAGAATGGGTGCCTGGAACCTGGATCCCTTTATTTAAGATAGCGTATTAGGAATTTCCGTTCTACGTTCTACCTCATCCAGAGTGGTGACTTGCTCTCGGCGCTTCGGTACCTACGGGGGTGGGCCCTTGAAATATGCGGCATACGTACACACGGAAAACTGAGCGGCACTTGGTGCAATCGATCGATCAAAGGACTTAGGCGAGGCTGCTCCGTGTGGCGCACTCCGCGGCCGCGGATCGAAGCTCGATATGGAGAGTGACCAAATATAGATCTATGACGCGAGATCGAATGATTCCATTGAGAGGGCAGTACAGCGCTAGACAGCGGGTGGCTCAAAAATAATGATATACATGGAGCTGGGAGGATATAGTATGCAGGGGGGGTATCAAGATGTCATGAGTTACAAAAAGATCACGAAATGAGTGAGGCGTCAAGGAACAGCAGTTACAGTAGTTGCGAAACGAGAGTAAGAGGCATTGAGAATGCTCGCGCAGTATGTCGTCAGTCAACAACGACCAGTCTATCGAAGCTGTCTTTGAGGGCTTTTCGCATGACAGATATCGGAGTCATGACCTCTTTTACCTGAGAGGCAGCAGGCTTGTCAGGCTGCGGGTCCGTGGAGTCGTCCGACTCCTCGCCCATGAACACCTTGAGCATGGAAGGAGAGAACCCATTCATCATGGCAACACCTTTCGTATCGCTTTGGACTTCAACCGTATGGTGTCCATTTGTGGCTAGGTCCCAGTAGACAATTTGTGGAACGTCGTACCCGTGCTTCGCATACTCCTGAGCGATTATATCGTAGTTGGTTTCCCACTTCGATCGCTGTTGGTAACTAGGCCTTGCCTCATCGAACTGCATGTCCGAAAATATGAAGATACGCTTGATCATGTCCTCTGGCAGGACCTTGTTCTTCACGGCCAGCGGAAGGATAAGGTCGCAGAAAACAGCGTTGAGATTGGTGGTCATGCCCCAGTCGGAGTCTTCCATGGACTTGACGGTTGTGTTGAGGGTTTGCGTAAGGTCGAGGCGCACGATGCTGGGACGTTCAGAGAATGTGATGAAGCAGGAATCAAACGGTGGCTTGCAAGGGAAGCGAGCACCAAGGAGAGTGAGACAGCAGGTAGTATGGGATTGGGGTCTGTGGTTCGGGAATAGCGGATGCCACCCATGGAACCAGAAACATCGCAAATCGCAATCGAGTTTTCGATGGAGCCTGATTCACGAAGTCGCTCAATGAGAGTCTTCCACTGCCCCTCGACGACTCGCAACCGTGTCTCGGCCATCTTTGCCTTGACTTGCTTAAGAGTCAGGAATCGTCCATTGGGCTTAGCGGCGTTGGCGAGGTCTTGATTCAGCTTTATGATTTGTCCCACCAGTTCATGAGGGAGCAATGTCGCCCCGCTGATGCGCTTCTTGCCGCTCTCCACCGCGAGAAGGTATTTCTCGAACCCCTCAGGGTCATGCTGAGCGAAGTGCTGGTTGTTCCGCTTCATGCAAACTGACGGGACCCTATTATACCGAATCTCGTTCCATCGATTCGCAGACATCAGTGGCTCTGGAATCAGCGTGGCTCGACGAAGCTCGGTGAGAACCCAACGCTGGTAGAAGGAGCGCAAGAGGAGGGTCTTGTCACGTTCTTGGAGAGGTTGGCTCATCGCTGATGGATAGATAGCAGAGAAAGACGGAGCTGAAGCATAGAGAAGGAGGGAAATGGCTGTCGCGATGTTGGTTGCTCTGTCATGGGCTTCAGCAGGAGACGGAGCCCATTTCCCGACGAGGGTGAGTTGTCTCAGCAAAGTACTTCGAGCTTCCGGTGACGTTGAGATGGAGGCTTGTTTGAGGATGTTGAGATCCTTCACAAGATGCTCTGTGAAAATACGAGCGACTGCGACGAAGAGTGCTCGATATTGAGGAACGGAGAGCCTTTGCAAGAGACGGGCATGCGACTCGCTATACCGCGAGGCACGCTTGTCTTGGGCGATGCGTTTCATCTCTGCATTAAAGTTCTCGACGCCGACTTTGGCCAAGTGCGCTTTTCTCTGAGCCTTGGCCTGGTCGGACAGACGCAGTGTTCTTGGAGCGTGCAGAAACTCGAAGCGATACGGGCCCGTGAAGAGCTCTTCTGTGGTCACCAAACACAGTATGTTCAGAAGATCCTTCCAGAACCCGTGTGGATAGCTTCGATCGCCTTTTCTCGACTTGCATGCTGGTTGGACGAGGAGAGGAAGATTGACGATTGCTGTTCGAGGGTGACGTTTAAACAGCCAACCAAATGCCCTACAGGAAGCATAAGTGAACGCCGATAACATACATTGAACAGCCATACCGATAGAATGTCTCCTTGTCGTTCTTTCCGTCGTGAATGCTCCGCACGTTCCAAATCATCCTCAGCGTCAAGTTTGGATCTTCCTTCCACGCGCCGTCGAGCAGCGGCGCGATCTGAGAACCTTCTTTGTCACGCGTCAATCCATTGAACGCATCCAGAGTTGGAGATAACGTCGAGCTATAGGCCGGAGCACCTTTCTCCGTCCACGTGTGGTGACTAGTGCTCAACAGTGCATCCAACAACGGATTGCTAGGGTTTTCTTTGACTGGGGCATGAGGAGCTGGGTGACTTTCGGGGCGTGGTGGGAGAAGAATGTCAAGGAAGTTCTCATCAAAGAGTTCGGGGACCTCAGGAAGGGTGACATCCTGAGATGTTCGTGAAGCGTAGAGATTGAGAATGGGATAACTGGTAGATGTCGCAGGCCCGACATGTGCTCGGCGCTTCACCCGAAATATAGGCTGTTTGTTGAAAGAAAGAGCGTTTGGGAGGTTTCTTAGCCTTAGCGCCAGCGCTACCTTGCGCATGGTCAAAGGCATGCTAGTCGTATGCGAGTGGGAAAGAAAAAGAATGAGTGAATCGCGTTGTACGTCCAGAAGTTCCTGCGGTCCCGTGGATGACTCATCGCAAGCTGATGAAATTCAACAGCAACAGACACCGCGATGACATACTGAAGTTAATTTTCTTGAGATTTTCGTGGCGAAATTTGAAGCTCGGTATTCAAGGAAAGGATGATTGAATGAACTTCTGTCACAATAAATAATAAATTGGATAACATCTCGATTAGTACAACAGCATAGTGTCTCGATTATTACAGAGGAGGCAGGAAGCAGTCGCTCGAGCATAGCCAAAAAAGGTGAGAATAATGGAGGGGAAGAAGAGAAAACGTACGGAAATCAGTAACAATGTCATTCAATACTAGGGCGTGCTTTAGCTGGACAGAAAACGGCGGAGTAGGCAAAGGCATACCTTGACCTGGTAACTAATATTCCACCACGTCATCATCATCTGCTGGTGCACCAGAGTGCTCCTCCTTCTTTTCCTCCGTTGGGCCCTTTGAATCCCCCTTAGCAGTGCCTGGGCCGTCGTCGACATCCATGTCCGTGCCCTTGTCTTTGATCGAGGTTGCGGGGTGGGAGGCTGATCGCGATTCCTCCCGCGTAGGAGCATCGGTCTCCATCTCGTCCTTCTTCTCAGACCTCCCAGCCTTCTTACGAGCCTCCTCCTCTGCGACGCGCTGTCGAAGCTGATTTATTTCTTCAATACCAGCTCTACGCTCTTCGGAGAACGCTTGCCATTCCTTCTCTGCGGCTTCAGACACCTACGACAAAATCAGTATACAAGCCAAGAAAAGGATTGACTAAGGCGCCTACCTCGGCTTTTCTTCTGCCAATAAAAGCCTCTTGAGCGGGGGTTAGGATTACCGGAAGGTAGTAGAGTGGTGGAGGGTGGGATCTGGGCACGGAAGCTAGAGGGTTTTTGGACGGAGGGGGTGGCGAATCGTTGTCGAAGGGAATTTGATCTGATGTCGATAGGAAATTCGCTAGGATCGGAAGACGTGTTCTTCTGAGTTTGTACTACAGGGATTTAGCATACATCGCCTAAGATGCAGCAGAAAATGACACACTATGGAATCCTTGAGTTGAAGATCCTCTTCTTTCCTGTTTGCAAGGGTTTTGTCCTTTTTAGCCTCCTCGGCGCGCCTTACAGAGTCAGTTTCTTTTCGCAGCTTAGCTTGTAGTCTCTGTTCTATCAGCTGCCGTTTCTTCGCCTGGAAGGGGAGCCGTGTCAGAGGCTGACGCCGACCAAACATCTATGTACTCACGGCTTCACTAGCGTTCCGCTCCTTATCTTCGACCTTCGCCTTGTTCAGGGTCCCGACTAGGACGCCAAACATACTCCTCCCTCGTTTTCTTTCTCCGCCGGTGAGGGAAGAGACATCTAAACGTGGACGCTTGCGACCTTCATGTGCTGTTGGTGCAGGTTTAATTGGCGAAGCTTGAGCTGCCTCCTCTTCAATCCGAGTATCATTTTGAGGCGCTCTATGGATATCAAGATCGTTAGTAACTTGGCAGAGTAATGTGGCAGAAACACACTCTTCTGAAGACATTTTGAAGTCGAGGATGGCAAAGAAGGTCAGAGAAGGAGAACGCGGGCTGACAGCGCTGAGGGCGTCTGAGGGCGTGGGAAAACTCAGTATTATGAAAGCACAAGATGTTGCGCGTCGGTCTCATCAGCCATCGTCGTTCCATCATGGCACCGAAACCCTCAGCGAAGTCCACAAACTCGCCAACATCGACCGGAAAGGCCAGCTGGAAAGATCACAAATCGACTCCAAGACAGCCGCTATCAACGCAGGAGCGCTTGAGACGCCTCTTCACCTCGCTCTGTGCCCAGATTGACGGCGGTCATTTCGGAAACGCTGTAAAGACATGCGACAAAAGTGTGTAAATTTCATTGTATAACGATGCTGCGAACGGATGCTCATTGCATGAACGCGATCAGTACTGCGGTTGGAACCAAAGGACTCAGATGCCCGACAGACGAAGCTGTTCCTCTTGCTGCAGACCGAGCAATACAACGCCGCTCTTGACCTCATAAACTCTAACGATGACAAGGATAAACATGCGTACGAACGCGCATACTGCTTATACCGACTGCAACGTGAAGCAGAGGCACGGGAGACTCTCGAGGTGATCAAGAAGGAGAAGGGAGAAGATGATCGGGGTATAGTTCATTTGGAGGCACAGCTGGCAAGTTAATACCTTTAATTTTATTTTGGTAAGACGTCCTGAATTCTCACTGGTCAGAATTATCGCGAAGGGTCATACCAAGATGCGTTCGAATTGTACAACCAACTTCTCGACACGGCCGAACCTGTAAGTCGCGTCATTTGCACCATCTCTAAAGATTTAAACCTCAACCTGCCCTCCTAAAGAACTCGGAAGAGCATTCAGACATTTTGACTAACCTTCAAGCGGCTCAAAAGCACCTTGATTTCATTGATACCGGGTTCCTACAGGCCGTTGATGCCCTCCCAAGCTCAATCACTTCCACCCTCCAGTCGGCTCCTCCACCCGTCCGACAGCAGGCCTCGGCTGCTTCTACATTGGTTTCAGCGTCCGCCTCTTCCAAAACACCGGCTGACAACCAGGACAGCAAACCCGCTCCGAAGAAGGTGCGAATGAAGCGTGTGCCCGCTGGGGTCATCCCTGGTGTTACACCCCCGCCAGATCCAGAGAGGTGGTTGAAGAAGAGCGAGAGGTCAACATTCCATCAAGGCAAGAGACGGAGGGGTGGTGGTGGTGCCACGCAAGGAAGCGCGACCGTGGAGAGCGTGCCTCCCCAAACTGGAAGCGGTAGCCACTCTTCTAAAGGTGCTGGGGGTAAAGGGAAGAAGAAAAGGTAGTGTGCATGCTGCAGTGGTACGTCCATGTGTGCTTTCCAGACGATTGTTCGTCTTTCTGATGTGTACCGTCTCAGTGAGGTTGGCTTAAGAAGATGTATTAATCTTGGCGCGTCTTGTAACCACAATTTTCTTCAACGGCATTCTTGTCGCCTCATGGACGCCAGCCTATCCATTACACAACCCTTCATGTTCCTGAGATGGGATTGAACAGCAGCGGGCCAGTCTTCGATATTGCAACCCCCAAGACTCCTTTGTTCTCACTTTCGTTGATGATACCCCCTCGGAACTGAAGTCGGCTGTCAATGCAGGATATTGTCTGGAAGTCTGGATGGATCATCGCTATCATTTGAAGAGGTTATCAGGCATGTGTACCTTTGACTGCGCTGAGGTATCACTATCAGATGATTGCCTCATGTCTGCCTTTAGGGACTCATCAACCTAAGCATGATTGACTCCGGCCTCGCTCCCCACTATCCATTGCTTCGTGCCCCCTCTCGGTGGCGAATAACACCCCCAGCTTGCGCCATGAGACATGACCACGCGGAGGACACAACACAGTTTGAACACATTAATTAAAGCGAGCCAGACTTCCGTGATTTCTCTGGACACGAGGTTTGCTTTCAGCGTTTGAACTGGCACGTCTAGCCCTCTTTTGCCTTCACTTCTCGTTCTTTTATTGACATGTTTGGCCATAGGAACTACCATGACCCCGAATAATCGTTCTCAAAGTTTCTAGCTTACTTTGTTTCATGAATTTCTTTCGCAAAGTCTTTCATCCAATCCGTAAGGTGCCTGCAACGACCCTGACTTCGGTCGATTATCTCGCGCTGAACGCGTTAGAGATTGGAATGGAATCGGCCTAGTGGCCACCCACCGTGCTGGCTGCTTCGACGCGCTATCGGATGGGTGTACGACAGGCCAACGAGAGGCAGCGATCAGCACGCGCAGCCTGAACTGTGCGTGAAAGCAGGTGCAGTCGCATGCTTTAAAGGACCGCGAAGTGCAGGGAGGTTTCCACAACCCCTGCTCTTCCCTCTCCTCTCAAGCGGAGGGTCTCTCTTCATTGTAACGTTTCACTTCTCACGAACTAGCCGCAGCCATGTTGTTATCCAAAGTTCTCGGTGTTATCATCATCGCAAGGAATGGCGACCGATACAACTACTACCAAGACCCTTACACCTACTCAGCGTCCAACACTGAGACGACTGCTCTCGGAGAGGTACGACTGCTCTATGATTGTCTCTGCAAAACTAAATAGACACTATTGTACTGACATATTTCCCGCTTTGCTGCCTTTCAGGTCGAGTCCAACGCTCTCGGAAGCCTCATCCGAAATACGTACTTCAACAGCCAGTCTCCTTCGTACATCGAGGGCATCCGGGCCGATATCGTGGACAACAGCGAGGTCAAAGTCCGTGTCAAGGCTGGCGTTGAGGGCACTGTCGTCTTCGACTCCGCCATCGCCCTCCTCCAAGGGCTCTTCCCTCCCAACCCTAACAACAAGATCGTCCTCGCCAACGAAACCACTGTCGTTGCTCCTCTCGGAGGCTACCAATACGTCCCTGGTATTCAATCGACTGGTTAATATGGTGATGACGAGCTGATCCAGGATGTGATGCAGTCGAGACTGTTGAACCCGGCAATGATCGTTCCCTGGAGAGTTGGACCAACTGCCCGGTGAATCAACTACGACGAGTTATGTCTGAAGGATATATGTTTTCTAACAATATTCTAGGCCTTCGAGAAGCACACCAAAACATTCTACGCCTCTGCTGACTTCAAGGCGAAGGCTCAGGATGCTGTCCCTTTCTTCAAGGCTGTGAAGGACTATGTCTTTGGTCGCCCTGCTACACTGGAGAACGCAGTACGTGCTCTGTTGTTTGATACCATGACAGATGATTCAGCTTCATCTTTCTCCAGTGGAACGTAAGTGATACGGTTGCCAAATGATTGTGAGAATAGTAATACGACCGCCTCCAGATCTTCGACTACATGAACTCGGAACTCATCCACAACAAGACCTATGCGCACCGTCTTCCCCCCACTTTTATCGAGCAGGCGCGTCACTGGGCAAACTACCATGAAACCGGTGTCTTCTCGGAGAAGGACATCAACGGTGTCGGCAACAGTAAGATTTTTTTAAAACCTCTATGTCGTCGTGTTCTAATAAGGTATTGCAGTCGCTGGACGCACGATCCTCCACACAATCCTTACATCTCTCGAACGTATTGCTTTTAACGGCGACCCTCTCCAGTTCATGCTTGTTGAGACCACCTACCAGCCATTCATTTCGCTCTTCCAGCAGACCGGCATCATCAACGACCTCGCCGAGTACGCTGGCATTCGTACGTCACCCTTTGATCCTGCTGTGGTCCGCTTGTCTCTAATGTCTGTGTAGCCGACTTCTCCTCTGCCCTTGCTATCGAGCTCCGCCGCGGCTCTCCTCCTGACGTCCGCGACTTCCTCCGCATTAGGTTCAAGAACGGAACTGCCAGCGACTTCAAGGACGTCCACGTCTTCGGCCACCGTGCTGATATCCCCTTGACTGAGTTCATCTACCGCGCCGAGGTACGTCCTAATCTTCTAATGGCCCTAATTTACCTATCATCTCCGTGCAGAATGCGGCAATCACCTCGAACAGGCAATGGAAGGACGTCTGCGCCAAAACCTCGTTCTCTGAGACCGTTGTCGGGATGACCGAGGGTTACAATTACGCCACTGCTGTCCTCGCCATGATGACTATCTTCGGCGCCTTGTTCTTCGCCCTCTCCCGCTATAAGAAGTACCGTGCTGAGCGCCGCCGCATCATACTCCAGGGTGAAGAGGTGAGTCAAGTCGTTCACAGCGACTACGGCTCCATCCCTCGGCCAAAGGCCCCAAAGCATAAAAAAGACGAAGAGGCTCGTCGGACAGATTCATTCGGAGAACGTCCGTTCGCCGCAGCGGAATATTACCCAGAGCAACCGCGATGGATCCTTTGACCGAGCGGAGTCGTAGTTCGCCGCTGATGATGGTTCATCTTGTGGCCACCAGAAGGGTGATGTGATGCTTACGATGTTATTCCTATGGCAGGCCGCGATCGTTCAACCCCAGGGTGCGATGCAGGAGAAGGTGAGGCTCGTTTGAGAACACTACTGTTTGGAATTGGAACTGGACATGACAAAAATGTGGACATCGTCGAGTTGACTCTCTACGTATTATTACGACCTCTTGATACCTGCTCTACTGGCTGTAGCTCGTCATTCACGACCTGTTTCCTTTATCTTCTCTTCATTACTTGCATATATCGTCCCACAATGCCCTCTAAATATTTAGTCTCCTTTCTTCAAGAGTGTGATCGTGGGACAAGAGACAGTCTACTCGGTTGTCAGTACGGTTGTCAACAACGGCTTTTAACGTCGTTGCCATGGCTGTAGACTCCTCGTGCATTCTTGTTCTGATTGAACCTCCTTCAACAAATGATGAGCCGCGATGCCCTAAAAGTGTGTACGTTTGGGTTATTCATCAGGAAAGCTAACATTGTCCATCCTAAAGCCCAAGGCTGTGCGTCAAGCGGTTATAGAACGTGCCCAAACGAGAACCATGCACCCTCCAAAAACCTCCACGTCCTCCAGGCGGGGCCCACTGCCATCCTTGTTTGAACAGGCTTTAGCTTTTCCGACCACCCTGCTCCAAGGAATACTTCTTCAAACGGTCCAAGATGGCGGAAATGGCGGATTGTTGCTGCTGCTGCTGCCTCTGTGCAGCCTGCTTCAGTGCGTAGCAAGAATTTCATTTCAATTCGATGAACAGGGCAGTCCTGACATTGTGTTCTTCAGCTGCGTGCGGGAGGCTTTGCCTCTACCGTACGTGGTTCCTCTCTCCTCTTCATGCAGGAGGCTAACTAGGGCCTCACTAGTACCTTGGGGAACCAAGTTCAAGAGAAAAGACGACGACGACGACGAGTACATCGCAGACGTTGAACGCGAGGGACAAATGTTCAAAGATGCAGCTGCAGAGTCGAAGGGTCCCGTGTTTAGGCAACCGCTGCCCACTGACCGGCCAGAACACCGCCCAGCGCCACGAGCTAATCAGCAGGGTGATCCTCGTGCGTATACAATGCGCCTACGTTCTTGACGGATTGAATGAATTGAGCCTACTTTTCTTCCCAGGTCGGCACTCCGAGAGACATCGAAGAAGCCAGCACCCGTCAGGTCACCATTACCCCCCGACCCCTGCGGCGCCCCCCAATCACGAAGAGTTTCCGAACCCGCACGCCCACCCCAGCTCACGCAACCCTCCAAACCGACAGGATAACCATGATTTGCATCCAGGACCAACCTCGTCCCTTCCGAAAGTACCTAACCAAGAAGAGTTTCCGAACCCTCACCCTCCAAATCGCCATGAGAATCGTGATACTCGTCCGACACACGCCTCCTCCCCTCAGAGTGCATTCGCCGAGCAAGATGCTCCTCCTCCTGTCCCGGATAAGGCTTGAAAAGATTCTTGATATCGTAGCGTCTCGGACAGCGTTTGAACTCTCCCCCCACCTCCCCCTCGAGGCAAGTGCCTTGTCGCCCACAATGTGTAGCATTGATATCTATATAAAATATTTCTAGAGCGCGTTGCACGATAAGTTTTCTCGTTCTGGCATTTCGCCGAATTTACTTGCCACATCTCTCGTATGATCCGGTCGGGTAACTCCATAACGGATCAAATAACAATTTAGACACCCACACGAGGCGGGAGCCCATTTCGTCAGCTTTTTCCTCGATATTCCCCTCGTCCTTCACCCATTCTGGTGCCATAGTCATGCCGGAATCAAGTTGTATTTGGGCGTGATGAATTGAGCAGGACACTGTCTTTCACAACGCAATTGCCAGTCACTACTGGGGCAGAAGGTCTCTGACTAGTACTTGCAAGGGCCGCAAAATCTTCTTGGTTCTCAGTCTGGACAAGTCAGCAACTAGTAAGAATGCTTTGCGATGCGCATCGAAATGACTACCTTGCTGTAGGCAGTGACCACCTTGGCGTCACTATGACTCGTTCCTGGCCGGCACCTACAATCGAGTCACTTCGACGTTGTGGATGATGGGCCTCGCAGCGCCATTGATTCATATAAGAACGCACATCCGTGTCTCAGAAAAAGTACCCCTCTTCGTCCGATCCACCCACCGGAATGGCCTCCTCAGTCACCTCTGCTGCTGCGTCTTCGCGCTCTGTCTTGCTCCCTGCCATCCCAGAGCTCTTCGATCCCAACTTCCTCGACGTGCTCATCCCTGGCAAACATGAAGATGTTATGAAACTCGACGTTGACGAAATCTCCACTGTGGCCCCCAAAAATCCGATGATGGAAGCCTTGAAGGCCGTCGCGCACCAGACCCTCACTGCGAACGGTGCTCCGGCGTACGACTCCACGCTCTCTCCCACCCTGGATGCCTTCAGTGGCCTCACCAGGTACACGTACGGCTCGCGAGTTGGAAAGCTCCTCGATGATGCTTGGAAGGAAGACCCTGGGTTGACGCTTCGCCTCATCTGGAGCCTTCGCAGCATCCACGACGGAAAAGGTGAAAAGGAGGTCTTCTATCGGTGAGGACTTTTTTCTTTCCATCTTTTGTCAGGATTCACTGACGATGCTTTCGTTAGTGCCTTTGGCTGGCTCTACGATAACCACCCTCGGACTGCCATCTCGAACCTGCACATGCTTGTCACCCCAGCCTGTTCGAAGAAGGGGAAGACCGCGGGAGCCCATGGCTACTGGAAGGACCTCCTCAACATCCTAGCGCTGGCAACCGTAGGCGAGCTTAGCAATATCAACCAGCCATCGACGTTCCTTCATGCCACGCGCACCAAGTACAGCTACCCAAGGTCGAAGCGGAGAGTCAAGACCGGAACGCCCGCAGAGCGTATCGAGGCTGCGAAGGCTTTCAACGCTCGTGCGAAGGAGATGGCTGCTGTCAGTCGCAAGACCAAGGTTGAGCGTGACCACGGGCGGCTCGTCAAGAAGCTTGGTGAACCCAAGTTCCGCGCTCTATTCATTGCCGTCGCACGCCTCTTTTCCGACCAGCTCGTGAAGGACATCAAGGTCGTTGGAGAGATCGAGGCTCTCAAGCCTGGCGAGAACCCAATCTCCCTCCTGAAGAAGATCAGTTTGGCCGGCAAGTGGGCCCCCACGCCTGGCGGCTCGCACGATCGGGTCACGAACATCGCCACGGCCATAGCTGAGCTCATATACGCGTCCCAGTCCATCTCGCACTACCCGTCCTCGCTGGAGAACCCAATGCCTGAGAAGGAGCGCGCTGTCATCCTTCGCTCGTTCTACCAGCGCTGGTTCCTCACTGAGTTGCGTCGTGCGTCGTGCTGCCCTGAGCCGCTCATGTCTGCCAACCGATGGAAGGAGATTAAATACAACCGGGTCCCGTCGCTGTGCATGAAGAACTGTACGACTTTGTTCTTCAAGCACGACCCGGAAGGCTTCGAGGGGTATCTGACGTCAGTCGAGAGCGGGAAGAAGAAAATCAGCGGGGCGACGCTTATGCCACACGAGATCGTCGCGCAGATCATCGGCAAGGGCACCTACGACGACGACCGAAAGACGCCCGCTGGGTTGAAGGAGCTCAAGAAGAGGGTCGCGGAGACGCAGTCGCGCGTAGCGGAGGCGCAGTGGAAGACGCTCATCGCGAACCTGCAGGAGTCAGGCGTGCTGGAGAACGCGATCGCCGTGTGCGACGTCTCCGGGTCGATGGGGTCCATCTATTACAGCACGTACACGAAGCGGCATCCACAGCCCATCCTGCCGGCCATCTCGCTCTCCCTGGTCCTCGCGGCACTCGCCAAGCCGCCCTTCTCTGGGGGCTTCATCACGTTCTCTGCCCACCCACAGTTCGTCGCGCTCGACACGTCCCAGTCGCTCGCGAAGCAGATCGCATCGATGAGCTCGGCCGACTGGGGCATGAACACGGACCTCCACGCGGTGTTCGTCAAGCTCCTCCTCCCGCTCGCTGTGAAGAACAAGGTGAAGCAGGAGGACATGATCAAGCGGCTGTTCATCTTCTCGGACATGCAGTTCGACGCGTGCAATAGCGGGAGGGACGCCGCATCATGGGCCACAAACTACGACGAGATCGAGAAGGCGTATAGGGCGGCTGGGTACGAGATGCCGCAGATCGTGTACTGGGACCTAGCAGCGAGCGCGAGTCACACAGTCGAGGTGGAGGGCGACAGGAAGGGTGTAGCGATGATGAACGGGTTCTCGCCGGCGTTGCTGAAGGTGTTCATGGGCGAGAATGAGGAAGAGGAGGCTGCTGAGTGGGAGAAGGTGGGTGAGGATGGCGAGAGCGTCACCGTAGTCGAGAAGGAGGACGAATTCACTCCGGTGAACGTCATGAAAAAGGCCCTTATGAAGAGGAGCTTCGACGGGCTGGTCGTTGTCGACTGATATTTATTTTCGTTCTCCTTCCTTTCACTTCGTCATTCATGCGCTTCATCATGTATAACACTATCATCTTGCATCCTCCTTGTATTATTAGCACTTCATTCTCTACACGAAATACATCAGCATCTAGATACCCATTCAAACCAACGTGGGACCATGCCGGTGATTTCACAACCAACCAACCAACCAACCAACCACAATCACGCTCATAGAGTAACGAACTTGACTGTCGCTGAACGGCCCATCACCCTCGTTCTGATCAGCAAAGTCTGTCCAAGTATGAAATCGAGCAACCTGGAACATTTCTATGATTAATAATACAGAAATACACGATTTGGGTTCTATAGAAGACGGATATCAGGAATGGACTTGAGTACAAACAAGAAAACGACAGTCCAAGATGAAGCGACGACAAGAAGAAACATGCGAGTCGGGACGATCATGACCAATGCCACCGAGGGCCCGCCCGACCGAACAATTACAACCTGATGAGCACCATCTCCACAAGCCATCCCCTCACTTCCTAATCTTTCTTCCCAAAGCTGAAGGTGCCCAGGAACTTTTGCTTCAACGATAGTGTCCTCCTCCTGGTGGCACCGGCGCCTATCGAAAAGGCCAAGGAAACGATCGTGATTAGCTGGACCAATTCGGTAACCGAAGATAATTACATTACCATGTCCAAAAATCGCGCACTCGTCCCGCCCATGGTATACGTGGTGCTCGAATACGAAGGGCTCACGTCTTCCCGTTGCGTCGAGACTTAGCCGACGGATCGCTGAACCCGGGGCCGAAGAATTGGTCGCCAATTCCGGCGCCGTCCCCAGTATGAGAGTTGGATCGATCGCGAGGGCCATTGGTCTTGGCCTTCTTCTTCCCGTTGGCGTCCTGAGGGTCATGGCGTCCGTTCGCGTTCGCCGAAGACGCACCTAACAGATTCGGAATGATGACAGAAAGAGTCAGCAACGAAAAGGGAGCAGCCCACACGGGAATCACCTCACCGGTGTTGCTGGTATTCGTGTTGCTGGGTGCAGGATTGACTCCAAGGAAAGAGTAAAGCATCCTAAATACCTCACTCTCGTCGATGCCACTAGGGAGAGGGCTCTTGCTGCCATCCGCCCGGAGGCGCTCCCGTGCGCGGAAGATCATCAAGGAGGTCTTCATACCCATCTCCTCTGTCTCGTCGTCGGTCGGACCATCTTCTCTCATACACATCGTCGCGTAGAGAGGGAGAAGGTACATGGTATCTGCCTGGTAGGTCTCGTATATCCGGATCCTTTGGACGACGGTGAGGTCGGATGTGTCGAGGCCGCGAATGGCGAGGTTCTTGACTTCCAAAAATTCATATTCGTGCGCGATCTTGAGGATACCGATCCATTCCGCGGGGGTAGCGTTGTAGATCGAGTATTTACTAGCAGGGAGATGCATTAGTAAATCAATCTACGAACGAAAAGAGAACAAAAGAGACGTACGGGTTGTAAAAGACCCAAAGAAATTTGGAGAAGTCCGATGAGCTGCAGTTCATCATCATCATGGGCTTGGAGTCCGTCGACCCGGGGCGTGTTTGACTCGGGGAGACAGGAGTGCTTAGGATGTCGCGGAATTTGGCCGAGTCCCTCTCAAAGAAGAACGAATGGACCCGGAAAAGGACGCCCCCGACCTAAATTTATTGCGTGAGGGACAGCGGCTCAAGTGAAAATACTCCACAACGAACCAAGATATACAAATCTCCTCCACTGAGGAAATAGTCAGCGCTGTGCTCCATGTTCTTCAGGTCGCTCCGGGGGGTAGTCATGGACAGGGTAAGTTGGCGGGAGGTGTGGATGATAAAGGGAGGAGACGAAAGAAAGATAGGATACAAAGCCGCTTTGTCCCAAACCTTCCAACGACCCCGATTCTTTTAAGCTTTCCGCCACCTCCACGTGTGGCACGGCCATTGCCATGAACAGACAATGCTAGACAATGTGACAGACCAGGTGGACGACGGGGTTCGTCCAAAAGAGCGCAAGGTGAGCCTCTTGGACGTGGGCGTCTATTCGAAGGGGTCGTGGACAAAAGCGTCCCTGCAAAGGAACGCGATAAAGCACTGTCCGCGGAGTCAGATAGAGTTAAGTGGGGTGTTGTCTTGGAGGACCCCGAGAATAACAGTTACACGCGTTTTACGCCGGGGCGCGTGGGCTCCCACGAGCAGCGGCACCAATAGAAATATGGGAAATAGGCTTTCTCGGGCGGGAGGTGAATCGCGCGAGAACAAAGGCATGTGGCCGACGAATCTGCGACTCACCAGGAAACGTGGTAACTTTACGCAAAGCGGAGTCCAAAATAAGAAGCTCGCTGTCCGTTGTCCGTTCTTGAGATGAACGGCGTCGCGTGCCAGTCAGGATTCTCGCGGCGCAGCGTATAAGCGCCCGTTGTGCAAGGGGAGTGTCGCCTCGAGTTCAATGTTCTGGAGAAGATCCTCACATGTACTCGCTACTGCAGAAGACGTAGAGGGTGGTACGAGTGCAGGTTGGTGCTTCAGGAGGCCGTTAAGCGTTTAGGCGCCTTGAAAATTGAATCACCCCACACCACTCATTCGAGTACGATTCATCGGCTGCTTTCCATATATTCGAAGCATAAAGGAGGAGCTCGTTAGTTACATCAGCGCGTGATTGACCTTCTCTACGAAAGTAGGTGAAAGTCCCTTTGCGGCCTCATCAGCGAAAAGCTCGAGGCCGAACATCCTCCTGCCCTCCTGCGTGGAAATGTCATCGATCGTGCCCCTTCCGACAAACTTCGATTCACCCTCGCCACCGGGGAAGTCACTTTGAACGCAGGTTCAGTACGTTTAATAATTTGAAGGACAAACCGGGGGTGACGTACGGAGCGGGAAGACCGGCTAAGAAATTGATGCGCTGGTCACGAAGGTAGCTTGCGCTGCGAAAGGGTGGTCAAGCTTTCGGTTTATGTGACAGGAAGGATTGGGAATACGAACTTGTGGACGGTGAGGGCGACAGCGGGGATGTACAAAACGGACGAGTCGCCGAGCCCACGGTGCTGGTTCTCGACGGCGTGTACAGTATCGCAATGCCCTAATGTTGGATTATTTAATATTCCCTATAAAACCAGTAGAAAGGGACAGCGATACGCACAGTAAACCTGATCCCCAGGCTCAACCCTCGGGATTGACACCATCGTCTTCCCAAGCTTCAAATGCGGGTGTGTCTTCTCGTTCAGCTCCTGCGTCTTCCCAATGCTGCTACCAGGGAAAGCAGAAGAGTCAAGGTCGACCGTCCAGTCTTCGAACTTCAGCGAGTCGGAGAGCGAGTTCAAAGGGCGGAAGAACGGGCGAAGGAGAATGTATGCCGACGAGAGATTTAGCATGGGGAGGACACGGAGAGTGCCTTCGTTGGGTCCGGTGCTGGAAAGCGAAGTCCATCCTTGCCAAGAGCGGAAGATCGAGCATGCGTTCCTGCATTGAGACGAGATATGATATGTTTGACGGGGCTTGACGGGGGCGACAGTAAAAATAAACTCACGAGGCATGATACAAATCCTGCTTCGCTCCAATTCGCGGCGTCGCGTCGAACGGGTCATGTTTCTTCCAGCTACTCCCACCCTTCAGAATACTCCCAAACACCTTCTGCATCCCCTTGTCCTCCCACCTCTCGACCGAGCCGCCATCGACGTGCGGGCCCAGGGTAAATTTGGCGTCGCCCGGCTGGCGGATCCTCAGGCGGTCAAAGTACGAGATGGGCGTTTGCAGGCTAATCTCGGTCTGAGGGTCCGAGGTGTGCCAGAGCGAGAGAAGGAACCGCTGGGTATTTATCAGGGTGGGGTGGGTACGCGCTTGTACTTGGGCTTTGGAATTGTAGATCTCGAAGACTTGGATGTTGTCTGGGGGAAAACCTGCACACGACCGTCAGAAAGCATTCGAAAGGCGCATTGACACACATATATATTCTACCTTTTACACGGCTTGCGTTGGTCACGGCGTAATCTCTGATTGCTTGCTTCCAACCCAACGCTTCCTATATAATCCAGAGTAATTAGCCGCTCAGAAAATGACGAAGAACGCACAACCTACCTCCTTGGGAACTCCTCCAGTGATAATGACAGTCCCAGTCTTCTTGATTGCCTCGACCTGGTCTGCTGACAATCTTGCCTGCAAGTCACTATATGCTATGCGGGGTACCATCTATTGAGCGCAGTCAATAATTTTCATCCAAGTGAAAGTTAATGAACGCACTTCTGAACCAATCGACGCCACCTCTTCCGTCGCAGTCTCCAACTCAGCCAGAACCTCCCTCCAGCTCTCTACCAGATCATCCTTCCACAGCTCCTTCTTCAGGTCCTTGAACCGCTCTGGCAAGGCATTGTGTTCTTCCCCAGTAAGGGAGGTGAAGATGCCCGCTATCGAGCCTTCCTCTTTCGCCTTGCGAGTTGCAGTGGCTGCCGCTGTCATCATGGCCCTCGTCCTAGGAAATCGTGCACGACTGCGGAAGGTTCTGAGCGCGACTGAAGCCATCGTAAATGAAATGGGGAAGAAGTAAGGAGGGTGCAGTCTTGTCGAGCCTTTTTATCGTATTCATGGGACCCAGACCCAACGTCTCCTGTCCGTGTCATCGCATCTTTCAATTCTTTGTCTCAATAAGCATCGACTCAAGAAAATATCTGTGGCATCATCTGACGCTTCTAGGAAAGTTGGGGGTAAGTGGAGGAAATGTTTCTCCGAAGTTTTTCCGCGGTTGGTGGTCGGCGGCCTCCAGGAGTCAGACCGCAGTGGCACCACCTTGGCACCACCGGGAGTTAATGCAGAACAGCGGCAATAAAATATAGCTAAGCTATGCTCAAATGGCGGGAAGCCCGGCTGAGGACTACGTTGTACTAAAGACTATGAACCACCACTCCTGAAGATCTGATCTAACACAGGTACTAGCTATAGGAATGGACCTATATGGGGATCCAGGAAGTATCGACATGAAGACCATGTCGGAGACGACCGCTGCGCAAGTATTCAATTTCAGACAATTTCCCTTAATTCACGAAACACGGCCATGCGTTCAAGGAAGAGCTACAAGTTACAACAGAGTCTGAAAAAATCCAAGAGTGCAAGAAAGTACATTTCGACGAATTTTGGATGTTATTTGGACGACTGAACCTGGCGCAGCGCCCTTGATCATTTACCGGGCTTGCCATTGACCGTCGGCTTTCCACTGCCACTGGGACGACCGGTGCTACCTTGACCAGGATTTTGATTGGATGGATTGTTGGGCTTGGTGTCTGTCAATGGGGGGGAAGTCGGAGTTGTGGGTACTAGTAAGTAAGCAGAGGGGACTTCACCACATACCCGAGGTAGGAGAAGATGTTGTACTTGGGCCACCGAAATTCGTCGACCCTGCTTGTATGTCCAATTTTGCCTCTAGAGCGCGGAATATGTCATTTTCCTCCGTTCCTCGAGGCAACGGGCTCAAGCCGCCATCAGACGGCTTCGCGCGAAGCTTCTCTCTTGTGGTCATGATCAGTAGCGTCGCTTCCAGGCCGAGGATGTGGGATTCTTGCTCAGAGAGAGGAATGGGACGCGAACAGAGTTGCGCATAGAGAGGTACGAGGTGACGAGGGTGGACGTTGAACTTTCGGTATATAGCTATCCTGTTCACCAGGTCTATATCCGTCTTTTTCTGTAATTCGCGCACGGCGAGCTCCTTGACCTCAGGGAAGCTCCATTTATTGGCTAGATTTAGGATGTCTGTCCAGTCGCCTATGGTCGCTTCGTAAATAGAATACCGTCTGCATTGATATTGAGTAATCGAAGAAAATAAAGAAGCGGAAAAGGGGGTGGCGACGTACGGATTATAGAAAACCCATAATAGCTTTGCAAATTCCTCAGGGGAAACATCGTCCAAGGTGACAGGATCACTGTCCGTCTGGCCCTTGTTCTTTCTGTCGAATGCTTTGGACTCGCGGGAGAAAAAGTATCCGTGAACGCGGAACAACGTTTTGTCGCGGTGGCCCTAGAAAGCGGCAAGAAGATGAAATCAATTTCAGCCCCAGTACGCATCGATTGTTAAAGAGTCTGCGAAGAGGAAGACAACGTACGACTAGCACATGAAGGTCAGCGCCATCGATATAATACTTGTCATGACGGTTGGGAAAACTAATTCCAGAGGGTCTGTCGGTGGGTTGGTGGGACATGTTGGATAAGGTGATTGCGAATCTGCGATATCTGTGAGCGCTTAAAGGTTGTCGTCAAAGTCCTCCAGCCGGTCGAACAGTGGACAGCAACGAGAGGAGGGTTGGCCTAAATACGACAAGAACCTCTCAGAAAGATCAACGTAGAAGAGGGAAACGAGGTAAGCCTACCACTCAGAGGTGATGGTGGGATGCAGAAAGACGATCGCTTGCTGACTCCCGCACCCCAAGATATATCAGTGTATGACTACGTCAGGTGAGCTTCCCCCATTACCATTCGGCGCAGGGGGTGCCGAGTCGGGGCCCAGAGGCGTAGTCTCCGTCTGTCCCAGAAGCCGTACACGTGTAGGGTGCGTGTTTGATGGTGTGGACAATCAGAGCACGATAAGGCATGTGGGCGCTTATTTGCATCTATGGGACCCTTCTGCCTGTTGTTGATTTGGCCGCCTCCTTGGGTTGTTGATTCAAGCAGGAAGGAATATTGGAAGGGTATACGGAGCAGTATCCCTCTCCTGAGACGACATTTCGTTTTAAGGAATGACTTTGGACGAGACTTCAGGTTAGCCGTCGTGTTACACGTTAGAGAAGCAACCAAAAATACCCTGACAGAGTATCCAGGTCATCGGTATCAAATCGATGGATTACGCATTCTTATTGTTCCATCCGGGCGATTGGCCACCTTCCTGGGTCGAAAAGAACGAGAAAGAACTAACGCAGTATGGGAAGTAGAGGGCATCTGATACGTCTCGTGGAAGACGAATGTCAGCTGTGGCATTCGAGGGTGCGCAGCTTGTGGGTCTCAAGGCAGATTAATCGGCATGTGAAGACCGAACGCTTACTGCGCGAGCTTCAATCAATTACGAAGTAGAACGGTGACCCCATCGAGACCGCCCCAATTCCATATGTAACGTAATGCCGACCAGGCTGACCAGACCAAAGCCCTACATCCCTCTTCTTGCCCCACTATTCTGCGAGAAAGACCGTTTAAATGTAGGGGAGGTCTCACGGCCGAACGCTCTGAGGTGAACATCACACGGGTGCGCGAATATGCGAAGTGCGCGTTCTGTCGAACGGGTATCGGCGATGAGGTCGATGCCGTTCCGAAATAGACCCTGAGGAAAACTCGCTAGACCTCCCTTCAGCCCTGGAGGAGATACCGCTGCACGACGCCCTCGTTGACCGCGTATGGAGGAGGCTTGTCTGATAATGATTAAGTGGTTGGGTGGCAGCTCATAAAATTCGTCAATGCGTGCCACAACAAAGCAAGCAAGTTCGTCAAGAAGTCATGGCTTTCGCCGGGTAACCATCTCAGCATAAGGGGCTAAACGGCAGTCTTGGGTACCATCTTCCAAATAATTCCCATTAAGACCATCATCGCCACCAGACTATCAAGTGCTCAGTAAGTTGTCACATTGAATAAGGAGATCAGTGACTTACTATGGTTGCAAACTCTGAATCCCATATTTCGACGCCATCGCGCCTGTGAAGAATGGTAGGACAGCGCTTCCAGATGAGCCACACGCTGAGACCCAGCCGATGGCGCCTGTGACGAGCGCACGTGGAAGGATGCGGGAGATGTGATTCATGGCGATGGGGTATAGCGGTCCGAGGAGGACACCGATGCAGAACACGGAGATGCACCCGGCATAGATTGAAGGGACGAGCCAGACAATCAGTTGGAAGCTGAGAAGATTTGTTAGTTTTTTCTTTCTCCACAAAGGTAAATAAATACCTTACAGAATAACAAGAGCGGTGTAGACGTAAACTGCACGGATTTCTCCGAGCTGAAAATAGTGAATTAGCGCTCGTCTAAAGCGGGATAGCTTTGAACCTCACCTTCCGGTTCACCCAGAGGAGCGTGATTCTTCCGAGGGTCAATCCTAGACAAGCCAAATGAGAATATTTGATGATGTAGTAGTCCGCTGCTTACCGCCGAAGAAACCTGACGCTACATAGCCAGAAGATGGCCCACCATTGCGGATAATCAGCATGAAACTAACAATCCAGCCTATAGATATCAAAGGTCAGCACAGTTTGTCCAAAAGAAACTGTTTCTTACCTCCAATCGTGACCTCAATCCCAACGTAGACAATCAGGAACAGCGCCAGAAGATGAACGACTTTCAGTTTCAGCAATTCTCCGTACGTGGGGTCTGGCGCATCCTCCATCTTGTCCGGGACTATCTCGCCAGCTTGCGAAAGGCAATCTGCAAAAATGTCAGTGACAGACGTACGATTACAACTGATTAGAATGCACAAACAATCTTGGTCCTTGAAGCGGAAGACGAGGGCAAGGGTTACCGTGTTTATGAGGGATAGGCCCAACGAGATCAGGTAGTGGCATGGCCAGTATTTGGTCTGCGATAAGGGTGTGGCGAAGATCGGGGCAAAGAGAGCGCCACAACCTGGTTAAATAAGATCGAAAGCGTCGTTGATGTTGTGAAGAGACTGACCGTAGGCGGCGTGAACGAAGCCCATCTTCAGTTCTGCTTGGTACTTCCCTGTAGCAACAAACCCATTCGCCTGGGCGCACTATAAACGCAAGGGTAATGGATACGTATATTGCCGATGCATACCGAGAGAAATGGAAGTATACCTGGGTGGCCGCACCGATGCCGACGGAAAAAAAGGAAAAGACGAATAGGGGGAACGGAAGTGCAAGTGACTGCACAAAAAATGCCGCCGTTTGGAAGAAACTTCCAAACACCAGCATCTGGGTAGACAGAAATCATTGGAAGCATTCAGCGGCGGACATGATGTCACGGAAGTACCTTTCCAAACCCGAATCTCGTAGTCAATGGCATGTTCATGAGCGCACCGATCACGCTACCCTTCAAAACAGATAATCATTGAAAGGATATAGACTGTGTAATAGATGAGGCAAAGATACTCACCGTACAGGCAACCACAAAGATCCAGGAGACGGTCGCAAATCCCACCTAGCAAGCCCTTTAAGTGAGGCCCTTCCAAAGAAATTCGGATGTAAGGGCGGCCTACCCCGTAGAATTCCTGAATACGAGGCAACAGCGGTCCCAGCGATCCATCGTTCCACCCCACCAGAAACACATCGTAGCACAGCGCATAAAACTGCACCCAACCAATTGCTTCCCCTCTCTTTGACAGGGATTTACTTGGGCCTACTACCAATGGGGTGATTTCCGACGAATGGTTTAAACTCGCGCCCTTGCATATGGTTGAGTCTTCCACCTGGGAGTATGTAGCAGTCGTGTGCCCGTTAGTTCTGTTCGCCGTCATTCTAGCAGGTCGTAGTAGGACAGGAAGTAGGGGGATAGTGGGAAATCGAGTCGCGTCGCTCTTTATCCGAAGCTTTCCCGCAGACGTAGCTCACGAAGCAAGCCCTACACGTAAAGTGATAAGAACCATCTAACTATGGCACGCCCTTATCCTTATGAACTGATCAGTCGACTCATTCTGCACAGATTTGCTTCACTCACCGACACAGCGGAGCTGACAAGGATAACTTGAGCCTAAGCGCCGATCCAGAAGATGACCGACTTCAGCACTTGTTCATGATAAAGATCTTTGACTGCGCGGCGGGTCATAAATTTCGTCTATGTGTGCTATAACAGAACAAGTAAAATTCGTCAAGAAGTCATGAACGGCATTTCGCGAGGCATTAACGCCAGCAAGAGGCGCTAAACGGCCGTCTTCGGGACCATCTTCCAAATCATGCCCATTAAAATCATCATTACCACCAGACTACCAATTCATTAGCCAACCGCTCAATGGCAAACATGCTCGAGGGCTAGATGAACGACTTACTAAGGCTGCAAACTCTGGATTCCATATTTCGACGCCATCGCGCCTGTGAAGAAAGGTAGGACGGCGCTCCCCAGTGCGCCGCACGCGGCGACCCACCCAATGGCGCCCGTTACGAGCGTTCGGGGCAGGACTCGCGACGTATGGTTCATGGCGATAGGATAGAGCGGTCCAAGGAGGATGCCGATGCAGAATACGGAGATGCAACCAGTGTAGAATGAAGGGACGAGCCAGACTACGAGTTGGAAGCTAAGAAGGACGTGTTGGCGATTTCTTCTCCGAGAAGTATGATGGCTCACAGTATAACGAAGACGGTATAAACGTAAACTGCGCGGATTTCGCCGAGCTGTGGTAAGAAGTTAGTGCTGTCCAGGCAGAGATTAACCAGGACCAGCAAATTCCGACCTTCCTGTTCACCCAGATAAGGACCACTCGCCCAAGAGTTAATCCTGAATCCAACTGAGAAATAGTTCAATGATATTGTAATGGAAAGGTTACCGCCGAAGAAGCCAGACGCGACGTAGCCAGATGATGGTCCACCGTCGCGGATAATCAGCATAAAACTGACTATCCAACCTGCGAGGGACAAGTCAGTCAGTTCATCTATGGCAGCCGCAATGTCGGTTTACCTCCTATCGTCACCTCAATTCCGATATAAACAAGCAGGAAGAGAGCTAATAGATGGACTGCCTTAAGCTTAAGTAACTCTCCATATGTCGCACCGGGGGCATCTTCTGTCTTGTCCGGGACGATCTCGCCGGCTTGGGAAAGGCAATCTGCACACACTCGGAAGTCAGTGGACCCCATAGAGAATAATGAGGACAAACGGTCTTGGTCCTTGAAGCGGAACACAACGGCCAGGATTACCACATTCACAATTGATAGGGCAAACGAGATTAGGTAGTGGTATGACCAGTGTTTTGTTTGGGATAGTGGCGTGGCGAAGAGGGGGGCGAAGAGGGCGCCCATCCTGATCTCGGTTTGTCAGGACTGAAATAATCGTGAGTTTTTGAGGAAGACTAACCGTAGGCGGCGTGAAGGAACCCCATCTTCATCTCTGCTTGGTACTTCACCGTCGCGATAAATCCGTTCGCCTGAGCGTCCTGGAATCCAAAAGATAGAAGGCGATTCAAAATATCTATCTCTAGAAATGCGGCGTACCTGCACGGCCATTCCAATCCCTCCGTAAAAGAAGGAAAAGACGAAGGCGGGGAACGGAAGTGCGAGTGACTGCGTAGCGAAGCAGGCAGTTTGGAAGAAACATCCGAAGATAAGCATCTAGAAAGACCATTAGGAGCGCTCTCGCTGCGGATCTAAGGTGACGACGGTACCTTTCCAAGCCCGAATCTCGTATTTAATGGCATGTTGATGAGAGCACCAAGTACGATACCCTTCAAAATCGACAATCGTTTCCAGGGCATAAACGACCAGAACCTCCTCGAGGACTTACCGTGCAAGAAATTACGAATATCCAAGAGACCGTAGCAAATCCAACCTGACCGATCGGAGATCAAAAACCATCGCAAGGAAAATAAGCTCATGAGTCGTCCGAGCTGGTGCCCTCACGGACGATTAAGCTCTCAACCTGGGTGTATCCGGACGCGGTTGGATCTTTCTCGCTCACTGCCGCCATTCCAGCGAGTCGTAGCTGGGGAAGGAAGTGGGGGAAAGTAGAGAAAGTAA